AAACCAACCAAAATTGTGTTCTGAAGCAACCCTAGCCTAGTAGTTTGGTGACTGAAATAGGAAAGGAAAGGAAAGGAGTAAACAAAGGGAAGAACTGTCGGTGGCCCGTGATGGAGTAATTAAGTGTCGGCTACCCAATTTTAATCAATTTTATGCTACGCTACAAATACGTGATAAAAATATAATTTATTTTCCTTGATTAGGTTTCATAATTGTCAACTTGTTTGTTTGATACAAATACAGAATAATGTTTGCTGTACACTTCCATCACCAGACGAGAATTGTATTATTATTTATTTATTTATTATTATTATTTTTTTTTGGTAAATTGGATGGTTAGACAGGCTGTCTTTGTCAGTTAGCCCGTTGGTCTCCGTCATCTAATCGGACCGATGCTTGACGAACCCTTCATTTCCTCACTAGTCACTACATACTATTTTCCTTACAAATCAGTCCCTCTTTCAACCTTTCTTACTATTTCACTCCTTAATATCTAGACATCAGTAATAAAATCGGCAAACCCACTTTTTACATTTTAATTTTAGTGCTTAGATTACCGGGAATTTACACCATGTGTAATGTGCCCGGTATCATATGTACGTGTAAGGTAGAATATCAGTTACTTTTTAGTAACCTGATGTTTAGGATTTGAAATAAGTAGGCTAAAGTACGCTTCAGTATACAATCTTTCGAGTAAAAATAATGACTAAAAATCAATTATCACAACCAAAGAACATACCATATTTTGATCATACAACTAGGTCATTCCCACCTCCTAATAATAACTAGTTTCTTGCATGAAGAGGATGATATGAAACAACATTCTCATTTCACTTAAGGAAGTATCCGATATCACCTTATACAAAACCATAATGCAACATAACCAATTTTTCTCATCAAGTTTAACTTGTGAACGATGAAAGTAAGATTCTTTTTTCCATACCGTTTTCTTATTAATGATCTGAATCGACTTTCACACTTCCCGTCAAAAGTCTTTGGAGAACAAACGTGACAATTTAAATTGTCAACTCTTCTTCTTAAAAAACTAAATCGCCAGAAAACGAAGCAACTCAAACTGTCAAATATCAAAATGGCTGTATTTTTTAGTTTTACCGTCGAACTAATCATTTAAGCTCAAACATCTCATTGTAAAACAACCGAATCAAATTGTCTCACCCCAAATGCCTCATCCATACAATAGTTACCAAAAACTCCAAGTACCCGGAAGAATGTTGGGAACAAAGATTAGTTTGTGGACTAAACTGTCATGAAAACTCTGGTCGAGGAGCAGACTTATAATACGTATCCCCTTGTCTGAATTTAGGATCTTTATTACTATATATTTTCCGGAGCGAATTTAGTTTATTACTTTTTTCTGCGTCTTTTACTAATAATAATTAACGAATAAAAATCAGGACAGCACCAAATCCAATACAATCCTCGCCAGTCGCAAAAACACAGCAAAGCTCTAACTCACATGGATTGCGACGGTGACTGAGCTTCGAGTCGAGTATCCAGCAAGCACTCCCTACTTTACTATTATTGCTGCTGCTGATTATTGACGACTCACTACCTTCCTTCCTTCCTTCTCCAATCTCCATCTCTCTCTAAAAAGGTTTCATCTTCAGCCTTCCTCTTGTTCCCCAATTTCCATTTCCACTTCAGATCTACCCATTACAGCGAAGTGATCGATCCCATTCCGGCGGAGTTGCGGAAGGGAAGGGGGGCAAAATGAGCATGTACGGGAGAGATCCGTGGGGCGGCCCGCTGGAGATCAACACCGCGGATTCCGCCACCGACGACGACCGGAGCAGGAACCTCAACGACCTGGACCGGGCTGCTCTCTCCCGGCCGCTGGACGAGACCCAGCAGAGCTGGCTGCTGGGCCCAACCGAGCAGAAGAAGAAGAAGAAGTACGTGGATCTGGGCTGCATCATCGTCAGCAGCAAGATCTTCTGGTGGACGGTCGCCGTGCTTGTCGGCGCCGGGGTTCTCGCCGGCTTGATCGCCATCCTCGTAAGGTTCGTGCCCCGACACCACGACCACAAACCCCCGCCGGACAATTACACCCTCGCGCTGCACAAGGCCCTCATGTTCTTCAATGCCCAGCGATGTAATGCACTCCCCACTCTGCCTCCTTTTTCGTCTGTTTATTGATTCTGATTTGGGGCTGGGATCTGTGTTTGATCTGGGTTTGACTTTAATTTTGATTTCCTGCTTTGTTTTTTCTGTTGCCATGGAGTGATGGAGCTGTAATTTAGTTCTGTTTTTCGCAATTTTGCAGCAGGAAAGCTTCCCAAGCATAACAATGTGTCATGGAGGGGGAACTCTGGTATGAATGATGGCAAAGGCGAGTCCGGGGCAACGTACAAAGATCTGGTCGGTGGCTATTACGATGCTGGTGATGCGATTAAGTTCAATTTCCCCAAATCGTTTGCCATGACCATGTTGAGCTGGAGTGTGATTGAGTACAGTGCAAAGTATGAAGCTGCCGGCGAGCTCAATCATGTTAAGGAAATAATCAAGTGGGGAACTGATTATTTTCTCAAGACCTTCAATCACACTGCTGATACGATCAATACACTTGTTGCCCAGGTATAATGATGCCCTGCTATCTGTAGAAGTATTTTGTCAGTTTTAAGTAGGAGTTTTGGCTTTTTGGGGCTCTGGGATTTCTTGATTCTGTTTGTTAACCTTCATCTAGTAGTAAAGAATCCTGCTTTGTCATGCAAAACGTTGAAGAATGGTCACTTCATGATGCAGCTTCTGTGGATTATGTTATTAATGAAATTGAAACTTCTTCAGGTTGGATCAGGGGATACTTCTGGCGGCATGTCGACTCCAAATGATCACTACTGCTGGACGCGCCCTGAGGACATTGATTACGACAGGCCGGTGACCTCGTGCAGCAGTTGCTCTGATCTTGCTGCAGAAATGGCTGCTGCTCTAGCTTCTGCGTCGATTGTGTTCAAAGACAACAAGGCCTATTCTCAGAAGCTTGTCCATGGTGCCAGAACGCTCTTTAAATTCTCGAGGGACCAGCGTGGAAGATACAGTGCCGGTAGTTCCGAAGCTTCTCAGTTCTACAATTCTACTAGCTACTGGGATGAATTTCTTTGGGCTGGAACTTGGTTGTACTATGCTACTGGGAATAATTCCTACCTTCAGCTGGCTACTACTAATGGTATTGCGAGGCATGCTGGTGCTTTCTGGGGTGGACCTGACTACGGTGTTTTTAGCTGGGACAACAAGCTTACTGGTGCCCAGGTTAGTTGATTGAGTCGAATATAACATTGCTTATTCGGTCGAACTTCATTTAACTGATGCATATTGAGCTAATATGGGGCTTATTTTTTCGCTGAGAAAAGGTGCTCCTTAGCCGCTTGAGACTCTTCCTTAGCCCTGGATATCCATATGAAGAAATATTGAGGACATTCCATAACCAGACTAGCATTGTTATGTGTTCCTACCTTCCATATTTCACAAGCTTCAACAGAACCAAGGGTAAACACCATCTCCTGTCACTGCTCTAGCTCCTTTTTCAGATTACAATGCATTCAATTTGATCCTGATTTAGAATGATTTGTTGTGACGTGATCCTGCAGGTGGCTTGATCCAGTTAAACCATGGAAGACCACAACCTCTTCAGTATGTAGTGAATGCAGCTTTTTTGGCTACTGTATATAGCGACTATCTTGATGCTGCAGACACACCTGGATGGTACTGTGGACCAAACTTCTATTCTACGAAGATCCTGCGTGAATTTGCAAAGACCCAGGTACCTTATTCAGTTTCCTCACCGTTAAGAATGAATCATAGTCCAGATGAGATCCTATTCAAAGCGTGATGGAGAATATTGACTTCGTTTTGCAGATCGATTATATCCTGGGGAAAAATCCAAGAAAAATGAGCTATGTTGTTGGTTTTGGTAACCATTACCCGAAGCACGTCCATCACAGAGGTGCTTCTATCCCCAAGAACAAAGTTAAGTACAATTGCAAAGGTGGATGGAAGTGGAGGGACTCAAAGAAGCCAAACCCGAACACAATAGTGGGAGCTATGGTTGCAGGGCCTGATAGGCGCGACGGCTTCCATGATGTTCGAACTAACTACAACTATACCGAGCCAACACTTGCTGGAAATGCAGGATTAGTTGCAGCCCTTGTAGCGTTGTCTGGCGATGGGGACTCTAATATTGACAAGAACACCATTTTCTCGGCGGTGCCCCCCATGTTCCCAACTCCTCCTCCACCTCCAGCACCATGGAAGCCATGAGAAAGACATTCCTCGAACACATCTGATCCTACTGGTTATACACGATTTACACTGCAGCAATATATGTAAATTAGAACTTTCGAGCAAGTCATGAATGGTTGAAGACACTTTTACAAAGACAAGCCTGGGGTGTGGGAAGAAGACAGTGGATGCAGTGCAGCATTTCTGAAAGAGGGCCATGTGAGAAGCAAGAAGAAGATGGGATGAATGAACTCTTCCTGGAAAAATGTTGGTCTTTGGTTGAATTTTTGTGTGTTATACGATAGCATAATGTGTATGTATGGCTCTCTTGTATTCTTTTGTAACTCTCGTGGATTCCTTGGTGGAAACAATTGACACTTCCCTTGATGTCTGACAGTGAAAGAGATAAATTTGTTGGTTCCAGAAGAAGGCAAGTCTTTGGATCTTTTTTCTTTCTGATTAGCTTGTCTTCGTTCCAACAGTCGGCTGATACAAATTAACATATTTTCGTTTCTCAATCAAAACGCTTGATAAGGCATAAACAACACGGCTAAAGAAGGCAAGTTTAGAAGAAGACGATGGTTTGCGGATGACAGAAGAAACCAAACAGCAGAAGGAAAGAGACAACGATTCTTTTCTTGGAATGGTGGGCTCTTGTAGTCTTTTTTAAGGTGTCGGGGAAATACTAATAGTACCGTTATTCTTTGCCCTCAACTTGGGGCATTGGCATTACCTTATTCCTTACCAACATTCTAGTCCTTATATCGCAAAAATGGCTTCATTCATGATTGTCGTTGTCAATTGTTTCCCCTTTGAGCTGAGGGGCAGGAAAGATTAGGAAAGGAAAGAGGTCCCCAATCCTTGAGAATGGCAGAAGAACAATCGAACGCCTCGTTGGAGTTCACCCCGACATGGGTGGTCGCGGCTGTCTGCTTCGTGATCGTGATGCTGTCACTAATCGCAGAGCGCGGTCTTCATAAGCTTGGCAAGGTAATAGTACCATCACACAAAATGCTCATGCATACAACAGACCTTACACCAATGTGTAACATTGTACCTAACATATGTTATGTCGCGCATAACGATTGCAGTGCCTGAAGAACAACAAGCAAGATGCGTTGTTCGAAGCCCTCCAAAAGCTAAAAGAAGGTACATTCGCAATATAATGGCTTCTGTCTACTGGACATGATAGAATGAATGTGCATGCTTAATCTGTTGTTGACACTGGGGGGGAAACAGAGCTGATGTTGTTGGGGTTCATATCGTTGCTGCTAACGGTGTCACAAGGCGCCATCCGTCACATTTGCATACCGCCTAGCCTTGCTTCCACCATGCTCCCCTGCAAGAGACCGAAGAAAGGTGAAGCCGGCGGCGGACACAACCAACTGTTTCTTGGCTTCGGCGATCTTTCCCCGAGACGCCATCTCTTAGCTTCCTCTGAGGGTCCGGACCATTGCTCCAAGGTGTGCATTTGTTGATCAAATTTTCGTCTATGTCAACAATCAGTTCGTTCCAATAACGTGTACGACGATACATCAGTATTCGTTGCATCCTTACATTGTGTGTTTTCGCTGTTGGTGGGAGTGACAGACCGGTAAGGTACCGATGGTGTCGTTGGAGGCACTGCACCAGCTGCACATCTTCATCTTTGTTCTTGCAGTTGTGCATGTCATCTTCTGTGTTAGTACCATGGTTCTTGGAGGTGCAAGGGTAATTTAGTAACTCTGCCTATAGGGTGATTTCCATTTCCTTACTAACTTTCTGAACTTTGAATGACCCAAAAAAAGTTGTGTTCTTGTTTGAATTACCGCCTACAGATTAGGCAGTGGAAGGTTTGGGAGGACTTCATTAGGCATGGTGGCAAACCCCAAGGTTCAACTGTTCAACTATGTTATCATATGCTTTACCAATTTGAACCTAATCTGGTCTGATTAATAGTGGAGGAATTTATGGGAGGTAGCGATTCTTGATATAGAAGTCGGAATTAAAATAGTTTATGAATGTTTTAGGGCGCAGGAGTGGTGCTACTCCAGCTTATGATCATCACCACGGGAGGTTCATTGAAACACATGTCACAGGGCGTTGCGGCAATTCAGGTCCTGTGACTTGGGTGGTGTCGTTCTTCAAGCAATTTTATGGCTCCGTAACCAAGTCCGACTACATTGCGCTTCGACAAGGATTTATCACGGTTCTCATCTTTTCCCCTTCCTAACTATATCCCCTAGTTATTGGGTCAATTACGTAAATGATTGCTAAGCTTTGGGATCTTCACGTTGAAGGCTAGTGGTAATGCTACTAGACCGAACACTTAATAAACTTATTATTACTGAAATTTGAAATAGCTAGGATAATAATTTCATTTAAATGTATGTTAATTTTTTTCGTTCAAATTGTCCATATTAACGTGTCAACTCACCAAAATTAATAATAAAAAGACTAAGAAAAGCTAACTAAATTACATATACAACAAATTTAACCCAACCCAATCAAGACAAATTCATTGTTCTGACTCGATTTAACCCATATAGTCAAAACAATTGACAAAGTGATCGCTATGTTAGTTATTTTGAACTCTACTGAGAAATTTTTAAAAGAATAAAAATTTAAGTAACTTATTCGTTAGCGACCCCAAACTTTAGTTACCATTGATTTACATAGTTAGCCTTAGCCATATCGGTGTTACTGCTACATATTTGACTGGATGACGAAAATACCTAAACATACACAGACTCATTGTCCAAGCATGCCCAATTTCGACTTCCACAAGTACATGTTGCGGACTCTTGAAATCGATTTCAGGAAAATTGTTGGCATAAGGTACACATCTGAATTTTTATACAAAAATCATAACTAGGCAGAGTACTTTTTTTCCACATAATTCTTACTTAGCAATTTTTTGAAAGGGATCCTTACTAAGCAATTGAGTTTGGGAAATGCAGTTGGTATCTGTGGCTCTTTGTGGTGATATTCTTGTTGCTGAATGTGGAAGGTAAATTTTAACTTGATCCAAAACGCATCCTTAACCTAAATATTGCACAAATCAACCCTGCCTTGCAACACAAGGTTACTAATCCTTTCAATGGCTGCAGGATGGCACACCTATTTTTGGTTGGCGTTTTTGCCATTGATTGTAAGTGGCACTTCTTTTTGCTATTGTCTTTTTACTCCTCTTACTTCGCAAAGTTAACAAACAAGGCCTTCCATTAACTATGCATTGGTACAACACAGTTGTTGCTACTGGTGGGTGCTAAGCTGGAACACATAATGACTCAGTTGGCTCAGGAGGTGGTGGAGAAGAAAGAGCACCACCATGTCGAATCAGAGCGAGTGCAGCCTTCAGACAAACACTTCTGGTTCCACCGTCCGGCCATTGCTCTTCACTTGATTCACTTCATCCTCTTCCAGAATTCGTTCGAGATTGCATTCTTCTTCTGGATTTGGGTAAGATAAACAAAGTTGTCTAAACTCTTTCATTCAAGCAAGTGATCATGTCACTGATTTTCGCGATGTTGTTTTCCTTTTGACAACAATCCAGAGCACGTACGGATTCGACTCGTGCATCATGGAGAAGCTTGTTTATATTGTGCCAAGGCTCATCATGGGGTAATAATTCGTGGACAATGAAGCATTCATCCTTTTCCTTCTGTATTGTTTTGCTCGTTTCACATTCTATCATCTCTTCAATTACTATCTCTCGATTTTGTGCAGTGTGATCGTTCAAGTCCTGTGCAGTTATAGTACACTGCCGCTATATGCTCTTGTCTCCCAGGTTTCTTTCAGTTCCATTTCACCTAATAAGCTTAAACCTGGTCAAAATCACTTGCAAATCCTCAACTCGCTCTTTGTTCTTCCTGTGTTCTGTTTTTATGGGGAGCGAAGATGGGTAGCAGGTTCAAGAAGGGAATGTTCGATGACTATGTGCAGTCATCGTTGGACGATTGGCTGTCATCACTTCGTGCCAAAAGAGAAAACACAGGTGACTCCAGCAGCACCACTAGAGTGGATCGTTTGGCCGGAGAAATCGCTGAGCAAGAAATGGTCACCATGGCCGGCAGAATCCCATCAGCAGCTGTAACTACTGGTACTACTACAATGATGCATCCTTTTGCAGCCCAAACACCTTCACCTACTTCATCAGTGTGACCCTTTTTTTTCTTACAATTGCTGTACATGGAGATGCAATAAAAAACCAAAATCTGCTTCATTGGACTTGTAGGGAAACAGGTGTGGCATAGATTAGAATCTACAATGCTTTCTTCTCAATCTTTATTTCCTGTTGTAACCACACCGAAATAACATAAGTAGTCTGTTATTCATCAGAGAATTACAGCCATTGTGAACTTCTGCTACTTGGGTAAATCACAAGCAGTGTATTTTGTCTTTCTAGATTGTAAATACAAACAGGGAGACTGGAACATTAGTTATAGCTAAACAAGAGGCAAAATTAGGGTTAGAAGTTTGCAGGGGGATACTTTTTACAAGGGGCAATGATAATTTTTTCCCAATCTAGTTGGGGGTCATGATACAAAAGATGACAGAACCATATGATTGGATTGTTCATGTGGTAGCTTACCCATCTCGTAACTAACGTGTGCTGCTGACAACGGGCTGGCAGTATCCTCTCCATTTTCAAGCTTGTTCAAAGCTCTTTTTGTGTACAAAGTAAAAGCTATGACAGTTATGATTGCAATGATGAACGAGATCACGTTATACACGATCTCCACTGGCGTGAGATGATGTTTCCCATAATTCATTTCAGCAAGTGTCCTGATTAGTCGACCACTGCACCAAATTCAACATCAAAATTAACAAGTTTAAGCAAGAGAGACCCAAAAAAGCCCGACGGCAGAGAAAATTGGTCCACTGCAATTTTTAGATGTAGAGAACAGACCTGTAGATATAAAGAAAAGCTTCTGGGATCATTCCAGCAACTGAACCACATATGTAGGGCCAAAATCTTAAGCTTGTGACGACTATTGCATAGTTGAAAATTGTGTATGGAAATGGGGATACCCTGAAAAGAGCAACAACTCGAAATTGATGGAACCAGTTCCCTTCTGCTGCTAGTCTCAGCATGGCAGCTTGCTTGGGCCATCTCTCTAACCATTGCTGCAACAATCAACACAATTTTTTTTATGTTCCCAATAGATTGGATGGAATGGATGATGGAACTACTACTAAAAAAAAGGTTTGCTTACATGGATACGGTCACGAAAAAACAGGCCAATGAAGAAAGGCAGGATCATCCCAATCGTTGTTCCAGCAATGATTATGACAAATCCAATGCCATATCCAAAAATCATACCAGCCAACCACATTGAAGGACCAGAAGGAATTAAGAAAACAGGGAACAATGCCAGAGAACCAACAAGTACAAGAGCAAGGACTGGACGTCCAAAGGCAGTTGCTTCCCATTTCATCACTGGGTATAGAACCTACGGATGAAGAAAAAATCAAAGTTAAAAGTTAAAACCCTAGAAACCGGGCTAGCCTCAGAAGCTGGTGAAAATATGAATGCTACTTTCATCCATCAAACATGAACACCTCACACGTTTGTACCCACATCCAACTGAATTGATGCTCAATTGTTCCAAAAAAAACAAGTCGATGACAACAATATACTTGAAGTTGTTGACCCAGCAGTTAGAAGAAAGTGATATGTAAACCACAAACAAACTAAGCGGGCACTCTCTTATCATCCAAAATTTAAAATAATGGTAGATAGACAATCCAATATCAGGAACAACGAGCAAGGAGTGCTGAAGAAAAGGCATACCTTTTTGAAAAGAAATGGTAATACCCATTTGATTGAAACGAAGACAACTATAGCAATAACTATGCACAATGCTAGAATTTTGGTCCAACGCAGGGAAGGCCTGGTCTTCGATGGTGTTGGAGGTTCCGAGACATGTGGTAAAATTGGATTTGGTTCATCAGACATGACAAGCCTAACATATTCACTATCTTGTCTTATGTGGTGGCCCGTGTGTTCGCTGTTTTTTACCAACTCCTGAGATGCATCCGGCATCTGTATCAGAGGAAAAGCATGCCGTAATCAGAATTCTGAACTTCACAGATTAGAGTTACATGTAAACACGACATAATGGAAGGCAAAGTAGCACATCTAGATCCATTTGAAAACCGTACCATTAGAATGTCGTCAAGCTGCAGGAAAGATAAAAACATGAAGTTAGATTTCAAAACAGCAGATTATACGATTACTCAATCAAAAGACTGTTGTTTGAAAACGAGAAAAATCAGCAGACTGGAGACGAAGTGAGGACAGGGATAGACAGAGATGCGGGTAGACAATCAAGAACACACCACGAGACCAATGCATTGACAAAATTGGATAAGATGAAAAGAGTTCAACTACCGAGGAGACGACCAACCAGAATTTTGATCCATTCACAATAAACAATGCATAGGATCATTGTCGTCCATAACAAATGAATCACAGTACAGGAAACCTTAACGGCATGCAGCTTGACAAACTCTAGTGCAGGTGAGACAACTAGACGAGCTCGACCAAAGTTGATCATAGATTTGCTGCAGGCATGAATGAATTGAAACCATAACGAAATGATCCGACTTAACTACTTTCTGGTAGTCTAACAGCAGCCACCAATTAAAGGCAGGACCTTTGGCGGAATGTGTGCTATGCAGCTGAAACGCTGGGCCCTAAATTGACATTTTGAAGGTCACTCTCAAGCTTAACATGTCAATTCGAGAGATACACGTAGTGGGTCCAAATTAAAATTCGAAACCTTCTATCCAAGATCAGAAAGCATAGTGATCGCCGTAATAGAAAACAAGGGTTCTAATAAGAAAACAAGAGAATCATCACAAATCCTAAAAAGGGGAAGCCTTTTCGCTAGGGTTTATGTCAAAACGTTTGAGAGTTTCGGGAATTGGGCTTTACCGTTAGGAACAGCCGGACAGAAGTGAAGCACAGGAAGGCAAAACCGGCCGCCGATCAACCTCCTGCGCTAATGGAGATGGAGCTTGCCTTCACGTCGTCAGGCGATCACAACCGGATTTAATTTTTTTCTCCTTCAGGCTGTGGGGAAGATGGAGAGTTTTCCAGCTTTCCCCTTCCCGTTTTATTTCTTCTTTTTGCTTTTTTTGGTCTGTCGATGAATTTCAGCTCTCTCCTTCTTTGCCTAATGCCTTGTTCCTTCGCCTTTTGCTTTATGGTTGGAAGGAATATGCCCTTTCAAATTCAAATATGGTTGAGAAATCAAATTGGTCTCAATTTTCCCACGGACCAACTAAGAAGAAACAATAAAATAGCAGTAGACAGAATAATCAAAGTTTAGAACAGAATAGGCTGCAGATTCATGCTTAACCTTTACCAAATTCCCGGCGCGTCTGCGATTATTCTGTTTCCGTCTGTATACTAACGGTATAAGACTACAGTCCAATTCACAAAACGTACCAGCAAATAAAAATTTCCTTTTACCATTTACATTTGGTTACTTATACCTGGAAATTAGGGCCAAACTTATAGTTATTTGGTATATACCGAATTTATCACGATCTGTTATTATCAAATACCGACTTATTTTTTAGGGATTGAGATTGAGATTCATTTTGGAGTGTTATTCGATATTCGAGATTATTGGATTAGAATCGGTATATACTGAAATATCAAAAATTAAAAATTATTTAAATATAACACACAACCTTTGGTCATTTATCACTCTTTCACAACTTAGAAGCTCCTATCCAGCTCAATTTTGACTTTCCGGTTTAAGCCACTCTCGTCTCTCGTCTAATCTTTTGTTGTTTTCATAACACCAAAAGGCAAACACTAGTATTAGTCGTCTCTCAACCTCCAATTCGTCCAATTAAAGATTACCAAATATCAAGAATTTGAGATGTCACATCTCCTCCATTCTCGTTATCCATATCCTAGGTCTAGGCAAACTCAATACTCTATGCTTAGTCTATTTGCCCTAAATTAAACATCAAATATAATTTATATATTTAATTATTAATCGCCAATATAATTAATTTCGTACTCCATAATACCGATTGTGATACCGAAATATTTAGGGACTGAAATTGGGATTGATTTTAGATTGTAATTCGGTATTCGGGATTTCGGTATTTGGTATTGGGATATCGATACCTTACCGATTTCCATCCTTTTCAGGAAAAGAAACCCAATTAGTAGTCTATAATTACTCAACTTTGTATTGTTATAATTCTTAATATTTAACGACTATATTTTAGTATCATGGTGGTAATAATATACATAACAGTAGGATAGTGGTAGAATAGTGGCACACAATAGTAGAGGATGATATAATTGTTTTGAAATATACACAAAATTGAACGCTGAATTCTATAATACCTAGTTCCTAATCAACTATGAAATTTGATAACGATTTTTATGAATTCCAAGTGTTAGTATTTAAAGAAGTTACAACTTTGAGCTACATCATGAATGAATTTGTAGCCGAATATGTGATCATTCGGAAAAAGAGATGTTAAAATTGGTTTGTTGTAAGGTGTTCACTTGTAAATCTATTTCATGATTAGTTCAAAATATAAAAAACATGTTAGAAATGTTTATGAAAATTGAACTTGTATTAGTTTTTATTTGTTTATTTATTGTGAATTGAGGGAAACATATTATGTAATTTCTGTTGGATTTTAATATGAGGTAGCAGTGTTTTTCACCCATTTTTCTATGTAAAAAACTTCGATATGGAATTGCATCTGCATGGCACATGATGTGCATACATCCACATGGGACATTTAATTGTTTTTTTTTTTATTTATCATCGTTTATTATTAGTTTCTGAGAGCTTCCCACGTCGAAATCCCATCTAGAAGCCTACAACAGATCTTGTGATCATCATCTAGAGATTTCCCACTTTCTAGATGTTCAAGTCCCAAAGTCAAATCAGTAAAGTCAAATCACCCTCTTTCCAATAATCTCTGCCTGACATTTGTTTCCCATTCCATGGAGCTCCTACCCTTTTTCTCAGGTTGACTGGGGTTTCAAGCATATCTGTGTTCATACTCCATACCATTGGATTCAAAGAAGAATGGGTTACTAAACGGTATATAATCCACTATTGAACTTCTTACAAGAATTATGAGTTATTGAGATTAATTGATTCTTAACATGGTATCGGAACCTTCTGTGACCGTGAGGTCTTCTATGCGATTTCCAGTAACCCCTTCTGTTTCTGTTAAGCACACGGTGTTCGGAAATGTGCATTTCCAAACTCCAAGCCTATCTGAATGACTTGAGTTTGAAGGGGGTGTTAATAAACGGTATATGATCTATGATTAAACTTCTCCAAAAAACTCGAACTATTGGGATCAACTGGTTCTTAACATAATGATCTATGATTAAAATTCTCTGCAAGTCCCACATTTGATTGTTATCAGATCAAACATTACATAACCCATTTACATTCTAAGAAATAAAAGGTTTCAGGCTGGTGGAGCTGAGGGATCAGCAATGGAAACCTACTGATCACCCAAAAACAAACAGCCAATCTATACATATACATATACTCAACTCAAGATTGCTTAGTACAACACAGAGTCAAAAGCTACAGCAAAATCATTCAATTGCATGATACACAGAAACCTCATACCAAGCTATACCACTTCCATGGTGGTCTCCTTATCAAGATTACAACTTAAGCACGATCTGATCACCGTTGTAATTAGGAATAGTTAACACCTGAGCAAAATGCCGCTCACAATATGTCATCCGCCAGGGGTTTCGAGTGAAACTTCTCCACCAAGGACCAAGTGGAAGAAACGGCTTCGCTTAACTTGGAAGATTCGGCCTCTAATTCCGTTAACCTGGCCCTCGTTTGCTCGACCTTCGATCTGATCTCTACAACTGCCTGCTCTTTCAGAGCCAAATCCTCCATCATGGACTCGAGTTCTTTCCTTGTCGAGTATACAGCATGATCGCACTCGACTTTGGCTGCTTCAGCGGCTTGATGCCGACTGTTGAGCTCCACTACTTCAGTGAGTCCGTTGAGGATATCGCGCAGCCAGTGCACGTCAATCCCTGCTGATTCCACGTCCTTGAGCACTGCTAACAGTTCTTTGACTTTGGACTTGGTCAGCTGCCTAACGGAAAGGGACTGCAGTTCCTGAACCACGGAGCATAGGCACTCCAGATAATACGCGCGCATTGAAACAGATTCCAGCTTACAGTTCCCAGCTATGTCTCCGTACTTGATGAAGATTGCAGATAGGATCGAAGCAATGGTTGCCCTGACGTGGTATTTGCCAACTGATACACATGAATCAGAAATAACAGACTGAACCTCATCGTCGTCGCTGTCACGAGACACATGCGAGATGCCTGAGAAGCTGAACTCCATGGTCTTCATAATGGGTTCATCAATTTTGGCATCATCATGCTTGGGAGATGAAGCTGCCTTGGGTGAAGAAGTATTGACATTCTTCTCTTCATGTTGTTGCTTGGTCGGTTTTGGATCCGCAAAGCATGTAAAACTTCCCTTATTTGGACTCAAGGGACCATCAGGCTGTTCAAGAGAAACAGGACAGAGTGAGTGTGGAACTTAGAAATCAACAGATTGTGGGACGACCTAATTGTTTTCCTCAGCAAGTCAACCAGGGAAGAGAGAGGCGCTACCGTGATGACCCCAGAGGCAGGAACTGATTCATAAGCTGGAGCTTGGGTCTTGTGGAAAGACTGCTCACGGGAATCGATTTCCTCTTGAGATAAGGAGGTGGACCGGCTTTTGTCCGACTCGACTACCTTCTTGTTAGAGTTAGCATTGGAGTTGGGTTTAGAGAAAGGTGATCTTGGTGAAGCGATGGCAGCAACGTTAGCTGCTTTTGCAGCAGACACATTATTGTTGACACTATGAGGTGAATTTGGCTGAGATAAAGCTTCTTTCTTTTTCCTTATCATGCTCACAGGAGCACCAAGAAGGAAGGACCCTGCATTAACAAAAGCAAAGTCAAGAAGATACAAGGAGCACGAGACACCTCAGATCTTTTTTGAAGGGCACCACATTTTCCCCCATAAACCCTCTTCAAGGAATTGAGGAAGGATTAAGGAATTGAGAAATGATTAAGGAGAACTCTTTCCCGAACCTCACTTCTGTTTTCAGAAGGATCCATTTCCAAGCCTTAACAGGATTAAAGCAGAACGAAGAATCTGACATTCTGCAAAAGGGGGGGGGGGGGGGGGGGGGGGGGGGGGGGGGGGGGGGGGGGGGGGAGGAACAAAAACCTGCATCTTTATCATTGTCGTGAAGGTTCGCATCATCAGGTTTATTAGTACAATATTTGCCACATTCATGGAAAGGATTGGCAGCTTTTGGACAATTTGGATTTGCAACTCTTCTTTCTCCATCATTCTTTCTGATATGCTGAACTTGTTTGAAACTTCTTGGACTGTCTAGAATGAATGAAAGCGATTGAATAAAGGAATCAGAAACACTCGGGAACTCCCCCCCAAAATCGAAACACCTTGAAAATGATGAGATAAACCAATTTGGCTGATTGATGAAGGGTGGTATGAACATTCTAAGAAGTCCTAGAAGCCATATGCTTCGGAGAATAAGACCGTATGAACATATCTGAAGCCTAGATCAAAGAGCTCTTCTCTCACTTGATAAAGAAAAAAGTTTAGAAATCCACAGAGATCATACAAACAATCGGCTATTGACCATCAGGAATTTCAGTCATAAGATAGATATCAAAAGGCTTTAGAAAGCTACCTGACTTCTTGCTCTTAGACTTTCGAGTTTCGCCCAGAGCAATCTTCTCCAGGCAAGCTACTCCACATTCATGATATGGATTGCCAGCATTAACACACTCCGGATGGACTCTTCCATTATCAGCCATCTCTTTGTCACCTTCTCTCAGGGCTCTGTAACAAACAGGAGAAAAAAAATTGAGCTTACTGCTTAGACCCTGATTGGATCCACAGAAAAATTCATTTTCCTCAACAGATATTTGATAATACTAAATCCAATTTTCAGCGAGACCTTAAGCTCCCAAGCTACACCATCAAAATCCACAAGAAGGAAAAAGAAGAAGAAAACTCAAGAGTAAAGCTTAACAATTTGGACAGCTACCTAGACCATGAAACTGGAGCTGTGAGATTCAGCTGCACAGTAACGGTCCATTCAATTTAGCAATTAAAGAAAAGGGTTGGTCGAAATACCACTACCAATTTACCAAACCACCCAACTTAAACACATGCCCTTCACATATAAAACGATTATAATCACGTTTCTCAGCATAGCTAAATCAGGAACGGAGATTTGATTCTCCCCCCAAATGAACATGCAGAAAGAAAGTCGGCATCAACAACTACTATCAGAAGAAGAAGAAGAAGAAGAAGAAGAAGAAGAAGAAAAGGAATAGGCTTTCCTAACTTAACAACACATCTTTCCTCTACCCTTTTCCAAGGCAATCAAACAGCATGAAACCCAGAAACAGGATTTGCTTTACCTGCAAACCCTGGTGATCACAAGCTGGAAAAGCAAACAGAGAAGAACAGAGAAGATCGACATATTAAGAACATAGACCAAAGAAACAGTCTTACCAAGGAGACGGAGGGAAAGAGGGAGAGGTGGAAAGCCCAGAAACAGCTGCTAACTCCCAACAGCACAGAAATAAAAACCCAGAAGAGGCCAGAGAGGGATCTTATGGCCTAGAAAGTCAGCCTTCAAAAAAAATCAATACTTGTAGTTCCTGGTCCTCAAAGGTGTGTAATTTTGACTTATAACCACCACCCCCACTACTTTTTTTTTGTGGGTATCCCTTCTTTTACTCTCCTCTTTTGCCCCCTCGCTGTCTGTTGGCTCAAGACGTCATCTTCTTTGAAGGTGGGCGGAAAGAACCCATTACCCGGGGAAGGAAAAACAAAAACTGAAAAAAGAGAAGAAATTTATGAATGGGAAGCAACAAGAAATGTGGGATTAATTATGCCTGGGCTATTTCGTCTCCTGGGTGCAAATGGAAAAAAAAGAAGAGACATCTGAAGAAATAAGAATCAGCCGAACCCTGCAATGCGTCCATCAATGGCGCCCCAATTTTGTAAAATATTGAAAGCCCATTGTTGCCATCTGTTGTACTACTGTGATGATGACGATCCACTCGACCCGAGTTCGGCTGCCTAACCCTGGCCCGGGCTCCGCTAGTGGGTCCCGCCCCAACAACTGTCAAGAATACCACAACACTAACACGCCCCCTCAAACGAAATCCGGCTTGAAGTTTGCACATGTTTGAAGACAAGAATACCATGTGTTTAACAAATGGGGGTCACCGGGAATTGAACACAAGACTTCTTGGTCACAGAAGGCTTTGATACCATGTTAAGAACCAGTTGATCCCAATAACTCGAATTATTAGGAGAGGTTCAATCGTGAATCATATACCACAATACTAACAACAACCACGTAGGTGAAATAGCGAATGTCACTTTCAGTAACCAGTAAATTGGGTTTTGGCTTCCTTCTTGTTTATCGCTATGCAATTTGTTTTGTTGTTTGCTGACTACTTCCATATGGGATATCCACAGGCTGTGGCTGCCTGGCTCCTATAAACTACAGTGCCTGTAATTTGGATGTTCTTGATGTTCAAATCTACCTTGTAGTTGATTTTTTTGTCCATCTGCAGACTCTAGAGCATAGTTTAGAAGAGTTCAACAGATGCATGCTCATCGTTAAAACTAATATACTCCCCTGGATCTAGCCTATTGACAGCATATATGGGGGGTATAGTTTGAGCATTTTTTGTCCTAATCCATTTGTTTCAATTTGGTGAAAACGCTATCGAGTTTGTTTTTTGGGGCCTCGTTTTCAAAGTGAAAGTGGTCGAACTCGAATCCACCTCATGAAAGGATGTTTTTGTCGGTCTTACATCAATAAGTTCATCTTCATTTTTTTGATGCCACAACAGGACAAGTTGATTGAGTCGTTAATAAATCTCGTGATTGGCATAATTTTATTTATATTGGATTCGTATTCTTGACATCGTGTGTTCTTTTATATTTTAGTTTTCCTTATTCCGACCGTGGACGACGAGACGAGCGGAGTTAATTATCATCTCAAGAAATGACCAAATTAATAGATGATCTGTTGCTTGGGTTACAACAAATGGACCACAAAAAAAAAAAAGTTAGGAAATGTACCATTGATGATGGGCCTGAAATTTTGAAGAAACTACTGATGCGAATTGATAGTGACTGACTGACTGTGGGATTGTCAAAATTTTCAGGCAGAAGAGTACATTTCATTAATTTCTCCGAAAAGCATGCAGCTGGGAAGCTGAGAGTTTGGCATGTTTGCGGACTGCGGTGCCAAGAAGCAAGGAAGAGTCCTTGTATAGAAACTAGAAAGGCATTATTTTCCCCTTTTACTACGTTTTTCTCGAACACGAACGAATGCACAGTTTTTCTCGTACATGGAACCGATGCCTACGAGACAAGTGATTCTGATTCCATCTAGAAGCCATGCATCGATGTATATATATGTCAAACGTTTTCTTCAAAAGTGGGTTTCTTTCTCCAAATTTCATAAAATGATTTTTTGCCTTCAAATAATGTTTTTTTTAATGTAATTTGTCTTTTTTGCCGGGGTGTTTTCGATCTTCAAATCTACGTACGTTTTCTGTCCATTACCACTTACCAGTAGGATGGCAATGGGTCGGGCAGGGGACGGATAGTGCATATCCGTTACCCAACCTAAAATAGTTTGGGGTTTACCCATATCCATACCCACATATGAAACGGGTAGAAAATTAAAAACATACCCATACCCGTTCGGGTTTCGGGTATCCACGGTTATCCATGGGTAATGATTTCTCTTCATAACTCCAACTAATATGTTAACATTCACACGTATTCTCACATTACGCAAGAGAAAAAGTATGACAATAATTCACTAGAATGAAGAAAATTAATTAAAACAACACAATTTCATGAAAATATTATATTTCTATGCCAAATATAAAATATGTTAGGGAAAAATAATGACTATTTCTAGACAAAATACATATGTATGTGTATAATCGGGCGGGTTCGGGTTGGATACTGAGAAACCCATGCACCCCATTACCCGCAACATTCGGGTTCGGGTTTTACCCGTACCCACCAAATGTCCTTCGAGTTCGAGTTTTACCCTACCCGATTAGGTACGGATATCCACAATTACGGATATTTTTGCCATCCCTACTTTCCAGAATCCAAGGAGTTTTCTTTTTGTTTTGTTTTTTTTTTTTCTTCCATAAGAGTTAAACGGACATGCATGTTCATCATTAAATTACACCCCTTGGATCTAGCTAAGCGGAAATTTCCATTTTTAAAAGAAGAAAAAAAGTAAATCAAATTAAGATTTTGCGTTGATTTCTCATTTTGTATGGGCCTTCGTTGCAGCCCACACCAACACCTCTTTCGTTCGGCCTTCCCGCTCCATTATTTCTGGCTGGCCTGCACTACTTCTCATCGTAATAACGGCCCAAATTATCATAATTTCCCAGCCCAGATATGGGATTCCAATTAGTTGGGCTGGGTTTCAGAAACAGTCCAGCCTACCTAGTGCAATTAGACATTCTCCTCTGTTTTGAAGTTGTAACAGGGGAAGCAGAGTAGTTGAGAAAGGAAAGCTTTCTGCTTGAATTGGTGGAAAACAAACACATACAGTCCATTGAAAATGGCTTAGACAAGCTACCCAGCTATGGAGTCACGCGCTCTATGAGGAGGCTAACTCCATGCGCAGGTTGCACGACCAACGCAAACCCTGGAGAGTGGACATACGACGGCGAAATCGCGAAGCTGAAATTCAGCAGAAGAAGCGACAGAATGACCTTCAGCTCCATCATTGCAAAGTGCTGGCCGACGCAGACACGCGAACCAACTCCAAATGGAATGTACGCCGCCTGGCCGCCGCCGCCGGCTGTAGTGTTAGTAGCCCCAAGTACACCACCAGCAAATCTTTCAGGGTTGAACAGGTGCGCATCCGGTCCCCATAGCTCAGGATCCTGCTGCACAATCGATATCGGAACCTGAACATTCATTCCTTTGGGAATCGTTATGTGCTTGAACTTGATGTCCTCCAGAGCTTCCCTGGTCACATACACACCCGGCGGGTAGAGTCGCAGTGTCTCCTGGATCACCATCGTTATCTGCCACAACGACGAATCGACAGAGATGTTTTTCAACATCAATCAGTTCGTCAGCACCGAATTAAAGTTGTGGGAGGAAGGGAGGAGGAAAAGAAGGCATGCACATTTTTCTACTTACTACTTTCATGTTCTGGAGAGCACGAACATCCGGGACCTTGTCTCGAGTACAAAGCTGCATTGCCTCGTCGCGAGCTCTGGACTGCCACTCCGGATGAGCTGCCAGCAACATCAGGGCCCAGGACGCGCTAATGGCGGTGGTGTCCTGGCCAGCAAAGTAGATGGCCTTGCAGTTATCCACAATGAACTTGTCCAGAGATGTAACAACATTTGCACTAGTACTGTTGTTGCTAGCATCTTTAGCACCTTCGAGTATCATTTGGAGAAGGTCTTTCTCCGAATCAGGAGAAGAATCCGCCGCCCTTTGCTTCACCACATCCAAAATCATGGTGTTGATTTCTTTCTCCAACTTCCATACTTCTCTGTTCTTGCTGGTTGGGAGGTGTCTGCAACATTTTCACTCCCTGGATCAAACATTGCAAAGAAAAGAACCACTCTGCAGATTCACACTGTCGATATTATGTACACTGATCTTATACCTTAAGATGGGGATTCCAGCGTGGCCTCTGGCCAGGACGATCTGAAGCTCTCTGACTTTCGAGAAGATATGTTCACCTTCCTTGTAATTGCTCCCGAAGCAGGCTCTTGAGATTGCATCCGCTGACAAGCTCCTCATGTCCTTGTCCGTATTGACATCTGCAACCCCTCCGTCGCAGCGATCAATTGCAGCTCCCCAAGATGCTATCAAGGAATTGGTAGACTCCACCATGAGGGTTACCATGCTCTGCGCGCGCGCGGTGACAGAGTAATGTATGAATTCGTGAACTCAAGCCATCCCTAAATTTCATTCTGGTTTTATTTTATGTATACCTTAACCTTGTCTGCGTAGAATTGGGGGGCGATGATCTTGCGCTGATGCGCCCAAATGGCGCCGCTGGAGGCGATGATGCCTTGGCCGAACAGAGGACCGAAGTCTCTGGAGAGGTAAGTAGGCCTCCCCAAGCTCAAAGACTTGAAATGGCTGATTTCTTTCACCATCTCCGTGTCAGTGGTGCAGAGGAAATGTATCGTCCCCGTGGAGTAGACGAAGGTGGACCCTGCATATCGAATCGCGATTTTGACGGCATTGTGGTCAATCAGGAAACACAAAAAGGTGGAAACTTTAGGGGAAAATACAAGCAAGCAAGCTGATTACCGTATTCTTTCAGCCATTGCCGGATGTGGGGGAGGACGAAGGACGGCCAATCGTGATCGATGTCCGGTCGGCCGCCGGCGGTGGCTCCGTGATTGTGGAGAGAAAATTTCGGTTTGGAATTCGCTTTGTGGAGACGAATCCGGTTGATTTCGGGGATGTTGCCGAGCAGGGGATTGGTAGAAGGCAAAGGGCCCTTCACTCCTTGAAGCTCCATTTTCCGTCTCAGCTGTCGCGGCTTCCGAAAGTAGAAGCTGTAAACGTATGCTAAAACCCCCAAAATGCCCGCCAAAACTGTTCCGGCCACCGTCTTCATCATCGAGACAGAAGTGAAAACAACAGAGTGGCCAGAGAGCAGGGGAAGCTTAATGGCCTGGAAAGTCAACCCTCGAAAAAGTTCAATACTTTTTCTGTTCCTGGGTCCGCGTCGGAGAACCTTAAATTATAACCCTGGTAGTAGGAGAAGGGAAAGAGACAGGCTAACGAGGAATCAGACGAATGCTGCTCTGTTTATTCGTCCATCAATGGCGCCTAAGATAATGAATAAAAACCATGCTGCCAACTTGGTATGCTATGTATATTGTATACTACTGTGAGTCTGTGACGACGAGCCACCCGACCCGAATTCGGCTAACCTAACCCGCTCGCGCCCGACCCGTAATTGGTCGGTCCGTCCGTCAATTGTTTCCTTTGTTGTTATTGATCTGCAACTGCAATGCAATTCGTTTGTCGTTTTGCTGCAGGCCATTTCCATTTGGAATATCCTTCGCCGGCTGCCTGTGTCTGCAACTCTGCATAAACTAGGCGAAAAAGTATTTTTCCGGTGTTTTAGATCTTCAAATCTACTTCTGGTAGTACGATTTTTGTCCATGATCAGACTCCAAAGAGTATTTTTGTCCTTCTTCAGTAAATTATATTCTTTAGTGTACAATCATCAGATTCATTAGGGCCACACGAATAGTGCCTCTCAATTATTGGAGGGCGAGTGAAATTATCACTTATCAGTTTCAGAAGAAAAAATTAAGGCCAAATATATTTGTGTAATAATATTTTTGGGGAAATATCAATAATAGCTAGAATTTTGAAAGTTTAATGACAAATATACTCATTTCCGTTACATAATTTAACGGCGTCAGTGACACCGTTAGTCAATTTAACCAAAATCTTACCTGGCTGCCAACTCATCGGACACATCATCGACAGCTCACCAACACTTGCCACATGGATACCATGTCATGTTTTAATTTAAAAATAAATGAAAATAAAAAATGAAAATTCATAAAGATACAATAATCAACCTTTGTCCTTGTATTCTTCCCTTCATCTCCATCTCCTCGTCCACATAACTGCTCGCCATCTTCAACCTTTTTGCCCCCGTATTCCAATCAACATAGATTCACCAATTTTTCGATCAGAAAGCTTCGGATTTACCCCTAAATGGAGATAGATGGGGAATAACAAATTTGGAAGCCAAATGATTCCCATTTTTCACAGCGATGCCGCAGAGTGACGAACTCGACGGCGGTGGCGAAATTGCCCAGAACCCGCCATTGTGCATCTCTCTCCCTTGCCATTTTTTGGACCCCAGGAGAAGCGATGTAGCCCATCCGGTCGACTGGATCGGAGACCAGAGTAGCAGAGGAGGAACATGAGCTTCGCCGTCTGTTTCGTGCTGGAGGAGACGAAAAACAGAGCATCTTCATTGACGAGCACCAGATCGAGAACCGAGAGTGGAGGGAGGAAATAAAAAATATTTAATTATTTTTTGTTTTTATTTTTAGTTAATTCCACCTCGTATGTTTATTGACTAAAAGATTGACATGACAGTTTTTCCATTGGTCCAGTCAGCACGTTAACTAACACCGTAAATCAATTGGACGGAAGTGGCTATTTTTGGTATTTCACCAAAAGTGGCTATATTTGGCAAAACCGTCAAAGTTTTGGCTACACAAGTGTATTTGGCCAAAAATTAAAAGTAAAGTAGATTTTGTGTTAATTTCGCATTTTGTCTGGGCCTTCATTGCAGCCCAGACCTCGCTCCATTGCTTCTGGCCCGAACTCCATCTCATCATAACGATGGCCCAAATGATAATGCGCTTCCCAGCCCAGGTGGCTATGTTATGAGATTCCAGTTGTTGGGCTGGGTTTCAAAAACAGTCCAGCCCAGTTCAATTGGGCTTTCTCCTAACTACTTATTTGCCACTCCTACTAAAATTTAAGGTCTTTCCTTAACCAAAGGTTAGATAATTAATTTACAACTCTAAAATTTAAGGTTAGAGAATAGTGGGGAATATTATGCTAAGCTTAGATGAAATGGTAGAATTTTAAGTACAGTTGACGTTAGTGTTATTGATAATATGTAATAACGAAACCTCGTCATTAATTCATAAGCTCAAATTCATTCGAGAGTTTTTATAAACAAACGCCATACTACAGATTATAAGATATTGTAAAAAGGTTATGGAAACAATATTTCATAAAGATTTCTATAATACTTGCGTTAAAAACCAGTTGGTCATAATAATTCAAATTGTTGTGAAAGGTTCAATAATAGATTTTATGTCACATATTAACACACCTCTCAGACGAATGTTATTCATATGGATTTGAAGTTTGTACATGCATCATATACCATGTGCATACCAACGAGGGTCACCGGAATTTGACATAAAATTTCTCAATCACACAGAAGGTTTTGATACCATGTTAAGAACCAGTTGATCCTAATAATTCGAGTTTTTCAAAATATTCAATAATAAATCTTATATAGCAAATATCATCCACCTAATTACTAGCTTTTCCATATAAATGCAACTGATGATTGTACACCAAAGAACCAGTTCAAGCAAACACATAAACACTCATATCGTCATATTCTTCATCACCACCAAATTCCATAACACAGCTTGGCAAGAACTAGTACCACCAAATTAAGTCATGGGATTTGCTAGCTAGACGTGACCAATTGACATCCACTTTATCCAGTACTGTGCGGATTTCTGAAGTGGCAAAAGTGATGCTCAGCCAGAGAGAGAGAGAGAGAGCTTTGCTCTGTTTTGGGTGGGAAACAGGGGAAGCAGAGTAGTTGAGGAAATGAAAGAAAGAATATTTTAGCCACATCGACTGGAACACCTTTAATCATAATAAACAATGGTGCGTAGTTAGTTAGGGTTTTTGCACGACATCTTAGCTCATGCAAAAATGCTCCCCTTGAGCTTCCATCATTTGCCGCAAAAGAATCCTCCGATCCCCATCTTTCCCCAAGATCCACGTAACTTCTTGTTATCAACACCATCATCATCATCATATACCATTGTTCTTTCCTTCAACCTTCTCGGTGTCGTTAAGATCTCGATTAACATTGCCAAGCTAAATGTGTCATGTTCGTCATCTAAGTTGGTCATTCGTATCATGTTTGTCGATAAATCTTTATGGACAACGAAAAAAGTTACACTGATTAAAACAATCTCTCGTGAAAAAGAAAGCACTTATTAGCCATGAAGAATGATGAGAGGTTATGGAATAGTTGTTTGTGCTCTTGCATATTCTTATGACATTCAGTTCAGCAGTCAGCTGACATTCTATATCCATGAAAATAGACCAGCTCCATTCCCATCAAGAGCAAAAGAAAACAGCTGTATGTTCAAGAATGAAGAACTGTGACAGATTTCTTGCTCATGCCATCCCAAAGTCCATCTTGATTTACTTTTTGTATGATGGGGAGTGTTTATTCATCAAGATGTCATTTTGAGTAACAAGAGAAATGATGCAATTAAGTGAAGATGTTTGCATGTGTTTAATATGTATGTTATATGTATGTATGTATATACATCTCTCTCATGCAAGCTCTGCAGTTCACCTACCAAGTTAACTGACAAACAAACCCCAAAACAAAAAGAGAAAAATTAAAATTAAAATTCCCTCCACATATAAAGTAAGCACTGCATCAACAAAGACTCTCAGTTCTGCAAATTTTCACTTGCAGCTTTGCCTTCTACAACAGTACTCAAAGAAAGACACAACAGAACATCTTTTGTTTAACCCTTTTCTTTTTTCTTGGCTTTCTTGGGGGAGGTTTGGTTGGCCTTTTCTTCTTCACTTTTGCTGAGGTGGGTTGTTTCATTTGGTGCAGTTAGCTATTGCTATCACCCTCTTGAGTTCATGTGGGATTGTTTGCTTTTGGCCCCCCCTTCTAGCTTATTCCCTTCCCACCATCATTCCAGTTTTGGGTCATTGGTCTTCAGTTTTGCTGAGTTGAATGAGGCAGAGTTTGTACTTTTTGTGATGTGAAATTTGTCCACTTTTGGCTTTATAACTACCCCAGGGATTCTGACTCAAAAACTAACTTGTAGACTGAATCCCTCATTTTGTTTGTTTGTTTGTGTGTGAAGGAGAGAGACAGACAGAGAAGAAGCAAAGCAAGCAAGAGGAATCATGAACATGGTCCAAAACCTTATGGACAGACTGAGACCCTTAGTGGGTTTTAAAGGCTGGGATTTCTGTGTTCTCTGGAAGTTGAGTGATGACCAAAGGTTGATGCTTTAATGTCTCTCTCACCCATCTGTCTCACTTCTTTTCTTCATTCTGATAAGAAAAAAAGAACTGAAATTTAATTCTCTTTTTGTGATTGTTAAGGTATCTAGAATGGATGGACTGCTGTTGTGGTGGGACTGATCAAAGTGGTGGGGAAGAGCTTCAATTCTCTGCTCTTTCTGCAACCCTTCCTTGTAGAGATGGCATCTTCCACCATCCAAGAACCAGTCCTTGTGAACTCCTTTCCCAGCTTCCTACTACATTGTCCCTCGACGAATCCGGGTACAATAACTTATCCATAAAAGATTCATTCAATCATCTTGACTAGGGCTGCTGCTGATAAAAGTTATCATGAATCAAAACAGGATTCATGCAGAGGCTTTGATCTCTAATATGGCAAGGTGGTTGAACTTCTCCAACTCTTCAGGGTCAACCCTTCTTGAGGTTAGCTTAATTTCTCTCTTCAGTTCCCCTTCTCCAGCTACATTTCCCCTGAGAGGATTACTTTCTGGTTCTAACTGTAACTTCTACAGAATTTGAATCAATATGCACAGGAAACTGTTGGAACTAGAGCTTTGATTCCTGTACCAGGTGCCCTCATAGAGCTATTTGTTGCGAAACAAGTTAGTAAAGATGCTTTATTTCTTTCTTTCTTCTGTAACATAATTTTAACCACTCCTTTTCACTAAGCAAACAGTTCATATAGCTCTTTCTTGGGTCTCAAGGAAAGGAAGTGAATAGTTTGATATTGCATTTCCAGGTTCCTGAAGACCAGGAGGTAATAGACATTGTAACCTCACAATACAGCATTCTGATGAGTCATCAGGAAGCAATGGAATCAGCAAATTTCATGATGAACACTGAAGAAAATCATGAGCACCAGAAAGATCATGATCATCACCAAATCATCGATATGAACCAATTTCAGCCCCCACCAATCTCTCCAGCAACTGCATTGGAGACCTTAAACCTGTCATCAACCTACGACTTCTCAGCATCAGTCGATAGAATCGGTGGCCTATGTAGTAGTAGCTCTCCCATGAACTTGTTGCAGCATTTCAGCTACACCAATGACGATGAGAACAGAACAGCCAAGAGCAATGGTGGGATGTTCTTTGAAGGTGAAGATCAGAATGGTGGTGGCATTAACCCCAAGGACAACAACAACACTACCGTCCATCACAATCATCAGGAAGAAGGCGAGTTTGGAGATTCATTACTAGCAGGAAAGGAGCAACAAGGGAACAACAACAACAATGACAACGACTCAATCAAGCAAGAGATGAATGGGAGATCTGATTCGGTCTCGGATTGCAGTGATCAGAATGGTGAAGATGACCAGCAGCAGCAGTTTGGTGGGAGCAAGTTCAGGAGGAAGAATGGGAAGCCTGAAGCCAAGAACCTTCAAGCTGAGAGAAGGAGAAGGAAGAGGCTTAATGGCAGGCTCTATGATCTTAGAGCCTTGGTTCCAATGATCTCCGACGTACATTAACACTTCATTCTTCCATAAGTTTCTAAATCCTCTGCCCTCAATCAAAGTGTTTAATTTACCCACTTAATGTGGTTGTCCACAATGCAGCTGAAGAAGGCATCTATAATTGGAGACGCGATCGAGTTTGTGAAGGAGCTGAAGAGGCAAGCCAAGGAGCTTGAAGAAGAGCTTGAAGCTAACTCAGATGACGAAGAGCTGTCAAGAAGAAACAGCAGCTGCCACAACAACGTTAACAACAACAACATCAACAACAACAACAACATCGGCAGCAGTTTTGGAGCTCAAGTTGTATTGAACGAGACCGGAGATGGTGTTATTCCAAGCTCGGTGAAAGTAGTAGGGAATCAGGATTGGGAAACAAGCAACTGCAATGAGAAAGGACAGCAGCAGCAGCAGCAACAAATGGAAGTGCAAGTGGAAGTTGCACAAATAGATGGGAATGGTTTCTTTGTGAAAGTGTTCTGTGAGCACAGGCCAGGTGGGTTTGTGAGGTTGCTAGAGGCATTGGACTCTCTTGGGCTAGAAGTCACCAATGCCAATGTGACCAGCTGCAAATCCCTTGTCTCCAATGTCTTCAGGGTTCAGGTAAAAACTGCAATAAGCTGCTGCATAAACATACATAAACTCTTCACATAACAATGCAAAATGAAGAACAAAGCTCAAGTCTTTTTGATTTGTTGTGTGTGGACAGAAGAAGGACAGTGAGATGGTTCAAGCAGACTACGTGAGGGATTCTTTGCTGGAGCTCACAAGGGATCCACCACAAAGAACATGGAGTGAAGTTCATCATCACCAGGTCAAAGCTGGGGATTCTTCTGAGAATGGCAATGGGATGATGATGATGATGATGGACCATGATCACCTTATTCATGACCACCATCACAACCAAGGACTGGTACTGCAGAATGGCGGCGGTCATCTGATGAACTCCAACCAGCATTACCTCCACCAGCTCCACGGTTGAGTAGAGATGACTTTGATCAAGGGTTTGCTGGTTTTAGTTAGTTAAACAGATGATTGGTGACCAAAATCCTAGTGTAATGGATAGTTCATAGATAGACTGGAATGTGGCTAGTACTCGTGACTTTGTTGAGTTTTGGAACTAACTACTTTAGGGTTTAGGTTTACCCCTTTTTTTTTCTTCATGGAGTAATTAATTGCTTCTAGACAATGTTGTACCCTGCTTATTTGGCGCAATCAGCCATTGATATAAGGATTAATATTTAAGCCGTGGAAGATTGGATCAATGCATACCAGAACTATGGGTGGTTAGAGGATTGATCATGCGTTTTGGGTTTCCCTATTATTTCTGGTTGTTAACGGGGCGGTATGGACTCCTAACTACCAATAGATTACATGACTCATAAGGAACCATCTAATTTTCATTATAAAAAAAATTTCACTCACAAAGACGAGTTTTGGGGTGAAATTGAGAAATTATGTTAAAGAACTCTGAAATTAAACTTATTTGGTTTGAAGCACTGCAAAGATGAGTGATGTTTCGAGAAACCAAAACGGACAATATCTTGATTATCAATCAGATTATAATACAATAGGTACAATCTTTTGACGAATTCGTGGTAAAGATAACGGTATGATCTAATAATACTAATAACATTAATAAATAGTATCCAATAAAAAAATCTGAATAGTTAGAAATATTAAAAACCCATTGCAGAAAATTAACCTCTCTTTCCCACAGTCAAAACATTGTCAACAACATAAACAAATCCAGAGTAAATGATCATCATTTCCAAATGCAAGCAGAAACAAGAACCAAGTACACAAACAAGCTACAACATCTTCCAAATGCATAGCTACGATTGCTCCAGCCACAGGAACTATCACCACTGTTTCCTCCGCCGCCGCCTGATACAGGCACTGGCTCACCGGCGCCGCCGCCGCTACTGCCGGTGCCGGCAGCTGTCGGTTGTCGCTCTGCCACATCAACCGCCAATCTCATCCCACCAAGGCAATGCCCATCAATTTCGCAGATAAACCAGTGCTTCTTCGCCTCCTTGAGCTCAATTTGATCGTTCCCCGTCTGGTACTTGGCCAGCACGCCGCCGCTGCTCGCGTTGCACGATTGGTACACTTCCTTCGTCACCTCGTACACATTGTGCTCTGTTCTTGTGTACTTGAACTCTGCCATCATAACAAACAATTCGTGGGTACCAATTGCAATTCGATGACTTGGGTTACAATTAATGATCGACAAAACATAAAAGAACAAGGTGATGATGATCATGGGTTGTAATTGAATTAAGGTACCGAGAATGTCGCCGACGGTGAAGTTGTGCTTGTCGGTCCAGGCGCCGTAGTTGACCTGCATCGTCCATCCATTCTCATCTCCGACGGTGAAGATCTCAGCAGCTGTTGTGACGATGAAAGCATTGAGGAGGAAGAAGAAGAAGGAAAGGGCGAGCAAGAGGCAGCTCGGGAATTCGATCAACGCCGGCATGTTCGCCGGCCGGAGATTGACAGCAGGAAAACGAAGAAGACGGAGGAGGAGGATAAATTAATTCACTAATGAGATTGATTGTGCGTGTTGGCTAGAAATATATACACGCAACAAGATTAAGAGCCGGAATTGGTCACTAAATGGACGATAGCTAGATGGATTAAAGGAAAGATGACGAATTGACGATGAACAGAAGGACGACGAGGCGGAGAGGACCGAGTCAGTCCTTCCATGGACAGCGGAAGGCTGGGGACGGCTTTTTTGAGTTCAAATTGTATTTGTTAGTTGTTACCAATGTCGATGCCCCCAAAGAAAATATATACCTTTTGTTACATCCAAAATATTTTGCACGAGGCTATATAATGTAGGTATTAAGATGTTAAGAAAAAAAAACTCACAAGTGGAGGATGAGATATGTAACGTCTCGAAGGCGATGCAGCGCAGTGGTAATCCGTCAGTACAACTTTGTTGTGGTGGAGGATGTTATTGGCCTCCTTTGAGAATGTCGTCTTATTCTCGAGTCTATCTCTTTCTCGTTGTATAGATGTTAGGGCGGTTCTGTAGACTGTCTATTGGACTGCTCATACAGTGACACGTAAATTCCTGTAGATGTTTCGGTTATAGTTAGTTTTTTTTCTTTTTTTGAGTCTCTTTCTAATTATTGTCTTGGCAATTGAAAGTTAGAAGTTTTATTACATAATACCATATAAGATTGGCAATTGGCATTTTTCGTCCATATATTTCAAGTTTGTTTGGGCCATTAGAATCAACTTATTGATGAAAAAAAATCATTAAAAGCAATTTAGGCGCAGTTGTAAAGACCAAAGGGAGAAGGCTATAATCATTTAGGTTGAGGCGTTAAGCAAAAGTTCATCTATAGTACTATGGAGACTCTACCAAAAAGAAAGTCTATACTTAATTAGTACTTTTTTGTGTTTAATTTTGTATTTGAAAATTTTGGAGATAATGGAAGGACCTCTTGGCTTAAATGCCCAATTGGTCACCAAAATTTTAGCCATTTTCTTGTATGGTCCCAACACCACTTCTCATTGGGCCCGCTGGGTGTTGTTTCTTGTAACGGTCGGCTGCAGATCTAGGCTTCGTACAAATGGGCCGGCGTTTCATGGATTTGGACTATTACAGAGGCCCTAAAGCCTTGTTTGGCTTGTTTGAGCACTCACTCACATAAAAACAACAACATAGCATAATATAGCTCCCATAATTTCAATGCAATAACAATACAAATAGTAGCTCAACTTCACAATGGTACTTACTACATAGTCGTCCAGCTATTTCTCCACTATTCCTCTAACCCAATGAAGAAAATCCAGAAGGGAAATACAAATAATCTCGTATTGAATTACGTAGTAATACATATATATCGATATCAAGACGATTCGAGTTCACTTGCAAGGAGACATCCTGCAGGCAGCTCCACCGGCTCCAGAGTTGGCCCTAATGAACCTCAGCGCCGTGAGCAGCACGGCCCTCTCCGAGCCCATCAGCGCGAAGTTCGTCCGAGTCACGACATTCACGGCGTCGTATCGGAACTGGAGGCTGTTGTACGAGTTGAGCAGCGACGTCGTGGCTTCCCGCAGCAGCGTCCTGTATGGATCGCCTCTCCCAAGCAGGGCCTGGCCCAGCGTCAAGTCGTTCCCGTACTTCTGGGCCGCCAGAAGCCCAAAGGCCACGGCCACTTTTGTGTCTGGGCTCACTATTCTCCAGTAGCACTTGTACTCCGGCGCCATCCATGTCCTGCGAAAACCCCAGTCGGCGAAAAGGGGAAACACCAATTCAGATTGAAGAAAGTCGCAGTCGCACACTTGAATTTGCGCTGGTTTTGACTTACTGGTGAGAACAAGCTGAAGCTTCGACGAACGGCATCGGTGGCAGAGGAGGCACTGGGGGAAGCCTTAAAGCAGGAGGCGGCGAAGATGGCACCGGCGGCGACGGCGGTGGTCTGGCAGGTTGTGCAGGAGTGGCTGAAGGAGGGGAATTGGGGCAGAACGACATGGGCTGAGCAGGCTGAGAGAGCAACGAATCGACATTGTACATCTCCATCCCGAACATGCTGAACATCAGCCGGAGTTTCTTCGGCGGCCCAGCTGCCGCTACGCAAGTTGAATTTGTACCGCCGCCGCCGCCTTCGAGCAATTGGGCATAGCAGTTGCTGAAATCCGGGGTTCCGTCGAATCTCATGGTGTAACCTCCGAAGTAGTTCGTAGTCTCTTCCCTCGACGTCGCCGTTTCTCCGTTCCCGTCCGCGCACGCCATTCTGACCTTCACGCCTGGAAAAACGCCACAGGCCAAGAAAGCAAAGAGAGGGTTTTGTTGACCAGTGATGAAAGGGATACATTTGCTTTAGTAGCCCTACAAGCTTAATTAGAAGGGCATCAATCGTGGGTTTATTAATATGTGGTAATGTCCCCAAAAGCAGAGCATTACCCTATTGAGGGAAAATTCATGAAACTAGTTAAGTAAAAGAACAAAATGATGACAAGAATCTGGTTACATTACCGCTCATGGGGTAGTCGAATAAAGAGATTTGACCATCTTTGCATTGGTCGCAGAAGACGGTGCCCATGACTGTTGCATCTGCTCCAGCTCCATCAATGGCTGCTGAAATCAGGAAGAGAAGGAGAGCAACTGAAAAACCCAGCTGCTTGTTGTGCGGCCAATCCATAGTTAGTATGTGTGAGTTCTGAGATGAGGGCAGAATACAAAGCAGCTGGAAGAGTAGAAATAGTAATGGTAAGAAGAAAGATTGATGGGTTGGCTTCTTCTCTGTCTCTGCTCTGTTTTCCGTCTTTTTAACCCCCAACTGCCCTGTATTTATGAGGAGTTTGAAAAAAAATGCCTGTGAGATGCAAAAGCCAAATTAAATGAAACAGGAAGTTGGTGATGAGACGGTACGGAGAATTAATTGAGTGGTAGAAGTGGGAGGGAAGAGGAGCAAGCATGGCTTCTTGTACTGGTACTGACAGGGTTGTTGTTCCTTTCTGAAACTGAGAACAGAGTTTCTCCCCCACCTTCATTTAATTGCCCTGAACCCGAACGTTACGTTAACTGCCGGCCATCATAATTCCATCGAAGACCTTCGTTTGGGAACTCTAACCATCCCTGAAGATTCGGTGTTAACATCCAAATTTCAGAATGGGAAACAGGGGAATTTGGCAATTGGCGGTGGGTTAATGGCTGCAAGCGCCGCTAAGTTAGATGGGGAAGAGAAGGAATGGGACGAGAGGAGCAAAGCATTGATTGATGAACGAAGAAGAGAATGAAATCGACAAATGTCAATCGCCATCTCCCCCATCCATTCATGTGCCTTGCCAATTGCCATTGCTAAAAGCAAATTCAAAAGGGGAACGGATTACAGGTAGCTGCAGCTTGTGTGTGCGTGACCTCGGACCTCGCCATGGCTGTAGCTTGCATGCTTTGTTTGTTCACGTTCATCACAGGCCTCCCGTGCCACTGCCATCTGGTACAAACATGTCTCATTCTCCCCTGTATTAGCTGTGTGCCAGTTATTCTGATCTGTAAGAAATCTTTTTTAGTGTTTGACAAAGAACTTCTGATTATCAAGTTAGGTGTAAGAGTTCTGAAGATCAAGTTCGATGTAAAAGTTGTAGAAGGTAAAATGAAGGTGATGAACACAGTCACCATCCTGGCCAATCAATCAATTCAGGCATAAAAACTGTGGAGTTACATAATAAGGATTAAGGAGAGCTGCAAACATTCATAACAACCAACCCACCAAACACAGAAGAATCAGTGACAGTGTTCAGTGTAAGTATCAAAACAAAACAAACGCAGAGGTCTCTCTATGACAGAGTACCAGGACAAAAAGTAGACTATAACAAAACTTAATACAATAAAATTATCAAACAAAACACAGGGTCTGCTAATAAATAATAAGTGTTCTCTCTCTCTACTTCTCTCTTTCTTCTCCCAAAAATCATATCAATCCATCGGCAAAACTTCACTGGTCTCTCTTCAGTTCTCCTCGGCAGTGCCATTCTCATCCTGCTTACCATTCTCGTGCTCGATAGCATCTGAATGTCCATTCTCAACTCCATTCTCGACTGTCTCGGCACTGCAGACCACAAGTACAGAAGCACAAGTCAGAATGATGAAGTACAGCCGCAAAGGAATAGTGTCATAGGGTAAGCCAATGTTATCTGAAATTTGGTGAGAATCTATGATTCTTTTAAGTTGAGGATGTCCTAGTGGATAAGACTTGAGAGAAGATTATCCAAAACCCTCAGAAGAGACCAATACAAGCTCATTGAGCAATGGAGAAAATAGCTTCAAGCAATGGCGAGGGTACTTTGACTGGACAAACAGATCAATAATATTTAGATTATCCTAGATATAGAAAAACTGCAGAGCACTTGACAAACCAAACTCGTACAATGCAATGCCTTGGATTGGACATGTAATAAAATATAACTAGTTGGCCACCTAAACCCAACAACATTTCACTAGAGTGTACACCACCAACTTCAACAACAAATGCAATGAGCAGTCTTAGCTTGCCAAGCCACAGTCAGTTACCCAAGTTAGCTTTCATATGCGAGCCTATCAAGACAAGACTAAGAAACCAGTTACAAGAAAATTTCATGATTGAAACAGGAAGAACAGCCAATATGGCAACCACAACTGAAAAAATATCAATGAATGTCGAGAAAGGACATGTTTAAGAGCAAGGTATGAACTCCTGAAGTGCCCAACCCAAAAATCAAGCCATTCTCTTTGACAGACTAAAAAATTCATCAGGCTACAAGAGATTAAGACAAGTTTCACAAGCATATATAGCACATATGTATTAGATCAGTCCACAAAAAATTCAGGTGCAAACAAATATACACAGTCCATCTCATGAAATGCACATGAAACCATAAAGAATCAAACTTTGATGCAAACCATAACCATGAAAGAATTCTCAAGAAGCAAACCTTTGAGGCCGAGAACTGGAATCAACTGAATCGGGCTTCCTCCAGCTCCTCTCCACAGTTTCACCAGAGCCTACACGACCAAAGCTCCACCTTGAAGTCTTGTCCCCTCTTTCCACCTTATCCTCTTCATTCTTACTGTTGAGCTTCATGCTCTCCAACTTATCATCAATCTCCTTCCAATCCTTCCCCTTCTCTGCCAAAACCTCCTCTCTCGGCCTAGCACTCCCAAACGGATTCGAACTCCTTGGCTTCACCACCACCAATTCATTCTCATCACTCACAGCCACAGCCCGTGGCTGCTGCAAAACCTCATCTCTCGGCTTAGCATCCCCAAATGGACTCGACCCCTTGGGCTTGGCTAAAGATTCATCACCATTACTCACAGGCACAGTCCTCGGCTGCAACACCAGCTTCGGCCGAGCAGCCACGGCCCCGATTCCATCCCCTTCCTCCCTCTTCCTCCCCCATGTCTCCGAATCCGCAGACCCACCACCGTTAATGGAACCTTGTCTGTCGCGCGACAGAGAATCGAAACTACCTCTCCGCTCAACAAATCCGCCGCCAAATTTCCTCGGCTCAACCGCGGGCTTATTGGACACCCAGCTACTAGCCTCGTCGGCTTTCGATTGAGAGTCGAAGAACGACGAGCCCCTATCCCTATCCCTCCTATCGAACCCATTTCCGTTCATCGCCGCAGGCGATTTCTTCGCCTTCGACCAGTCATCGTCCTCATCGGCTCGGGACGGACCTAGGGGTTCCCTTTCCCTACTCGAATCCCTATCCCTAGGGCCAGAAGAATTACTATCCCTACCCCAGCGCGAATTAGAGGAATCGTCGCCGTTCCTGTAACTGTTCATACCGTAGGATCTGAAGCCGCCGCCACGAATCTGGTCGAGCTCCTCCGCCGAGCGCTCGCGGGGGCCCTTGGGGAGGGCCGCGGTGGTCAATTCGGGCTGGGTGTATTTAGCTGCTTGGTACATGGCCAGGGGAATGGCCGTCGCCTTCTTCTTCTTCTTCTTGGACTGCTTGAGATCGGCAGCGGCGGCGGCGAGGGATGGGAAATCGGCCGTGGGTTCTTTAACCGTCGCCTGTTGCTGTTGTTGCTCCTCCTGCTGCTCGAGCTCGGCCTCGTGTTCCTCGGCGTCCAGAGCCCACGCACCGGGCTTGGCCCAGGGAGATGAAACGGTCGCCGCCATGGTTGGTTGTGGAGCTGCCTCCTTTCTTCTTCTTCTTCTTCTTCGCTGTTTGGTTGCGTCTCTGTGCCTATTTCTCGCGTTTGCGTTACTTCTCAGCAGGGCGGAATGAAAGCGGGTGGGTTATATAAAACGGGTAGGGATGTTGATTCCATCCGACGGTGGAGAACGCGTTTCCGAGATTCTTTATGAAAGCGACGGTGTAGATCGCTCGGTAGAGTTTATTCTTTCCCCAACAGTGAATCAGTGATGGGAATACATTATACAACTGTAGCCAAATATTTATGTGATTATTGGCTAACCTAACAAGGAAAAGGTGGCAACTGTGATTGATTCCTTGCATATGAGTGAACACTTTCAACATCAAGTTGATTTGGTTTAAGGCCAGTAATTTATACAAAAAAAAAAAAAAATTATAAGAAAAATAAAAGGCATATTTTTACATGTATTCCTTTGTTAATAATCCGTTCTTAATTAAATGAGAAAAATGATGATAGCTAATTTTGAACGATGAAAAAGAAATGGTAGTGGTAAAATCAATTAAATTGAGTGCCTCCTTTCCATCCATCCCCTAAGTCCTTGGACGGTTTGTTTTATGTTTGTTTCTCTTGTTTCTTCGTTTAAATCTCAATCCTTTTTTTTTTGTTTGGTTGATGATTGTTGTCGATTATGGTGATGGCTTCGCTCTTCTTTATTCTTCTATGCTTCCATCCTTGAACAAATCTGACGAGTATATAATATACATCATATACTCCAACCTTGAACAAAATCCATTTCAAGTGTTGTGCGCTCGATTCCTTTATGAATGTCATTTTAAGTTATGATATGTACATACTTAAAACTTATCAGCATGGATTTCGCTTCTTCTTCACTTATAACATGATCGTCAATCTCTATGCATTTTGTTCTCTCATGAAAACTCAAAAATGTCTATCATTATAAATTGTAAATTTGTTGTCACAACACTCGACCTTCATATTTGACACTCAAACATGGAGAGCTCTTGATTTATATGTTAGGATCAGTGCAGCGATGACATGGTTGGCCGAGATATAGACGTGGAAGGTCGGTCGTTGACTATAAACAAGTAAGAAAAAGGAAAGCCAGGGGAATCCTACAAAATGCAAAACCAGGAAACAGTAAACACAATCAATCGAAACAAAGTGCGGAAAACAGAGGAACAGAGGATCCTTCCCTCCATCAATCGGCAACAATGGCGGGTCTGATGTACCAACTCTTATCCTCGTCGGCGCTCATCTCCCTGGGATTGTACCACCTCATCTCCTCCGCCCGCTCCTACCTGAAATCCCCACAGTCCTACACCGCCAAACCCTTCCACCCTCTCCCCGCCGCTTCCCGCCTCCGTCACCTCCAGCTCTACCTAATCATCACCTTCCTCCTCATCGCCTTCGCTCACCAAACCCTAATCTCCTCCGACGCCGACCCTTTACTCAAAGGCCGCACCCCGGTCCACCGATTCACCTCCCTCCAGTCCGCCGCCGTCGTCTTCCTCTTCCTCCTCCTCGCCCTCGCAATCCTCCTCGCCGACTCCACCTCCTGCCTCCCCTTCCCTCCCGACCTCTTCTTCGCCCTCGCATCGGCGATCTTCTTCCTCCACTACTCCGTCTCCTCCTCCGCGGCCTCGGTTCAGACCTCCGATCTCCAGGCAAGGTGCGACTCGGTCTCCGCGCAAATCTCCGCCCTCGCGGCACTCCTCTGCCTCGCCCTCGCCTGCCAGCCGCGGCTCTTCATCGCCGATTTGGGGCTCGGCGCCGCCGTGTGCCTCCAGGGGCTGTGGGCGCTGCAGACTGGGCTTTCTCTCTACGTGGAGGGGTTCATCCCCGAAGGATGTCACAGGCTGCTGGATGTGGTCAGCGGGGTGGAAGGGTCGACCAAGTGCGATCTTGAGGATTCGAAGTTGAGGGCGGTGGCGATTTTGGATCTGGCGTTGATTCTTCATGTCATGGTTGTTATGATCACTGTGCTTTTGGTGTACGCACTGGCCGCCAGGGGTTCTGGTGTTAGGAGATCTGGCGGATCGTACGAGGCCTTGCCCACTACTGCTGCGGCTGCTGCTGATGTTAACCATATTCAGATGAAGGCATTGATTGGCACCCAGGCTTGAAGCTCAACTCTGCTTTTCTTTCGTGATCTTAGATTGACTGCTTTCATTTTTGGCTGAGTTTTTTAGTGGCGATCATATGTGTCTGGTTGTTTACCTTACCACTGGAATCAAAAGCAAGTTAGGTTGTCAGAGTATGATCACATTCTGGGTTCATTTTTGGTATTGGATTCAGATGGATGTGATTGAAACGTCTGGTGATGCTGAACGAGCCTTAGACTCTGTAAACTTGGTCATGCCTGCAAGTAATCATCTTTGCCATCATCCTGGCGGTGCTTTTATTTATGTTGGTGCTTACCATTTTGTTGCAATCATATAAGTTTGGAGAAGCAGCTGTTGCTTGCGTGTCTGATTTCAGCTGTCAATTTCTATGCTTCTTACTCTATGCCTGGTCCAGTTTCTCTGGCGATTTACTGTCTGCACTTGTTAAGTGGAGGTTAAGTTTGCTTTTCCTTCTATTGTTATTGTATCGCTGGTGCATTACAGGCCAGTCTGTTGGTTCTGAATGCAGATAGAATGATGCAATTTCAACAACAGGGCTATTGATTTTGTATGTTTCGGTCAGTTTGTTTATTGACTCTGCTATGCACAATGACACGAATCTGTGGATCAGCCTGCACATATGAATTAATAATAGAGGTGTGTTAATTGTTTGTTTCGTATAATGGAAGAGAACTTGGTCTGGTTAGAACCGAGATAGAACATCACCCATATTCGTAACTTATTTTGTATTAAGCAGTAGGGTTTGCAGAAAGTTTATCTCCAAAAAGGGTGCGGTCGTTGTTCAGTTGACTGTGGAATTGGCTAAGTAGTGTCTACTTGTGGCATTCTGTAGCTTTGTTCTGTCCACTGCGAATGTGCAAATGAAAAGGAAATGTCTTTGGGGCTGAGATGTGGAACTCTCCTTCTGTAAGGTTGTTTCGTGATCAGTTAGGTGCGACTATGACGACTGCTTGAGGTTTAAAGAATAGGGTCTGTTCTACTGGTAGTCTGAGCAGAAGATAAGGGGAAAAGGTCACAATGTGCAGGGAATGGTGGCGAAGATAGTCGAGATAGTGTCCAAGACAAAGGTATCGTCTCTTACTTGGTCATTGTTGTTTGTGGTACTGAAATGCGAGTTGGGTCTTTACTTGCATACTAAGCAAAGAGGTGTAGGAGTGATGTGAGTAGTGATCGACGATGAATGAAGAGAGATTGATCAGGACCTTTTTTTCTCCGTTGTTTGTCTTTTACATAGATTTTCTTGATACTTCTCTTTGAACGACACGGATTTCCTACCGTAACATGGTCCTAGTGAAAGAATTTGTTGTTGGCATCAAGTGTGGATAAGCAAACAGTATCTGGTATGTTTGTTTTACAGCATCCTAGAAAGGTACGAGAATAAATGATGCAATTGGGGCATATATCATTTGACCTTTGCTTCCATCCCACGTATTTTGGTAATTGAAGGCTCATATCCACTGAATTTCACAGCAATCGTTCAAACTTGTATCACTGCTGTTCCTTTCAAATGTGCTTCAGAAAACATACAACTAAGACTATCTAAGCTCTACAACAAGTACAATCGGCTATGGCTTTCCCTGTTGTTGACAAAACAAATGATACACACACACACCCACAACAAACTAGACTGCGAATAAAAAAACGAATCGACGTATCTCTCAATGGGGAATAGAAGCCTGCCAATTGAGAACTACTGCACAAGCAGGATGAGACTGTACCTACGATATGGTCCGAGATGAGAAGTGCTGCACATCGACCTTTTGCTTCCTGGAAACCAACATGCCCTATTGCGCGAGCCAGGCTGTTCATTTCTGGTTGATCCAAGCCAGCTCCTCATCATCAGGGGATGAACCCATTATCCACAGCTTTGCAAATCTATGGTATTCACATGAGAAGAATCTTGTGACAGAAGAATGAAGATTTCATCTGGCATTAAATTATGGTTTGGATGTTGATCGTGCTTGCATCAGGGTTTGGAGGTTAGAAGTACTATTATCGTTCTTCAGATTCGTGAATGTGGAGTAAATGTTCCCCATTCAGGTTCTTGAAAGAATCCCCTCTAACATACCATGTTACAGTCCCTGCAATGACAAGGTGTAATTGCCAAATTAGGTAAAAGATAGCCTGAAAGACGATTAAAAATTACCGAATCAGTAACTGAAGAAGACATCTACCACTGGAAGGAGGAGGTTCTTGATCTCTTGTCGAGTGAAGTATAATAGTACCGGTTAGCACAGTGATAAACCCACATATCTCAGATGCTATGCTGCTGGCATCTTGACCTTCCCAATCCTGCTCAAATATATAAATGAATAGAAACATTAGTTGATTCCTGGTAGTATTAATGCAAATGATTTTAGCTGGAAAAAACAGCACCAGCAAAATGGCGGTGGAAAAGTTTACCTTGAACATTATAGCGCTAGCAACAATTGTCAGAGTTGTGAACATGACATAGTATACTGGAGAAACAACTGCTGCATTATACGTATCTAATGCCTGCAGCATTGACAAGATAATAAAAATCGCCAGTAATCAGACTTGCTCCATTCAGTTTAGAATAAGCTATAAATCAACTTTGCGAAGCACTGATTGTGCAACACCAAATGAGAAAAGAAAACTAAGAATGACACTTGCATGCATTTCAGTAAAAACTGGCATGACACCACCGGTATGACCGGTATGATCGACTTACACATTCTTAGCAAATTGACATCATTTTAATGAATTTAATCAATAAAAAAAATTGATTTATTATTCATTTTATGAATTTAATAGTTATAAGTTGATGATATTTGTAGGATTGTAACTAAATTGTCCACAAATATGTTTTATATATGATTAAATATATTGAATATTAATTGTTTTCACATTTTTTAAAACCGGCATGAACCGGCACAAACTGATGATACCACTGGTCGTACCATTCCACTTGCCAAACCCGCACAATGGTATAAACCGGTTTAACAACCTATTATTAGGCGAAAAAGAAAAACACAGTGAATAGAGCAACACTGCATTAGTAGGTTCCTCTGCAGCTGGAAACAAAAGCTACACACTGAATTTCTATATCGGAAACAGCAGATTTACTACTAAGATTGAAATATTCCAACATTCTTGATGATTGATACATGAGATTAGTCTGCCATAAATATTATTTACCTACCAGCATTCATCCAGAGCAAATATTACCCTAAAGGCCTAAACTGCCCTTAAGTTAACACAATACAGCACGGGGCTTCAGCTTCCCATGATTTTAAACTCACTATGTTATAGGTAGAACTGTAGAAGTAGGTGAGCGAAACCATCTATGACTTCATGAAAACAGAATACATTCTGCGTAAACAATAAAAGTACCCTCCTTAGAACTTGATCTCCTAAAATGGACATTTCTGTCCAAGCCAACTTTCATGAGTTACAGTGCCCATCTTAACCTAAATCCAATTTGTGACTCAGCATAAATCTGAAACTAATTGTCTGTAACTCTGTATCACATAATAGATACAGTCGATGCTGTAAAAGAGTCTGCACCACACTACTAGGGGCAGGTTCAGATCTTCTGGTGCAGGAATTAGATAATCTTGCAAATCCCCAGTTGGAAAGGCAAAATTATTCTTTAATTCTTGTTGCAAAAGAAAATGGCCCAAATCCCTTAGAGGATGACTATGGGACAGGAGACTGTTCCAACTGTGCCAAAAGCCAACCACTTTAGCAGTTGTTGATCACGCAGCTCAAACAGAGAGAACAAAGATCAAGTCGAAGGCCTTATGCAACAACAAATGGACAGGAATAGGACAAACGTCAACTCACCTTGTTCAAATAATTTAACTGTGTAATGACACATATTGCTGCTACTGTGATGAACAACCAAGTCTGAGGACAAGTAATCTGATTTATCCCATCTAGTGTAAGCTTTATAGCTATTCCAATTGCCTTGATGCTCACAACCTGGGAAAATATAAATAGAAAACAAGAAAGGTCAAGCTATGCAATAAATATACCGCCAAGATGCCACTGCATTTCAGGAATTTAACAAGAGAGCAAGTAATTACCGTGATTGAACCCATCAAGGAGCATATTCCTAAGTAGACCAACATGTTTGTTTGACCAAATCGTGGTTCGAAGTGTATAACCAAAGCTAACACTGTTGAGACCGTCGCGGCTATATATATCAGAAAAGCTGCAAAAAGAAGTCAAAAGCTTCAAGTAATGGATAATCGTGGAAAGCAAAATAAGAGAGTGAGAAGTGATTGAATGCCCACCTGGCTGAGTTGCCAAATTCCATACTTCTTCTACAGAGTTTAGAGGTTGCTCTTGAGGTGCGTGGAGAACAATAATTACTGATCCAACAATGCATGAAACGCAGCCAAGAACACCCATTCTTGGCAGTCTTTCATTCAGCATAAAATGTGCTAAAATTGCACTATTGAATTTAGAATAAGCCGGTCAGTAACAAGATAATGATTACAGCAATATTAGACACTAGCAAGAAAATTGAGAGATCTCATTCACCTGATAATTATACTTAGTGCCCCAAGGGGGGTCACTAGAACGGCAGGAGCATAAACATAAGCCACAAAATTTGCAACCTCGCCAAGAATCACTGTTTGCATGAAAGTTAAAACTAATCATCAATTATTCATTTCACGCCGAGTAAGTGACATGAGTATGAGATTGAGAGTGATTATGAGTAACTGAGTGTCTGAAAATATCTGAGTGAGACAGAGTAGCGAGTGAGAGATAGAACTATACTTACTGGTAACCATGCCAACCCACCATAGTGGCTCTAGTAAATAAGTATAACCTCCAACTCCTGCATTATTCAGGAGGAACAACCCATGAGAGATAATCTTCGAAACTCAATGATATTACCTTAAGCTGCAAAACTGCGACTTTCTAGCACTCAACGTCTAACTTTCAAGGCCAGCTAACAACTCCATAGATTTGGAATAACCCATTGAAGCAAATTAGGCAAGTGAAGAGATCCCACTGACTATATCCTAATAGTCTATCCTCAACTAGTTCTCATCACATCAACCATTCAAAACACACCTAAATTCAGAGGCAGCAGATATCAACCCAACACAAGCATTCGAAGCTTGTAGGACTTGGCATCCTGACAACCAATACATCTACTTTGGTATTTACCAGAAAGTTAGACGAAAGAAAAGAACAACAACACTTCAACCATATGAATTCCGCACTAGTTGCAAGCCAAAGTAGAATTGTTCTACTATATTAGAAAAAATGGGAACCGAGGGCATTGTTTACTCGTCGAGTTTTCCAGAAAGCGACTATGAGCAGATTAGAATCACAACTTGACAAGGTCTTGATCAAGCGAATATCAATCAAGCTAGTGTCTGAAGTTCTCCAATATCGAAGCGGAAATCAAGACGCGCTATCTAAACAACTAGTTCGAGAAACAAACAAGATCAGGGCGAGCTGAGACTCCAAAACCACGGCAGATTTAAATCAAATTGCCGAAGAGAAAGGTCCAAACCTGCACGGATGCCGGAAGCACCAGCTCGCTTGAGTCCTTTCTTTTTCAGGATGAAGCTCGAACCAATAAACGCGCTGGACGCCACTGCCAATATCAGCCCGGTTGTGTTCTCCGAGACTCCCATCTTTGATCTTCCTTCCTCCTCTCCTCTTACATAAACACACACAGCAACCGCAACAGGGAAGCGGAGAGCTGGCGGTGGCGGCGTCGGCGGACTAATCTAGCCCTAGAATTCAATTCGATCGCAGGAATTTTGACGGACTCCAGCCGCCGTGGAGATCGAAGAAAAATCAGAAAGAAGAAACTCCGCCAATTTCCCGCCAAAAGGAAAAACGAATAAACCGCAGAACCAGAAGCCAATCGGAACGACGCAGAAGCGCGCTCTCTGTCCGACGCGGCGGCGAGAGGCGGGGAGCTGGAGAGAGTTTGAGAAGTCAGCTGATTAGCGCTTCGGTCGTGGAGTCGTCGGGAATCTCCGGTATCCAGCGGGGAAGTGAACAAGAGGAGGATGGTGAGGTGTTCCAGTGTTTCGCGGGAAGGAGAAGAGAGTTCTGCACCCGGTGATCGCAGCCGCTTAAGGAGCTGACTTTGACTTGCTGATCCGCGCTTCAACTATTTATAATCGTCCGATTTTGGATCGGCAAAATTACAGAAATTCTTTAATATTGTGGGGATCCGTGTCTGATCTGGCCTTTCGGCCTATTGGCAATTGCAATTTGGCTTGCTGCAAAGCATATAATTTAATTTTTTTGTTATTATAATTTCGTGTCGGACGAAGGGTATGGAGACAGTTGGCAGCAGGTTTTTTGACCAATAGTACTAATCAAGTATAAGAATAAGAGGGAGGGGGTCGATGTTACGGTAATGCCCTTTACTCATCAAGTATTTTTTGAATGATGCCCTTCATTCATGATGAATATTCTCGTTTCCCCTCTTGGTATTAATAAATTCCAACACGTTTTTAGTTCTCTTTTGTTTTTTTACAATATATTCTAATAAAAGTTTTATAAAGATCAAGGATATCGATAAAAAAAAATCAAGGATATATAATCTAGATTTGTTAATGAATTCAAGCTTTATAAGATGCATTATCGAAATTTTTGTATCCGCAAGAGATTCATAATAGTCCTATTGTAGTCACTGTACTTATAATTGTGGACAAAGATGTTCTCACCCCAACTATAACTATCACATAACTTAAACAAACTATAAAAAAAACCATAGCATAATAGTATGAGTATCTACCACATATTATGCCTTTATTTCAATTAGAGGTGGAAGTTTGGTTTGCGGGTTGCGGGTAACCCGCAAACCGCCCACTTTGTTGATACTCATACATACCCATAAATTGTGGATAGTGGGTTGGGTGTGGGTAGCAAAATATTGATTTTTGTGGTTAGTGGTTAACTACTACCCACAGCGGTTTAACCACATTAATTATATTTATTTCTTCAAATACTTTGTAACCCACATTAGTTATGTTAGTTTGTGAAACTTGGAAGACTAAGAATTAAAGTAGTTACCAAAATCAAATGCGCACTTATTCTATTAAACAAAACCAAGTCAATGTGCAATGTTCATGTGAGATATTTTTATCAAATAAGCATTGTCTGTGTGGTATATGTTTATTGTATAACAAAACCAAGTCCATAGATATAGTCAGATAAATTTGTTAAAAGAGGGGAATAATCGATAAAGGTTAGTTTGATACCCAAAATAATCTCCATTTCTCCACGAATTCACGAACAACACAACATGCAACCAACTACCAACAATACAAGACTATAATCGAGAATGGAGAATAAGCAAATCATTAAAAGCAGGGGCCTCCACTTATCGAGCCACTTTTGTGTTTTGCTGTTATTGCCATCGGAGGAGCCGTGACATGCAATGCAACGATGTTTGTCTGGTAACATGTCACTCTACCTCTGCATTATCTTCAAATCTCTTTCCAAATCCATCTCTTCTTAATTTACACTAACAAACCTATTGTATTCGAGATTTATAATTTATTTAACACTTTATTAACTTTCTATTATGTATGTTTTTGTTTTTATGTGAGAAGAAACACAACATCACTATTTAGTTACCATATTATATTTAGGGCTAATACCACTAGAAATATCAACCTTTACCGAAAGTGCCATTTATATTATCAAACTTTCGATATGACAATTGTATACCAACCGTTAAGTTTTCCGTTAGGGGCTAATAGAAAAAATAGTCAGCAATTACATGGCAGCTGACGTGTAAAGTTTTCATAAAAATTAATGTAAATAATAAATTTAAAATATCATCGCCTTCCCCAATCCCTCACTCTCTTTCTCAAGACCGTCGACGTTTCAATCTCCAAATAATGACTCACTTGCCGGCCACCATCTTCATCAAACCCTCGCCGTCTCTTCACTAGGTAACAACTCTTCTCCCGACAATGACTATTTTGTAAGCTAAGATTCCTCTCCAACGAAGGCGGAGCCAAGCAGTGGCAATGGCAATGGCGCAGGATGAGAGGGAGGGATTTTTGTGGAAGAGTGGCGGTGACGATGCCGAGTGAGAAGTAGATCTGCCGATTAGATTTGCCCTTGCTACCGGTGATCCAGAACCCAATTGATTGCAGAATACACCAACCCTCTACTCATCAACGAGAACAAGTAGAAGTTCCCTATGAGTTCTATTCCTCTGCTCCAAGGACGAATCCGCCCTCCAATCGTCGAGTTCGAGTCAAACTACTGGAGCTCCTGAAGAAGGAGGATCGCCATCTCCCTCTCTCTTTCTTTCTGAGACGGAAGACGAAGAAGTTCCTATAGATATGGCATCAGTGAGCTAGAGAAGGAGAGGGTCAAGTTGAGGATTCCCTTTTGACTTCACAAAGTAGTAGAACGACTCTAATTACCAGCTGGAATCGAAGAAGAAGAAGACTCGGTGGCTGTGAGTAAAAAGTGAAGGCGGCAACAAAGGGCTTGCGGCGATGAGATGCGGTAAGGAACGCCAGTCTCAGTAGGGTATTACATCCCTGTTAGCGAAATCAATCCTCACAGCTCTCAAGTCGAAGATGGTGGTTTTGTTTTAATTGCCAAACTTTGCGACAACGCTTCTCTCTGCGGGTTGCGACGATTGGAATGGGTGGGTGGGGAAGATGATGGAAAACTAATAATATTAAAATTATTTATTTCTGAAAATTAAATTAATATTTTTAAAATATTAATTTCCTGCATGGCACATATGTGGACAATACCTAAGAGCCACATGAGCAATAGTCAAATATAAGTTGACCACCGTTAGGTCAACCGTCAATTCTAATGGTCAACAAAAATTTGCATAACACAAATGACGCAAACCCCTAATACGTTGGAATATTTTTGTGTTTATTGAAAGTACGTAATATAAATGACACCTTCGCTAAAGGATCGTATTTCTAGTGGCATTAGCCCTTATATTTAATGTGAAATTTTTGTGTCGTATCCACAACCAACTCGCAGCGGGTTGTGGTTAACCACTACCCGCTGTGGGGGCAGGTTGTGGATAGCATAATTCTACATTTGTGGGTGTGATTACCCCCAAAATGTGGGGCGGGTAACCACACCCACCCCAATTTCCACTCCTAATTTCAATCATATGCAATACATCTCTCTCAAAACGACCTTCGTAGCTGGTCACTGGTCTGTCTGATGCGTGTGGTGGACCGATCACATGTTTTCTTGCTCCGTCTCACGATTCTCTGTAAAAAAATATATCGATGTTTGAATGTCGAACAAATGAGATACGAGCCAGACAAAATTAGTACGAAAAAAAAATCTAAACACGAATATAAAACTTAAAAAAGTCGGATATCTCACCTGCCTGAACTCAAAATTAACTTTTCTTCGAACCCCAGGTGAACTTTCTACCTTCAAAAAACCTATATTTGGTTGTTTACTTTACTATGATCGTCACGAATTACTTCTACATAACCATTCACATGTAAATGTGATTAGTTATAGGAAGCGACCACGTGGCGTAATTAATCATATTCTCTCTCCATGCATCAACAAATTAACAAACACACAAATTGGATGCTTTACCCAACTAATCTAAACTCCTATCTCTACTCCCCTCTTCCTCCTCTGCCCTGCCCTCCCCTGCTTTTCCTCTGTTTTCTTGCTCCATCTTCGTAACTTCCTCATGGCTGCAGCCATTGTGTGCAGAGTAGCATTGATAGTGGCGACGACGGCGGCGCTTCTTTCCCCGGCGGTAAAGGGGAATTCGGACCAAGTAATAACTACCGATGAGGTAGACTACCCAATTAGCAGCGCCGGGTGTGATTTTTATTCGGGGAGATGGGTCGTTGCCGCCGGTAGTGATATTACGACGAAGGAGGCGGCGGCGGAGGAAGAGTTGGGGCAGGCGGCGCCGTTCTATGACGTGTCGGAGTGTCCCTTCATCGAGCAGGAGTTCGATTGCTTGAAGAATGGACGGCCGGACAGGGAGTATCTGCGTTACCGATGGCAACCCAATGGCTGTGAGCTTCCCAGGTAATCATGAATTTTAACCTTTGTTGTTATTCTGTTATGTTTGAGATCATCTTTTCAATGCAGGTCTATTATGGAGAAAACTAAAAGAAGAAATTTTATTGATAGGGATATAATCCTGAATTAATTAGCTCTAGCCAGCTTCTTCCATTAATAATTAACAGGTTTAGTTATCATGTCACAGTCTGGCTTCCTTTAGTACATAGGTACATACAGCTCATAAGATTAATAGACAGGCTAATCAGCTGAAATTAGACAAATGATGATATGATATTATGCATGATAAAGCTTACAGTGGGGTGGGGTCTCACCACTAGGACGGAAAATATGAGTCAAACTGGTCACGAGAGCGCGACTCAAAATTTGGATTGGGGGAAAAAAATCGTTCGGAACTCAATTCGATTACTGACGAGTCAAGATTGAGTTTTAGCCTTGTTCAGCTCACAACGCTAGCGAGCCACCTCGCGACTCGGTGGCTTGTTGAGCTTAACTCGTACATTTTGAGCTATGAGATGATGATTCGACAACAGTATGGCCAGCGAGCCACCTCGACTAGCAGCTTATGAGCGATTCGATTAGTAACTTTTGAGTGTGATCAATACTGTCTCATGTTATAATTTTAAATATAAATTTGTGTCGTAAAGTATTTAGATACTAATTATTAGTAAACAATATGATATGAACAATTATAGATTTGATGAACTAAATGACAAGATACTTGAGCTCGAGCCAAACAGAGGTTGGGTATAGCTCGGTGAACTGATCATTAATGAGTCAAGCTCAAATTAAACACAAATAAATGTTTCAGTAAACAAGCAGAACCCCAAGATAAGTCAAACATCCGCTCGACTCGACTCAACTCATATCATATGCATATACCATCCCAACTATAACATTATTAATGATCGAGCAAGTCTGCATTGTATTCCTTCGTTATTTCCCAAAAGAAATAAGCTGGTACAAGCCATTTTCTACAAAATTTACAAAACTCACAAGTTGGAAATCTATATATGATGATTTGATATGTATAAAATGATGTAGGTTTGATGGGGAAGATTTCCTGTCAAAGCTGGCCGGCAAGAAGATGATGTTCGTCGGAGACTCACTGAGCCTGAACCAGTGGCAATCCTTGACATGCATGCTCTACGTCTCCTCCCCGCAGCCAAACAGGCGCTACACATTGACCAGAACAGGAGACGTCTCCACCTTCACCTTCCCTGCCTACAACAACACACAGATCCTCTTCTCCCGCAACGCCTTCCTCGTCGACATGGCGGCGGACCACGTCGACGGCGTGGTGATGAAACTCGACTCCGTCGCCGAGCATTCCAAGCTGTGGCAGGGGATGGACTTCTTGGTCTTCGACACGTGGCACTGGTGGCTGCACACCGGCAGAAAACAGCCGTACGTACGGGTAAACTTTTTATCAAATCGTGGATTTTATACCATTCACTAACAACGAAGAGGCTGGGATTGCGTATGTATATAATCTGTAGGTGGAAGACGATCGAGCTGGGGAACAGAACGTTCCCGGAGATGGATCGGATGGTGGCGTATGAGACAGCGTTGGAGACGTGGGCTGATTGGGTTGAGAATCATGTTGACCCTGCGGCCACCAAGATCTTCTTCCAAGGGGTCTCTCCGGATCATATCAAGTAAGTTAAAGGAGCCCGTTTTGTCGTTGTTGTGGTTGCAGTATTGTTGTGACAACAAAGGTACAATTCCACGACAACATCATGAAATGAAAAAGCAGAAATGTCTTTAGTTGGTCTTTATGAGAGATCATAGAAGTTGTCACTTTTTATATTTAGTTGTTTCACTAGTTCTAATTTAGTATTAATGCTGAGATTAAGAAAAAGGTAAGAAAATAACAAAAAGAATAGTGTGGTATGACGAATTATGAGAAAATCGAGGGAGAAAAAAATGTGAAAATAATATTGGCAATAAGGTTTCGGAGATAAGTCATGTTGACTGAAAAGGGGGAAAAAATGTATACAAAGTGTGTCTAGTGAGATTTGATCATAAACTCTTTTAAACAATGATGGAGCTCGATTGAAATTAGGAGGGATTGTAGTCCCCCTCAACTTTAAAATATAGATAAAATTTCATGTAAATTTTGTACAAATTCGTGAATTAGAATAGTGAGTAATGTTTCAAGCTCCTCTCCTCCAATTACCATGATTCAATTAACCCACTCGTTCAGGTTTCTAACTTCGGCACTGCCTTTGAGTGAAATTAACTTAGGATCCCACAACAAATAACTTTTAGAAACAACAAGAAAGATACTTAAAATGTTATAATGTTATGTTGCCAATTCCAATTGGCACAATAAAAGATGACAACTGAACTGAACACCTTTTCAGCTTCTATTTTTCACATTAAAATTAGGGGTGTTTAAAAGGTTTGGTTATCGTGGTAGCCGTTTTAACCAGTACTATTTGGATAATTTGATTTGGTTAATTTGAATAATTGGCTTGGTTTGGTTAAAGTTTTTAGCTTGTTTGGTTTAGGTGGTTTGGTTTGGTTTCAGACACTCCTAACCAGTCAAACCAAATTACCCAGTTAATTAATTAGTCATATATCTAGCATATATTATATACACATACTTAATACCTTGCATAACAACTCAAGAGTTAACGTTCATCCCTTTTAGACTCATATAAAATATAAAGCTCAATATTGCTCAAATAGTGTATATTTGTATATATATATAGTGTAGACCACAACATATGGACGCCTAATTTAGATAAATTTCATACATTATGATGGATGAAAACTTGAATGGAAGGTCATTTCCAGCCTATGATAATTGCTAAGAGACTAAGTCAATTTACACAAACACAACAATTCATTAACCCATACCATTGTCATAAATTTTTGTTAGGTGAATACTTCTATGCTAATCGTAAGATAATTGTCTTAGTTGCATGTATTTTTGTTAAGGGTCAACTATAACTACGTGTTGATTGTTATGTTTTATTCATTATATAAATTGCGAATTGTTGCATTAACCGGAAAATTTTCATCATCAATGATAATGTGATTTTATATTGGTTAATCTGGTTAACCAATTAACCAAACCGATTAAACTTTAGTTTGGTTAATTTGGTTGTTGTATTAGTTTGAACGGTTTGGTTATGATATTGTATTCCATGTTTAATGAAATTTAGCCTTATTTGATTTGGTTATAACCATGATAACCATTTGAACCCATTTGAACACCCCTAATTAAAATTATACTAATCAAGTAAATTCATTCTTCCAAGTTTTTTTATTTTATTTATAAGTTAGTGTTTTTGCAAGGCAATCATGCTTACATGGGGATTATGTATGTAAATTAGTGCAAGTGATTGGGGAGAGGCGAGCAGCGGCAACTGCAGGGGACAGACGCAGCCGGCGGCCTACGACGCCGGCAACTACCCGGGAGGTCCTCATCCGGGGGAAGTGATTCTCGACAGAGTTCTCCGGCGAATGTCCAAACCCGTGCATCTGCTGAACATCACCGCCTTGTCGCAACTGAGAAAAGACGGCCACCCGTCCGTCTACGGCCACGGCGGCCACCTTTACATGGACTGCAGCCATTGGTGCCTGGCCGGCGTTCCTGATACATGGAACCACCTTCTCTATGCTGCCTTGACTCTACAACCTTAATATGTGTAGTCAAAAAACACGTACATTGCTCCATTTTGTAACTTTTGCGCTTTCTTGAATCTAAATTATCTTAATTTATATTATGACGGTTGCGAATAGATATTTTGTCGCGTCAATTTTTGCTAAATGATTAAATATATATCAAACTGAGAAATTGTGTATTACTAATATCTATAGTACATGACATACACATATTAGGGTGTTTAATTTAGTTTAATGATTTGATTATTAGAATAAGTGGGTTAAATTTGAGTCAAACTAGTACTCTTTTCGATGAGCCAACTTAAATAAAGCTTGTAAGCTCATTAACGAATCGAGCTCAAGGCAAACACAAATCAACCCTTTGATAACCAAGTCGAGTCTGAATTCAATTCGACTCAAATTATTGGTAAATGAATGCAAATCGAATTCGATAAATTTGTTAACGAGTCGAGCCTAAATCACATAAAATTTGGCCACTAAGCTCATTTCCGTAAAGTAGGGATGGCAATGGGTTGGGTCGGGGACGGATAGTGCATATCCGTTACCCTATCCAAAGTAGTTTGGTTTTTACCCATACCCATATCCACATAAGAAACGGGTACAAAATTCAAACCATGTTCATACCCGTTCAGGTTTCGGGTATCCACGGTTATCCATGGGTAATAGTTTTTCTTTATAACTCCAACCAATATGTTAATATTTAGAGTAATGTAGTCAAAATCCCGATTTTAATCTTAAAATCTTACGATTTTACGATCTTACCTATGGGTTCCGATCATGATTTTATTTTTAAATCTTTGAACCTTAAAATCCCATAAAATCCCGATTTAAAACTCTAAAATCCTTTAAATCTACAATTTCTACGATTTTGTACGATTTCAAGGTTCACATCAATTGGAGCAAAATGAGGCTGGTCAAGTCCGGTTCTGTCCATAAACCAAGTCAAGTTTACTTCTCACGACCCAACATAATGAATAACGCAACCCTAACCCAATAGACAACACTCAATTTATTTTCATTCTCTTCCTCGTATCTTCCTCTTTCGCACGTCGACGCCCAACTCCTTCCTTCAACGATATCTTCCACTCTCCCAATTAGCTTGTAGGTTTTTCCCACCACCCTCACAAAAATCCAAATCTCCATTCCATTGCAATCTTTCGTTCCTCTCTCAATCCTTCAGTAGCACTATCCCCGACCTTTTATCAATTAAGAAGGGAATGCACCAATCAATGAGTTATCTTTGTGATCAAGGAAATATGGTTAATGGTGAAAGTATTTCAAGTGATCTTAAGAGTAATTATATTAGTCCTTAAGCAAATAAACAAGGATGAGAGTTAGAGTGAGAGTGAGGATGATGATGATGTGTAAGTGATATTAATGTTGATCCCCAACGATCTTATGTAATTTTCTACTCTTAACTATTAATTAAGTGATTTCATTGTGTGTTTATATTATGTACAAGAATAGATATATGGATTTAGTTGTATTTATTTAGCAAACAAACTTATCTTGGAAAGTAATTATGTTATATGTGGTTGATTGTTATTCAGGATATGCATTTTTATTACTATCTGGTGTTTTAAGTGATTATTTAATACGAACCTTAAAATCTTACGATTTTACGATTTTAATCTACGATTCCGATTCTACCTTAGTTTTCGATTTTACTTAAAATCCCGATTTTGACTGCATAATTACACGTATTCTCATGTTACGTAAGACGAAAAGTATGACAATAATTCACTAGAATGAAGAAAATTAATTAAAACAACACAATTTCATAAATATTTTATATTTATATGCTAAATACGAAATATTTAAGAGAAAAATATTGATTATTTCTATACAAAATACATATGCAAATGTATAATCGGATGGGTTCAGGTTGGATATTGAGAAAACCATGCCCACTCATTACCCGCATATGCGGGTTCGGGTTTTAAACGTACCCACTAAAAGTCTTTAGGTCGGATTCGGACGGATATACACGGTTACGAATATTTTTGGCATCTTACTGTAAAGAAAAGTATCATGATGTTGTTTGGTCTAGTAATACGAGATCAGAATGAATGAGTGAACAACTAAGGGTAAAATACCTCGGGTACCACTTAAGTTTGAGAATTGGTGCAGACATACCACTTAAATTTGAATAGGGCGTCAGGTACCACTGAACGGGAACGGCTACGGTGCTAATTGTACAATAGTTAGCACCGTCCTAACCAAGGGAAAAACTACTACTAGTTTGAATTAGTAGTGATTTAGCTTAGATGTTGTATTGATTTTATAATAATCCGTAGTTATTTCATTATTTTTAGTAGCGTTTTTTGCTAGTTATCACGGTGCTAACCCCTATAAGGGTTAGCACCTAATCCCATCCCCCACTGAACTCTATTATTTGTGCACCCAGTACCACTTAAGTTTAATGTTAAGTGCATTTCGTTAAAGTTAACAGAATATTCTTGGAATATTTCATTTTCTATATTTCTTAATTAGTCCTTCTACTTTTCTTATTGTAAAAAATCATTTTGACTTATGAAAAAACATATATTTTTAATATTTAGTTGGTGTCCTCTTTTGAAGACTTGATACCAAATTAATTTTAAATAGAAAATTTAGAATCAATTATCATTATAAGTATTTTCAATTATCATTATGTTTTCTAATAGTTGGATTATTTACTGAAGCAAATATATCCTATTAATTCTGTTTGGTTGGAATGCTCTTTTGAAGGCTCTGATACGAAATCAATTTTTGAATAGGAATGTATAATCAATTATCATTATAAGTATTTTCAATTATCATTATATGTTATAATAATTGAACAATTTGCTGAAACAAATATATCCTATGAATCCTATATCGATATAAATAATTTGAGAAAGTTATATTTAATTCTCGTACATCATGTCGATGTTGTATAATTTTCTATGTTAAATATCCTTATAATTTTCTAATATTATATTATAGATGCTCCATATTAATTAAATTTACTACTTCTAATTCTCTTCCTATAGTCGTATTTTCTTTTCTAGATTTTCTACGGAATATTGTAGCTTTTATATTTTATTTATTATTTGGATACTTTTCGTTCTAAATTTTTTTCAATTACTGGAATATGTTTAATTCTTTCTAACTGTGTTCCATTTATTCTTCTTTGGTCTTGATGTATTGATGATCGATTATATTCATTTTAACTATTTTTAATGGTACTTCTAATTAGATTAGGGGTTTAAATAGATCTTATAATATTGATTTTAAATATTTATTATTATATGCTATATATTTATTATTCTTCTTGATATTTATTTATTATTTTTACTAATTTATCTATTTTATTGACAATTTTGATTAGCCATTTTAGTAATATTATGTTTAGAAGGTTTTTAATTTATATATTAGATAAAAACTTGTTTAAATATAGTTTTTGATATTTTTAAAAGTTTTGGGTCCCAAAAAGTAATTAAAATTTTGGGTTTGATGGAAAACTGGACGGATGCACATTTTGGCGAATTTAATGGTATCCGTCGCCTTATTCAAACTTATGTGGTATGTCTGCTCCAATTCTCAAATTTAAGTGGTATCCGAGGTATTTTACCCGAACAACTAATAGGGATGGCAATGGGTCGGGTTGGGGACGGATAGTGCATATCCGTTACCCTACCCAAAGTAGTTCGGGTTTTATCCATACCCATACCCACATATGAAACAGGTAGAAAATTAAAACCAAGCCCATATCCGTTCGGGTTTCGGGTATCCACGGTTATCCATGGGTAATGATTTTTCTTCATAACTCCAACTAATATGTTAACATTCACACGTATTCTCACATTACGCAAGAGGAAAAGTATGACAATAATTCACTAGAATGAAGAAAATTAATTAAAACAACACAATTTCATGAAAATATTATATTTATATGCTAAATATAAAATATGTTAGAGAAAAATAATGACTATTTCTAGACAAAATACATATGTATGTGTATAATCGGGCGGGTTTGGGTTGGATACTGAGAAACCCATGCCCACCCATTACCCGCAATATTCTGGTTCGGGTTTTACCCGTACCCACTAAATGTCCTTCGGGTTCGAGTTTTACCCTACCCGATTAGGTCGGGTTCGAGCGGATATCCACGGTTACGGATATTTTTGCCATCCCAAACAACTAACATCAATGCGTAAAACACTTGGCGTAATCTACACATAATATAATACGCCGAAGGGAAAAACGGGAGCCCCATTTCAAATTTCCTGCAACGAGAGTGAAAGTAGGAAGGACATTTTGGTCTTCACAATTACTTTTTTTTATTCATTAAAAAAACACGTACTGGGATTCGAACCATGACCATTTTAAAGAAAAGCAAGGATAATAACCAATCACACTAAGCACATTTGTTGTATCTTTTTAAATTAAAAACATATAATAGCAGGGAGGAAAAAACCCTTCCCCCATTTCAAATTCCCTACTTCATGAGCGTTTGTAGGAATGGTAGAATAGGGAGTGTCAATTTTTTTTCTCTTTCCTCTGTGGAACGGGCCAACTTACCGTACACATGTGAATTTAAACGGGTCCAGGAGTGTCAATTTTTTTTTCTTTAAGCCATTTTATTTCTCCGTGGTGACAAAATATATATGAAAAGGTAAACATAATACTCCTTTTTATTGTTAAAAATAAAATATTTAACAATAAACTAATGCATGGTATCTAATGGGCTAACCGCCAACCATAAAATAAAAGAGTTGAATGTGCCTGACCTACATGGGATTTGGCCATCAAGTAAAATAAATGAACATCATTGATTTGTCATTCTAAAATAAGCTAATTTCTCTGACATAATATATATTATGCTATTAATTTATATCTTAGTGGCTAAAATATAATGTATTTTAAAGTTATTCAATGGTTCAACCTCGACCAACACAATTAGTCCAATTTTTATCATTTCAAATATATATTTTATAATTATTTGATATCATAATGATCAAATTATAGTGTATTTTATAGGGAATAGTTTGGTATTTGTTAGTAAAAAATTAACATAAAGATCTATTTGATAATTTAAAACATTATAACGATCCTAAACATTTTCAGTTCCTTTTGAATTTCTATGGTTTTATTCCCGAATAAGTGATGTGCAAATGGCGAATTGTAGTCGTCTCTTTTCTTTCACTATTTTTTATTTTTCAAATAGAAAGTTTAAAAGTAAAGAATAATTAGAATTTGGCATGGGTCGTCAAACAGGCTGAATTTCAAGTTTTGGCCCGTTTGTTTTATGCATTGCAAATTTATTAGCATTTTGATGGAAATGGCTTGGAAAAAAGACATATAAGTTGTACCTTTGCAGAAATGTCCTCAAATGTTTTAATGCTTTGTGAATCAGGTTCTGTGACTTTTGTGATGGTGTATGTGCTTGACAATTGCTCGATGTTGTAACTGCTTAATTTGAGAGTAAATCTTTTGATTTTCCCTATGAGTTGTGATACCAGTTCTGGTGGTTGCAGCATGTTGTCGTTGTTGGCCTGTAAAAGTTGTTCCGCCGTGGTGCTAAATACCTTTCTTTCTTTTTTAACAAATTGTGTAGTAGTGCTATGAAACAGATCACCCATGAACGCTACGCTTATTATGGTCTGTTCTTACTTCCGGTGGTGAGAAATTGTGAATTGAGAATCATATTCGCCTACCGCACTGTGTCTGGCTGGTGGCTGCTTACTGTGCTCTCTAGAGTTATGAAACAGACTACCCATGAACGTTTCCCTTAAGAGTCCATAACTTTTGCGAAAAACCAAATTTAGGCAATCAAAGGTGGTGGATGTGTGATGATTTTTTATGGCTTAATTGTTTGTGAATTGGATATCTGATCTTTGTATGATTGGAGGGGATGTTTGCTTAATAGAATTATCCATTTTAATTCATGTTTATTTTTAACATGAACTTTAGTAACTCAAAACCTTCGAGACACATTTAACCTACTGCATTGTATCATTTTGCCTGGGTGCTTGCTGTGTTGTCAAACTTCTTTGTTGCTGCTGCTTTTACACTAACAGGGGAGTTAAGAACCCATGAATGTTTCCGTTTGACACAAATAGTAGGACTTGCTTCTAAATCGTGCACTAAAGATGATTGGAGGAAACATCTCTATTGCAGTTGATATACTGGAGACCAGAACAAAAGCAATGTATAACATCAAAACCAACCATCTGAACTATTAGCATTGTTGCTTTACTATTTTTTTGTGGTTGAGTCTCCTTCAAAAAATTTAGTTTGATTTTAGAAAATTTTGCTTCTGCAGTCCTGTCTTGCCACCAACGCGTTCAGTAGATGGAGATGGCAGAGGCGAAGGCTATTTTTGTGCTGTTGTTGCTGGTTTAGGGATCGGTTTGTGAAGAAGAGGGAGAAGAGAGGGGGAAAGGGAAATGCGGGAGAGGGGGGTAACTCTTTTCTCTGACAAAAATGGAGTGAAGAAAGGAATTATGATCAGTAAGGATATGGTTATCTTACATAACGGTCTCTATTCTGTTTGAATTGAGCTTGAGAGGCAGTGATAAGACGAGCTGCAACCAATTCATAGTGAGAAGAGAGCTATGAACTGTGATCATGTCTTATTTCAAGTTAGAAGGTAGTTTCAGTATAAGGATTATTTAATTTGACAAGTTGTTTCGTCCATGATTCTTGGTAGTTTCAGTGCCATTCTAGCCATTGTTTAGTCTGTAATTTTTGAGAATTGATGTGCGAGTAATGACTTTCACTTAGCTTCAACTATTATGTGTGTATTTATTGGCATGTGATAGAAATCTCTTTTCCTTTTCTTTAAATTCAATTTCATACTCTAATTGTATCATTTGTACATAGGCAAATCATGCTCGAGATGACAACTCGCTGATAAGGCTGGTGCAAGGAACGGAGCCATCATTAGAATTCATACCGACAACGGGGAGGGATGCCCAGGACTAATTCAATGATGATTGATGATGGTATAATAAAAACTGCAGTTTGCATCAACACCAATTTCTAGGCCTAAGTAAAGCTATTCAACCCAGAACTCTGCTTAGCGCTAAAAATTTCCCTCACCCAACCTTGATCCTGTTTGACCCACTTCTGAAGAGTCAAGATATATGAATATGACTAATCCTCTCCGTTCGTATTTTCTTATTGACTCTTTCTGACCCTTTAGGTTGGGGCGGGTCGGGAAGAATCGGATTACTGGGTCGGTCCTAATCAAGTGGAATCCCAATCCCTTCACTCTCACTTGCTTTCTCTCCTATTCCACAAGTGACAGTAATCCGGCCAACGGGCCGGGTAATAGGCTAGTTATTTAAAATGGAATAATGGATATGAGTGGGCCAGCAGCCCAGCAGCCAGCAAGTCAAGTTAGCAACGCAAGCGGGTGCATGTGCAAAGTTCGCTTCTCCTTCCTGCGAAACAGCGAATCATTGCTAACCTACGCCTCTCGTCTCGTGTCTTCTTCTCTCTAATTTCCTGGAAGCCGGAACTTTCCGACGACTCCGCGACGGAGACTGAAATTCGCTGATTATCACATTTTCCTCTCTGACTCTAGCCACTGCGCCGGGGAGATAAACTTCTGCATCATTCTGATTGGCCGCCATTGGTGTTTGTCGTTTTTCCTTTAGGCGGGAAATCGGTCGCGTTTTTTTTTTATTTACTTCAAACGCTACGGATGGGCGAATCCATCGTAATTTGGTTGGGAAATTCCCGCGATCGAATTGGATTTTAGGTCATACGCCGCTGCTGCTGGTGCTGGCGGTGTGTTTATGCAAGCAAGAGGGGGAGGGGGGAAAGAAGATGGGAGTTTCGGAGAATTCGAAGGGGCTGATACTGGCTGTGGCGTCCAGCGCGTTTATCGGTTCGAGCTTCATCCTCAAGAAGAAAGGGCTCAACCGAGCTGCTGCTTCCGGTACTCGTGCAGGTGTGTCACTTTCGTTTCTCTTTGGCGTTTTGAGTATTCGGCAGCCTGAGAATGTCAGAGTTCCCGAGTAATTGTGAAGATTTTGCTAAGTTTTGGTTTCAATCTGGAGCTAAGTAAAACTTGCTTAGAAGTCAAATCGATTATTTATGGACCATTTCGAGTTGCGGTTCTCTTCTGCCCAATAGTGGATTTCTGGAAAGAACATTGCAATAACACAACTAGGAATTCATTGTCCATATGGCTCTGCTCTGCAACCATGACCAATTTCGTATGGTGGAAGTGCTTGTTCGTTCTCTTTATCTCGCTTTCTGGTGCCTGCCAAAGTAACTGGTTTGGGTTTATATATGGTGCCGTCGACTCTGGAGTTTCTTCAAAACTTTGATGTGATGAGAGCTTGTTGAAGGAACTTTGATATGATAGGATTTAGGAGTGTCGAGGGTGTCAGCAAAAGTGAAGACCATCGATTTTCAATATTATTTCTCATGTGTTATTTCTCCTGAACAATGTAGAAGTTGGAGGTTATACTTATTTACTAAAGCCGCTAGATCGAGCATTAGGTGTGTCGCAGCTGCCAGTAAAAGTGAACACCATTGCTTTTCAAGATTATTTCTCATGTGTTATTTCTCCTGAACATTGTAGGAGTTGGAGGTTATACTTATTTACTAGAGCCGCTATGGTGGGCTGGCATGATTACCAGTAAGTGAAGCAATCTCTCACTCGCTCCCTCTCTCTCTCTCACCCTAGAACAGGCACACACAACTGGTTGGTCATTGATTTGAATTTTAATGTGAACAGTGATTGTTGGTGAGATTGCAAATTGTGTGGCTTACGTTTATGCTCCTGCCGTTCTAGTAACTCCCCTTGGTGCATTAAGTATAATTATCAGGTAATGAGATATCTCTCAATTTTGGTGCTAGTGTATATGATATTGAGGTTTTCGTTATCTTGCAACTGATGTTCTTATTCACATTCAATAGTGCAATTTTAGCACACTTCATGCTGAATGAGCGACTGCAAAAGATGGGAGTTGTTGGCATTGTTTCTTGCATTGTTGGATCAGTAGTGATTGTTATCCATGCACCTCAAGAGCATACTCCAAGTTCTGTAGAAGAAGTATGGAATTTAGCTACTCAGCCAGGTAGATATTCAATCATTTTTACTATCTTTTTTCCTTTTGCTGTTATTATTGCTCGTTACTTTAGCTCTTCACCTTCTTTTTGCAGCTTTTGTGATGTATGTAGCTGCTACAGTCTCAGCAGTGTTTGCTTTGATTTTACACTTTGAACCACGATCTGGTCAGACAAACATGTTGGTCTACTTAGGAATATGCTCCTTGATGGGGTCGATCACTGTAATTACTTGCCCTCTAGCTTAGGAAATCATTTGGAATTATTTAGCGACGTCTGGTAGCATCTTGACGGTATATTTACTGCCTACCTTGTCCTTTTTCTTTCCCCAGGTTGTGAGCGTCAAGGCAATTGGGATAGCTATTAAACTTACTCTAGATGGGATAAATCAGATTACTTATCCTCAGACATGGTTTTTTCTCATGGTAGCAGGAATATGTGTCATTACACAGTTAAATTATTTGAACAAGGTGAGGTTACTTTTGTCCTATTCCACTCCTTTTTTGTTCTGATCATCCTCTTCGCTTAAAGCTTTTGACTTGATATTCGTTCCCTCTGTTTGAGTTGCTTGATCAATGACTGCTACAATGCTTTGCTTTTGCCAGAATTGGAAAAGTCTTCTAGCATGTAGTGGTTTGCTGTGATCCTTGGTTCTTCAGCAATAGGATTTTAACGTTCAACTTCGTCTCTCCAAGTGGGGTTTGTAATATGATCTAAGGATACACGATTCATACATCAGAAGTTTTGAGCTGGTCTTTTAGAACGATATCCGGTTCAGGTTCAGATGGTTACTGGAAATCATTAAAGTTGGCTCAACTTGACTAGTTACAGAGTAGTGTATGAATTATTTACTAAGTAGGGTACTTACTACATCACCATGTATTCTGTTTTCCTGAAATCATGAAAATATTTTCCCCACCAACTCATACATATCACATGAGCAGTTCAACATCACGGGAACCTGAAGGGCCATGCTGAAATGTGAATAAACACAGTTTTGAAGAAATATTTAAATTTGATGAATGCAGGTGGATAATATTTACTGAACAGATACTCCATGCTTCAATTTCTTTAGTTAATCTACGGAGACAACTTTGGGAACACCATCTGGAATTTGTTTTCAGCTTCAAAAGACACTAGCTAATGCGGTGTTGCATCACGAACATTGTTTTCTTTTGTTATTATCTTTTACGGAAATGTACTATGGTAGCTGCTCTAATTTCTCCTTACTTAGATTCCCATGATCATTTGCTCTATGATGATTATCAGCTTATTTTGACCGGAGTGGTGCAAGTCCGATTATGTTCACAACTATTTCCTAAAATATTGTCAACGTTGCAGGCGCTAGATACGTTCAATGCAACCCTTATTTCTCCAGTGTACTACGTCATGTTCACAACTCTCACTATCGTTGCTAGCGCTATAATGTATAAGGTAACCTGCTCAACTTCCCTCGTTTAGTCGATTAGGGTTTCGGAGGTCTCTTTAGGTCTCTTTTCTTATCGTTGCATGTCTGAATCAATTTATCACGAACTAATAGTTCTCTTACGTTTTTATCTGACCAACCAGGATTGGGCGGGCCAGGATGCAAGCAGCATAGCATCCGAGATATGTGGGTTTATCACTGTCCTTTCAGGCACTATCATACTTCACTCAACAAGAGATCAGGAACCTCATCCTTCGTCACGAGGTAAGACAACGTCTAGGCTTGTTGCTGTTTTGGTATTTCTAATCGTTTGGGTATTATGGTTAGGAAACTACATAAATAAGTTCCTGAAAGAATGATTTATGCCCGGTTGGTTGTTTTGTGTTTGACCTCCTGACAGTCACCGTGCAAATTGTTTCGTGGTTGATGTGCTATTGCCTCCCTTCAGTGAGGCAGTCTGCACTGCACTTGCTCATTTTATTACCTATTCCTCATTTGCAGGAACCGTGACATGGTATGTCAGAAGCGATTCATTCAAGAACCCAGACCAGGAACATTTACTCGACATTCTTGAAACCGAACCATACTAAGTAGTGATCTCTGGATCAACACTCAAGCTCTTAAATTTGCAAGCTAGGAGTGTGGGGTTCAATCTTCTGCGTCAGCGCGTCGTGAGAGCAGGCGTACCGAACTTGATGAACATACCAGTTTGTTTCTCATTGCAGGAGCATCGAGAAAACCCGGCGCCAGAAACCAGACCCGTCTCCGATGTATATGTACACAAGAGTGGTGGTGTGATAATGGTAAGGGTGATTGGTACTTTGGTAGGGCTTGTACCAATTTTGCCTTTCAGGGTGTTAATTTGATTCTTTACCTGTATTAGGTGTCTCATTTGCTTGTTATAGTTAATATTTATTAGCCGTAGACAACAGCTTAATGGCTCATTACCTCTGATTTCAATCAATCATGACTAAATAAGTGCACTTTATTAGTCTCCACTAGACCGTCATCAATAATTTGATAATTTCTAATCTAATCTTTAGTGCTTGAGATCCGGCGCATGGAATATCTTAATGGCAGACAATTTGTACAGGCGGAAAACAAGCATAAAGTAATAGATGGGCCTTCACATCATGGGCCAGCAAGAGGCCCACCGTGACCAAGTACTCTTATCTACTCTTCAGTCTTCTCCCGTCAACATCGATTGTACCGAATTCAATTATTTAATCTAAATTTCCACTCTTTCTCTCCGAGATTTGTCCTTTATCCACAGCGGGGCTAATCCACAAGAACAGTAAGAACAGAGCGACGAAATCAAGGTAAAAGGAAGAGAAAATCGAGATAACGCAAACCCTAATCTTATTTATGGAAATTGGTAGATCCGATTCTGAAACACATAAAAAAGCGTTACAAAGACCAGCCAATTGTCCCCGTCCAAACTCCGGCTCCGATAGGAGCGACTCCGATAACCGAATCCCTAAAGAGACCTCCGAAACCCTAATCGACTAAAAGCGAAACGAAAACAGGACACAGACATGGAAGAGAAAAGACACCAACAACACCACCATCACGTCACCGGTTGAAAAATAACATCAACGGAACGGAAAAACACTCCCCCACTTAGAGCTGGCCACAGTCGGCGACGCAGACGGGCTTCGAGGTCCTGCCAGATCCAGATCCGACCTTCTCGATCGCCTTCACCACATCCATACCTTCAACGACCTGCCCGAACACGACGTGCTTGCCGTCCAGCCACTCGGTCTTGGCGGTGCAGATGAAGAACTGAGATCCGTTGGTCCCGGGCCCGGCATTGGCCATGGACAGGATCCCAGGGCCGGTGTGCTTCCTGACGAAGTTCTCGTCGGCGAACTTGGCTCCGTAGATCGACTCGCCTCCGGTGCCGTTCCCGGCGGTGAAGTCGCCTCCCTGGCACATGAAACCCGGGATCACGCGGTGGAAGCTGGATCCCTTGTAGTGGAGCGGCTTCCCCATCTTCCCGGCGCCCTTCTCGCCTGTGCAGAGGGCACGGAAGTTCTCAGCGGTCTTGGGGACGACGTCGGCGTACAGCTCCATCACGATCCTGCCGGCCGGCTGGCCGCCGACGGTCATGTCGAAGAAAACTCTGGGATTGGCCATGGTGAGAGAGAGAAAATCGGGGAATTAGGGATTTGATTTCGCTCGGGTGAAATTCGATAAGGTTAGGGTTTATGGTCTTTCACTGGCGAGGGGTGGTTGTTTATATATACGATGAGAGGCGGTGAAAGGTGAAAGGGATTGAGATCTGAGCGTCGGATTGGAACACGTGTCGGGATCGCAACGGGTGGGAGAGTAACCGGGGTTCGGTTAGGAGACTGACTAGGGTTAAATGTGGGAGATCCGCTGTGGAAATATCGCATATGCCATTTGTCCAATGGTTAGGAGGAGTGAGGACAGCGACGCGCGGAACGACGACGTTTCTTGCCGTGCCGAAAGGTGTGGGATCGGCCAATTTTGGCGTGACGCGGGGGGGGAAAGTACTTTAATTTAACGGTACAAGTGTTGGCGCGTGAGGCATAGAGTGGACTGTGTCTCAGCTATCCGTTGGGGTTTCAATAATTACCCTGTTGGCCCTCTTTTCTTTCAGAATTAACGGAATTATATTTTATTATTTCTGTTAAATCGCTTTTAGACCCTTGTACTTTTGCTTCTTCTGCAAAAGGTCCAATAACTTTTGTACTTTGAGCATTTCAGTCCTTGATATTTAGTATAGTATTTGTCTTGCCAACTTCTATTTCATGTCATACTAGAAATGTACTTTTTCGCAAGTTAGATCAACTCACGGTAGCGAATTGTGATTCTATGGATTAAGTAGGGTGTTTTTGCTTATTTGTATATATAAAAAAAAGAAGAAGATAAAAGTCAGAGATCCAAACCAAACGCCATAAGATTATTATTTTTTTTGGGTTATTGACCGTTGGAATTTATTTACGCCATAAGATTATTATTTTTTTTGGGTTATTGACCGTTGGAATTTATTTTTTTGAAATGGTTCTCTCTGATGGTGGAAGTGAATGGTGGAGGAAACTTCCGCAATGGAATTGGTGTAGGAGCAAGGAACACAGCAGGAGGATTAGCCTTATTATGGGACAGCAATGTTGATTTTACTCTGAAATCAATGTCTCAAAATCATATTGACGGTGTTGTTAAGCACGAGGATGGCGAAAATGTGTGGCGCTTTACAGGGTTTTATGGGTGGCCGGAAGGGGAGAATAAGAGTCGGTCGTGGGATCTTTTGAGAAACCTACATAATCAGATGAGTATGGCTTGGGTGGTCATGGGTGACTTTAATCAGGTAGTCTCTGGGAATGAGAAAAGAGGGAAAAGGCTTGAGGATGAAAGGGATATGCAGGCTTTTGCAAATGCTCTGTCGGATACTGAGTTGGAGGACCTGGGCTTCGTCGGGTACCCGTTTACTTGGGACAACGCTCGGACAGGGGAGGCCTTTACTGAAGAGAGACTAGACCGGGCGGTCTGTAACCAAGATTGGGCCCAAGCCCACCCCTTAGCTCAGGTAAGGCACCACGAAAGGCCTTATTCTGACCATAGAGCTGTAATTTTGGACACGGAAGGGATTGAGGGAGAACCAGTGCGATGGGGGTGGAGGTTCAAGTATGAATCGTATTGGGATGACGAGGAGGAATGCAAGAAGATAGTGGCGGAAGAATGGGAAAGATGTAGTTCGCTGGAGACGGCGGAGCGGTTGAGGGCTTGCGAGCAGAAATTACACGAGTGGAGCAAGGAGAAGTTTGGAAGCTGGAAGGAGAGGTTGAAGATGGTTGAAAAATCCCTAGCGGAGCTGGAGCGGAAACCCAGAGGAGAGAATTGGATCCAAGAAAGACGCAATCTGGAGGCTGAACGAGCTGGGATCCTTGTTCAAGAGGAGAAGAAATGGCACCAACGATCGAGAATATCCTGGCTTGGCTATGGGGATAAGAATTCGAGTTTATTCCATAGGAGGGCGACTGAAAGGAAGAGAAGGAATACGATCAGAAAGCTTATCAGTGAAGATGGGCGGGTGTGGCTGGGTCAAAATGAGGTCAGTGATTGTTTGGTTGATTACTACTCGCATATGTTTGAAAGTCAGGGAGATGAAGGTAGGGATACTATCACTAGTACGATCCCTCGACGAGTGACTTCGGAGATGAACGACTGGCTACGGCGACCGTTTACAGTGGAGGAAATTGAGGATGCTCTGCGACATATGGGACCGTTAAAGGCTCCCGGGGAGGATGGCTTCCCGGCAATTTTCTATAAAAGGAACTGGGATGTGATCAAAGAGCAAGTGACCGAGGAAATTCTCCAGGCTCTCGCAGAAGGGAAACTACCACCGAAGATGAATCGAACTCTGATCTGCCTAATTCCAAAGGTGAAGAAACCAAAGTCACCGAAGGATTATCGGCCGATAAGCTTGTGCAACGTCTCGTACAAAATCCTATCAAAAGTCTTGGCGAATCGGCTCAGAACCATCCTTCACAAACTGATTTCGGAAACACAGAGTGCCTTCGTACCAGGGAGGTCGATCTTCGATAATGTCCTGGCAGCGTTCGAGTGCTTTCACGCCATGAAGAAGAAAGAAAGAAGGGTGAAGCGAGGGTTCTTTGCGGCAAAGTTGGATATGGCGAAAGCTTACGACCGGGTTGAGTGGCACTTTTTGAGGAGAGTCATGGAGAAGCTGGGGTTTGAGAGGCACTGGATTAATATGATTATGGAGTGTGTGTCAACTGTGACATATTCTGTTCTGGTGAACGGCCACCAGACCCGATCCATCACGCCCAGCAGGGGACTCCGGCAGGGAGACCCGATTTCACCATACTTATTCTTGTTGTGCGCAGAGGGATTGTCTTCAATGATAGAAAAGGCGGAAAGAGAAGGAAGCTGGCATGGTATTAAGGTCAGCCAAAGGGGGCCTTCTGTCTCACATCTATTGTTCGCCGATGATTGTATTTTCTTTGCCAGGGCATGTCATCAAGAGAGTGCGAAGATAAAGCAAATATTAGCTGACTATGAAAGAGAGTCGGGACAGATGATTAACCTGGGGAAATCGGAGTTGACGTTCAGTAACAATGTGGGACAGCAAAGAAGGACGGAAATAGCGCAGCACTTGGGCATCCGAGAAGTCTCAAAACATGAAAAATACCTGGGACTACCAACGGTTGTGGGGCGATCCAAGAAGGTGGTGTTTGCTTACATCAAAGAACGAATAAGAGACAGGATACAAGGGTGGAAGGGAAGGATGATTTCGACAGCAGGGAAGGATGTGCTTATTAAAGCAGTGGCTTTGGCTCAAGGAAACTTTGTGATGTCTGTCTTTAAACTTCCAGCTAGTCTCATTCGAGAGATAAACAGTGTGATTTCGAATTATTGGTGGGGTGATAGTGGAGGGAAAAACAGAATTCATTGGAAGAATTGGAGGTTTATGGGAAAGGAGCGGGCAGTGGGAGGAATGGGACTCCGAGAGCTGGAGGCGTTCAACAAAGCGCTCCTCGTAAAGCAAGTGTGGCAACTTTTGCAAAATCCAAACTCCCTTATAGGCAGGATCCTCAAAGCTAAGTATTTCCCGCACTCGTCGATCTTGGAGGCTGCGATGGGTTATAGGCCGAGCTATACTTGGCGGAGCTTGCTCTCTGCTCGGGATCTTGTTTGTAGAGGAAGCCGATGGCGGGTAGGTAATGGAACAAGCATACGTATTTGGGATGATAAATGGGTGCCGGGACTTGAAGGTAATAAGCCCTCGCTGGGGCCTCAAGGCAAAATGGGGCTGGACAGGGTGAAAGATCTTATTGATCATGGTTCTGGTGAATGGCGTGGGGACCTGCTGGAGTTGTTGTTCTCCCCTGTTGAATGTGAAGCAATAAGAGCCATTCCGATCCCCCGGAGTGCGCAAGCTGACGCCAGGTGTTGGGATTATACAACTGATGGCAAGTACACAGTTTGCACGGGATACAAGTTGGCGGTTGAAGACCCTATTGAAGAGCCAGGGGTTGATGATCAAGAAGAGGAGGCGCCCCAAGCTCCCGTAGCATGTGACTGGTCAGCCCTTTGGAAGACTCAGGTGCCGCCGAAGGTGAGGTATTTTCTATGGAAAGTAATGCATGATATCCTCCCAACAATGTGAACCTAATGAAGAAGTTGGAGGATAAGATCAGTGCGGATTGCCCCTACTGTGGAATAGCCGAGACCTAGTTACATCGTTTCATGGAGTGTGCGTGGTCAAGGCGGATTTGGCGACTATCTTTATGGACGGATCGATACACCCATATTGAAGAAGAGACGGTACAAGCATGGCTAAACAGAGTCCTAACCACTGCAGACCAGGAAACGATTGGAGGGATTTGTTGTTTGTTGTGGTTTCTTTGGGTGGAACGAAACAATCAAGTTTTCAATGGCCCTAAGCTTGAGGAAGAGGAAATTGCGAGAAAGGCAGAAGCTATGTTCCGGGAATATAAGAGTGAGCAGGAAAAGCTGCAGGTGAATAGGGAAGGCCTGAACCGAAGAAGAGTACAATGGGAACCACCAAGTGTTGGGGTATTGAAGGTGAACACGGATGCAGGGTGCTTTGGCAACGAAGGAACCAGCCTAGCGATGGTAGTCAGAGATTGGACAGGGGAGTTTGTTTTCGCAGCTGCTAGGAGGGAGACCGAAAATTGGAGTCCGCCGATTGTTGAGGGAAGGGCCATTCTTTTCGCAATGGAGCAAATGAATGAGAGGGAGTTTGGCCCTTATGAGATTGAATCGGATTGTCTGGTTATTATAAACAGGCTGGAAAAACAGAGTGAGGATCTCTCAGAGTTAGGGACTATTTGTCAGATGATATGGAATTCAGACGGGATGCGTGACTGTCGAGCCTGGAGGCATACCAACCGAGAAGGAAATACAGTAGCACACAAGATTGCTCACTATTCTATGCATGCTTTTGATTGTAATAGCTGGTTAGGCTCTCCCCCCTCATTCGTTTTGAATGAGTTGTACTCTGATTTGAGCCATTTGGCATAATTAATAAACTACAGGAGGTGCGCTCCCTCCTTTCCCTCAAAAAAACAGGAATAGTTTAAAAGTAAAGCAATAAAGAAGAGGAGACAGGAAATCCGGAAATTCCTTATTTTAATGGATTTTCGCTCCCTTCTTTGTGATTTCCATTTTGTCTTATGAAATGCCTAATGTACTTTCTAATCCATATATTAAGCAACTTCCCAAACAAGTTAATTTTGTTAGCCCAACAACGATTATGACTACAAATCAAATCCCACTGTTTACATATGATTTCAAGCCTAGATGCCACTTTTAAGATTCTTTCAATGTCCCAAACAATCACACAAGTCCTTGTATAACCCTTTAAGTAAATAACTCTCGCACAAAAGGTTGAACTAAAGATCACAAGTTCAAATACTTTAAATAGTATTTTATTGAACATCAAATTGAAGGAAAAAAAATCAAACTGATATCTCCATTATAAAAAAAAACTTCCTCTTACAAATTAGCCTACCCTAAAGAGATAAGATAGAAGTCGAATCAGAACTCTTTAGATGCATAAATTTCCAGTTGAATTATTCCTCCTAAGCAACGAAGAGCAATGTAGATGCCTTAATATTCATATCACTGGTTTAATATGAATCGAATTATGTAATACTGCACATAAATTAGGCGTATTTGTGAAGGGACGGAAATTAAGGTACAGCATTTTCAACAGTAGAAGAGAGTGAATGTACACACTAGACTGTAAGTTGTAAATTGTAATTGCATTGCCACTGCTTGGTCGAGGTTTTCCTTACAAGTTTTGGGGAAAAAAGAAGAGTTAGGTCCATCATCAACAAAAGAGAAAAGACCAATCATTGTACACCTCTACCGATTCTCTTCGCGTACTACATTCTGGGTGTATGAATATTTCCCCAACAAGTAGAATGGTACAATTAACATACAAAATTACAAGCGCTAACAAATGGAAAACTCAGGTCCTCCTTTCCCATTTGTTTGCCAGATATTTCCCTTCCTAAATCCGTGAAGGTTACATTCTTTACTACAAGAAGCCTCCATTTTGCAACAATCCCGGGTATACCATCGACACTATCTGCTTCAACGATTTCATCGATGGATGTAGAAAAGCATGACCCTCAATCACTACAGCAAACAAATGACAAGAAACGATCAAAAATTGGGATTCAAACTGAGAAAAAAGGGACTCACAAACTTGATAAGCAAGATGGCTGGGTTAGTACTTAGTACTCACCTTTGAACAACATTTTGACACCGTTTGAAAAGCCATCCACACGCCCCAACACAGGCCTTATTCCGCAGATCTGCAGAACAGAGAGCTCCAAATATAGCGCCATCTCCAGTATCTGAACCAAGACTGAGGGGATGGACCTGGCTTCTTCATTAATGACCTTTGGTTCACATATGTCACAGATGACAGCGATAGCTTGATCCTGAGATTTCACAAAAGAACAAGTCAATACTTGAAACATCATACCCAAAGCGTGCAGATAGACCCAGAGAATGGGGATGGAGAGTACTTGTTGTCAACAGTTTAAAGCTAGCGGGTTTGTTTTTGGCTAAAAAATAACTTAACATATTAGCAAAGACGAACACACCCGTAATGTAACTACATCATCATACCTGCAAACCATGTAATATATCCGGCATTGGAAGTTCAGGTATGTGAGCAAGATCAACAAACCCCACTTCCACAGACCTCTCAGCAGCACTCTTCGCCTCGATACAAAGAAACTTCAAGAGCAGAAATGCAATCCTATACATCTGGAGGGCTACCAAGTCCGAGAAAAATGTCGGAGCAGGACCACCATCCGTGAGACCATTTGGCTGATGACCCTTTAGAACTAGGGCAGTACTGGTCACTGAGACACCAGGGAACTTGGAACTTGCTGCACAACAGTGAGGTGAAAGAGCAAACCATCCATGCTTGCTGCTTACGAACGATGCTTTCTCACAATACTCAAACTCTTCTTTAACCACAGGAGGACAAACAAGCGGACAACCTTTTATGCCAGTAAACTCACCAAGGCGGTGGTGAGCTCCTCGGCTAATAAATGCTAATAGATGAATACTCTTCTCCCTGAACTGTGAATCATCCATGTCTTTTGTAGCCTTGACCCATGAAACCCTGCGTTTTGCCAGCACACACATCAGTGTGAGAGTATTCTCTGTTTCCTTAAGAGCAATCAAAGAAGTAGGTGCACTTTGTTCCCTCGGCCTCTTCTTGGTATGCATGTCCGACGTTTCAGGTGCACTGAGATAATGAGAGACCACATAAGCCTTCTCGGCAAAAATGTAGGGTATGAAATCATTGATGATGTCATCACATGTGGAACCGTCTCCCAGTGAGTGAATCATGGAAGTGACGACAGCCAAACCAAGACCCCAGATTTCTTCTTGTGGCTTCTCGTCTTTCTCGAACAACACTCTAAGGGATGGCAAAAAGCCGGAAGCAAGGAGCATCTCAGCACCACTTCTCACACGAGCAAGAGTGAGAAGAAACTTCATTGTTGTTATTGCTGTTGCTGTTGGTATGGTTGAGAGGCGACACTTGCCATCATCTTGCAGATTTTGGATGACATGGGGCAACCTAAGATGCTCCTTTATAAGTGGAAGCCAAGTGTTTGGGGTCACGAAACATCTCAATATTAAATCAGTCGTGGTACAACAGATGGCGGAATGCTCGGCAGCACCAGTCATGCACTTGCACAAGATGGGCAATAACCCCATACAGGTATTTGAAAGTCCATCGATTTTATCAGAACCTGTGCAAGATTCCAGTGCCAGTAGCATGACCAAAGCTAGAAGCTTCGTAGACATTGTAGGCAAGACTCGATATGACTTGGAGTCGGCGAGAATCTTGAGGCCAGCACCTGATGTTTTTAAGACGAACATGACAGTCGACAAAGGCAAACCAGTTTGTATGTATCTTATCAGGCAGAGAAGCAATTCAGCCTGTGCTTCGATGAGATCGAGAATCTCTTGAGATGCATCTTCACTTGAAGATGCCAACTCAGTAGCGGTGTGAATATGTTTGCAAATGTGATCGATGCAAGCAACACATTGTTGAATTGAAAACATTCCATGAGCATTGTCCTTCTTAGATTGCTGCAAAAGTAAGTACCAGGCAATTTACAAAAGAAATCTCATAGATATACAGAAAATGCTTCCAAAAAATCTGAAAAGAAAAGGACAATCTACAAAGGCTTCCTTCCAAGTAATCAGCAGCTAGATGCCGGTAAACTGGAATGAAGTGAGAAGATGCCAACGATAAATATTTTGAAAATTATACAAAGCTCAAAAGGATAGCGACTCACATTGTCATAGAAGATGTTAAAGATGGTTGTCAATTCCCTGAGGGCAGAATGCTTCGAACTCAAAACCAAAAGCATTGAGTTCACTTCCTGCATGTAGTCCAGCATATTCTCTGCAATTGCTTTTGAGGCTTTCCAACTCGTGTAATCCCACAAATCTAGTCCCAAATCCTTCTTTAAGCATTTGAGATCATATAAATAAACCTCTTTTGTAGATGGAAGATGTCCATTATCGTACTCTCTTTTATAACTCTCAAAGGAATTTGACTGAACCAGATACTGAGTAAGTTCTTTGAATGCCCCATGCTCTATTATCCGGCCTTCAAGTTCTCCTTGAAGATGATAGTATAGATCATCGAGTATTAGAATTTTGAGTTTGTCTCCTTCACTAAGAAAGAAAAAAAAAACAGCCAAATCAGAAGATCTATAATTGCAGCAGCCTATGACCTATAGGAAATAAATCTCCATTCACAGCCATTCAGTTTAGGAAACAGTAAGTTCTAATTAGATGGTAACAAGATTGAAGTAAGAAAAACTTATGTGACAGTGAAAGCAAAACCAGTACAACTTAAGAAGTCTTGTAGAATGAATAATCAAATTCAAAAGAATATTTACCTGTAACCACGATGCGAATATTGGGCCACCAAGTCCAAAAATGCAGGCTGACTGCTTAACTGCAAACATTAAACATGGAGACAACATAAGAAAAAATCAGCATTATTAAATAAGAAACTGTAGGGGAGTTCACAGCAAAAGACTGGATGAACACGGCTAGAACAGACTGATACATTTTCAAAATCTTTCCCAATCTTCTCAAGCAAGGAAACAGACAAACTTCCAGAATCTCCTTTCGCAAATTTCCCCATTGCATGGACACTAAACAAACTGGATGCGACCTGCAAATTATACATGATGTTGTTATGTACTAAATTATCAATCCAAACAGTCCCGGGCAATTATTTGGGACATTAGGTTGCACAGTTACACATTAGCACCCAGGGAGAGTTGTGAGAGCACAAATTACCTAGAGTCACCAAAGATGACATAAAAGGGGGGAAATCAACGCAAAAGATCAGGAAGATGAAGTACAAGATCACCTTTGAGTGATAAAAGATTTTGCTTTCATATTCACAAGACGTATATGCATTGATCAGGCTGCCAAGTATAGATTTTTCACACCAACTTGCCCATACATCTCTTGTGCCAGATTGATCTGAGTCCGATCTTCCTGAGCTTGGTGCACTTTCTCGCTTCCTATCTGTATGAGAGGCTCCCTTCAGAAGCAACTCAGCATGCATCAACTTTTTCTCCAGAAACATATCAAATGCCATTATTTCCAAAATTGCAGATTGGCACTTATATTTCAATGCTAAGCTGTGCGCCTCCATTTCAGACAATTTTTCAAGGGAAACATTTTTGGAAGCAGCAACTGATGAGATACAACCGGACAAGTGCTTCCAGAATTTCCCAGAACTCTTCAAGGAATCTATGATAGTAATATAGTGTCCAGCCCCTTGCCACAAGGCCCTCACGAAATGTAAAACACTCAGCAGTATGCGAGGATTGCTGGAGATATAGTGGAAAGAGGGGGGAAAACACAGCAGGAATTAAAATCACGTATGTGCAAAACCAAAGTATCAGAAAATAAAAAACTTGGGCAGTGGCGTCACAAAACACTAGATGTACCTATACTATGCCAAATCAAATCATCAATATGGTACACACCAAAACACATAAAGCCCAAGACAACTATTCCCTTCAGTAATTTGAGTAAATCTATTTTTAATTTTGATGGATAAATAACTTCAGAAAGGCAACCTGTTCTAAAATGGAAAGCGAAATCTTGATTGAGAACCAGGATCAAATGAATTCTTTACAAATTTCCAAGGAAACAAATTGCAATGGCAATGAATTCGAAAAGTAAAAAGTAGTTATGTAGACGTAGACAAAACCAAATCAAGACTTAAAGTCAGCTTAAATGTCATCCTTCATGTAGCTCTTGCCTTTAGTGCAATAAAAAATATGTACAGCACAAGAACCCCCTACTTGCCATGGAAGAGATCTTTGATAAAAATACATTCGCAATCATTATAATACAGTTTAGGTGGATTAAATTGCATTTTCAACTCGATACAAAAATAAGATTCCAAAGTTCGGAATTCACAAGTTCTAAGAGAAGGAATGAGCTGGGTATAGTCAGTCGACAACTAATAAATCATAGCATAATAACCAGTGTACTAATCAATGAAACCTAAAGGACGTTTCATTCAACGAAAGATGTTTCCCCCTTTCTACAATCTTTAACTCCAGGGACCATCTTATTCAAAGGTCTATCACTATTACTTTTGGATTTTCCAGATCAGTGGTCAACAGTTGCATTGCTTCAGAAAACATGCAAACAAACAAAATATGAATTCAGCACAAGCTAAATCCGATGTGAACATACCTTGTAATTAGATCATTAGATCTTTCCACGTATGTCATCAAATCATCTGATAAACTTGCTTTCTTGGACGCTGGTGCACCATGAATTTTTTTGCTTGTTGGCATCTTTGTTTGACTGTTATCACCCACCTTGACTCCAGCAATATCATTTGGAGAAAATATGGATACAAGAAAAGCAGGCTGCAATGGTAAAAACATGTATCAGTTTCTCAGCAAAGAATATATTTCAGAGATCTGTGTAAGATCAGGCAGACTGAACTTTTACTCAATATGACTCGTGCACATGTTAAAAATTTCTGGCAATACCTGGAACTGAACTATAATACAAATGAGCGCAGCTTACAAACAAAACTTAGCACAATTAATTTTTTGACCGACCGCTAGCCAGAACTTTTTTCTGTTATTCTACCTATGGGCAGCAATTAGCAGTCTTGGTTTGAATGACCCTCTCTAATCCAAGGCCTGTTTCCCAGAACATGAAGAAACAGAATAGATATAGCTGGCCCGGTTGCATTCTGAATTGTAACATCTAATTTGGCCAATTGGACCAGAAAAGGTTAACAGCCTATTTGCATATAAATATATGCAAGTGGTTCACTTGCGGAAGTACATACATTATGCATATAGATGCTATCCAAGTATAAAAATTTCGGAACAGGTATCATGCATTAAATTTGTAATCCTAGCAAGTCATAACAAACCTGTCAACTTTCGAACGAAAAAGAATAAAAAAAAACCCAACCTTATAACATGCGGCAGAAGTGAACACATTCATTAGAGAAATGTATAGATCTTCATTGTGCTCCAACAGCTCAAAGAGAGCACGTCCGAAATATTCTGTTAAATCTGTAATCTACAACAAAGAACTTAAATTCAGAAAGGTTACAGAACTGAAAGAACAGAAAACAATTCAGATACAAATAGGTACAAACCTGATTATTATCGAGGACAAACCACACATTACCAGACAGATATGGTTGTAAATATTCAGTCGTAATCAACAACATCGCTAGCACCCTAGCAGCACCAACTTGCACTGTCTGCAGAAAAGAAATTAATCAGAAAAACAAACCAAAAACAGTGAAAATGTGTAGCTTGTGTGTAATCAACCTAACAAGTGCACAAATAAAAAGTTCTAAAAAATAGAATGCATTGTTATGAGAATCAAACAAAGTTAAGAAGAAAAACGGACAGAAGTTGAAGCCTGAAGGTAACCAATATTGATCTGCTTATTCCATCATACATCCATCAATTAGAAGCATGAACCTATTCTACCCAGCTATTTTTTTTACTGAACCAGCACTTCATCTTCACAAAATATTTTATCAAGGTTCCTTAAGAATTTCAAGAGACAAACTTACTAAATCCCTCAGTAAGGTGTGTTTCTTTACTATTATACTGTTGAACGGTTCACACTGCCGTTTTCTCGAAAGATGCGAAAGTTTTCTACCGCAATACTAGTGTGCTATAAAAGGGAAGTTTTTAGTCCAAAAGTTTCCTAAAAAGGACAACAGACCTTTTCCATAATGCCATTAGCATCAAGTATCTAACACATAACAGAACATACAAAGTGCCAAGTAACACATAAGCTAACAACCTAAAGAATCAAGGAGGCAGGAACCCTTGAGAAAACACAATGATTATAGTCTTTTATGGAAGGGGAAAAAAACACTGGCACCATCCAAAGACAGTTGCTTTTGTCAAAAACAACCAAAAAACCACATGGAAATCATTAATCCAGAAGGAACCAATTAAAGGCTGTACATACTCATCTAATACAACATCAATAAGAAACCACCTGTATCCCCCGTGCATTAAGGGTCTTCAAAATAGAATGGGAGGCCAGGAAAATACACTTGTGTTAAAATCAGTAGTTCATCTCGGACATGAGTAGAGTAGCACTTGTAATGCAAAAATCTCAAACCAGATATACCATAAACAAAAGGTTCAGGTTATACAGTGAAGCAAAATGCATACCGGATTTTGGGTATATGACAACAAGGATATAGCAGCAGCAGCAACAGAATCTGGTTTTTCCGCAGATAAAAGCACTACTTGATGAAATAAAGGTATATTGCTAGAAATATCCTGAAATGGGAAATTCAGTGATTAAGAAACAAACTAACTAAATGTGCAAAGGCTATAATGTGAATAATAGACAAATGAAACTAACATGATAATTGAACCTCGGATACTTTCTTTCTGAAGACAACAGACAGTCTGCCTATGAATATAATAACTTCAATAAACTAATCGAACGATAGATATTTGAGGTTTGCTGCAAATATACTGTCTATCTAGATAGGATGGTCGTGGTGGCAGAGGAGATTAGCCAGGGTTTTTGAAGCGGGTTTCAAGAACTGGTCTAGGTTTGGAGAATATACAAACAGGGAGATGGTGCGGGGCATAGTGCCTTAAGCCACTTTAACCACTACACATATAAATTCATAACACCTGGGCTCATCATGTAAACTTTCCCTATTTATGAAATGATATTGGAAAGGTAACAAGACAACTACTGACAGGCACTCAAAATAAATGTACAATAGACAGTGTTGGCTAAAACATACCTTGGAGAACTCAGATAGCATTATGTACATAACATCTAAAGCAGAACCTATAGCAAACTCAAATCCTTCAATCTCAGTCAGTTCAAAGAGACGGCTGCTATGGAGTCTCTGCAGACATTGTAATAAATAAATAAATAAATAAATAAATAAGTGCGGTTAGTTGCCAATATTCATCAGGAAGACAAAAGCAAAGAAATATGTTTAACATCACTGACCTCCAAGGTATGCTTATTATTACAGACGAGTCTAAAGATTGCACTGTGAATTGAAGAGTCCCATAGCAGCAAATCACGGATGATAATTCCCAACTTTTCTAGATATGAGCCTGCTGCAATGCATGTTTTCATCAATTCCAATACCTATATCAGTAGGAGTAAGACCAATCCGTCAGCAGTTAACAAAAGGAAAACAAACATTGGCTCCCTTGTATGGGTAGTCCACAAGAATTGTTCCCCCAAGAACTGGCCTCCCATTGATAGTTTGGAAAACAGCCAGAAGCATGATCACAAAGAAATGAAATAAGAGTCTAGAATACTAGCTCAATTTCAATAAAATAATGCTTAAACATCTATAATTGAATCTACATCTTTTCACCCCCTTCACTAATAGTGTGTCCTTGGAAACTGAATTTGCCATACAGGCCTACACCCAACCATATTTTGGAATATATATTCAAGTTTCCTTTCAAAGTTATAAACAAGTCTGAGACACACTAGTACTTCATCCACAGAAATTCATACATTGAACTCCACAAATAAGCTAAAAGAAATATTGAACGGACATGACACATCTACATTCTAGTCCACCTGCTTAATAGCCTCAGCTTGTTGCGCTTCAGTTCAAAACAACCCAGCAAATGAAATAACCCCATGCTTGAGAAACATACAAGACAATGCTACACTGCCAGCACAAGTTGCAGCAGTGAATAGACTCAAAAGCTAGTGTACCTTTAGTGTTACTCTCCATCGAGCATGCTTCACCTTGTACTTCCAAGAGTCATGATTAACTAGAACATATTGTAGACAGAAAGCAACTAATGCAAGTACGGAATCGCTTTCGATTCTCCTTTCCACCAGGTTAATCGTAAAGTCAAGAACTGCAAATACACGAAATACTCATGAGAATGGAGGCCAACCAGACAACAATTGTATGCTGCACTAACATACACATAGGTGTATTCAGGAAGAATGCTGGACATCCAATAAAATGGCAAATACCTAGGTAACATTTCCCAGCATACCTCAATACTATTCTGGAAGGCAAAAATTATACAGCATAAATTGAATGCACAATCAAACATACATCAACAAGACTAAAGGCACAAAAACTAACAACCGCATAGGATGGCTTAAGCAGACTAATATAATAATACTAATTGACCAAAAAAATGCTTCAACAAGATAGGCAAAGCAGAACCAATTAAATAGAAACAGGACACTATGTTCATCCTGCCATTGACCAGGCCAAACCCATAAACCCACAAAGAAAATTGCATCTCATAAAACATCCAAATAACAATGCCTATGCATTGATGACTCTATATAGAAGAAACAATCCAGAGGATAAAATTCACATCAGAAGAAATCTGAGGAATAAAATACAGACTGAATAAAATAAATCAATTCAACCATCAACGAAGTAACAGCAAAACGAGTACAACTAAAAACGAAACAGATAAAGAAAAAAGTACACCGTACCTGATATAACCAATGGGATATCATAATTGTTCTGTTCAGAATCAATTAGGAGCATCTTTGCAAGTTTTCCAGAAGGCAGCCAAGACCCACTGCACCAAATAAAGCATCAGTACGGACATTGAGGACTAAGTACAAGCTACAAGGATACTGCACCTGAGAAGTATAAACCAATTAGCTGCAATGTCCAACCCCGTAAGAAAGAGGGGGGAGGCAAAATGATGTCCTATTCGCCCCTTATCTAGTGAGACTAAAGAACTTGGAAAGGCTTAACTCTATAGTAACTAAGCCATTCAGAGATCATTCCGACTAACCATCAACCAATCAGATGCTCAATACAAAACATTCAAAATGAAACCAAATGGCTATCTACGATAGCATTCACAGCTTGTAGGAACTGCTGGAGGGAAAATGCTTAGACATTTTGCATTTGATACTTCCAAATGGTGTCCAGAGAATCATAACTGAGAAGCAAATACAAGTCTTCGTCCACAAATGATACCTTGACGAGCCTTTATTCCCAAAGTCAAACATACTGGTCCTCGAAGCCATCTCAAAAATATTTGCTTTTACAGCCACAGCAACAACAGTTGGAGCACTATAAAAAAGAGAAGGAAATAAAATTGGTGTCATAATCATCCATTGCATCAACAAATCCATATGTTTATCAGAAAACCGCTGAGCAGTTCAGGCATTTGGAGGAGTTTATAATAAACAATACAGGTACTTGGAGGTGTAAGAACTAGAACACATGGACGGAAGCAATAAGGGATCCATATGATGTCAAGAGGACAATAAGGAGCTGAGTATAGATAGGATAACAAAGGATTGGATACCACTTAATCATCTCTGCCAAAATACTGGCTCCCATTGACATTTGTACAGCACCAGCAGAGCTCGGAGATGAATTTCTTATTACTGCACAGATGATCTCAACCACCCTGCATTCGAGCAAAATCCAGACTGCTTAAAAGAATAAGAATAGAAATGGATAGAACAGAGGAAGCAATTGAAACACGAATCATAAAAGAAACTAATAAGAGAAGCATTACTAAGAAATGCTTGATCATGATTACCACGAATTCTTTTCCATCTGATTGCTTGGTCCAGCTGGTATCCGATAAAATGTACTGCCAATGTCCATTAGAGAAAAAGTAACACCCTGCACATAAAGGCTACATTCAGTAGCAAATGCAGATACTTGAACCATCTTATACCTCTGTTATATTCAGATGCCTTTGAAACGGTTGAGCTAATAAGTGTAAAAAATTTAGAATGATCTACTTTATAGTGGTTTCAGTTGAAAATAGACACAATGGGAGAGAAAAAAAATTGTAGTCCCATTTACATATCTGATGCATCATGCATGGTATGCTTCATGTCTATTCTTGAATCCAAATCTCTAATTGAAAAACACATCTCTAAATGCAATTCCTAAGTTCAGCTGGGTTTTAATATTTTTTAATCAATCGGTGACAAATACTTCCATAGTGACTTACAGAGTTACATGAGACCAATCGTCTAAGAAGGTCAAGAATGAGAAATCCTTCTTTGTTGCCCTCACATTGCAGTGATTGTGCCAGACGCATAAGCAAGATAAGCAGCCCTGATTGCTTATACTACAAGGAAGAAGTGTATGTACAAGGAAATGAGCACATGGTTTCCCCATATTAAAAGGCTCAATGTTCAATACCAAAGCATCAAAGTGCGGCAGAAAGATGTTCACAAAATAAGGAAGATTGCAAGTCTCACACAACATTTGACTGCAAAAAATATACCTTAGAATTCATTATGATAAACAGGGGAACTGTAAATACTATCTTTCAGTAAAGAACTATGTTGTTTAGATTGTCATAGAACCAGATGAAACGATCTTTAGGATTAGAAGACGAAGCAAATCCCCCACTGCATAAGCAGAGCGCACCTAGTACCTTCGGAATTTGGTGTCATTTGTGTGATGAAATAATTCTTTCAATGTGACACCTTAACCCTAGAAAGTAACTTCTTGTTCTTTCCACAACCTAATTTTGTGCTTACACACTAGTGAAAGTCAACGGGGTCCAAAATTTCCCAAAATCCACAATTCTCAACCTAATTAGAGTTCAAAGTCAAATAGGATGTTTCTCCTAAATCTACATCACTATGCCAGTAATTTTCATTATCCTTTCATGAATCTTGTCTGATGACAAAAGTGGGGGGTGAAATCAAACAGCTGCCATGTTTAACTCCACTAGCCATATCAAAAAAATTTGAAACCATTTCTGCTTTTACCTCCCATCGTACTAGGGCATTTTTAGCATTTAGAACTCTCAGAATCTGCCCACGAGTCTTTGGAGGCACAACCAAGCCTTCAATTCCAGGAATACGCAATGGCTGTCGCGTCTCAACAATCTGTGAAGCTTTGTCGACAATGGAGTCACTAGTAACTTCAAACAATGATGATATGCCAACAGATCTATCAAGGAAAGTATACCTGTTGATAAGAAGCTGAATGAGTAAATGAAATCAATAAAATCACAAATGATTAACATGACTGAAGTCTGAACGGGCAGGAGGGAGGCTGAAGCACATCAGAATTTTCTTCTTCCTGCTTATCTGAGCAAATTACTCTAACAACGATCAGGCCATTTGTCTCTAATACTAGTTCGAAAGACATTAACCCGTTTAATTACCTTTAATATTTGCACAATTTAAATGATAATAACAGAGAACTACCAAAAATGAATGCATACATCCTCAGGTGGAAACAAATTCCATATTCTCTCAAAACAACATATATTTCAATTTCTAGCACCTGCTCTCATGCAAATCACAAATACGCTCAGAACTATTGCACGCAAAGATAACCGCTTACACGCATTCTGCAGGCCAACTTCCTTCTGAGAGGGAAGATAAAAGATGAACAAGTTCCAAAGTCCTGAATGGGAATTCACCCTCTAAGTTGCACAAAAGACACCTGATTGGGCCATCAATAAAACTTTCCTTGTCCCAGAACTGAACACAAAGCGACTCCTGCAATGTTCGGAAAAACATCATGCTACAGAAATGACAAAGAAACCGGAGCAGATCCCACATAAAGTTTGTAAATATACGAACCTCCCCACGATAAATTTTACAAAGAATATCCAGAATGAGACTCAGGCTACGATTTTCCAACTGCAGTAAAGAGAAATTGTTGAAATTAAGAAACATCTTCACTAACAATTTAAAAGACAATCCAAGAGGCCCAGATGAATACCTGGATATTAATTTCATATGAGGCAATAAACGCCGAAATAGTCGTTCGCAGAACACTACGGTAACCAGCCACAGGCCCCTAGACAGGTAGGAAGTCATAAAAAAGTAAACCAGATGCCATGTTGTCTAATTAGCACATGAATAAGCTGGATAGCAGCACATGCTTTGCGGGGAAAAAATACCACTAAGAATCTAAATGAAGAGTAGCTTACATCTGACTCGTGCAACATGTCACTTTCAAGAATTTCCAGAAAGTAGCTTAAAGCTGCACCTTCAAATGCTTGCCGTACATAACTAACATGATCAATATCCTAGAAAACAAAAATACTAATGAGAAGGTGGAAGCGAAAGAAGTTAAGGCTGGTAGCTAGGGGTGTCAATTCGGGTTCGGTTTTTCGGGTTTACCCGAAACCAACTCGATTATATACATTTTCGGTTTTTCGGGTTCGTTTCGGGTTTTTCGGTTTCGGGTTCGGTTTTGCTTATCGGTTTTTCGGGTTCCGGCTAAAAACCTCCAATGAATAGAACTCAGCCCGTATTTTTAGGCGTTCGGGTTTTCGGGTTTCGGTTTTGCTTTAACCGAACCCGATAAGAAATTTTCGGGTTTCGGGTAACCAGAACCCGCAAGTCCTTATCGGGTTCAGGTTCGGTTAAAGCAAAACCGAAACCCGAATGCCTAAAAATACGGGCTGAGTTCACCGGAACCCGCAAGTCTTTATGGGGTTCGGGTTCGGTTTTAGTGATTTTCGTTTTCGGGTTTTGGTTTGGGTAACCGAACCCGACCCGAACTGACACCCCTACTAGTGGTAGCCACAAACTAACACAGGAAAAATACTATACCTACCGTTACCACATCAGCTTGCTCTTTCACTGGAAGGGAAGTAATTAGACAGAGAAACACTGCCCATGCAAAAAGCAACCCTGCTACTTCTTTCTCCTCCAACACATCAAAACCAGATATTAATGAATCCATTTGTTGGATATCAGTGACAGTGAACCCAGATACTCCCTTACTGTGAAATGATAAATAGAAGCATGGATTAACACAGCTTTCCACAAAATAAATGTTGAAGACACATATAGTTCAACCATACACCTTAATTCTTGTATACCATACAAATATTTCATGTATCCACTCCCAAAAGATAACAAAGCAAATACAAAGTGACAGCTAAAATACTGTATAGTGACAATTTCAAAAACATAGGCAAGTACATCTACCATAGAAAGCAAATTTCGAGAGGAAGTTCAAAATACAGAGCAAGGCTAAAACCTGAAAGGAGTTCCATCATGAACCAACTGAAGAAGATTTTCAAGATCCAGCGTCTCTATGAGGATAAGTAGTAGCTGGACTTTGGCTTGATAACAAGACTTCACTGCTTCAGTTGATAATGCCAACTTTCCAAAGTTAAAAGACCCAGATACAATCCCCTGTTGAACAGCATTTATGACCCACATGAACAGAAGTGTAGCTAACTAGAATATAGGAGAAGGTAGGGATGATAGTGACGCACCCTGTATAGTGAACAAATCTTTCTCCACATCTCACCATTACATATGCAAAGAGACTCATAGTAAATCAGAAAGAGGATGTCCAAGACCAAGTTATCTTCAATCAAAGTCTCTTCAGCCCATAAACTGACAAGGTCAACATCCTAAAAAAGCATTTGCACAATTGGAACACGTTGAGTACTGATGAAAGAAGGAAAATATCCTAACTTACAGTTTACTAATATGTGTGAATGAGGCAGCCAGAAAACTAAGAAACTAAAAAAAAAGCATACAACAAATGAAGGATTCTTCTGGCCGAATTGGGCTTAAACCAAAGCCATTAACCAGATCACTTCACTATATCCTTTAGATGCAAAATAGATAATTAACAGAACTAAATTAACTGACAGCTAAAAATTGCAAGTCTAGGCAGTAGGTACCACATGCCACATCATGTAGGTAATTCATCACATGCAAGGACTAGCTAACAGATCCAAATGGCATATCCATCAAGTACATGTATAACACAAGATTTTAAGAATTTGTATCAAATTACCATCTGGACGGGATGAGTAACAGATAGAAGGTCCTGAAGAACAGAGATCAATTTAAGCTCCAACCCATCAGAAATTAACTTCAATCCCTCGTCTCTAATAAAATTCTCTCCTTTGGAGCTAATTCCAACCAATACTGCATCAAAAGGTTCATGGAAGGGATTATAACATTAAAACTGGAAGTCAGTTTATAGTGTTGCTTTAAATAGAAAACTTTGCCAGTTATGCAAAGAAAGTTTCAAGGATTCCAGGTCCAACTAGTTGTGAAAACAACCTAAGTATCAGAGAGGAAGCCAAGTGATTACTTACATGCATGCATCAGAATTTGCCTCGTACACTTGAGCAAGCATTGTCGCTCAATGTAGAAATCAAGCAATGCCTTCGCAAAACAAAAGCAAATACAAAATTTTAGGAACTATTTTTAATTATGCAGTGATAATGCATAAGTTTTATGAAATAGTTCAATTCTATGTGCACCAAGAAAGTTAAAGCAAATTAACAACAAGGATAGAGCATAAAGCAAACATAACAGTGAAAAGTGTCACTTAAGTTAGAAAGTGCAAGATTCTGTCAACTTTTGTGTGCTATTTATACCACGTTCTCATTTTGAAAGCCTGACTTCTTATGTTGACGCCATAAAATTAAGATGAAAAAGAAAATTACTAGACACTAGAGAGCTAGGTCATTACATCTCCAAGTCTATAGCTGATTTGCTAATTCTTCCTCTGCTTCTCCTACTTCTTCAATTCACGTCTTCTTCCCTTCTTTCATCTTGTTTTTCTCCTCCTAATGTTTAACTTAACTAATCTTATTGGAGTTCTTCATGTTCTGATGAAGTATTGGTTAAATGCCAATCGTCTTGTTCCAGTTAGCCTCACAATACCCCTAGCCTAGCACTCACTGCACTTTGCTCCTCTGAAGACCATGATTAACAATAGTCAAACTATCCACTACTGACAATGTTCACACACAATGGTCAGAAAGACAGAAACTATAGTGAGCATTCTATTTGATTAGCTGTTTCCTGGGTTTTTTGCATAGGTAAAGATTAATACGGCTCACCAGTCACAAACACCATCATTTTCCAATTTCCAGATACCCTTGAAATTCTGGACCAATGAAACCTAATCTAAGAAAATTGCAATTAGGAACCTCGATAGTCATATTAATCTAAAGTACACTAGGAACCTGTTGCACAGCAACAACCTAAATGTAAGACATTTTTAACTGTTGAAGAACAAGAGGAGAAACAGTAAAGCTACGAACCAGGTGCATGTATTCTTCTGCAATTGAGTCAATGGATAAACCATTGCGTTCGAGAGACCTCTCCACAAGAATATACGACTGCACTTCATCTAACGACTGCACAACCAACAGAAAATTGAAGTCAACATACATTACTACGTAGTAGTCATCTTAAATCTCCGTAAACGGAAAGACGAGTTCTCTTCATAAGCGGGCTAATGTGGGACTTTTTCTTCAAGCGAATGAATATCGACAGAGCTATTCTTGCTTGGAGAACAAACTCACCGCACAGGAACTAATCCGGAGAGCTTTATCTTTCAGTTGAGGTTTTATACTCAATTCATGAGACCCAATTTTCAGTTTATCCGCGTTCAGAGCTTCTTTGGAACTGGCATTTGGCGGCTTAAACCGAGACACGGTTTCCACGAACCAGCCATGATTCTGCTTAAGCTTCGCCGCCTACAAACACGAAAGCAAGCTCTGCCACTGTAAGTAATAGTCAAACGCAGATTACCGGTTCGAGAGAGAAGGGAAATTGGCCTACTAGCTGTGGAGGTAGGTCGGAGGAGAGCGAGGCGTTTTCTAGTTCACCAAGAAGCGATGAGAAAGAATCCCACCAAAGTGAAGAGTCAACGGACTTCTGATTCGACATTCTAAGGGAAGCCAGAAACTGACTGAGACTTCAAACCCTAGAAGCACCACATCGGCCGGCGGCGGACGGAGGAGGGAGGGACCGGGGGAAGAGAAGAGTAGCAAGTGCAAGTTTTAATTTTTTTTCTTTTCGCGCTTTTTGGGGTTTAATTAGGGGTTTCGGCCTTCGGGAGCGGACGCAGCACGCAGTTGCTGTTGCCTGTGTAGAGCTGGAGCGTAGCTTTTTCAGAATCGGTTGGCCCGGTAACCGTGATTTATATATTCGGTTGGGTTACTAACATGATATCATTATTTTTTTACGGGATGATATAATCATATTTTGACACAACATGGTATAATCATTAAGATAACTAAATAAGTTATTTGCAATGACAAGATTCCTGTACACCGAGACTTGGATTACTATTTATTTAGACTCAAAATTCCTATTCACCTTAAATTATTGTTTGCCTTCCTCATATTGGTCCCTGGTCTGCGGTTGGACCCTGGTGTGTTTTGTCTTGCTTTGGAAGCCTGATAATGATTGGACTGTCGCCGATTTTCCCAGCCCCGGGATAGCTTTATTTGGTGAGGGTGTTTGTTGTGGATAGCGCGCCGGCCTCAAATCAACAATCATTTCCACTTCTCTCTCTCTCTGCCCTTCTGCTGCAAACCTCAAATCACAACTGCTATCTCTCAAACCTTATGCTAATCATCATGACCACGACCTTCCTTGTCGTCATTTCGCGTCTGCAAGCCGGCCTCTCTCTGCCACAGAATCCGCACCGGGCTCAAGTGGGCGACTCTCTTTAACCTACCCAAAGCACCATATCTCACCCCATTCTTCCTCTCTACTTTTTTGCCATTTACCACACTTTCTCTTTGCTCTTTCTCTCACTTCTCTCTACACCAATGTCTCTCATCTCTCTCTTTCTCTCACTTCCCTTCCTTCTTTGTTTTCGAACCTCTCTCCTCCTGCTCTCACTTCTTCTCTCTGTTAAGCTTTCTCCAATGGCGAGTCTCTGCGCCTTTGATAGCGAGCTACCAGAGAGCAACTAACTGCTAAAGTCGAGGATGCCATGGCCTCATGGGATTCGGGTTAGTTTCCGGTCTCAAGGCTTTTGTTCCAGTTAGATTCCGATCTCGAAGCTTATGTTTCGTTTTCTTCTCCCTTTGTCGTATTGATTTAGACAAATCCTGCAGGGATTGACGGCATCCAATGATTTGAACTTGGCTTTTTCATGATGGGTCGATGTTGGAGTAGTGGCGCTTCAATACCCTGAAGTCTCTCTCCCCGTCTCACTGCCCGCGCACCGATTTCTGTGGTTCTGCTTGATTCATGGTCAGATTTGATTTACCTGGTTTCTTTCCTCTCTCTCTCTCAGTCTATCTGTGTCTCTCTTTGATTGGTTTGGGGTGCTTTTTTTCATAGATACTTTTGGTTGTACCATCTTCATCAATGATCAGAGGCTGCTGGGTTGAGTGGCGGATTTGAGTGATGCACACGTGAAGAGGAAGATTTGTCGGTTACGGTGAGCTTTCAATCTCAACCTTTTTGTTTTTGTTCTTTTTTCGGATACTGATTCCTTCTGTTTCGCTTCCAGAGCAAATGTTATCGTCGTCTCCGCCAGAGATAACAGCGAGGTTGTTCTCTCTCTCCTAGATGGATCCGATTCATATCTTCTCGACTCCATCTTGAGGGTTTATATTGTTACGATTTGATTTATTTGGTCGCAGATTTGATGTCGTAGCAATGAACGAATGAAGGTAATGCCTTCTATTTAGTATTTACATTTTTCTTCTCCCAATCGTCCCGAAGTAAAGCTTAAGATAATCAAAGATGGTTAATTCTTCTTTAGATTTTTCTTTCGTCTCTTTTTACCCTTGTCTCCCTCGGTTTTGTGGCTGGCAGATCGATTTGGAGCGGCCAGAAGGCAAACGTGCTACTGAAATTTTGTGCAGGTGAATAAACCAAAACATTGAACTCTTAATTAGGGATGGCAATCAAACCCATGCCCGCGGGTACCCGACCAAGTCAACACAGGGAATCCCCAATTTGACCGGGTATGGAGTGGGTATGAGTAAAACCCGCAAAAAGTTTGATGGGTATGGGGCGGGTATGGTTTTGACCTCCCCCGCCCCATACCCATACCCGCCCCACCAAGAGAATTTCTTCACATATAAAAAGATATGTGGATTAAATTGTAATCTATCAATGGTGATGAGGATAACTCGAGGAAATAAATAGTAGAAATGCAATTGAGTGACCAGTTTAATTAAATCTAATTCATTTTCCTCAATCTCCTTTCACTCTTTCACTTCCCCCTTGTCAACAAGATTATGTTAGTTAATTATTACTTAGTAGATGTATCAGAGTTAGAAGATAATATTTTAAAAAATATTATACTCTACATTATGTATTAATGGATGTTTTAGATTCATATACTTTGAACCATATTAAGAAAATGATCGTGTTTTGTTGACTTCATGATATAATAGGTTCGTTTAGAGGTATAATTAAAACTTTTCTTGTAAGTTTTAGGTATAATAATGTTGGATGTACGGGTACGGGTATTACCCATGGGTATCCGAAACCCACGGGTATGATGATGGGTTTTCAAAACATTCCCCCGCATGGGTATGGGGCGGGTACGAGTTTGGATATTTGAAGATGGGAATGGGGATGGTTTAGACAAACCCGCCCCATTGCCATCCCTATTTTAATCCTTTTTTCCTTCTCATTCTGCAGATTCTTTGATTTGATAAGATTAACAAGGATTTTGAGATGAATCAAATTTGTGGGCTCTGTTTAGTCTCACAAGATTGTTGGCACTCTCTGTGTCCTGGATGTTAGCAATTCGTTGATGCTTATCAGACCCTCCATTCTTTCTGTTGTTTCTTGGTTGCTTGAACATGGTGGCAACTGATTGCAATGGTATCCTAGCGTGTGTATCTTTAAGTTTTCTCTCCACTATTTCTTTCCCTTTATAGGTTCAAAATAAAGGGTGTTATAATTTGTCCAGTGGTTGAGTTTTCTCCTCATTTTTCTAAGACGGTTAGCTTTCTTCAAATTGATCTTAGAAGCATGGACGAATGAATGGTCATGGTTGGATGTTTCTAAGTCTGAGTAAGACCAATTTCTGATGGTTGTTTGTTCTCTACAACTCGAGTCTTTTTTGGCTGTAAAAACATGTCATGGTTTTTGTGAGCCATATTGCAATGAACTATCATGCTAAGCATAACAATGGGGTGAGTAATGATTTACTCGACATATACTGTCTATCGTAATAGCTCGCTAGCTTGTTTGTTCTTAGCTCTATGACATACTTTGCAGCAAATCTAAAATGCTAGACTGTCCCTATCACGTCATTGGAAATTTTTGCTCGGTTTTGCTGTAAATTGTTCTGTTTTTGTTTTGGGGGATTGTTTATTTTGTTTGTCTCTGATAGGTTAGCTAAGTTGGGTCAAGCTAGTGATTAGGTTCTCCTCCAAAGAACTTCAATTACTATGGGGTCATTTGGATGCAGGTTTTGGGTGTGGGATTTGGGCACAATCCCACATAGTGTTAAAATCACTCATTTGGAAAGCAATTATATGATAAGAGATTTTAAATATTAGAGATTTCAAAAACCCACAATTGTGGGATTGTAAAATAGCTGATGGTCATCAGCTATTTTAAAATTCCACACAAATTCCACAAATTAAAAACCTGGGTTTTTAAACCAGTGATTTGAGCCAAAATCCCACAAATTAAAAACCTGCATCCAAATGACCCCTATATGTGTATCTTCTGTTGTTAGTAGTTAGGGTAGGGTGTCCTCTTATGGTCTTCTTTATGTCATTTCAAGCTCAGGCTGTATCAGCATGATCATTAGGTTCGAATAACTGAAATGCAATACTTATGTTACTGTTTGTAAGGAGCATGATAGCCCTGCTTTTAGCGTTTTAGCTTTCAGGTTTGAAGATTTATATGTTACTTTGGTTTCCAGGCTGTAATTGCAATACAAAGAAACATGGTGTCACTTTTAGCTATTTATATTAGTCAAATGCATGATCTAATTGTCACCCATTTTTTGCAGTCATCTACAAGGAAATCGTATAGTTGTGCACAAGGGACAATTCCGTTGTAGATTGGAACTTCTTCTTTGAAGATTGAGCAGTGTCAGACTGTCAGTACAAGCATGTTAATTAATTAAAAAACTGGACATGTAAACCTTTTGTATCATTTCATGCTTAGGTTATTACTTGGTGAAGTTTCAGCTCTCTAATGCTTTTGGTTGTTGTTGCAAGCTAGGAGAATCAAATGAATTTAAGTTCAAGAATTTATTGTAAAGGCTTAATCAAGCGTGTTTATGTACAACTAAATCCTTTTATTTTCTTTCCCTTTGATGTATTTTCATACATGCAAGTTCCAAGAACTATGGTCTATATTTTCACTATCCATGTCCATGAACTTTCGAATGCTCCATGCAAATATCAACAATGATTCATAAATGGAACAATAATTCAAACAATTTATGTCTATATGCTCTTGCAATTTGTAGGCTCGTTTGCATTTTCGGCAAACTTATTTTGTGATCCCTTTGGTTATTTTGACAAATTCACAATGGCACCCTTTGTGTAATCCATGCATATTGAGGTTAGAATTATATGACCATTGTCGGATCAACATGTAGTCCCAATAGTTAGCAAATAGCAATATAACTGTTTTCGTGTGTGCATTCTCCCCAACCATGCATTACAGTACCAAAAGATTACGCAAGTCAGGCATATCCCGTGGCAAAGCGCGGGTTGATTACTAGTTAATCATTAGAAATTAGACCTGTGTTCTGTTAATTTGTGTTGGTTTGCAAGAAGGGTTGGTTCTCACACAAAAGAGGACAATAGATATTAGCGGTGTGTAACGATCCAGTTCGATTGAACTGGACGAATTCATGAGAATCGCAGTTCAATAGTGAAATATATTTTAGAACTAAGGACCGAGTCATTATTGTATTTGGTTCAATTTGGTTCGGTTTGATCCTCCCTAATACCATTTCAATTCATTTTTCTTCGATATTTATAAAATTCATAGGATCAGAACCCATTTTATTAGCTTCGATATGGTCCAGTCCAAACCTTGATTCGACTCGGTACAGAGCAAATAGTTGCACACCCATAACCAAGAGAGTCGGATCTAACTCCGTAGAGGGGATAACAGACAACGACTTCTGAATAGCCTTTCATAATGTATTGTACATCGATGATCCACAATTAGTCTAATTGCATGGCACAATAAGCTCTACAAAATAGGAGTCCATGATTACAGGATGATGCCAACCATTGTCTAAACTAGCATGTCTGTCTAAGTCGTGTACCATTAATTATGACAAACAAAACATGTCTTGATGAATAGTTGCATCAAAATTAATCTTTTTTATAACTCATTTGGAATTTCATATAAGGTAAAATAGTGTCCTTACAATCCACTTTCAATTGTTCTATCAGGGGTTTACAATCAGACTCCATTAAGATCGGGCTAAATCCGTTGTTGAAAGCCAGACGCATTTCCCATAGCATGATGTTTTGGCAAACTCCAGCGCCCAGGAGGTTCGAGTTTGAAACACTACCGCCATGTGGAAAGGGCCTCCCCATCTCTGATTAGCATTCCGAACCCCGTTCCATCGTCGACAAAGGTTGCAACGTCGACATTAACCTTAAAGGAACCTTCTGCTTGGCTTCTTCCATTTATAGATTTATTTTTGCTCAAAGCTCATCTAGGAAATTCTCCGATTTGCCTATGATCTCTCATTTCTCGAGTTTATGATTGTTAAAGAGATGGCTATTCCGCTCTTTCCATATGAACCATAGAGCCATGATAAAGCCACATAATTCCTCTTCCTTCGCCTTTTCCATCATCTCGCATACCCATTCCTCACAGGATGTACCCTCTCCCCAACTGAAATTTTGCTAAAAAGAGCTGGATCGTCATACTTTGTCCGCCCTGTCATAATCTCGGGTTATGTATTCTTGGGTTTCTGTTAATCCGCAGAACGAACAGCTATCATTTGCATCCTTGATACTTCTCATTAGATTTGCTCCGGTAGGAAGAATGTTACTTCCTCATCGCCAGATAAAAACTATAACTTTAGGTGATGATTTTAGTTGCCAGAGCTGTTTCCAGTTGATAGGAATATATCTTTCACCATCTGTTGTTGATGCTCTTTCCATACTTAGGTAATAGGTTGATTTGATTGTATACCTTCTTGATTTTTCCATCCACTATACCTGAATATCAGGTTTTTGGTGGGTAGGTAGTGGAATCTGTTGGATGGTGGAAAAAGGACCTTCGACAATAAGAGATAGCGAGAGAGGGGGTGGGAAAGAGGGATCTTATGGGGTTGGGCAGAAAATAATTTGTGAACTTGATGGGAGAATTGGTCAACTAAGGAACATATATGTGATTGAGTAAGCTAAAAAAATCACCTTGATGTGCAATTTCCACATCCTCATTAACAGAAAGACGTATAGGAAAAGGCAAATGGAGAATGAGCATGAAAAGACAATTTAAAGAACAAAGGAAGGTAGACTTGAGCTATCGTCGATCCAAAAGGAGCAAGTGGTAGGATGAAAGAGTTGAACTAGAGTGTAGGCAGAGAATTGTTTTGTATACTCATATCATATGAGCAGTAACTATTAAGCATGCATATGTAAACTTTTTTTAGAAATGGTATGATTTTATTCATCAAAAGAGTGTAGTACAAGCAAAGCCTATTACAAGAAAGGGGAGACAATGTCAAGAACATGAATCCACTCACTAGAAAGAGAACCTCTCAAGAATTCCTTTGCAACCCAATCAGCACAATTGTTGTTCTTCCTTTTAATAAAAGCTACCATAATATGACCACTCTGAGAGAGAGTCTGCTTCATACACTGGACCAAGCTTTCACTTGCCATGGAGAACTGCTTCGGTTGAAAATAATGTTGATGATGATTTGACAATAAGAGAATATAATCATTGGACAAACAGAGTCTTTCGCCATTTCCAATGACATCAATAGGGCTTTCGCTTCCGCCACAATCACCAATGAACAAAACAGAGTCCCGACCTTTCTGTCAACACGTGTCCATGATGATTACGAACAACAACACCATATGCCGCCACCTGTGATTCCGAGATAAAAGCTCCATCATAGTATATCTCATGCTGAAAATAACTAGGCGGTAGATCAAGGATTCAACCGGGTGGAACAGGCTGGGAAGGAGGAGAAATAGCCGACGGCACCACATGAGCAGTCTAATCGCTAAAGTATCCAAAAGCCTCAGGAGAGGTAGACCGAATCTGTGGATGAACATTCTTGAACACTCATTCATTTGGATAATTCCAAAAAGCCCACATATGAGCCACCACTACTACTAAAGAGTTGAAATGGATTACTTCATGAAGATTGAAGAGCCACATGAGGATCGGGAGGGTGCTTGGAGCAAGAGGGACATCAGCAAAACCCTCCTGCCAGATGTGTACAGCATGGGGGCATCCAAAAAAACAGTGCCACACATCCTCGACATCACCATCACACAACGCGCAGATAGGTGAGCTAATCACTTTCCAAAAACCAAAGATTTCTCTTTGTCACCATTGCGTTTCTGGTGTTCCTCCAAATGAAATTGAGGGTTTTTGGTGGCAGGGATAAGCTCCAAAGCCACTTCCAAACTTTGGTGGAACAGTCCGGGTGATTAGGGTCGTCTGAACCCGTCCTAGTTCTTTCATATGCTCTGAAGATGTGGTAGGCATACTTCACAAAAAAAGGTCCTTGATTTTTTCGGATGCCACACCCATGGGTCCTCTGTATCACTCAGACCAATGGGGATCCTCTTGATTGCTTCAGCTTCTTCCGGAAGGCAAGAATGTTTAATAAGATCCAAGTTCCATTTGTTCCTCTCATTCATCACCCAATTGAACGCATGTAGTTGCTGTCTTTGGTTGCGCTAGAGTATGAAGCTTGGTAAACCTGGGATCCAAGGACCATTATCAAGAATAATGCTCCTCCCAATGCCCATATTATTCTTGTTTGTGCGTCGAGCGCGAGACGTTCCGGCCTTTTCTCCTAGCTTTTCAATCAATTGAACACATGCAAAAACCCAGCCAACCCTTTTTCCAAGAACAAATGAAAGATCGAGAAATTTTAGATGTTTGATCGAAAAGTATTATGCCACACTTTCCTTTCGTGTTGGAGCGGCAGAAGAATGGGGCTCTCTACTTTAAGACACAGCCCAACACAATTAGTTCCACTTAAACAACGAGAAGGGCTTCCAAGAACAAGCCCACCTTGAGTCTTAATATATTAACGTGTAAAGAATGGACTTGGTCCAATTAAACTGGATTAGTTAACTACGAAACACTCAGCTTACCATAACCTGAAGTGTTGTGTTTTACTAACACCGTCGGTTGTTGCTTTTCTTATTCTTTGGGTTGACAAAATCCATGTAAACCAAAACACATGAACAAAACAAGAACAGAGCAAGACCAGAGTTCCTCACCCAGATTACAGAAAAGAGATATGGCACAGTGCACACGAGATTTTTACGTGGTTTCCAATGTTGGGAGAATGAGGATCCCAACGTTGACTAGTCCACGATCGGAGTTACGTGTTCTATGCTCTCCGACGTTTCACTAAATGAATATGTCGTTGAAGCTCTTCAAATACAAAAGAACACACCCGATTAGCGGAGCGATCAACTCCAATCTCCTTGATCAACTCCCCTTCGATCAAGAACCCGATATCTCCCCAATACCGTAACCTCGATTAACTCCCCGTCAATCGAAACCCCTTTTCCTATCAAAACCACTAGCTAAAACCCTTAGCTTCTTATTTTGATTTCCCCGAAAAAGTTCTTGAGTTCTTGCTCGGAGCTCTATATATATACTATCTCTATTAGTTGTTGGTGATTCGACTCCATTCTTTTCTTTCCAAATTTGTGCGATCTTGAGTTCTTCAAATTGGGTATCTTCTTGTTGGCTTTCTATTTCAGCCTTCTCGGCCGTTGTGTTTGAACTTGGGGGCCAATCCTCTTATCACTTAAAGACATGTTTTGATCTTCTTGACAACTTTCGATTTGATCCTCAATCCAAGCGTTTCAAGGTTGAAACTTATCGTTATTACAACTGTTTCAAATGTCAAGCTGGATTCATTCCTGTTGTTCAGCTGCCACCAATATTGTATGCTGCCTTCTCTTTCCCTATGTGAAATTCACTCCAAACTCTATGAGAAGCTTCCATAATCATCTCAAGTCGTGACATTAAACTTGAGCTATGATCAGCATGGTTAATTGTGAGATTGTTGTTGAAACACCTCAGTCAATTGCTAGCGAGTTTCCTTGCTGTTATAGCTTCACAAAATCTGCAGAAAATGTAGACTCTACTTCCCTGCAAACTCAAACTAACTGTTAGGCTTAATGATAGTGATTACAACGCTTTATTAATACTCGAGATACTTATGGTTTGCATTGATCAAAACACTCCATTCTTTGTTTGCTATGCTTCACTTAACACCTTTTCAAGCTTGAACCAACTGTACTGCCTCACGAGGTTTCCGCTTAAAAATAAAGCACAATCACTTGGATTCATTTACTAATTCAACATAATGTGAGATCTTAGATACAAGTTTTCAGGTGATAGCATGCACTAGGACTTAAGATCATAACACTTGTTCGTATCCTGCAAATACTTCAAAGTAATCCTGCTAATGACAAACTTTCTCACCCAACATTTCCTTGCCCCAAGTTTAAGGATTTCCTTAGCTTCGCAGATTTTTGACCAAATCCAAGAGGGGTTCCTCCCTTTACCTGCATCCAAGAACTCCGAGTGAGGGAAATAAAGGCCTTTAAAGAGACCAACCCAAATTTTGTTCTCCCCGTTAGGGATTCTCCATCCTTGTTTAGCAAGAAGGGTCAAATTGAATTGGTTGAATTTCTTGAATCCCATTCCTCCTTCTTGTTTTGGTGTCGTAAGAACGCTTCCCTTCCTCCAGTGGATTGTGCCTTTGTCCATATTTCTGTCGTAGAAAAAGGCTCTCAATCTAGAATCCATAATTTTGTTGTCCCCCTTAGGGATGAGGAAGAATGGCATCAAATAGGTAGGGTAGCTCTGGTACACAGCCTTCAGAAGAGTCTATTTGCCCGCTTGAGAAAGAGCCAAACTTTTCCAAGATTAACTCAACTTTTCCATTCTAACAATAAGACATGAAAAGTGATTCGGGTCTAATTATACACATTTTACCCCTCATTTCTTGATAGTTTGGCTTTGCATTTCATCATCCCTCGACATATTTCACGCTAGGTTGTGCTTGTTTATATATATTTTGGGTCCTAGCACGCGTGGAAGGGTCGAGGACGACCGTGACAATTGCCCCGTAACAGTGAAGCGCAGGCGTCCAGGAAGCAACTGCACTTCACGACCTGGCATTGGAGTTCACGGTCTCTGAGGCCGTGAACTGAAACCACAAACCATGAATATCGAGGCGTCCAGCGAGGTTCCAGCAGTTACTAAGGCCAAGGGAGTTCACAGTCTCTAAGATCGTGAACTTGGAGTACAAACCGTGAACCCAGGAGAGTGAAGAGATGCGTTTTGGAGACAACACTGAGTTCACAGACACGTTTAGGTGTTCACAGCCGTGAACTGGCCAATGCGGCCGTGAACGGGTCACTTTCGGGCAAATATCAAGACAACAGCGGGGAGAGAGAAGAGGGGGATGGCTTTTGGAGAAGGAACACTTTCTTTCTCTAGGGTTTCTACCCAAAACACCAAAGGGGAGTTCTAGTGTGTGAGAGAGAGAGAGAGTGATCCTGGAGCTTAATTGAAGGCATTGATCAAGCTTGGAAGCTAGGAATCAAGCCTAGAAGAAGATGATGAAGATCTAGAGGTTTCTTTGTAATCTCTCTCCTCTCTCTCTCTCTCTCTCTCTAAAAACTCACCATCTTCTCTTGGGTTTAAGAATCCTAGGTCTAGATTTGGGTTTAATGTTGATGTATGTGACAAACTCCATGATCGATTGATGATTTTACTTAATTGATGGACGTTTTCATGAATGGCATGAGTTGGGTTTCCATTTTCATGTATTGAGCTTTTGACCTGGGAGGGAGATAATCCCCTAAGAGCCCGCTTTTGGCGTCTTCGGGTCACTCCTATCGTATATTGTCTGGGTAGTCCCCGAGGGAGTTGATTCGACCGGTCTCCTAGCATTATACGAAACTCTAGGTTGAATAGAGCACTACCCATCCATCGATTCGCCATTCCGAGTCATTCCCGAGGGAGTCCATCTCCAAACGGTAGTGCATTTGAGTCTTTCAAGCTAGGAGGATACCCAACATCGATCCAAAGAACGGACCTAGGACGATTCAACCAAGAGAGCTCCCAACCTTGTAAATAGCTAGGTTAGTGGTTAGTCTAGGTTAGTTAGTTTAATTCTATCAATCACTATCCTAGGTTGGCTAGATAACGAACCCTAAACCTGAAGTAGGGTAAGCCTAGATCCCCGTGGTACGATAAATTCGTATTGCTTGCTTGCCCTATGCTACACCCGATCGGCGGTTATACTTGGTCGTCGATTGGGATGTTGTAGGTAGAACAAGTCAAAAAGACTTCTCTTTTGGACCTCCCCCATTTAGTTGGGACACCCAGATATTTGCCCATTCCCGCAGAACGTGGAATGCTCATGAAATCCGCCAACAGACTCTTGAGGGTCTCATGAACATTTGAGCTAAAGGTGATAGCTTATTTATCATTATTAATCAATTGTCCCATCATGCTCCGTCAGTCCTCGATCATTTTTTAAAGTGATTGCTTCTGACGTTAAGGCTTTACCAAACAGGATCGTGTCATCTCCAAACAGAGCATGCGTGAGTCTAGGACAAAAGGGATTCAGAGTCACTCCATGGATACTATCATTGGCCACATTCTTATTGATAAGGAATGATAAAGCATTAGTCAGTAAGATAAAGAGAAGAGGAGAAAGAGAATCTCCCTGACGGATGCCTCTGGATGGCTGAAAGAATGGCGTAGGTTGGCTATTGCACAATACCGAGAACCTCACAGATCGAATACAAATTTTCACCCATTAGCACCGTTGATGTGAGAACCCCATAGCTTTTAGGATTTCATCAAGATAATCCCATCCAACCATGTCAAATGCCTTTTTCATGTGGAGTTTTAACATCATATCCCAGTATCCCCTTTTGTTCTTGTTTTGAAGTGGTGCATCACCTCATTCAGAATAATAATGTTGTCTTGGATAGCTCTACCTCCCACGAAAGCCGATTGCATTTCAGATACAAGCTTCGGGATCCACTCCTTCAGTCTTGTTGTCGTGATTTTAGAGATCACTTTGTATATAAAATTGCAGCAACTATAGGTCTGAATTGTGAGATTCTTTCAGGGTTAAGGATTTTGGGAGTAAGCACCAGATGAGTATCATTCCATCCTGGCTCCATCTTCCATTCAGAGAATAAAATTTTAATTTCATCACAAAGCTGCAGACCCACAATATCCCAATATCTTCTGCAGAGTATCTCAGAGAAGCCATATGGCTTAGATGACTTAGAAGATCCCAAGTCAAAAACTGCTTCCTTGATTTCAATGTCATCAATAGGCTTGCAAAGTGCAAGGTTGATGTGATCTTCCACCAGACAAGGAATCTCGCGAATTAAATCAAAGTTGAAGCTCTCCTCCCTTTTTTTGAACAGGTCAATGTAGAACTTTATCATATAATCTTGGAGGGGGGCTTTCTCTTTGATCTAGTTGTTCCCTCCATCTAAGAGCTTGACAAACGTGTTTCTGAGGCTTCTTTGAATAATGGAGGTATGGAAGAATCTCGCATTTTTGTGCCCCTTATCGAGCCAATAAACTCTCGAGCGTTGCCTCCAAAAGATTTCTTCTTCTATCCAAAGTTTGTTTAATTCAATCTTCAGCGCCCTCTCTTCTTCCTCATAGGACGGAATCTGAGTCCACTCAAGAATCACTTTCAAGCGATCCTCAATATTTTTTATTCGCATTGCATATGTAAACATTTGATGTAGGATTGTGGTTCACTAACACCTTCGACTCCAAACTCGTTGAACAGAGATTCATATGCCTAATTAGTCCCCTTCTTGTAGAATAAGGCCTTCAAGCCCTAAAAAATATATTTAATTCTCCCTCTTAGAGATAATCGACCTTAACATATTTTCATACACACTCTCTCTTTACGTTCCCTCTTAATACTTGCCTAAATAATGTCTCATATGCATCTCGAATTGATAGTCACAATTCATATAAGAGATCCTCCATGTTTCACGACGTATCTGTCTATACCCAAAAAAAAAACCAAACATAACTAAATCATGTCACGCTTACCTGCACATATCATCTATTCTTCTAAATAACAAAACATGCATCATATATTCAAGGGCGGACCCACTTTTTCTTGACCCTTGTCAATTGACAAACCTTACTTAATAAGTTGGACCAAATATTAAGCTGGAATTGTTTTTGGTAGTATATGCACACTCTCTAATTTGACAACCCTTACAATTATTTCATATAAGATTTTCGTTGAATAATACAAAGCAAACATATGCAAGCACCCAGAAGTAACTCATAGCCTATTAATCTTAACAACTCATGGGGTATATCTATCATGCTCTATGAGTCATTCAAAGATTTGTGAAGAACCGATGAGCTAGTTAGATAAATGGCGGAGACACGAAAGGATAATTATTATCCTTTGGTATACCTACTTCTGACTTCAATGTTGATTTTGCCTATTGCACTACAAGTGTTGAGATTACTTTTTCAACAATGAAATTCATTAAGATGGATCTTCGAAATCAGATGGTGGATCAATTTATGAATGATTGTGTAGTTATTTCAATAAAAAATGTGCGAGTCGCAACATAAGTGATTAATGTATTAAAGAAACTTCTCAAAATATAAAAGACGTCGGGGTTCGCTGTGAAAAATGATGAATTGATGTATTTTATGAATTATAAATTTTGAGTTAAATTTATTCATTTATTTTTCGGTGAATACCCTTAATGAAAATTTTGGATCCGTCACTGCACATATTACATTAAGTATTTCTTTAAATATCAGTAAGGTAATATCGAGAAATAGGCAACTAATCTATCAACTCGAATATATATTAAATTTATTTGAATTTTCTACCTTTTAGAGTAAAAGTAATATTATCATCATATATTTAATCAAAACATTATATGCACGACTATAAAAAGGTAAATATAATTTTCTTTCTGTATGCTATTTTCAAAAGAAGAAGACGAAAAAAACCCACTCCGTCTCCAAATAAATAGAGCTCTTTCCGTAATCCGAAACCAGCACGGAAAATAAAAGCCGCCGCAGAAGTCCACTCTGCCTCCGTCCCCGAGAACAAAAGCTGCGCACAGAATGCCGATTACTTGTATCAGAGATTAGAACAATTAGTACCCGTCGATCCGCTTGTATAATTTAGCTGTATCAGAAAACCCCCATTCGAATTTGATTGCCCGATTCGCGCTCTCGAACCAGCAGTCAATCAAACATGCGCGTCGTAGTAAACCATCCATATAAAAATCCCCCGTCGTCGCCGCCGTCGGAGATTCAATGGACTCGAGGGGAATTGCTGGGTAAAGGAAGCTACGGCGAGGTCTTCGTCGGAATTCCAAAACCCCCAAATCCGCCCCCTTTGATGGCAGTGAAATCCGCGCCCGAATACGACGCCAAGTCTCTGAAATTGGAGCGCCGGATTCTGGCCAATTTCAGCCGCAATCCCAACATCATCCAGTACTTCGGCGCCCAAACAACGGAGCACGGCGGGCACAGAACCTACAACTTGCTCCTCGAGTACGCCCCCGGCGGCTCGCTCTCCAATTTCATCGCCAAGCGCCGCCGCGGGATTCCGGAGATCCATGTCAGGGTTTGCACTCGAATGATTCTGGAAGCGCTGTCGTGCATCCACTCCCGTGGATACGTGCACTGCGACATAAAGCCGGACAACATTCTGGTGTTTGAGGGAGCAGGAGGGGAGCATTCATCGCTGTGTCGGCTTAAGGTGGCTGATTTCGGGGCGGCGGTGGAAATTTCGAAGCAGAGTGGTGGAAGGGAGAAGTTGGGGGTTAGGGGGACGGTTAGATACATGGCGGCGGAGGTGGCGGCGGCGGGGATGGTATCGACGGCGATGGATATTTGGGCGCTGGGGTGCACGGTGGTGGAGATGATCACACGGAAGCGGCCATGGAAGGGTTTGGAGAAGGAGGAAGTAATGGCGCGACTCGCCGAGGGCAGGCATCCGGATATTCCGGCGGGTTTGTCGGCGGAGGGCAGGGATTTCTTGGAGGAATGCTTTGTTACGAGCTGTGTGAAGCGAGCGACGGCTGACTCGGTTCTGAATCACCCGTTCGTAGCTCGCTGTGACGGCAGCGCGCAGCAGGAAGCAGATATTACACCTCCGGCGCATTCTAATTCATAGTATAAGCAGGACCAGGAGCAGCAGCAGCTGCTGCTTGGAAACACAGAGGAAGAAATCCGCCTGCAAAAGGTGCGAGTTTTGATTGCACTAATTGCTCCCTCTGCTGTTCACTATGTGATTTCAAGTGACATGATATAAATTGTCTTGTCAAACAATATGAATGGTAGTCGATTTAAGATTTCAAATATGTTGAACAATGGCATCCCATGTGGCTCATTTCAGGCCAAAGCAAAGTCGGGAACATGAAAGAAGCAACACTACGATCATCGTTATGGATGTGGTCAAGACTATGTACTTCAATCATTTTTCAAGACCAAAACAAAGTTCAAGACACAACAAATGCAACGATCTCATATTACAACTCTGGCACGTGAAATTGGGTTTAGGTAACCATTAAGTTACCTACGATAATTAGTTTGAGACATTAGAAACGTGAAATCGGGTTTAAACAAACAACAAATGCAACGATCTCATATTACATAACAGAAATAAAAGAATGTGGACATGAAACATAAGAAATTGATTTATTAAGAGTTAATACCTTATTTTGGCCCAAACTATAACCATATAATCAACTTTGGCACGTGGTCTCAGAAATTAACATCATGGTCTCAACTATGCAACATATAGACTCAATTGGCCCGACACATGGTTTGACCGTCAATTTGGACGATCACCACCGTTGAGCGTTAGTAAACGCGCCATGTCATTGCCTTGTCAGCCTAAAAATCATTATAAATTTCAAATTCAAATTATTTTCTTAATTTTTATTATATATCATTATCAAATTAACCAAAATGAAAATTATAACAAATTAAAAAAAATATTTGTTTTATTTTTTGGGAAATTTGAAAATGATAAATTTTATAAATTAACAAAAAATTAACAAATTTTATTTTTTGGTTAATTTGAAAATGATAAATAATAGAAATTAGGAAAATAATTTGAATTTAAATTTTTTTAATAATTTTTAAGCCGACGAGGCAATGACATGGCGTGTTGACTGTGCAAATTGACGGTCAAACCATTTGTCGGGCCAATTGAGTCTATATGTTGACATAAAATTAATTTCAGAAACCACGGGCCAAAGTTGATTATATGATCATACTTCGAGCCAAGTATTAACCCATTTATTAAAACATTCAAACATAATTATCCAAAAGCAAACAGGAATAACTAATTCACCATTACATGCAGTAATATTAAGTAAAACAAACAGGAATCACTAATAACAAATTTACAACTCTATAATTTTTTCGCAGAAACAAATAATTGATATCCAAACAAACCCTTAAAAGAAAACAAATCCAAATCTCAATCCTTTGCGTCTCCCCTTCTCCACTGCAGCCTGGTTCATTCTTCTTATTTCTCGCAACTTCAAAAACCTCCCATGTAGCAATAAAATAACAGTAACAATAATATCGAGAATCAATCAAGAGAAAACCCACACACATATATCTAATGAATCGGCGAGTACGGCGGGAGAGGAGGCCAGCTTCCAAACTTATGCTTGGGAGGCAGCTTGGGGAACGGAGGCAGCTTCGGGAGCGGCGGGCAGGGCTTCTTGTGGAAAGGCGGAAACTTGGGGAACGGAGGGAAAGCAATCGGCGGCTTGGGGATCGGGTTATAGATCGGCACCTTGGGGTACGGCGGCAACGGCTTGTGGTAGATCGGCGGATGCGGGGTCGGCTTATAGATCGGCACCTTCGGGATCGGAGGCAGCGGCTTGTGGAAAATCGGCGGCTCCGGCTTCGGCTTGTAGATCGGCACCGGCGGCGGCAGCACCTTCGGGACCGGCGGTGGCTCGACGACCGGCGGCTTCGGCGTGGGCTTCACCACAACTGGCGGCTTGTAGATTGGGGCTTTCGGTGGGCACGGCTTGACGACGGGCGGCTTGGGCTTGGGCTTGATCACGACTGGTGGCTTGGGCTTGATCACGGGGGCCTTTGGTGGGCACGGCTTGACCACGACTGGCGGCTTGGGCTCCGGCTTTGGGACGGAAGGCGGCTTGACCACGACCGGCGGCTTGGGAGCCGGCTTCGGGACGGAAGGCGGCTTGGGCACCGGCGTCACGACGACCGGCGGCAACGGCGGGTGAGTGTACTTCGGCGGGATAGGAGGGTAGACTTTTGGAGGGAGGGGAGGGAAGTGGAAAAAGTGGTGAAATGATTTCAATGGAGGGAGATGCAATTTAGGGTGCTTGAAATAAGGCCAGAAGAACGCCGACGAGCAAACCTCCGGCGAGAACTTGAGCTTCCCGCCAGACAGCTCGAATGCATTCTTCTGCGAATTGAAGACGACCTTGGTCGATTCCAGCCCGCCGTGGGCAGCGCAGGGCACTGCCGCGGCGGGGTTGTGGAGCTGAGCATAGCATTCTTCTTTGAGGTTCTTCCCATCTTGTGTCACAAGGTCGCTTGGGAGTGTCACGGTAAACTTGCCTTGCGCGTCAAGCTTCCCAGTGCCCTTAGTTTTGAACTCCCCATTTGGTGGCTTGCAGTCAATTGTCACTTCAAGCCCTGCACAATGGAAAGTGGTATTTTTAGACACAGGAAGATAACTCTGTCGCTTACGTAACAGTACTCGTAATATAACATAATACCGTTCGTACTATCAATACTCTTAACAGTAACCTCTACATTAAGTACCTGAGAAGGCCTGGCTGGGTTTGAGAGCGGACTTGGCGCAATCGACACATTCCCCTGCGCCGGCGACGAGGACCTGGCTGGTCTTCTGAGCATGGCAGAGAGTGGCAGAGAAGAGCAGAAGCAACGAAGTGACGAGGGACATAGGCGCCCCTCCTCGAGGAAGGGGGAGCATTGTCTCTGTATTCTCTGGTTCTGGTGGAAGGAATGTGTGTTAATGGAGATGGAGAAGCAGAGGTGTGGTTGTGGTAGTTATATAATGTCATTGGAAAGAGGCCACCGGTGAAATTCAATGGCTGGCAACTGGCAAGCATGGCCGACACTGAGTTAAGGGCCTCACATGAAGGGGTTTTCACCCTTACAGCTTCATCATCTTCTAGTGTGGTGGTTTTCAGTTCTCTGCTTTGACAGGGAAATGTCTTCACCACCATCACCGGGTTTGCTCAATAAATGCCCACCTTCCTCTCAACTGTACCTGAAAAGAAGAGGACGAGAAAGAATCAGAATTTCAGAGAGTAAAGCAGATCTGGTTGTGGGCTGTGAATACCCTTTTGCAGGGGTAGACTTCTTTCTCTGTGCTGTGCACATTAAAGCTCCTTCATACTATCAACCATACTCCTTCCATTCACATTTAATGTCAACAATGGAGGGAGAGAGGAAGACAGAAAGCTTATGGTTGGCACAAACCTATGTTTGAAAATACAATCGCACTTCCTCTGGGAAAAAACAAAGTCCATGGGACGATGAGGTGATATTAACTTCAATATGGCCACTTTCCTAACCATCTATCTGTCTATCTAATGAACACAGCCAGACAGTTTCAACTTTTCCCTTCTGCAGGGTAATGTTCTACGATGTTGTGCAGAATGATTCATTCTGACAGAAAGTGCTGCTGCTGCTGCTGCTGCTGCTGAGTTATAGTTCATCACATCATAGGACTAAAACAGAACAATCGGTTTTCACTCTGCTGTTAGCTTGCAAGGCAAGTAAGAATGGGGGGTTTGGAAAAAGGTGAAGTCGGCCTTCCAAAAAACCACCACATGGGAAAGTAGTAAGAGATGTGATTATTGGCATAATTGAATGTGTTCGTTGTCGTTGTTGACAGCAAAACAGAAGGCGATGGAGATGTGGGTGTTGGTTAGGATCAGCAGCAGAGGCAGAGGATCATTAATGGACAGTCCACAAAAACTGGTGGGATAATTTGTTATTGTTAGGCTATCGTTATCCATGCCATTACTCATTCTCTTCATCATCACCACTCATAATTGAGGAAGCATGTGAATGAAGTTAGGGGAAGGTTGATGACAAAGAGTGCCATTTTTTCATAAACAATTACAAAACAGGACCCATGTGAATACATACATACATACATACAATCATCAAAAATGGGGGAAAAAATGGAGTAAATTTGTTATTATCATTAATGTTAATTAAAAAATAGTGCTGACGATTAGTACTGACGAAATCATCAGCAAATAGAACGACGAATTTTGGGAATCTATGGCGTGTGGTGAATTTCGGTATAAGAGATTCTTTACTTTAATTTATTTCTCATCATTATAAAAAAAAAACAATATGGTACATCATCATTCTAATTAAAATTGATCTAAGTGTTTAGAATCTAGAGAATATGGGGTTTAGGATTTATCCATTAGAGTCTAGAAGTTACCTGCAATATGCAAATAGGCTTACCAAATTCATTAGTGTTTAGAGTATAATATAAAACCTCAAATTTTGATCTAATCAAATTTTTTTTTTGAAGGATAGGTGGTACCCGAATTGACTAGCATACCATAGAATATATATCTCATACATACGTGCACATATTATACTAATATCACTTTCATGAGTTGAAAGAGGCACCGGCATGGTCACTAATTTATCGAAGTGGAGTCTGAAAGTAAAAAAAAATTATTTTAATTGTACTCGATAACTATTCGAGTTAAATTTATGTCATTCCAAACATATGGCATTGTTATCAATCAAATAAATTTTTTTTTATAAATGGATGCAGAGCATCTCAACCTTCATTCATAACCAGACGGGGTTCAGAGAGCCCCAAAGTGTCGTATAAAATCCAAGATACAAGAGTACGGTCCGCAGGAGGAAACATGCTATAGCCCAGAGGCAACTGGTGACCCCGACTAGCAATGTAGTCTGCACACTTATTACCTTCTCTATAAATATGGGTGAGGGAGACTTCCCAATTCCTCTAAATTAACTCCTGGAAGTAGGGATGTCAATCAAACCCGTAACCATGGGTACCCTACCCGACTGTAACCGGTCAACGAGGGTAATTACCCGCTTTGACGGGTTAAGGGGCGGGTACGGGTAATACCCGGTTTCAAAATAAAGGTTAGGGCACGGGTATGGTAATCGATAATAACCGCCCCGCTAACCAAAGGGTCAATTTCCCTTGAGAAATTTAGTTTAGCTTGAGAAATTGAGTTTAGCTACCATTATTGATGATGAAGATGTAGACAATTATTATGTTTGTGTGGATTGTAGAAGCAAGAAAAATTATTATGTGTTTGCTGTTTTTATTTTTGTGGATCGTTGAAGCTAGAACAGTTACAAGTATTGAGAATTTTTAATGGACAACAGTATGTATGTGCATATATGTGCATAAGTTCATAGTTTATGATTCATACCCATGGTTACCCGAATATCCGTGGTTACCCGGTGGGTAGGGTATGGTTATATAATTTTCATACCCGGTGGTTATTTGATCGGGTATTTTAGAAGGCTCTACCCTGCGGGTTAGGAGTTGGTATAGGGTAAACCCGCACCCGACCCTACCCATTGCCATCCCTACCTGGAAGCGATGGGAGACTGCTGAGTGGCGATTATCATGGCCATGCTGCCGCTGAAGAATCTCCACTGCACATCGCGAGTCGAGTTGAACATTGACCCTGCGGTAGCCCAGCTCCCAGGCCAGCTGAAGTCATTCTACAACGCCTCTCAACTCAGCTTAGGTAATGGAAAAAATCCCGAGGTTCATCGCAAACGCCGCAAAGCAACGTCCTAAGTGATCTCTTATCAAGCCACCAGCAGCTGCATGGCCTGATTCAGGGATGACGGAGCCGTCTGTGTTGAGAGTAACCCACTCAGGAGGAGGCGGCTGCCATGAGATCAACTCCTCCGTCCTAGCAGGTAGACTAGGCTGATGGATGGGCTTGTCATTGTCCATGGCTGTCTGTACTACATTAATCCAAGCCCGGACGCGCTGTAGGAAAGCTTCAGCTGAGACCACCTTGTCTGCAAAGACGCGGTCGTTTCTAGTCCTCCATAGGGACCAGCAGGTAATGCCAAACATGAGGCTGGTGTGCTCTTGCCGAAGGTACTTCAATAGCCACTCTTGGAGATTAAGTCCGAAAAATGTCTGGTGCTCAGAAGGCTGGATAACCTGCAACCAAGTTAACCTCGGGAAAGTACAGTCCCGCAACACATGCAGGACTGTTTCTGGACCGGCCCTGCATTGGGTGCACAGGGCCGAAGTAGAGAGATGTCTTCGCTCGCGCTCGGCATTGGTGAGGAGACGGGTACGAGCCGCCAGCCAAAGGAAGTGACGCGCTCGAGCAGGCCAGCGCTAGTGCCAGAGGGATTTCCAGTCCATCGTGCAGTTCACCATCTCTGCATCGTCCGCAATTGCATAGGCAGATCGGACGCGAAATCTGCCATCCTGCTCAGGTCCCCAGGTTGCCACGTCCTCTCCTTCATTCTCCTGAGGTGGCTGGACTCCCATAACCTGCAAAATACCTGCATCTGTCAAAACATGTCTCAGAGCATCAATGTTCCACTCACCTGATTCCGAAGCAAAGGCTTCCACTGGGAGAGTAAGGTCTGGTTCGGGTCCATCCATCCTCGCATGGTCTAGAAGGGTATCACTACTATCCACCCATCTATCATTCCAGAAATTTGTGGATGATCCATCCTTGATACACATCTGCATACCCCTTGTCATAACCGGCCAAGCTTTTAGGATTCCCTTCCATAGATTGGATGTGCGAGACCTCGATTTTGGACGCATAGCCCCGTGCACAGATTTGAAGTACTTTGCCTGAAGGACGCGCACCCATAGCTCCTCTGGTTCTCTGACAAAGGACCAGGCGAGCTTAGCCAAGAATGCAATGTTCAGCTCGTGAGCTTTCCGGACGCCAAGTCCCCCATCTTCCTTGGGCCTACACACACCCTCCCAGTGAACGAGGTGGATTTTCTTTGAGTCAGCCGTTGACCCCCACATGAAACTCCTGATGCGCTTATCGATCTCATCACAAATGGATATGGGCAAGAAAGTTGACTGCATTGCATAGGAGGGTAGAGTATTCAGGACCGAAGTTGCCAATGTTACTCGACCAGCAAGAGTTAGGTTTTTTGTTTTCCACCCTGCCAGTTTGTTATCCATGCGATCCAAGATGTATCGATAGGTTTCCTTGGTAACTCGGCCATGGAGAACCGGGACGAGATACCTGCCCAGATTCTGAGTTACCGGGATGCCCAAGATGCCCGACACGACTGAACTTTCAGATCGCGGAGTGTTTTGGGAGAAGAATACCACGGATTTCTCCTTGCTGACTGCCTGCCCTGAAGCTTTTCAAAACCGATCAAGACACTCCATGATGATGTGACCCTGTTTCTCAGAAGCTTCTGCAAACAAAATTAGATCGTCAGCAAAAAACAAATGAGAGGGTCGGACCATCTGGGGAAATTTTAATCGGCTTCCATTCTTTCCTGCGAACCGCCTCCTCAATGAGGTGGCTCAGGCGCTCCATGCAGAGGGTAAACAAATACGACAACAGCGGGCACCCCTGTCTCAATCCCCGGGAGGGGGTGAACTTCTCCGTACAGATCCCATTCCAAAGAACATGCATCGTCGAAGTTGTGATGCAAGCCATGATCACATCCACTAGCTTCTGAGAGAATCCCACAACAATTAAAGTTTCCTGAACAAAAGACCAGCTGATCCTATCATACGCCTTCGCCAGATCAATTTTGATTACCATCTGACCCTTCCGTCCTCTCTTCATATTCATAGAGTGCACCACCTCCTGGAGGATGATAATGTTACTCGTAATATGCCGCCCCGGGACAAAACTTGTTTGCGTAGGATGGACCAGGCTTCGCATCTCCGGCTTGATCCGGTTGACTATGCATTTCGCCAAAGACTTGTAGACCACATTGCACAGACCGATCGGCTTGAAGTGTTTGATAGACGTCGGCCTCAATCAAATCAAATTTTAATGGCACATGAATGATGAGAATGACTTGCAACTTTCATTAAATTCGAGATCTAAAATGGGAGGATGAGTGATAACATTTGTATTTCACTTCATGCACATTTATCCAAAACAATAATTCTCAATCGAATTTTTCTAAAATTCAAGGGGTCTAAGGTCCAAAATCACAAATTATCTAAGCACTAACCCATAAAAATTTCCTTTTTTTTTTTGGCTCCCCTTTGGCTCTGCCACTTCAAAGAGGTTTCTGAAATTTCAACTAACAACCCATGGGGAGAATGTATAGAGGGGTAAAATGGAAAGCAGAATCCCAAGCATAAGAGAAAGACAGAGATCCTCCAGCTTTGAGTTGTACGCCGCTGTAAAGGAGGCATCGATCTCCATTTACACTGAGCAAAGATGAACTAATTGGTTTTGCACTTCGAAATCCTTGACATGAAAGCACGATGGTCTTAACAGGACAAGAGCATCGATTGGTGAATGTCACATCCCATTCCGTGTGTCCTTCGAACTCTCTCCCGCTCTTCGCGGTCTTAACTAGCATATCATTCACACTGCACATGCACAACCCTAAAAAAACATAACAATAAACGAGAGCGTGTGAGAAAGAGGATTACATCGGGAGTTAAAACTGTATGGGTTGAGTGTGCGTTTGGCATGAATGTTGTTTTTTTTTTTAACCTTTAGAAGCAAGGCAGAGAATGACGAGAATTGATGTAACCAGAGAACTACTGGTACTCCTCCTGAGGCCTGACATTGTTTGTTGTTGCCTCTGGTAATAGTTTCTTTTCCAATATACAAATAGTATGATCTTTGGTAGAACTATGAATAAGTAGCAGAATCTATTTTTACGTCAACTTATTTAATTTTTCTTTTGTCGGTTCCATTCATGTCTTGTAATTAATTTTAAAACTCTCACATAGAAGAGAAATCGAATTTGAGTTTCACATGCGTTATTTAGATATTTACTATATGAGTTACGTGCAATTTGGGGTGGTATCTTTTCCATTTCTACACTCATTGACATAGTTGATTATATTCCATTAATTCTTTACACATTGGTAACCTAATTGGAACTGGTGAGACGACTAAACATGAGGAAACGAAGAGGAGAATGGAGCAATTTTGAGAGGAAAATTCTTCAAACTTTCAGTAAAATTTATATCCTGCCTACCTCAAAACCACAGTTAGTTCTCTTCAAGGATTCACTCCGCTATAAAAAAAAATTGTCCAGCAAAAAGAAAGTAGGAAAAAAAAAAGGTTCATCCTAAAGCTCCATTTTCCCGCACCCTCCACATGCTACTAGGCAGTTCTATACTAGCCTAAGTTTGACAACTAGTTCGTGCAGCTCGTGGGTTCTCCTCTCCAGAAGCATCTTCAAATGCTAAACTTTGAGTTGCAAGGGTCTGCATTTTACTACACTCCCTTCCTTCCTCTTGTGCTGAGACCGAAACCAGTGTCTATTTCTTCTTCTTTTGTTTGTTGGACTGAGTGTAGGCAGTGCCCTGGGTGTCAACAGATTGGGGGGGAAAGAGAGCAATTGTCAGCAACAGGCAAAGTCATGGAGACAACTAAACTCGAAAGAGCTACACTAAGACGGTCGAAAAATCCAGCTACCTGTAGCCACTCGTCCATTGAAGCATCTCTAGTTCCAGTACCAACTTCCACCTTGGGGGACCTCTTAGTTTTCTGTACAAGGGAAAACCAGCATTAGTTTCCCAAGTGTATAGAAATATGTAAGATATATCAGTAAAAACATCGACGAGTCAGGACGATAAGAAAAGCACTTTCATCTGAAATTCTCAGAACGGTTAACTTTCTACACCTTCACAACTTCTATATCAATTAACTGGATGCAATGACCAGCTAAGGAATCTACTTGATTCGGTACAATTTATGATCAATGATCACAAGCAAGGAATAAGATTAGCCGTCTTAAGATTCATGTTTATCCATCATCCCAAGTACACCAGTTAAACAAGTAAAAACATCTGCTTTATTGACAAGGTGAACAGATATAAGGAGAACGTTTTAAATGATTAGACATAACTTATACAGGAAACGCAAATAACATCATGGATTTTTTATTTTTATTTTTACCTTAGAGAGGTTCAGAATTTGACCATGAATCCACAAACCAAAGAGGACGAGGAGTGCACTCCCAAGACAGATCAGGAACACTGACTCCACGCTGAGGAAACCACCAGATTCAACAACTTCGACAGTGCCATTGTAAAATGTGCTCTGGTAAGCCTGCTGATCTATTTCATAAATGATAGTGCCAACTAGATCAAAGGTACCAGCCTGCGTACATGGATTAAATATGTAAAAATCTAATACCAAACAATGGTCCACACAGCCATAAGGATAGGACACAAGATAAAATGCTGGTCCCTTCAGAACCTAGAATCAGTAGCCAAGAAATAGCAATATAATGCATTCACCTGAAGAAACTTGCTCACTGCGAAAATATACGGGAAGGTAGCCTGTCCTGCAGCTGGGACAGTTGCATTGTTGAAGGCCTAAAATGTAACACCAGACAAAAAGGTTATATTAATGAAATTCTAATCAATCTTGTAAAAGAAAAGGCAGACCATTCAATAAACCACATCATAAATACCATGAACAGAAAGCTAAAGGTCAGATGTGCCTCGAAAAAGGATTACAACTGGAAAGTGGAAAAAATAGATCTGCCCCCCTCACGTATGGAAGCATTTAGTTTCTAAAATCAGGGAGATGCATCTATCCCTCATCAAGCAATTATCTACATAGATCATCATCCTCATTTTCATTAACCACAATGTCATTTTGAAACCCAGTTGAACATTGACCCTTCTTCAAAGAAAGAAAGAAAAAGCACATACAGAGGATGACTAAGAGAGATCACAATGTACACCGATATGTCTTACATCAAGATCAAATCTAAATGAAAGATAATCTTGAATCCGAGACAGGACATCCACCAATTATTAATAATACATAGATGACAAAACTTTACAGACTACGTCCCAATTAAACCAAAACTTCCATAATTACCTGGGCAGTGAGATTCTGAACAAGAAGACTGTGATCAAATGGAAGATGAACACTGGCCTTAATTGCAATGACGTTAATGCTAGATTCTCCTGCATTTCAATAAAAAAACAATGAGAAAAGGGCTAAAAGTTTGAATATGTATGTGCAAGCAGTTATCCAGATGGACAACCCTGCAAATGGGCGGTTGAACAGAAAATAAGGCAGCAAACTCTATACCGTCATTTTTCACTCCGACGAGAAGCTCAGACTCCAGTCCGGCAGGTATAACTGTTGAAATGATGAATACAACACAGAGCAAAGTTCATAAGAACGCCTCCAAAGTGCGAGAAATGCAATAAAAACTATAAAATAACATAAGGGCACAGGAAGCAACATGCAAAAAAGGAGAAAATGTGAATTCTTCTTACTTTTAGCACTGTTTTTGGGGAAAACACAAATAGTATCAACACCGGGAGCTGGATTGAAATTCTCATCACCATAATCTTGGGCATCAGCTTCAGAACCAACGATCCCAAGATCAGTAGCCTCTTCAGTGGGCTGAACTGACTCAGCTGCGTCCACTCCTTCAGCCTCCGAATCAGACCTAGCAACTACGAGACAGGCGAGGAAAAGAAATGAACAACGGAACCAGACCGTCAGATGTTGCAAAATCAAGCAACAATCTTGACCAAGGGGCACCTATATACACAAAATGAAGAAAACGGCAAGCCACGCAATCTGGAAAGTGCTGCTAAACCAAACATGCAGTACTATTCACTGAAGCAATCAGAATTCGACAAGCACCCAATACTCAATGTTCCCATCAGAATGAATCGAAGCAACAACGGAGATGAAAACCACATAGCACAGATACATCCGATCACCCAAACTAAAGTACAATCGATTCAAAGACAAAGCCCCAACCCAAGACCCTCGAGCTAAGCCCCAACCCAAGGGAAGCAAACGGAAATCAGATCTCAATTGCACGGATCAAACACGACGGATTGACCAGGAACAGAGAATCTTGAGTTCGATGCATTCAAGGACTCCACAAGTGTGAGGGGGATCTAGATCTAGAACTGTAGATAGCGAGAGAGTGGAGAGGCTGCGCAAACCTTTGAGGAGGGGAGAGGCGAGGAGGAGGAGAGCGAGGAAGAAAACCCTAAAACTCTTCATGGTGGAATTAGCAGATTCAGAATTCTGCGACTCGATGAAGAAGACGAAGGTTTAGAGAGAGGGAGAGGTTGGGGCTCTGTTTGGTCGTTGGACTCTCTTCTTCTTCTCCCCGATCGCTGGCTGCACTGTGTCCTACTATAAGACGCGAAATGACGTGGCTGGGAGCTAGCTGACCAATTAAATCAAACTCTTATCTCTCCACTAAGGGTGGGCATTCGATCGGTTCGGTTTCGACCGAACCGAAATTGTGAATATCAGGTCCCCGAATTCTCCCAAACCTCAAACCGATTCATAATTCGGTTCGGTCGGTTTAAATCGAATTATGATTCGGTTCGGTTTTTCACACAAAACCGAATTTGTGAAGCTATTTGTATTTTCTGACTTTTAAATTATTTTTTTATCCCTAATATAAATAATAAATATGTAATTATATGCATCATCAATGATAAAATCAAACTTTTCAATACATAAGTCATAAAACATTTCAAATATTTAAGTCTAAAAACAACTACAAACATAAAATCAGCTAGCAATTATAGTATTTCGGTTTTTCGGTCGGAAATTCAGAAATTTGGTTCGGTTGAGAGACCCTGGTTTCCGAATATCCATATTTTCCTTCCGAATTCCGAACCGAATAGCATTAATTCGGTTTCGATTCGATTTAATTAGGTTTTGGTTCGGGTTTACCGAACCGGTTTCCCACCCCTACTCTCCACGCTCCAGCACGAGCGAGTGGATTTTGTTTCAGTTTCCCCTTTTTTATTTTTTTCCCGCCATCTTACGTCGTCGTTTTGCTTACTTTCATTAAGGGCTCACTTGCTTTTGTTAATAGTTAAATTGATGTATTGTCGTGTATAATAATATACATATATAAGAAAATTGGTGTATTGTAGTTTACATTGTTTGATTTATTGTTTGGTTTTTATGATAGTAATTGTAGTAATTAGATAAGTTATATTATTTTTTTTTAGTGAAATGTCACTTTTACCTTTTTGTTCTCAATATAAAGAAGCAACACACATAAGAAGGTAGGGACATAGTCAGAAGAAATAAAAAATCCAACAATCTCACAAAAACTTAAGATTTAAATATCACTCATTTCGAGTGATAGTTTGTGTCACATCATGCAAACAATGCATGTATTGTCTGCGCAGCAAATTCAGAAAAACTATGCATTGTAACTATGTCAAACAAACTATCACCAAAACCAAACGACCCTTAAGTAACAAATAGCCCTTGCAACTAGTGCTCTAAATTTCTTTAAAAAAACATTAATGCTCTAAATGAGCTAACTTGTTTACACGAGATACTTGACGTTCATTTCGAAAAATGCTCATTTGAAATTCGACTTATTTATAAACGAGTATAACTTTAGCTAATCGATCAATATGACAATTAGCTCGACTCGGTGGCTTGTTTAGCACAACTTGTGAGCTTATTCGTTTTGAGTTCATGAGATGTCTTAACATTATGTCTAGCAAGCCAACTCTATTACCTGCTTTTGATCAAATCAACCTCTATCTTATGAGTTGGTTTTGTTGTTAATTCATAGATTTGTGACTCACTTCTACTGTCACTCTAGGAATTGGCCAAGTGAAACCACTCCCTAAAGTGTAGTATAGCGGGTTTGGGTTTAAATGTCAACCAGGGTCCTAGATTTGATGACTACTCGGTGAATTCTTGTTATCTAGCAATGAAACTTTAATGCAAGTCTAAACTAACAAACAAACAAAGCAAGTAAACTGTTGTATTCAGGTTAAGAGAGGTCACCCGGATATGGTTCCCCCTAGACTGCAGTTAAGCCGGATTGCAATTACCAAGTTCAGTTTCTATGATAGTTATACTGCGGAAGGTTCTTAAACAGCCTGAAGTCTCGACTAAAGGTCTTCAGACCCTCTCAATCTGAGTCTCTAGCGGGCGACTAACCTCCACCGGAGTAAACAGATTGAGGCCCTAACAACAAAACCTCCACTACCGAAGCGAATTCGGTACAGAATAGTGAGTTGGCTCCTCGACTAAAGTCACCAACTCCCTACCTTCAATCAAGGATGCTCTATCAACCTAGGCAGATATTCTCATTCTAGGTTAAAGCAGAAACAACAGGAATTTGATCAGGATTCATGCCATTCAATCATTCAAACCTCAATTGAATATAATCAAATCATAGAATCAGTACTTGGGTTCATACAATCAAACCTAACATACTAATCTAGGGTTCTCCATACCCAGATGAATGGGAGAACTACTCCATGGAGAAAGAAGCAAAAGCAGAATCAGACGCGGAATTCATACTGTGAAGGATGGATTCCTGCTCCTGGACGTTGATTGGCACTCCTCCAAGCTCAAGCCAAGCTCCAATGGTGATGAAGATCAAGCTAGGGCACTTGGAGACTCTTGTTCGTCGCTTTCTCTCTCTAGGAATCGCTCTGTTTCTCTAAAACTTGAATCCCCCTCTCTTTCGGCTGAAATCTGCTTAAAAAGGCATCACTGGGCAAAGCACGGTCGAGGGCACGGCCGTGCTTTGCTCCAGCCCGCCCGTGCTTTGGCTAGGGTTAATTACACAGCCAGCCTGTTGGGAGAAACACGGCCGTGCTTTTGGGTGGACACGGCCGTGTAATTTCTCAGCCCTGCCCGTGTTTTCAGCTCGTGTTTGCCAAACTCAAATCAGCTCTCGGCAGTAAAAGCACGGCCTAGGAGCACGGCCTAGGAACACGGCCGTGTTCTGTTTTAAGTGTGCCCGTGTTTTGGCTCCAGCTCCACCGAATGACTTCTGAATGCCCTGAAACTCGTGTTTAGCCTTTCCTTTGACGCCTGGGACCTGAAATATGACAAAATAGCACAACCCGGCGTAAAATAGGCCAAAATACACGACTATGCCCCTCAAACGGATAAGAACTAGGGGCGCAAATATGTGCAATTACATCGTTATCAAATTCCCCCACACTTAACCGAGGGACAAGCAAACCAAGTCAGACACAAGGTAAGCTCAAAACGTTTTGCTTAAGGGCATATCATATCGGCACAAAAACGTGGATCATACTGGCTTTCGATCATTAACACATGGACAACCTCAATGAAAACCTAGACAACCACCACAGATGACATCCGAATGCAGTAATATCGAGCAAAGGAAGAGTCTCCCTTCTGTTCACCAACCAACATAGACTTGACTCAACCACTTATTCAAAACAGTCACATCATGCACAAAGCTCAAGATATCAGAATTAAGACCGAGCAATCTAGGTCCTCATCGGGATAAAGAGTATAGAAAATAAGAGAAAATGAATCGCTCACTCTCGACCAGTGGGGTCAGGACAATTTGATGCGAAAAATGCGCATGCTTAATCTCTCAATCCCTAACATCTCCTCATCATGAATGCAGCCTCTAAGTGCTAGAGTTCACATATGGGGTGTCACCACTAACTAATCCGGAGGTCTTAGACACAGGTTCAGATGACTGGCTAGGGTCTTGGACATGGGGAAAAGGCTTTTTAGGTGGTGGAAGTATTCATACAGCACAAGGTTCCACATTTCCAAACCCAACAAACTCGCAGTCAAGCAAACCAATACTTTCTTTCTGCTATTCTGCATTACTCAAATTCAGAGCACAAGAGCGAAGGAGGTTACATAAATGCTAGTATTTCTAAGCCAGACTGCTAAGAAACACTACTAAATGGGCATTATTCAGATTTTTGGTGGTGGCTCTCTTTGCTTTCATTTTTTTCTTTGTTTTTCTTTCATTCATTTTTTTTTCATTTCTTAAGAGAACCACCACCTCTGCACATTTTTCAAGCACCTGCCCAACTTTTTAAGAACTACCTCCAACCCTCACATTATATTAAGCAGAAACAGCAGAGAACATGTAAAAATCACTCTGTGGAACCTTCTAAGAGATGCAAAAGGGTGATTTTTTCATATTGACCGAAAGAAAGGGTAACACACGGCTCAATGGGGCTGACTAGGGGGTATGACACACCAGGACAGTCAATTTGGTCGTGGGATAATCCTATGCCTCCATCATCTTAGCTAATGACAACGTGAATGCTGCACATCATGGAAGAGGGAACTATCGCACAAGAAAGAAACGAGCAGGCTCAAGTCTCACATGGCTACCTATATGCTCTATCTCTCGTTCTGATTCCCTGAACTAGATGCATAAATGACTGTCAAAAGCAAGTGATCAAACCAAGTCACATTTGGTAAGCAAACAGTTAAAAAACTGAACCCCTACACAATTCTACTGCACATCTCAGTCATCACAGTAAGTTGTCTAAGTCACACTCAAGTTGTCATGTATCAAGTCAAAAGCCATTCAATTCACTAATCACATCCACAGTGCCAATACGATCAAATATCAAGCAAACAGCCGTGCTTGGAGCCCTCAATTCTCAAGATTTGGACAGTGGACTAGGCTCCAAGCACACAAACAGATCTAATGCATTCAAAAGATAAACACCCCCCCCCCACACTTAAGATCGACATTGCCCTCAATGGAGAAGAGGGAAGGTAAAGGGGAACGATGTTACCGGTATGCACGGACTGCAGGAGACTAGAAGCGGACCAGTCGGAGTGAAGCGGACTGGAGAGAGGACCAGTCAAGACAAGCACAGCTAAAGGAAACCAAAGAGCTCAAACACAATATGTTAGGTCCAATGGTCAGCCCAATAATACATCATCCAAAACAAAAGAAAACAAACCAAAACCAAACCGGTTTACAATCCGACTCAAAACACAAGAAAGAAAGTCAAACCGTGGTGGGGTTGCCTCCCCACAAGCGCTTCTTTACCGTCTTTTAGCTGGACGCCCATGGTGGATACTCAGGGAGGTGCAGGAACAGGTGCCTCCAAGAGCGGATCCACGTCGCTCTTGAGGTACAGCTTCAGGTTGTGGCCATGCACCCGACAGATGCGACCACCATCATCGGTCAGCTCGACCTGGCCATCTGGCAAGATGCAGGCGAGTGAGTACCCGGACGGCCAGGGTGGTCGTGGTGCAGGAGGTGGGACCAGCTCATAGTGGTCTCCACCCTTCTTCCGTGCAGGCTTAGCAACCTGCTGCTTCGGCCGCCACTCCTCCTTGATCTTTTTGTTCGGAGGCGAGACTGGATGGGGTGGCGGCGAAGGAATGATAGGAGGGTCCTGCAAAATGAGAGGTGCAGGAGGATACACGACAGGCTCGTGTACCTGATCAAAAATGGCATGCACAAGTGTGACAGCAATCATAGCACAGTGATCGAATTCAGTCACAGAAAAAGTAGCATGTTCATTCTCAGCACGCAGGATCAGTTTACCATCATGCACATCAATAATTGCCTTGGCGGTGGCAAGAAATGGTCTACCCAGAATCAAAGGCACATCCACATCCTCATGTATATCAAGAATAACAAAATCGACAGGATATGTGAATGCACCTATATTAACTAGCAGATCCTCTATGATCCCCCTTGGATGCACAATGGGACGATCAGCTAGCTGAATGCTCATCCTAGTAGGACTAAGTTCACCTAGGTCTAGCTTTTTATACAACTTATATGGCATGACGTTTATGCTAGCGCCTAGGTCCGCCAAGGACTTGCCTACATGCATGCTGCCAATAGTAAGAGGGATAGTAAAACTCTCTGTGTCCTTGCGCTTTTCGGGCAGCTTGTTCTGCAGGATAGCAGAACACTCCTCACTGAGCATCACTGTCGAAAGATCCCCAAGTTTCTTCTTGTTGGTGAGGAGATCTTTCATGAGCTTCGCGTACTTGGGCATCTTCGACAGTGCCTCCACAAACGGTATGCTGATGTTGAGCTGCTTCAACATTGCCATAAAATTGGCAAACTCAGTCTCCAACTTGTCTTTGTGTAGGCGAGTGGGGAAGGGAAGCTGAGGTACATGCTCCTTAACCACTGGTTGTGGCTTGGGAGCAGAGGCTTCCTTCTCCACCCACACTTCTGCATCGTCGGCTGGAAGTGCTGAAGCAGGTAGTGGGTCCTCCTGCCTGGCCGGGACAGGATCAGCAGATATGGTCTCACCGCTCCTGGTAAAAATGGCATCCAGCTGCTGGTGCTGGTGAGGATCACGAGGATTCAGAATAGTGGTGGCAGGCAGAGTCCCCGGTGCCCTGGTAGTGTTTTGGCTCGCCAAGATACCCACCTGGTGCTGCAGATCTTGCAAAATGGCACCTTGGTTCCTCTGACCTGCCTCCAGTGAGGCTACACTCTGGTCCAACCTCGTGATAGTTGCCTGAGTGCTAGTCATGAATGAAGCTAGAATATTCTCCAGCTTTGTCATCCGATCATCTGGAGCAGGAGCTGCTACTGGCTCGACATACTGACGCTGGGGCTGCTGGAATGGTTGCCCCTGCCGAGGCTGGTAGGGCTGCTGCTGTGGGGCTGGCCCCTGTCGAGCCTGGAAGGGCTGCCTCTGCTGAAAGCCACCAGCTGGTGCTGGGAAACCAGGTGGCTTAGTGGTGTTGCTGCCCCAAGAGAAGTTGGGATGCTGGCGCCACCCCTCATTATATGTATTGCTGTACGGGTCGAGGCGCCGAGCATTGGCGATGAAGTCCAACTGCTCTTGGGGAGTAGTAGACTCACTCATAGCCTGGCAGTCTTCCACTAAGTGATTTGAGCTCTCACACCACTGACATTGAGCTACTGGAGGTGTAGCCAAACCTCTGCCCGGAATCAGACTGTTGGGCTGCTTCAATGTCTGCACTAACTCAGCTACCTGCTGCTCAAGCCCGGATCTGGTCTCCATGGCGTGCACACCACGGTCCCGGGAATGTCTGCCTCTGCTACTCTGTCCCCAAGAATGATCTCTGGCAGCCAAGGTATTGATCATCTGGTTCAGCTCGGGTGGAGTCTTAGTAAGAATATCCCCTCCTGGGCATAGAGACTCAATCACCCTCTGGCTGTCTGGAGAGAGAGCACTGTAGAAGTTCCCCACTGTAAATGCATCACTGAAGCCATGATGGGGACACTGCCAGAAATATCCCATGTACCGGTCCCATGCATCACGAAGTGACTCATCTGGCTCTTGGCGGAAGTGAGTGATCTCCCGCTGGATCTCTGTAGTCTTCGATGCCGGATAGTACCTGTGCACGAATTTGTCAGCCAGATCGTCCCAAGAGGTGATGGACAATGGGGGTTGGGTCTCCAACCACCTCTTAGCATTCCCTGCCAGAGAATGGGGGAAAAGGTGAAGGCGGATTGCATCATCGGGGACACCATTCAGTTTGAACCCGTTCGTCAGCTGCAGAAAACGGGAAAGATGTACCCTGGCCTCCTCATCCTTCAAGCCATGGAACTGGATAGAGGATGTAATGAGCTGAATCCAGCATGGCTTGATCTCGAAGTTGTTTGCTGGAATAGGCGGGTAGAGGATGACCGGGCGGATGTCAGCAATCCGTGGAGTGTAGTAGTACTCCAAGGTGGGACCCGGCGGCAGTGGATGATGATGAACCCCATGATCCTGGGGTATGGGGTTGTTCCCCAGGACCTGATTCACCGGGGGAGCCTGCTGAGGATTCCCGTGGTGTTGATTGTACTCTCCGTCCATCCTGTACTCTTCCTCAAAATCGCTGCTCAGGTGGCCGTCTATGCGCACTTCCGTAGCCAGTCTAGCTCGCTGTTGTCTCCTGAGTTGGCGACAGGTGCGGTCAATCTCTGGATTCAACGGCAGTAAACCTCCCAACTGGCTACGGGTCATGCACTACCTGCACACACTCAAGCAAGCAAACCCGTGAAGGCACAAGTGGGACAAAGCAAACAATGCGAAAAGAAAAGCTAAATTAACAGAAATCACTTCTCTTCAACAACCTAGCCGTCCCCGGCAACGGCGCCAAAAACTTGACTCACTTCTACTGTCACTCTAGGAATTGGCCAAGTGAAACCACTCCCTAAAGTGTAGTATAGCGGGTTTGGGTTTAAATGTCAACCCGGGTCCTAGATTTGATGACTACTCGGTGAATTCTTGTTATCTAGCAATGAAACTTTAATGCAAGTCTAAACTAACAAGCAAACAAAGCAAGTAAACTGTTGTATTCAGGTTAAGAGAGGTCACCCGGATATGGTTCCCCCTAGACTGCAGTTAAGCCGGATTGCAATTACCAAGTTCAGTTTCTATGATAGTTATAATGCGGAAGGTTATTAAACAGCCCGAAGTCTCGATTAAAGGTCTTCAGACCCTCTCAATCTGAGTCTCTAGCGGGCGACTAACCTCCACCGGAGTAAACAGATTGAGCCCTAACAACAAAACATCCACTACCGAAGCGAATTCGGTACAGAATAGTGAGTTGGCTCCTCGACTAAAGTCACCAACTCCCTACCTTCAATCAAGGATGCTCTCTCAACCTAGGCAGATATTCTCATTCTAGGTTAAAGCAGAAACAACAGGAATTTGATTAGGATTCATGCCATTCAATCATTCAAACCTCAATTGAATATAATCAAATCATAGAATCAGTACTTGGGTTCATACAATCAAACCTAACATACAAATCTAGGGTTCTCCATACCCAGATGAATGGGAGAACTACTCCATGGAGAAAGAAGCAAAAGCAGAATCAGACGCGGAATTCATACTGTGAAGGATGGATTCCTGCTCCTGGACGTTGATTGGCACTCCTCCAAGCTCAAGCCAAGCTCCAATGGTGATGAAGATCAAGCTAGGGCACTTGGAGACTCTTGTTCGTCGCTTTCTCTCTCTAGGAATCGCTCTGTCTCTCTAAAACTCAAATCCCCCTCTCTTTTGGCTGAAATCTGCTTAAAAAGGCACCACTGGGCAAAGCACGGTCGAGGGCACGGCCGTGCTTTGCTCCAGCCCGCCCGTGCTTTGGCTAGGGTTAATTACACGGCCAGCCTGTTGGGAGAAACACAGCCGTGCTTTTGGGTGGACACGGCCGTGCTTTGGTGGACACGGGCGTGTAATTTCTCAGCCCTGCCCATGTTTTCAGCTCGTGTTTGCCAAACTCAAATCAGCTCTCGGCAGTAAAAGCACGGCCTAGGAACACGGCCGTGTTCTGTTTTAGGTGTGCCCGTGTTTTGGCTCCAGCTCCACCGAATGACTTCCGAATGCCCCAAAACTCGTGCTTAGCCTTTCCTTTGACGCCTGGGACCTGAAATATGACAAAATAGCACAACCCGGCGTAAAATAGGCCAAAATACACGACTATGCCCCTCAAACGGATAAGAACTAGGGGCGCAAATATGTGCAATTACATCGTTATCAATTTGTAAGATTATACATCTCACTCTATATAATGTTCACGACTTTGAGTATGTGAGCAAATATTTCTCTTTTATAATTCTACAAAAAAAATTATGTTTCATAGATTCCTTTGATATTGTTTACTATGAAATAACATTATGTGAACTAGTTAAAATTTATTATTTAAAGAATATAATAGTAACAAAATATATAACCACGCGATCAATTAACTATCACAAATTAGCTATTTTTTTCTCATGAGATCAATCACATGTATCGTATCTGACATACAAATATTAGAGAATTTAATTTATAAACTATTTTAGAGTTTAATACTAGAGTTCAACTATTTAGTACTAATAGTACTAATGAGTTGAATCGAACTTGTGATCTTGTTGATGAGCCATTAAGCAAAGCTCATGAACTTATAAATGATGCTACATCAAAACACATATGAGTCAGAGTTTTAATAAACAAATCGAGCTCAAACTCCATTCGACCCATCAATAATAAAGTCAAACTCAACATAAGCCTATTTATTAACGACACAAGCTCAAGTTAGACAAAAGCTCGACTCGTGGTAGATTCATTTGCCTCCATACTTGCAACAACCGTGAACCATTTCACATTGGGGAAGGATTGACAACCACAATACTAGCACTAGCTGGACCTAATCGTCATTATTAGGGGTGGGCATTGGTGCGGTTCGAACCACACCGTACCGCTTTGATATAAACCGCACTGCACCGCATATTAATTGGACCGCACCGCATGTTGGACCGCAATGTACTCGGTGCGGTCAAACCAAACCGCATAGGTTAGCGGATTGGTACGGTTTAGCCAGCACCGCATGTTTGACCGCAATTCATAATGAAACAAATTGATATTGTCTTTCCCTATCCGAATCTGTTGAACTGTACTAATATAAAGAGAGAATGCTTTCCTTGAGCAATATAAAGAGGTCCATCTTCTTCTCATAACAGAAAACATAGCATACAAAAAACAGAGCATAAAAGAAATTTGCATAGATCCACTAAAGTAGACACATGACAGACAAGTCACTTGCCAAAATCATGGAATGATCTTACACTGACTTGAACCTGCAAAGGGAGGTAGAAGGAATGAAGTTAAAATTGCAATCTCATGTTGGTGGGTCGTTTTTTCTTGATCACCATTACACAGCTGGAATGTTCATTATTCCAAGAGCAACTTCTACAACTGCTTCTTCCTTGTCAATTCATTATAGTTTTAGCGAAATAGTAAATCATTTCCTTCACAATTCAAGCCCTTCTTTTGGTGTACATCATATCCATAAAAAGTTTGTTCTTGTTGCTCGTGGATCTCAGCTTTGTTTCGGGTTAATTGTGGAAAAATTATTGCAAAAGAAGTACAGATGTTAAAGACAAAACTGGATCGGTATGTTGGAATTTGCAGCTTTGTTAACTGAAGCTGCCAGAGAGGTATGATCAGCCTTGGCAGCAAAGCAGCTAGTTGTGGAATGGTTCGGCTTGGTAAAGTTTTGAATGACATGATTTCGTTGCGATTTGCGGTTTGAACCGCAACCGCGCAGTTTCGGTTTGAACCAACCGCAAACCGCGAACCGCATAAAATGTAGACCGCATCCTTGACCGCAAGCTTAACGGTGCGATCCAGTTTGACCGCATATGCGGTTCGGTGCGATTTGGTGCGGTCGGACCGCACCGATGCCCACCCCTAGTCATTATCTAATATGACAAACGTGGCATCTTCCACTAATAGAGTCAATCTCATGCGAACCAAATAGTACGGTACACATGATCAAACTAAATAGTTGGCGTCCACAATTATAACCATCGTACTCTGCCTAAGGGATCCTATGTGCATGCAAAAGAAAATTCACAGTGCAACACCAATTTGCAAATTACACTCTTTAGTTCGCATTCCATTCTCACTCGACAAGAGTGCAAGACGAGGCTAATACCTAAGTTAATCAGTACTATGGAACCAATTGTTCTGCTTGCACGACAGATACAGCCCAGATATTTCTTTTGCGTGCTCCATCTAACTGACAGCCAGCAAGTCGACATCAGTTTCAGACACCATGGATTGTGTAACGCTCCCACTTCCTTGAGGGATCATATATCTGTCACACAAAAACATAAACAAGAACAAACTCAACACTCGGGGAGGGGAGGAATCGGGTTGTTTTTAATCGTTTGGTATACGATTACTTAAATCACTACTTCCAGACAACACAATTAAGAAAGAGATCAAAGATGCACACCTCCCATCTTGATGCAGGGAATATATGCTTGTTCTTCTCATACCAATGCCTCTCAACCACTTTACCAGCATGGGACTGTTAGAAAGCACCAAAAAGGTGTTGCTGCTTGTTTGAGTGGGAAATGCCTTGGGATACAGAAAGCACGAAGCCAATATCTATATAGTACAATTAAGAGTATACCTCATCCTTCTCTATGGTTGCATCAGCAGTTGTACGCACATCCTCGTGCACATCAAAGTGGAAAAGCTGCAAGAGGGAATCACAAGAGAGAATTCAGAAGTAGGCATCTGATGTAGCAGACAATTGTCCAATTTCAGAATAGTGATAGTTTCAGAGCTAGCTCAATATTCTGTCAAATCATATGAACAGAATGCAGAGTTGCAGTCAAGACTATGTACGACTAGATTCAGAGAGCGATCCCATACAAAAAAATTTAAAGTAAGCTCAGAATGATCTTGTTTACAGCCTAATTGTATACTTCTGCATTATGGTTAGATTACTGTTGATATTACCAGTACAAATTACTCATTTTCAACCGGCACAATTTTTTTTATAAGGTTCAACAGACACCACCTTCAAAAATTGAGCTAGAACAACATTCAGTACCAATAGTACTCCTCCGCTACATTATGCCAATCTAGGAAACTTGACAAGATAAACATGGGAAAAAACATGCACCAAGTCCAAGGACCCAATAACTTGACAAAATAAACAATAGCAAAGAACATGAACCAAGTTCAATGATCCAGAATCTTACCGGTCCACTTTTTCCCCTAGCTTTGTTGACTATGAGCTCATAGAAGCTGTGTTGCTGTAGCGTTACAAGTATGTAAAGAGAAAACATCAGATAATCTTTATAAGTAAGAAGAATATGAAAGAATAAAGCATAAGTTAGGAACTCTATAGCATCTTACATGAGGAATGATAAGATCCTCTTTCACATAGAGCAAGTTTTCAACATTAGTTGTTCTTATTTCTCTAAATTCGGGTGCAAGTTGCTGTTGAACAGACAGCAGAAACTCTCCGATGCTATCGCCCTTTCGCGCCTGCACGAAGCAAAAAGTATGTAAAATCAATAACTACTCCAGGTTTATTAAAAATGAAAGCATGTTACCTAGGTAAAATGAAGGTTGAATATAAGCTGCATAATAATTAACCTGGATCACCCTGCGGTGGCCTGTCCCATCCCAGTAACTGTATGTAATTTGAAGGGCCTCATCTGAAATATCAGAAATCGTTATTTCATCATCAGATGCTACTGTTCATCAGAAAAAGAATGAGAGACTATAATAATGTGCTCAATATAACATGATAGAATTATAAATCATACTTTTAATCTGCTCCTGCTCACGAACCCATTGTTTCCGCAACCTTCCACGTTCAGCTTGCTCCTCAGCCTCCCTCTCACTGTATCAGCTTCCTCAACCCACCTAAGTGTATGGTTAGTCCCAAGTCCATCCACAACTAAGCATTGTTCCACAAAACAGAAAGAAAGACACCATACATACCTGTCAGGCAAAAAGCTTGTTTCAACAGTGGGATCTTTGCCAAATTTACCACGAGCCAGCTTACTTTGAACAGGATCTTCTGCTGACAAGACAGCAGACAAGCCAACGTTCAAATGACAACATAACAAATTTCACTCTTTCAATCAAATTCATCAGACGAAGCTAAGAATTCATACAGAGGCTTCTATACTGAAAAGCATAAAAATTGCTCAAATAACTCCCAGCATCGAGGGGAATAACAAGTCACATCTCAACAAGGAAAAGGGAGCATTCAAAGCAACCACATAAAATAATTAAAACTCCAAAGCTTAAAATAGTTTTTGCTCAAGGATTCAAACTTAAAGCATGATCAGTTACCGATTCCACCATCTTCATCTTCCACTCCATCGTCAGAATCATCAGAAAATGAAAGCTTTGAATTCCCTTTAATCTTCCTCTTCTTGCGCTTGGCTAGCTGTGCTTCCTCCTCCCAGGAAACACACCAGATTAAAGAACCCACTTTTGAGGCCGAGGATAAGCAGCCCACACCAGGCAGAGAAAACTTCACAATGCAAGAACCAAACTCACTCTTGCCGCAGCTTTTGCAGCTTCTCCTTCTCTTCTTCTTCTTCAATCTTATTCTGAATAGTAACTCTCTGAAATACAATCCCACATCGTCAATTGATTCCCGTTCGCAAATATGAAGGGCAGAAACTAAAACAACAAAGTACAAGAAATTCATCACCTTCTCGACATACTGATCCCTTGTAACCAACCCCACAGTTTCTTTCTTGAACGCAGTCTCGAGAATCTGGACAATAACACCACAATTAAGCACGTTATAAAAAAACCCGAAACCCTAATCGACATTCATCAGGAATTGGATCAAGCCGAAACGGGGAGGAATGAACAGAGACCTCCGATGTACTAGACCCGAACTGGAGAAGTCCAGGCCCGCCTTTGTCAGAGGCGGATTTCGTCTTCATCTCCTCGATTTTCCGGCGCTCAGCTTCTCGTTGCTTCTCTAGCCGACGGATTCTCACGGCGTCCTGCGCCGTGCCCACGTACCAGTCTCCCATACCCGCCATTTTCCGGTCAACACTTTTCGCTTTCTCTCGTTAGATGTCCTGTTCCTCACCTTCGTTCGGAGAACAAATCTCTAGCCTATTGGCAGTGAAGAAGGAGCCTCGCTCGTCTCCGTAGGAGGAAGAACGAAACAAAGCAGGGGCAAAGGGTGGACGATGAAGAATTGAAGATTGAAGAAGAATGTGCTAAAAACCGCCGCCACCTAGTTCAACGTCGGTTCGCGGTTTGACGGATAGAGCTTCCGCAAACGGGCTGGGCCGACTGAAGCCCATATTTGCCGGCTTGCTTCATCCCTTCCGTATTTGGGCCGAATCCGCTTCCAATGCTAGATCTGGCCCTGAACATTTTTTTTTGTATGTTATTTTCAAGGGATGGAATTGGTTGCAAAATTCAGAGATTTCAGATAGGAATGTAATCTGGGAAAGAACAGATCTCTGCCATGACATCATTGTGTCCAACGATCTCAGTGAATTTGTTGAGAAAAGTCCAACCAACCTAAGAAGATGAGACATTAATTTATACCTATCATATTTTTTTTGTGTGATCATCTACAACGAGAGATTAGTAATTGCTATCGATGATGATAGATAATCTAATTATAAATGAACCGTAAAAATGTTTTATTTTTTTTTTGTTTTCGAATAGAAATGGCTATATTTGTCAAAAGTGTGAAATTTATGGTTATACAGGTGTATTTTGTCTATTATTGGGTTAATATCTTATTTTGGCCCGAACTATAACCGTATAATCAACTTTGGCCCGTGGTTTCAGAAATTAACATCCTGGCCTCAACTATGCAGCATATAGACTCAATTGACCCGACACATGGTTTGACCGTTAATTTGGACGGTCAACACCATTGACCATTAGTCAACGCGTCATGTCATTGCCTCGTCAGCCTAAAAATTATTAAAAAATTCAAATTAAAATTATTTTTCTAATTTCTATTATTTATCATTTTTAAAATAACTAAAAAATAAAATTTAAATAATTTTATAATTTTTGGTTAATTGGTAAAATTTATCATTTTCAAATTACCCAAAAAATAAAATATTAAATTTATTATATATTTTTTTAATCTTAATTTTTTGGTTAATTTGATAATGATAAATAATATAAATTAGGAAAATAATTTGAATTTGAATATTTTTAAAGATTTTTATGCTGACGAGACAATGACATGCGTGTTGACTAACGGTCAACGGTTTTGATCGTCCAAATTGACGGTCAAACCATGTGTCATGCCAATTGAGTCAATATGTTGTATAATTGAGGTCAGGATGTTAATTTCTGAAACCACATGCCAAAGTTGATTATATTATTATAGTTCAGGCCAAAATAAGGTATTAACCCTTTGAGAAATTTTACAATGCTATATAGTATTGGTGCTATAGGATTTTGCCTTTATGGTACAACTTAAAATTGTACATTTACGTTATGGTACAACTTCAGATTGTACCTATACTTTTTGTACAAATTCTTTTATGGTACAACTTGAACTTGTACTTTTATGTGATGGTACAACTTCAAATTGTAAAGTTGTACCATAACATAATGGTATAAATTGCTTTATGGTACAATCTAAACTTATACATTTAATATTATGGTACAACTTTTAAGTTGTACATTAAAGCACCAATATTATATAGTATAATAGAAGTGCTCTTAACCCTTTTAGTATTCGTCGTATAAAATACACAACACAAGTCCCTATTATAATCTGCAGCCAGAAGCGGAAAGCATAAGCTAAAGTGGCGAAGATCCTTATGTGCTCTTCTTGTTCAACAGTCCAAGGCCACCAACTCCACCCAACAACCACTGTCCCGCCAATAGCCAATTACATTCGTGGCTTCAATTGACCTCAACATTTGTTTATGTAGAAAACTTGATACGAGTTTGATGAATTCGATTTTCTGAAAATAAGTACGATATAGTAAACTCTACAATTGAAGGAAATGAAGTATTTGGTTATGTTTTTCTGTACAGTACGCCAAGGAGTAAACAACTGGAGAAAAAAAGCAAAACAAGGAAAGAATATAAGGACGGAAACTACGATAGCATTTTGAAGTTTTTTTTGAGGTCTTACACTGTCAGAGTTTTAGTTGTGGGAGCCCATTCGCCAAACCTGAACCAGATACAAAAAATCTCCAAGCTTTTTCTTCATCATCATCACCCATGGCGATGCTCTCGACTTCACTCTCTGCCGCCGGCTCCAAATCCGCAGCCACCCTTTACTCCCCACCTAACTTCTCCGGTCTCCGTCGATCGTCCTGCCCCACGCTCGACAACCCTTCTTCCAACTCGCTCCACCTCTTCGATTCTCAGCTCCGCTTGCCTTCGCTTTCAGCTCGTAGACCTTGCAGAGCCGTCGTTGCCATGGCAGGAACCGGAAAGGTTTGTGCTTTTTGGTCTTTCCAGATCTCGTTTCGCGTATCGTTACTGTTGCTGATTTTTACTTTGTTCATTATGTGCGTTTCCATCTGCGCATTGACTAATTTGTGTTGTTTTTCTTCGTCTCCTGTGTTTGCAGTTCTTCGTTGGAGGAAACTGGAAGTGTGTAAGTGGTTTAATTCTGTTTGATTGCTTCTGGGTTTTCTTTGCTGCAATGATTGATTGTATTGGCACGATACTTGTGCTGTAATTTGGAAGGAAGAAGATTGATCGAGGATTTGTTGTCTGATAACAGAATGTGGTTCTTTAAGTTATTTGAACAGAGTAGAAGGAGAATGATTTGGTCCCTATTTCCCCTACTTGTTCTTATGTCATACTCATTCTCATCATATACCCTGTGATGAAAGGACAGAGGAATTGAATGAAAAGCTTAAGGTTAGGTTTGGCGATGGTAATGGTAATGGTATTGACGCGGTGGTGGCTGCTAAATTGTGGGGCAATGCTGGCTGTCTAACTTGTGGTAGTACTGCTATGCATTCTTCATTTTACCCTGTGAATAGGTCCTACAAGGTGTTGAATCGTGCAATTGGTTCTTTTACCTTGTTAGGGTGCTGTTTCTATTGGTTGGGTGTTATCTGCTGCCATTTTTTTTTTAAATGTTTGTGCTGATTCACCTTTTCAAAATCTTTTCTGTGTACTTAGAATGGAACAAAAGAGTCCATCACTAAGCTGGTCTCGGACTTGAACGATGCAAAATTGGAGTCTGATGTTGGTAAGATAGTTTCTATATCTTTGAACTTCGGTTGATGTTCATCATTGATACCAATATTAGGTGTGGCTGTGGTGTCTAGCTGTAGGCGTTGCCTATTAAGTTGACTTCTTTTCTTGCTGACTACGACATACCTGTCAAGTTGTTCATATTTCATGACTTAACCTTGTTGTTTGTGCAGATGTCGTTGTGGCACCTCCATTCGTTTACATCGATCAGGTGAAGTCTTCATTGACAGATAAAATTGAGATATCTGCTCAGAACTCTTGGGTCAGCAAAGGTGGGGCTTTCACGGGAGAAATCAGGTCAGCTACTTCTGTTGCTCCAAGTTATTAGTTACTTGTCTCTACAAGTCACACTTCCACACTGTGTCCTTTGTGTTTTCTGTGTGTCTTCAAGTTTTGCTAGTTCATCTGAAGAAAAAATATGATATCTCATTGCTAAATCCTTGGTACCTGCTATAGTTGTGGTGCTTAGTAGAATCAGCATGTCCTCTCATGATCTCTATTTAATAGGGTTTTGAGTTCCAACTTCAACTTAAAAATGGAGATATTCAATAAATTTTTCGAAGCATGAAGTAGTTACTTTGCTTGTCTCCCACTTGACTGTGGACCTACATTGTTCATGAAATATTAACATAAGCTACTTTCACTTAAATTAGCAGATCAATTTAACACAGGCAATATACTTAAGTATCTTAATGATTTATTTTGCTCATGCTATTGTCTTGGATGGCAGGCTCTGCTTGTTGTACCAGCAAACTGTTAAATAATAATGTCTTACTACCTCTTTTACAGTGTGGAGCAGTTGAAAGATATCGGGGCGAAGTGGGTTATTCTTGGGCATTCTGAGAGGAGACATGTTATCGGTGAAGATGATCTGGTGAGAGCCTAAACCACTTTCACACCTATTGTTATTAACTAGATGGATGCCACTTAGAACTGAAATGTCATGTTTTTGTTAAAATTTCAGTTTATAGGGAAGAAAGCTGCTTATGCCTTGAATGAGGGCCTAGGGGTGATTGCTTGTATCGGTGAACTATTGGAAGATAGAGAAGCTGGGAAAACTTTTGATGTTTGTTTCACGCAGTTGAAAGCCTATGCAGGTGACTATTTTTAATGTTTGCTTCACGCAATTGTACAACATGATGATGCACAGCTAATACCACTTGTTAATGTTATTGCTCTACAGATGCAGTGCCTAGCTGGGACAATATAGTAATAGCGTATGAGCCTGTATGGGCTATTGGAACTGGCAAAGTCGCCTCACCACAACAGGCTCAAGAAGTTCATGCTGCTCTCCGTGATTGGCTTAAAAAGAACGTCTCGGACGAAGTTGCTTCCAAAACCCGTATTATTTATGGAGGTGAAAGCATTTTACATTCCTGTCTTTCAATGCCTCATTGATTTTTTAGAACATCACTTCTGGATGGCTGATCTTCTCAAGGGTGATCTCTGTTGTTCAGGATCTGTAAATGGTGGCAATTGCGCCGAGCTTGCAAAACAAGAAGATATTGATGGTTTCCTAGTTGGGGGTGCATCCTTGAAGGTAAATATACTTCTTCTAACCCGAAACACCTGTCATCAAATATACCTAAGCACATTTCTGATGCAATTTGTTGTGCAGGGACCCGAGTTTGCGACAATCGTGAACTCCGTAACATCCAAGAAAGTTGCAGCTTGATTTTTCATCATCTGTTTTGTTCAACCAATAAGGGAAGGGACATGAGAGGCTATTACCTTCACCAAGGAGCTGACTGTAATCACATGGAGTTCTGTCGCGCCATCCCCTTTTCGTTTTTCTTCGTTATCCTCTTCTCTCAGGCACACTCATTTTGCCTTGCCCTTCTATTAACTTCATTTGATTACAAGGTCAGCTGGTTTTGCATAAAATCCTGAAGAAGGAAAGGCCACTCCACTACTACATTGACCCCCGAGTCTTGTTGTAACTTCAATTTCTGAGCTGTAACATTATTATTAGTGCTAGCTATGGTAGGCAACGTGTGCATGTTGTCACAGCAGAGCCGCTTGAAGTTTCATGCATGAACTTTCTTCTTTCTTGGCTCTTGATTTCTGGTAGTCCAAACTCCAAACAACACTTTTCTTGCAGAGATCAGTGATTCCCGCTATGTGTCATTATCTAAGCAAGTGATGTTTTTGATATTGGTGGGTTAATTGGAGTTTGTGAAAGGTATTTGTTGGGGAACAAGTATGGGTCAAGGGGCAACCCAACTAGAAAGGCCCAAGGAGGCTTGGTAAGGTTACAAACATGGGCCAGGTAGGGCCCAAACAGAGAAGCCTAAAGAAGCCCACATGAGTAGGGGCCATGGGCTCGGTGGCGCACGATGAATGGCCCAAATAATCAGGATAGTGCGTGGGACAAGTGGGGCCAGACACCTGGCAAGAGGCGCATAAGACAAAAGACATCCAACGGTCGGAAGTGTACGAAAAGCTGACTACATGATGTCATGTGTCTCAAACTCCTGACGAAAGTGTCAGGTGGTCGAGGCGCATGTGCAAGTGGTGTACGGCGCATTTATTGCGGACCTGACACAAAGCGAGAGCTACGGATACCGGTCGATCTGGCTCCGGGTATAATTAGTGAAGTAGGTAAACCCCATTTACTCAGTTTTGCTTCTCTTACTAGAATCGTTCTCCACTTCTCTCTCTAGAAGTAAGTGTTCTCATTTGGGCGTCGGAGTGCTAACGGACCTATCAGGTCCGCAAGGCGCTTGTGTGTGCAGGCAGGAGCACGTCCGGAAGCGCAACAGGAAAGGAGGCGCCGAGGCGCACAGCGTGAAGAGGAAGGTTGTGGGGCTTAAACATGTTAGAAATCGAACAGGAAAAATTAGGGTTACCGATCTGGCTGAGTCGCGGACTAGGTCGCTCTCTTTAAGACGTTCGCGGCACTGCCTTCGATGCGCACGGCAGACTATCAGCCGGTCGCCTCCAGGATAAAACCGCCACTCTAATTTTGTTGCTCATCGGTTTTGTGCGAAAACCGGAGCTCTATGAACTCACTCTCTATCTCGTGTTTCTGCTCTCTGAGGTGTGTTTAGAGGGTCTGGGGCGTCTCCTATTTATAGGAGCAGAAAACCCGGAATATTCCCTCTTTCTTTGGGAATAAGTCATATTTTAATTAGGGAGATAATTATTTCTAATTATCTCCATAATATTCCTTTTATTAATTATCCATCTTATTTAAGTATTATGGGAAAATACTGGATAATTAATTAGGAATTTCATTTATAGTTTTTCAAAGCTATTCATCCCAACAATCCCCCACTTGAATAGTTTTGAAACTATCTCTGAGCATCAACAGTTCCAGAAGATCGGGCATAAGCTAAGGTATCGCGAAGATTTGAACCTTAGCGTAGTGGTTACACTTCCGATTTCATAAGGGTGACTCGTAGTCTTGAACCCTATCTCAGACAATGTAGCACACCGGATCTTTTCATTGAGTGATATTCTCTCATGGGCCGTGCGTTTATGGCCATGCACGTTATCCCGGTTTAGTGAACGCTCTAGCAACTTTGTGCCTCCAAAGTTCCATAGGGAGCGGCCCCACTCCCACATTCACATAGGTGAGTCTATCAGAAGTACCCCCAAAGTAAAGTACTTCACTCCACATAGAGTATAGATCTCATTAAGAGTTTAACCCAACCTCCAAGGCTTTGGGATTCATGCTTCACTATGCATGAACTTTTCGCATACTACTCATGACTTGTTATTACCCATTGAACCCATTTCTTGGGATCTCCAGTCTATTGGGTCGGGTTACCATCACTTGTAGTCCGTGGTTCGGTAGGCATAAGTCTCATACTCTTGGCGGTACTTTGGACTTTCTCTCTAGATAATCCTTTCGTCAAAGGTTCAGCTAGATTCTGTTAGGACCTTACAGGATCCACCCTCATTGCTCCTATCGTTAGGAGTTCTCTTACAGTACTGTGCTTACGACAAATTTGTCGTCTCTTTTCGTTCTAGAACCGGTTCCCTTCTTTAGTAATAGCTGCGGTGCTATCACAATGAATCAGTTACCAGAGGGATCGGTCTTTCCCATAAGGGAATCTCTAGTAGTGACCCTCTCAATCAACTTTCCTCTTTACTAGCCATTGCTAGTTCTATCATTTCTGATTTCTTAGTTGATTGAGCCAGGATCGTTTACTTCTTAGACTTCCAAGACATAACTTCTCTATCGATGTTTAAAACACAACCTCTTGTTGTCTTGGAGTCCTCTATAGGGTATTCTAATCCGCATCACTATACCCTACCAATACAGCAAGAAACCGTTGATAACATATATCAAGGCCTACTGTTCACTTAAGGTGTCTCATGACCCTTTTCAATAGCATTTCAACGCTTCATCCTAGGACAATCAGTAAGCCTGCTAAGTACCCCCACTAAATCAGGTATCATGTTTATCAGCTGTCTCCTGCAGACTGTAAATGCTAGTATATTCTTACTTTCTTACACCATATTTGGTGCTCTTAAAATTGTACTAGCATCTTCAAACATTTAGGCAAGAGTATAACTTGTATTTCTTATATATCTTAACCAAACAGTTAGATTGATCTATAAAAAATTTCTTTCACTGTCCTAGTCATTTGGATCTCTAAGTGAAACACTTGGATCCTTCTCATCAAGGTTCTCACTCAACATGGTTTTTCACATTTATTCGTGTCATGAGTCTTTGCAACAAAGAAACATGTCTTTTATAGTGCAAGTGTCGTTCTAAGTTAGTAACAAATGTATTTGCCACTTTCATTCAAAACCATGAGAGAACCATCCATCCATGCCATGATTTTTAAAGTCTGTTTCAAATCATACCATGATTTTTCTCACCATAGACTTTAAAAGCATGTTCAGGAATAACAACCTTTTAGATTGTCCCATTCTAGATTTCTTTATCTAAATCACCATTCACAAAATGTAATTTTAACATCCATCTGATGCACCACTAGCAATCAGACCGTATGTGGATGTTATTCTAGTTTTGGTGAATAGATATAAAGAAAATCTACAAAAAATTTCTTTTTCGCCTTAAGTCTTAACTACTAGGCGATCCTTATACTCATAAACTAAACCATTAGGTTTCAGTCTTCTTTTGAGAATCCATTTATTACCTTTGCTTCATTGCCAGGAGATAATTCTCAAAGACGCCAAAACTTGTTCGATTTCATCGATATATTACCTAAGGCTTTACAGCCAAAAGGTAACTCTACAAGTTTCTAAGTCTTATTAGACTCTCTTGATTCCATTTTGTTAATAACGACTTCTTCGCACAAATCTGCATCTTAGGGAAGTTAGAACTTCTTGCAGACTTGTAGGATTTTTTTTTTTTAGGGTGTATATAACAAACTCATAACCAAAATCCTTTGACGATTTATGGTTCGTTTGCTTCTTTTGAGTTCAAACTCAGATTCATCACCCCCACTAGTTTCATTCCTCTAATAGTAGGAGGGATTCTACCCCCACTATTTCTTAATAAAAGTCAATTGGCATCATTGCACTGATTCTCAAACTATATCATTCACATGTCAAAATGCATCACATATAAATTAGTGATAAATAATTTCATACCACTCAAAATTGACATCTCCTTATATTCACCCATATCACAATAAATCATATAAAAAATTATGATTCTCTAATAAGGTATTTATGGGTCTTTTATCATGTATAAGGAGATTTCATTTCTATCATAGTCACTATGGAAATGTGACTTAGCAATTCAATTCTTCATAAAATACGTGCATATCATACACATGAGAATTCATTAACATTATAGTTAAACACATATCACCACATGCATACTCTCATTACCATTACAATAGTGAAGTGAGCAGTACTCAACAACACTTTCATAACCTTTATCCCACAACCATTCCTCAAAGTTGCCATTAAGGTCAACCTCTGTCACCACCTCAGTGATTACTATCAAATCCTCTTCTTTAATCAAGTTAACACCAATACTAGGTTAAACTTGTTCTTACATTTTCGTGTAATATGACCTAGTTTCCTCAATTTTAATAGGGAAACATAGTGTCATTTTTATAGGATTGGGTGACAATATTTTGGTTACCACAAAGGGTATCATTCTAATTGGTGTGGATATGGTTCTCGTAGTACTTGAAAACAATGGTTCTTCTAAAATAAATGTGGGCATACAACCCATTCCACTAGCATATTTACCACATAAAATGCATTCATATATGCTTTAAAGTATGCATTTATATATATCATCAAAATTCAAAAGTACTCTACTTTCATAGCATGTACACAAAAGTGTACTCTAATCACAGAGGAAGCACATCTCAACATAATCATGCATCAATTCTCGTTTTTCTAGCATTCTCTCAATTGCATGCATATATGGAATAAATTATACTATTCCATACATTAATAACTTATGAAAAGGTTTTCAGTACTTACCTCTTTCTCTTTTCCGATAAGTCATTGTCTTAGCTATAAGCTAACTAAGCTCAAGTTATTCCTCTCGTTCGAAGTCTAAACCGTTCCATTCCAGCCTGGCTCGGAACTCGCGGCTCCAATTCGCGTTCGAGCCCTTGCCACTACTCTCCCAGGAAAATCCTTGTCGCAACTGGCTCTGGTCCAATTTGATGTATAATTGGCGAGACCCACTTTGATTTTGTCCTTCCCAGAGAATATATTCCATTCCAAGGAAAATCCCCTTTGATTCTCTCGCAGGAAAGGCATCCAAAATCTTATGTGCAAGGGTTAGTGAAGATTTATTGAAACGCGAACAATTAACTAACAAAAAGAAGAAGAAAAATCTGTAATGATTAATTAACTCAGCTCCCAAAAGCAACCGGAGCTCATACGGGTCACTTTCTCTCTTCCACTTGCCATTGCTATACTAGCCAGGACGAGTGACCAGCACCTCTCACTCCAACCTACTAATCAGTAGCATAAGTCGGATGTCAATTTTTTCCTCGTCTTTGGCCCAGAAGCTTCCCTTATGCTGGTGGGATTAATGGACACAGACATTTTAATTGGCCGAAGCAATTAATTGAAGGGCTCAAGGAATCAAAATTACTCCCTTATTTTGTATCCTGGTCCGGCACGGTTCCTGCTGCTTCGTGCTCCCGGTCCAATTAATTTCTCCAAAATAGTCCAGGAGTTACGTTCCACAGCTCCTCTCCTCATCTCCATCTTCTTCAATTTCCTGGACCACAAGTTCAACCATTAGGCTAGTGTAACTAACAGCGCTTACCTTCTCCTTCTCGCGCGTAGGACCGGCAACAAGCTGCCACCCCGATCCGTAAGTCAAGGCACAAGATTCTTTTTCTTTCTGACGGCGGGGTGAACAGATTAGGCTAGGGTTTCCAATCGGTGGGGCAAAACAATTGTGGTGCGAGGCAAAACCCGAACAATACCCTTTCCACTTTCGAGCGGCATGGCGATAGTAATCGATCGAGCCATAATCGGTTCCCTGTTCGGTACACACGACAGCAACCAATCGTCTTAAAATTGTTAGAAATCGAACATGAAAAATTAGGGTTACCGATCTGGCTGAGTCGCTGACTAGGTCGCTCTCTTTAAGACGTTCGCGGCACTGCCTTCGATGCGCACGGCAGACTATCAGCCGGTCGCCTCCAGGATAAAACAGCCACTCTAATTTTGTTGCTCATCGGTTTTGTGCGAAAACCGGAGCTCTATGAACTCACTCTCTATCTCGTGTTTCTGCTCACTGAGGTGTGTTTAGAGGGTCTGGGGCGTCTCCTATTTATAGGAGCAGAAAACCCGGAATATTCCCTCTTTCTTTGGGAATAAGTCATATTTTAATTAGGGAGATAATTACTCCCATAATTAAAATATAATCTATTAAGATAATTATTTCTAATTATCTCCATAATATTCCTTTTATTAATTATCCATCTTATTTAAGTATTATGGGAAAATACTAGATAATTAATTAGGAATTTCATTTATAGTTTTTCAAAGCTATTCATCCCAACAAAACATACGTTTAACAATCTTGGTTCTGGATGCCTGCTTCATCACTTTGATCGTCGTTGACAAGTGTTCGAAGACGTCTTAAGATGTTAAGTGTCGACGAATTTGTTGTTCAAATCTTGATATGCAGTTTAGCTATTTACAAGTGCGAATTTTCTTCGAGGGTGTAGGCTAGACTTATCTGCTTGGGCACTCAATTTCATTTGGTATTTTCTTTTACAAGGATGAAAATGGAAGGAATTGACTTCGACATCTTTTTTTATGGAGGCGTGACTACTTAACTAGCTATCTCTATTTGGTTAATATAGTATGTCACTTTATTCATTATGTGTCCCGTTAGACTTTATATGATCGTATTGTGATATTTGAATTTTGGTTGGTTCTAAATAGAAATATCGTCAGCTAGTTAAAAATTTAAATTAAGATCATTCTTATTTTATTTTGTGGTAAAATTTTGATATTTTTTCTTTTTGGTAAGAATTTGAATTTTTTTGCTTTCACATGTGGAATTCTGGATAACTTACCACCAATGAAAAATTGACAAAGAGAAACTTAATTAATTGCAATTAACCAGGAGGTCTGCTCTCTATTTATATTCCATGAAAAAAAAGAATTCCAGCAAAGTGGTTCCGAGCTAATAAAACTTGCTAGCAGGCACAGCAGCAATCATGTCGAGGCTCAGTAGTGGCACTAGTCCTCTGGTTTCAGTGATTCTCATCATTCTTTGCCTTGTTTCCAAAGGTAAGAGGAAAACAAACTTTCTCATACTCTTCACATACACAAAACGTGACATCATAATGAGTTTTTCTCGAAGTCGGAACACATTCAATTCATAATTTTCGATTGCAACCACGTTACCAAATAATAAATGTCGTACGATTGGAATGTCAACAGAATGAACAGCTTTTAATCTTCGTTTGTTCCTCTCGTTTGCAAGAGTTTGCATATGCATGCAGCGTAAACGACATGCTAATCGGTACGGTGAGAAGTGGGAAAGAGGTCGGAGGGCAGACAGAATGGATCGTGACATTTACGAACAGATGCTCGTGTCCGATCGAGAACATCGTACTTTCGTGCCAAGGGTTTCAAACTGCGGAACCAATCAGCCAAACAGTGCTCAAAGTAAACGGAGGTCAGTGCCTACTTTACAGTGGCACACAACTGAAAGCTGGGGGCTCTCTGTCTTTCTCCTACGCTTGGAATTCTCCTTTCAATCTTACACCTCTTAACATTGCTCCAATGGGCTGCTAGACAAAACGATAACATGGGGATGATGAGAAACCTACCATTCTCTAGATTTGAATTTTGAATTCAGCAATCATCTTAAACAGAACCGAATTCTCCGATTGTGAGTTAACACAATTCAAACGAGTTATCCATGATAACACTGAAAGATAATGATGCTCAATAACGAGATGATTCATATGCCGGCATTGCGATTACGAGTTCACCCACGGTTTGATTCCTCGATGGCAATCCAAATGCTTACAAAGGCTCGTCAAAATGAAAATCAAATGGAGGGTTTATTTCGTTTATTGAACAATTTTGTCGGCGTGGTGATTGATTTTCATCGTATTCACTTTTGGTGTGACAATTGTACAAATGTTTAAAGCCACATCTTAACTTATTTGTTCTTTTTCAATGCAAGCTCAAATGGTGCAGTATAGAGACTAAACTATAAGATTGATTGCTATCAAATGTGATAGTTCCAGCAAAAAATACGCAATACTAAAATCAAATAATAGAAAAGTTTCTGAAGAAAGGGCGCCGTTTTGAGAGAGAAAATAGAGAGAGTAAAGCTCTCCCCTCTCTCCTCCTTTTCCCCTGTTCTTGTTACCGTTTCTTCCCATTGACAACAGCAGCGATGGAAGCGGACGACCGCCTCAAGCCACCGGATGGATCTCCGGCGAGCTCCCCGGTCCAACCCAGCAAGAAGGCAAAGGCCTGCTCTAGCGAGGGGTTCTCCGGTCAAGGTGAGATGGATTTTGCGGTGATCACAGCCAGGGAACAAGATGCAGAGATGATTCCCTCAGATAAACAGACCAGCAAAGATGAATATATGAACTCAATGGGAGCTGAGCAAACCGGAGCTAAGATCTCATATAAGGATTCAGTCCTCGGCAATGGAACCCTACCAGAAGAGTATGTAGGAGACGATCTGATGTCCGACGAGTCGGATAATGACAAAGGCAACGACGATCCAGATTGCCTCACAATCCGAGTCAAGAAGAGAACTAATTCGAGAATCCAGAGGAGGTGGAATCGAGCTATTACCTTCAGGGTTCTGGGGAAACACTTTCCCTTTGCGTATACTCACAGAAGGATCCAAAAAATGTGGGCAAAAACAGGTGCAGTAAAAGTGGGCGACATCGGCAATGGCTACTGTCAGGCGATCTTCGACTCACAACTGGACCATGATCGTGCACTCTACGGAGGTCCTTGGACGATTGATGATCACTACGTTGTTGCCGAGCCGTGGAGACTGGATTTTGATCCGGATTTTTATACCATCGACAAAATCTCCACCTGGGTAAGACTCCCTCGACTCCCCCTTGCCTATTTTGATGAGGAAATCCTTACTGACATTGGAAATAAGCTGGGGCGAGTTGAGAAAATTGATTATAACACTGCCAATGGGTTTAGAGGGAATTATGCGAGGATCTGCGTTGAAATTGATCTCAGAAAAAGGCTGGTGTCGAAGTACAAACTGAAAAGAAGGGTTCGTAGGGTTGAGTACGAGGGGTTACACACTGTCTGCTTCCTTTGTGGACACTACGGTCACCTGGAAGACAAGTGCCCACACAAGGATTCAATGGAATCAGCAACCCCGGAGGAAAAAAGTAATGGAAGAAAGGGGTGGGAAAGCTAACCAGGACATTAGACCAGAGATTGTGGAAGACTTCGGGCCATGGATGCTCGCGACACGGGCTAAGAGAACTAGGAGTCAACAAAAGTCAAAAGCAAAACCAGAAACTAATAAAGGTGAACATCTGAGTCAGGGGAGTAATGTATCAGGGTCTCGTTTCCAATCGCTGAATGTGGAGGAAGAAGAAGGGGTGGTGGAGAGGGAGAGTGTTGTTGTTGTTGATACGAATACTGCCCAAGAAACAGAGAGACATGAGGAAACCCTGAAAAAGTATATTGCTAGCAAGACTGATAAGCACACCAACCCAGTGGAGAAGAATCACAACAATACTAGAGTTAAGGAAAGTATGGGAAAGGAGAAAAACAATGAGAAGATACAGGGCACGAAGAGCCATATGAAGAAAGAGAACCAGAAAATGGCACTAGAAATATCAAAGCAGAAAACCAAAATGAAAGACCAGGAGAAGAAAGACCCACCCATTACCTCAAAGAAGTTTGTGCAACAACAACCAGGCAAGCTGGGGAGTACGCCAACCAAACCTCAAGCTAAGCAGAGTGGAAGCCACTCCTCCCCCAGTATTGATCCCAGTAGGGAGGAAGTTGACAAGGGGCAAGGAAAGGATGCAAAAGCAGGGCACCAACCAAAAATGAAGACCATAAGCCCTACTTCAAGCTCTCGTGAAACCCCCAAGCAGAAGAAAGAAAACCCGGAAAATGGAGATAACGTGACCAGGAAGATAGAGTTCAACTCTAAACTGGTGAATGACAGCTCTGTGCCAGAAAATGCACTACACTCTGATGCCACCACAGAAGGCCTGGCAATGGGTGGAGAGACGGCCATGGCCGTTGACAATTGTTGATCCTGACCAATGGGTCTTCCAGGGAAGTTCTTCTTTTTTTCCTAAATGGTTAAAGTCTTCTCTTGGAACTGCAGGGGTGCTAAAGACCCCAAGTGTTTATCTACCTTCAAGTTCTATGCTGCAAACCATAAGCCAGATTTGGTTTGTATCCTTGAACCTAGAATTAGTGGTAATGATGCTATCTCAGTTATCAAGCAAATGAGATTTGATTCCTAGAGAGTTTCTGATGCTGTTGGATTTAGTGGGGGGATCTGGGTCCTTTGGAATGAGAGTTTCATGGAGGTGGAGGTCTTAGATAAGCATAAGCAATTCCTACACCTTAAGTGTTCCAGGGCCAGTAGAGATAGGTTTCAGTTTACTGCGGTTTATGCTAGTCCAAATGAACATGAGAGGAATGAGCTTTGGAATGCTCTTAGAAGTATGGAGAGATGTACCCACCTGCCTTGGCTTATCACTGGGGACTTCAACTCAATTTCTAGGTCGTGGGAAAAGCAAGGAGGAGCAGGCTTCAGTTTTGCTAAAGCCAGAGCGTTTAATGACTGTATTGATGACTGTGGGCTGATTGACTTGGGATACTCAGGTCCAAAGTTTACATGGTTCACCAAAGGCTCAAGGATTAAAGAGAGGTTGGATAGAAGTCTTTGTAACTTGGAGTGGCAGCAGAAATTCCCCCTGTCTACCACTCTCCACCTTCCAAAACTGACATCCGACCACAGGCCTATCTTAACCTGCACTCCTGACCAGGCTCAGAAGCAAGACCTGGTGAGACGCTTCCATTTCTTTGCTTCCTGGCTTGCTCATGAGAACTTTTTTCCTTTTCTTGCTTCTACTTGGGACTGTGGCGGTGATTTTCCTTCTTCTCTGCAGAAAATCACTGAAGCATTACAAAAGTGGAACAAAGAGGTTTATGGAAACATCTTCATGAGGAAAAAGCGTCTGACTAACGAGCTGAAGTCGCTGGAGACGCTGAATGAAAGGAAACCATCTAGGAGTTCCATGTTGAGGGAACAGGAGGTTAGAATTTCACTGGAGCACACACTCTGGGAAGAGGAGTTACTGTGGATTCAAAAGTCCAGGGCCAACTGGGTTATCCATGGTGACCAAAACACCCGATTCTTCCACAACAGTACCTTGAGCCGGAGAAGGAGGAATAAGATCTTAACCCTCAAGGACGACCAAGGAAACTGGATTGGAGATGCTAATGAGCTTCAGATTATGGCCAGGGAGTATTTTCTTAACTTATACACTAAGGATACCTCTTGTGCTTTGAATAGTTTGCCTGCTGACTTCCCTTTGCTTGATGAGGGCCTCTTAAGCAGGATGGCTCTGCCTCCCTCTCTTGAGGATATTAGAGCCATTGTTATGAATATGAATAGGCTCAAGGCCCCTGGGAAAGATGGCTTCCAAGCCATCTTTTACCAAAAATGTTGGAAGCTGATTGGTTCTGATTTCTCTAGGTTTATTTTGTCATGCTTCTATAACCCTAGTAGAATCCAATGTTTGAATGATACTCTCTTAACTTTGATCCCGAAAATGGTTAACCCCTCTTCTATGAACAAGTTTAGGCCTATTAGCTTGTGTAATGTGGGTTATAAGGTTGTGGTTAAGCTGCTGGCTAATAAACTTAAGCCTCTTATGCCTGATCTGGTTAAGAAGAATCAATCTAGCTTTATCCCAGATCGACACATTACTGACAACATTGTCATTTTGCAGGAAATTGTTCACACAATGGCTAAGAAAACTGGAAAGAAAGGCTACATGCTTCTGAAGGTGGATCTAGCTAAAGCATACGATAGGTTAGACTGGAAGTTCCTGGAGGATACACTGAGAGCAGCTAGGCTGCATGAAAGCTTCATCAAACTCATTATGGAGTGTGTGACTTCATCAAGCTTCCAAATCCTGTGGAATGGAGGGGAGACCGAGTGCTTCAAGCCATCTAGAGGACTTAGACAGGGATGTCCCTTATCTCCCTATCTCTTTACCTTATGTGTGGAACGTCTTAGCTACTGTATTTTTGAAGATGTTAAGATTGGAAAATGGAAACCTATTTCCCTCTCCCCTGGGGGTCCTGCCCCCTCCCACCTTTTCTTTGCAGACGACTTAGTCCTGTTTGCTGAAGCTGCCCCCAGTCATGCTGATGTTGTTTTGAACTGCCTTGATAATTTATGCCTGGCCTCTGGAGAGTCTGTAAGTAAGGATAAATCTAGGGTTTTCTTTTCTAAAAACGTTAAGAACCATACCAAGTATGAGATTTGCACTAGACTTGGCATTCAAGCTACTAATGACCTTGGTAGATATCTTGGCGTCCCTGTCTTGCATGGTCGTATGACGAAACTTACTTACAAGTATGTCATAGATAGAATGGATCAAAAGCTATCGAGTTGGAAAGCCAAGACCCTCTCCCTAGCTGGGAGAGTTACTTTGGCTATCTCTGTCTTAAATGCCATGCCTAACTATGTTATCCAAACAACCCTCCTACCCATTTCTGTCTGTGATGCCATTGATAGGAAGGTTAGGAGCTTTGTGTGGGGCTCAGGGGAAGGGAAAAAGAAACCCCACCTGGTTTCTTGGGAAAAGATCTGTAGACCTAAGGATCAAGGGGGATTGGGGTTAAAATCTGCTCACTGTATGAATATGGCTTATATGGTTAAGTTAGGATGGCATATCCTTAACAATGACTCTGACTTGTGGGTCCAGGTACTCCAAAACAAATACTTCAAGCATAAGGAAGGCAACATCACCTCCATGAAAAAGACCAACCACTCCAGCTTGTGGCGTGCTATTCTGAAGGGAATGAAGATCATGAATGAAGCCACATGCTGGAGTATTCGTGATGGAAGATCAACCTTGTTCTGGTCCCAACCCTGGCTGGATAATGGCCTCTTATTGGAGGATTTTTCCCTTAGGGACTTGTCTGCCCATGATCTGGACTCTAGGGTTGCGGATTGGACAACTGATGAGGGAGAATGGGACTGGGAGAAGCTTGAGGAATCCTTGCCTAGTGATATCCTTACTATGGTTGCAGGGATGGAAGCACCTAAACCAGATCTGGGTGAGGATATCACCATTTGGGGGCTTGAAAGGGATGGGAAGTTCAGACTTAATTCAACCTACAAGCTTGTCAGCGAGGAAGCAGAGGTCTCAACCAACCACCCCCTGGAAAGAGCTCTGGAAATGAAAAGGTCCAAGTAGAATCAAACATTTCTTGTGGTTGGTGCTTCATGATCGTCTGCTTACAAACAAGGAAAGATCTAGAAGAGGAATGACTACTGACAAGGTCTGCCCTCACTGCAAAACTGAAGAAGAGACTATTGACCATATCCTGCGAGGATGCCAGAAAGCAAGGGCTGTGTGGGAAAGATTGCAGAGCAAACTTGTGGAGAAGAACCATACTCTGCCAATGGAGGAATGGTTGATGGCTAATCTCAAGAATGAAGGCTCAGGGATTGATTTTGGCATTATCTACCGGCACCTGTGGAAGCAAAGGAATGAGGAGGTGCTTGATGATAAATCATTTTCCCTTAATGGCTTGATTGCCAGAATCAACTCGTGGTTTTGCATTGCTTGGCAGGCTTATTGCAATGAGCAGAAGACTGGGAAGCAGAACCATGTTGAGCGGATCATATCTGAAGTGGGATGGAAACCACCGAGGGAGGGCTGGATGCAAGTTCAAACAGATGGCTCGGTGATTACATCAACTGGGAAAGCTGCTGCTGGTGGGTTAATCAGACACCACCTGGGAATCTGCAGAGACGCATTTATTTGCAACCTCGGCCAGTGTTCAATCACGGCTGCAAAATTGAAGGGAGCTGCAGAAGGTCTCAAGCTTGCTTGGGAAAAGGGCTACAGAAAGGTGAACTTGATGTTGGACTCTTCCACTGCAATCAGTATCATCTTGGGAAGCTCCAATAGCAACCATCATCATGGTAATATCGCCCAACAGCTTAAGACTCTTCTTAGCCTGGATTGGGATGTTAATGTTTTACATGTGTTTCGAGAAGCTAATCATGCTGCTGATTTTTTGGCGAGTAAAGGGCATGAGTGTAATTTTGGCACACATCCCTTCGATGTGTGCGACCAAGGTCTTGGTCAATGGCTCCGCCATGATGTAATGGGTATCACCCAAGAACATCTTATTATTAATACGAGCTAGGCGTTAATACGCCAATCTTATTACCAAAATAAAAATAAAAAATAAAATAATAATTATATATAAGAAGAAAAAACGATATAAACGTAAATGATATGTTCATTGTTTCACAAATGATTTCGATTTGGTAAAACAAAAAGTAAATGAAATTGAAATTTATATTTCTCATTTGGTAAGAGTTTTATTACTTCCACAAGTCAATGTATAACTTACCAGGAATGGAACTTTGACTAAAAGAAATTAAATGAGTTAACATAAACTAGAAGACTCTCCTATCTATTTATAACCCATCAAAAGATCACTAATAAATCTATCAGAAATTTGGGAGGAAACAGACGATAACAATGTCAAGCCTCAGGAGTACTAGCTCTGTGGTTGCACTTCTCTTCGTTCTCGGTCTTGCTTCTAAAGGTAAAAAAACGATGATAACAACGTCACTTCTCTCAAAGTCGAAACGTATTCAATGCACAAAAGTTTTCACTACGAATTTTTGTGTGTGTATACCTTTCTCTCTATCGTTTTCTTTGCTTTGTTTGCAGGGTTGTGGGCATGCGATTTGAACGATATGTTGATTGGGACGGTGAGGAGTGGGAGAGAGTTCAAAGGACAGACTGAATGGAACGTTACGTTCACCAATAGATGTAAATGTCCTATTAAGACGATTGTGCTCTCGTGCCAAGGCTTTCAGAGTGCAGAACCAGTTAGTCCGTCGGTACTCAAAGTGAACGGAGACCAGTGTTTGCTCTACGATGGCCTGCAGCTCAAAGCTGGAGGATCGCTGTCTTTCTCTTATGCTTGGGATTCTCCTTTCAATCTTACTCCCAAATACATTCTCCCCATGGGTTGTTAATTAGTTCCCAAAATTCCCAAACTCATCACAAGGCAATAAGATTATTCTGTTTTGGCTGACTACCTTACGATCTTCAACAAAATTGGAAAATTGCTCCTAGCTAGTTTGTTGTTTGCATTTCCCCTATGTATGCAAAACACAAAAGCATTTTATAGGTGGCCTTAATCAGTTTAGGTTAAGGGCATTAAATGTTACTACTATCCTTCCCACATTCCGGTAGCGCTACCAGATGGAGTGGTATACAACTGGAGGGGTTGTAAAAATGACAACTCACTTAAGAATTGTGACGGGATCTCAACTCCTATAGTGTCAGAAAGAACCACCTGGGAGCCAAAAAGGAAATACGGTTAAGTGATTAGATAATTTATGATTTTGGATGTCGAAGCTTTGAATTTTTTATTTATTACCAATAGCTCACTTCTATTACCAAGAAGAAAAGATAACAAGAGTTTACACCATATGAACAGACTAAAATCGAAAATCAAAAGTCTCAACACTCGCCGAGTCGAGTTTTGCTTAGTTTGAGCTCGGCTCGTTTATAAATATTTCAGCTCGAACTCGAATTTGATAATCCAGCTCGAACTCGACTCGATTAAAAATGATTCAGCTCGAGCTCGACTTGGTAGAGCTCGATAAATGCTCATTAACACAACTTGTCAAGCCAAGTACTAGCTCGGCTCAAGATCAGCTCGATTTGAAATCATTCTTGCTGAAAAATGTGTACACATAAAAATTTAAATGATATAAAGAACACTAGAAACTAAAAATAATGGCTAACTTTCATACATATACGGATTAACAAGATAATGTTCATGTTCAGAAGAATAATTAATCATTCTACAAGCTCTAAACAAGCCAGCTCGCGAGCTTAGCCAACAAGCCACTGAGTCAAGCTAGCTCACGAGCTAATCAAGCTCATCATGGTCTAGTTCAAGTTTGGCTCGTTTACTAACGAGTCAAGTGTCGAACGAGTTTTTTCCGATTCGAACGTCAAGTTGCTCGCGAGCGGTTTGGCTCATTTGCAGCCCTAGTAACAGGTAACAAAGAAAAGGTCAAACTCAAAACCTTGAATTTTACAGAAATCCACTTGAATATTATTGTTTTGGGTAAATTTAAATTAGCATAGACTTTTTTTATATAGGACAAATACTTTTGGGTAAATTTAAATTAGCATAGACTTTTTTTTTATAGGACAAATACAAGCGTTTATCACTTAATTTTTCTCCTATTTTAGATCCCGAATCTAATGAAAGTTACAACTCATTCTTATAATTTATACAATTAAACTTTAGTTGAATTCAACTGTAAAAAGAGAGATTAACTTAACTTGAATAGTTAGTGCGTAAAATTACAAAAAAGTTACTGCCGAACTTTTACTTCGATAAATTCCATCACAAATTTACAACGAAGAAAGCATACATCTGTTAGACCAATGCACTAAAATCGCGCTTTAAAGTTTAAAAACTTACGATTTACACTTCTAGACCACTAAAACGATTATACACAAAATTTCAGTTTTTATAACTTATGTAGTTAAAAACTCGTTTTAAAATATAAAACTTATGATTTTAGATCATCAAAATATTTTTGCATAGAAACTGGCTTTCGACTGGACAAATCCCAGACAATCCCATATACATACAAGGTTCACATTCCCGAGCTTCCTAACTTAATCAACATTGCAATCAAGCAAATCAAGAAATCAAAAATTCTAATTAGAAGAACCAGCTATCAAGGAAAGCAGACTGGTACTGCAACAACACGAGCAGCAGCACGATGAGCGCGGCGACTCCCCAGGGCGAGCTCCCTTTCGCCGGCATCTGGTGGGTTCGCCGGCGGCGATCACACGGCTGCGACATCCCGAAGAAGAACGCTTCGGGGGACTTCACGGAGGACAGCCAGCGGGCGAGGAAGATGAGGAGGACCGGCAGGACGAAGAGGCCCAGGCCCTTTGACGACTCCGTGGACTCCACGAGCTCCTCGTAGGTGAAGTACCAGGAGGCGCCGAGGAAAATGGCGATTACGGCGAGGAGGAGGAGGAGGACTGGGTAAGGGAGCGGGTTTAGGGTGAAGGAATCGAAGATCGAGTCCCCTGTTCGTCTGTAGTAATGCATTGTGGTTTCGCTTTGGTTTCTGGGAGTGCTTTCTGGTTCAGAGCTAATTTGGTGTTTGGTTGTTCAGAAATTTTTCTGGGAGGGTGGTTTGGAGTGGGAAGGGGGAGTAATTATAGAGGAGAAAGCAAAAAGATGAGTACTCAATATTATTGTTTTGTTTGTTTTGGTTCATGAGCTTTGTTATATGTTTTGATCGTTAGAGGGTGGTATAAGATGCAGTATAGCATTCTCCTAATAACTCGAGTTATTGGGATTGGCTGGTTCATGACATGGTATCAGTCATCAGAACATGGTTCAAAAAGGCACACTTAACCTTACGCTTAGGCACGTCTAGGCGCAAGGCAATGGCAAAACGCCTCGCCTAGAGGTTTCGTGCCTATTAAATACTGGAACACGTTAATGAAGTAAGGTGATATATAAGTCTCTCCTGATCATTACTAAATTGAGCTAGAAAGTCAATATTAAATGAGAAAATTAACATCAACTACGAAATCAAATTTCTATATCAATATTTTCAATCTCAAGAACTTTGTGAGCTATTGAGCTATGATTCTATGAATTGGTGAGCTATGTAGTGCGAATAGCTATTTTTTCTTCCAACGCCTAAGTACGCTTAATCTACGCCTAGGCGAGCTAGGTGCTAGGCAAAAACTCAACGCCCGCCTTACGCCTAGCGCCTTTTTAACCTTGCATCAGAACTAGTTTGACCAAATATTCACGTGTTCCCAAACTGGCATTTGGGCAAGAAGAATGCCATAAGAAATAAATATGTAGAAAACAAATTAAGGTATCGTTTGCTCGTGGGATATGGGTGATGGATTTGGTACCCAAATCCCAAGCATAATGGAATTGGCACAAGTCCATTGTTTGCTAAGGGACACAAATCCGTGGGGCCCACGGATTTGGACCCATTTTTTAGATCCAAATCCGTGGACCCCACGGATTTGCAAATCCCACATTTCATTTGGGATTTGATAATGGAAGGCAAAATGTGAACAAATACATCATGAATCTATTACAAAAATAACTACACAAACAATGTACTCTTCCAAATTCATAATGCAACAAATCCATCATAAATCCAAAGGTTTTGAAAACTCAAAACCCTCATTTTCAAATCCAACAAGCAAACGAGCCCTAATACAAGGAGTAAGACTGAAGACATCATTTGTACTAGCAGCCAATGTAAGTGTAAGAGTAGGTAAAGATTCTGTAATGAGGAAACACAAGGAATTTGTTGAATGAATCATCCCTAAAATCATCCCTGATATCACACTATCATTTGACCGTTTCCATCGTTCATCATCCACCTATCCCAGGTAATAAAAAATAAACATGGCTCCTGTGGAGAAGACCATTTACATTTTCATTTTTCGATATATCACCAGCAGACAAATGGCAGTTAGCTAACTGGGGGTGCATTCACAAGTTGGAATTACCTAAGGTACAACAAAGCTACTTAAACTTGTCACAGGATAATATAAAGCCCAGATTCTACGCACCAGCAAGCAGAGCCTTCTGCTGTTTCAATCAGACTTTTCCTTCGTACTGGAAATTTAGTTTGTAATCATGTTGGAGAGTTGCTAATGTGTTCCTGCAGGGACCCTCTGGAAATAACGACCAAACACCAATCAGAATGCGCAACAAGTGAATTGTTAACTTCCATGGCACAGTACCATACAAGTACGGACTAAACAAGAAAAATGAAGTTTCCCTTACCTCCAAACACATCGTGCAGACTCTGAAGATCTTCAGCGGGACAAGCATCGATTAGTGCATAGACTCCGGGTTTAAGGGCTTCATCTACTTCCCTGTTCATGTTATCAGGATGAGAAAATTGTCTCTGTTAAGGATTTTGTCCTTGTGCAACAATGAAATAAAGGGTGATGCATGGGTATCTATGTGAGTTCACACGACTGCCCACCTTTTTATGCCAGTTTTATGGGGACCCATTCCTGAATAAAGCCATATGTAGCTGGATAAGAATTTGCAACAGTACTGGCCAAATACATCTCTTTGTTGTCGTAGCTGGGAACAAAGAAACAGACGGTGGGAAAGAAAACCAGTTATGCATCAAGTCAACCAAAGCATCGAACAAATCACAGTTCAAATAAAACACAAATGTTTTATGAATAGCACATTCTTTAGGCTAATTTCACTGGGGGACTGAAACTTAAGATGTACAGAGCTCGTGACCAAGTGCACTTATAGTCACCTATTTTATTAGATAATTGAATGGGACTTCATATTCCCAATAAATGAGACAAGATTATGAGATCATTACATACCTCTTCATAGATCCTTCGGAAAAAGCAAGCACATTTTACTCCCTCTTCAGTGTTCCATGAAAAGTAACCTCTTCTTGAGCCCGAATCAGTGTCGACAATCTCCAAACAGTTCAGCAGCACACTGGCAGACTCTTGAAGGAGCGCAATGCACCGCTCTGACTCACTATAATTGAAAAACAATCATTAAATCACTCGTGTAGCATAAAAACCATTTAATAAGCCAACAAAAACAAACCAAGACTTGATGTAAGGCGTCTGCTGAAAGAATAGCACAATGAAAGTGAGCCCACTTTATTTCATCCTCTTAATGGAGGGTACATGTTGATTGACACATGACACGTCTGCCATTCTTCTCAGTTTTATGCTAACTTTTTCTTAGCCAGAATGATTAAACTAAAAGCAGTAAAATCGTTTAAGCAAAGCTTCTTTGAATGATGTCAAGCAGAAAAATTACCTTCTATGGTACTTCAGAATCGTGCACAATAATCTACAACATGCAGCGTACAACTCAACAGAGAACTGTCTGTCTACATGGGAGGGAGGATTCATGTCCTTGACAAGATATCTGTCTAGGCCCTCAGAATACCTGAGCTGACTAAAATCTTCAAAAAGTGCAGCAGGAAGGCGTAGGGACTGTGCCACGTGGAAGGAATCCATGTGAAATAGAGAAGACTTTGCAGACACTCTCGTTACTACTTCAACGCACATCAGAATGACTGCCCCTGGATCTGGACAAATATCATTCCTAACAGAAGCTTCTCTTCTGGTGAAAATAGAGGGGCCTTGCAGGTGCAATACAATGTTGAATAAAGTAGAGAGCAGGCTTTGAATGTGTTTCTTAACAACATTTAACTGTTTGGTTCCTGCAAAAGAAAAACACCAACATAAGCAAGACTTAAATTTCCATGCTATTGAACATCACATAACCATATAGCACAGAGTGAGTGATGCAAGTTGTGTGTTGAACACCAAGGATAGTGGAAGAATATTAACTCAGTTGCAGGCATATGCTGCTAAGGTTTGGATTAAGAAATAGATATGCTACAAAAGATAAGAAGAGAAGGTGACAGATACTTGAAGTTCCAATCCGAACAACAAACACATCATCCAGTCTCATAAAACATCAAGTTTGAGAATAAAGCCTTGTGCAAACTATTAAGCTTTTAAACCAACAGCTAAAAGTAAATAGCAGCAAAAGCAGGTAAAGGGACTACAACCCAGTTCTGTTCGGAACTCTTTGAACTACAGTTGAACAAAATAAACCAACTACCACTAAAAGCTCTTACAGTTAACATACATCAAAGGTGTTACCTGAAACATACTCCAGAACTAGATCAAGGCAATCTATGCCAGCTGCAACTGTTGGGGAAATGCTTCCACCATTTGCACCTCCAAATGTTATCTGATAGATAACTGCATAACTTTCATGCACTCCAACCAGTGCCCTCTCTATAGTCTGAACTGCGGACAGTAGGTGCCACTCGGGCGATTTCCTTACAAGAACTTGAAATGAAAGCCTCATTCTTGCTATAAATTCATGCAAGTAGTGGGGCCCATGACTAAGTGATACTTCAGGTGATCCTGAATGTCCAGGTATAACTTTAGAACTCGTCTCAGTATCATGGGAAGCAAGATTGGCTCCTTTCCCTTGTAAACTGATGCACTTTCCTATAGCCTTCAAGTGCAACTCCACAAGCTGGGTATAAGGATCATTGGGTGATGCAGAGCTACTAGAACAAATCTGACTCCCGAGTTCTTGGAGATACTTCAGAACCCCATCTAACCAAATGAAAGAGTATGGTTTTGGCACTTCGCGGACAGCTGTGAACTTCAGCAGCAAAACTTCAGATATACTTATAGAGCTTGAAACCAAGGTCGAGCAAGTTTTAACCTTCATTTTCAAGTTGAGCTTCAGAATGGCTGAAGAAGCAAGTAACAGCTGTCTGATTAAGTTCCCGCCTTCAGGATGACTGCCTCCCACAAGAATTGTAGTGGAATGCTTATCTTCTGACAGCATATTCTGTGGCTCACTACCAATGTCAGGTTTTTCCTTCTCGTCTCCCTGTCCTTGACATTTTACATGATACTTGCAGCATGGAGTATCACTCTCCACAGAGAACGAGAGTTTCCATGCATCCAACAAACCAACACTAGCATATTTATCCTCAGCCTGAAACATGTACAAGCAGACTCTAACGAACTCAGAAAACAGATTCATACAGGAACGAATTGTAGCTATAAGATCAGATTTTGATCCCAGAAACTGCTCCTGAAGCTTCTTATCTGTTGCATGAGAGTCGTCTGAGGCAGAAGCAAGGCCCCACAAGAAACCACTGAAGCAAGAAACTGCAGAGGATAGTTTGTGCAAATTCACAGCACCAACTTCATCATTCAAATTGTCATTGCAATGAAAAGCATTTAAGGAATTAAGTATGTGTTCTGACTCTTTCTTTAAACTCTCAGAAAGAAGAAGAAAGCTTTGTAAGGATACCAATTCTTCAGGATCATCAGAACTTGGATTGGATTCAGTTAAAGTACTCTGTTCCTCAACAACATTAGATTCAAAAAGTTGCTTGCTTGCTTTCCTAGCAAGTGAAGAGCGGAAAGCACATGAAGATTGATACTTGCTTAAGGTCAAGAATATATACGATGTGTGATCCATGATTGAGAAGATTGCCCCTCGAACTTCATCTACATAATCTTGTGGCGGAGTTTCTTGAAGCCCAACAGTAACAGAAACTGACTTGATAAGCCAATGAACCACATGTATGTTTCCAGACACTACAGGTATATCCGGTGATCGCTGAGCAACCCCATACTCGCAAAATGCCATTATTGTGTATCTCAAGGCCCTCCGGCAGCACACAAACAGTTTCAACAATTCATGATGCTTATACGACCAATTTGAATGGCAGTTTACTAAGTATCCAATTATAAGCCTGCAATATACAATGCAATGTTATACAAAGTTCATATGTTGTATATATCACCAAAATGAATATTATAGTTCCTATTCTCCATTAGGATATTATATTTCTTAATATACAGACAGCTCTCCTAGGCCAATATGATACCTGCTAGACTAGCACAAACACTTATGTAAATGTAGAAAACCAGAAGATAGATAAGAGGCTGTTTACCTTTCCAGGTTGAGCACATAAGTCATCAAGAGGGAGAATGATCTTGAATTCATATATCCTTTTGGCACCCAACTCAAAAGATTTAGTAACTTCTGACAGGAAGTACATTTAAATTCAATCGGCTCCTTAGAACTATGTGGACGCATCACAAACCCTTCTTCAAGCACTTTTTCACCACTGGAGAAACATCCAAGTTGTTTGCTCCTTGGGATGACAGCCGGCAAGTTTCCAAGTTTGTTTAAAACCTCTTGCCAATCGGGTGAAGAACTCAAGTCTGTGTCCATGATCATAAACTCAGCAAATAAAGATACAACTGATCTCTCAAGCAAATGACAAAATCTTGAGGTGAATAGCCTGCAAACAAACTACTAAAAAATTAGGACGTATAAAGAATCTAAGCTTATCAAGAATAGTTAGTCTATGAATACTTGCTCTCAGAAATAATCATTAACAGTAAATATAGCTGTAGCATCGCTCCAATCATTTATATGTGCTTGTGTGCCAAAATTTTAGAAACCATCATTGAAGAATAAAAGCATTATACTCATGGAAGATCTTACTTTATACTCGTATAGGTTGATGTCCATGATAAGCTCTGATGATATCTGATGCAGAGAGATTTTGCTTGGCATATGAGCTTCATTCCCATGCAGCTTTCCCACCTGCATAGTGCTACTTCCCATACATAGAAGTGAAGAGCTAATCATATATGAGAGGAAAATCTTCAACTTCTTCTTACTAGCATGATTAGACCAAGCATTGATGTTTCTGCAAACAATCCACCAGAGAGCAATAGGCAACGAGCTCTTGTGGATAGAACAAACACTCAAGTCCCACTGATAAGGTTCATGGATAGCTTCAACAGGACAACTTTCAGGGCTTGAAACATTAGAAAGGCCAGCCCAGAGTTGATCACCAACCACTAGCGAGAGGTAACTCATCACATACTCAGTAAGATCAGTTGCCTCCTGCTTCAAGACAGAGATGTGTTTACCCAACTTTCTACTCCTTTTACGATACAGAGATGAGCCAGCATCATCAAACAACTTGTTTTTGACGATCTTATCATTGTTGTCCAGTATATACCCTAGAGACTTGAACTGCCTGTTCAGATCAACTAGCCTCTGAAGAGCCATAGCATGGAATATATAAACCAGGGGGGAGGAATTGACAATCCTCTTCCCGAAACAATAATCAGAAGTGGACTGTATAATGTCAAGAAGAGAAGCTGATGGCTGGAAGATCCAGGAGAAATATCCTTCTAATGTCCATTCTGTCCTCTCCATCCAATCCTTTCCAGAGTAAGTAGTATGCAAGTCACCTGTTTCGGTTGACATCTTCCTTGCCAAACTTGGAGACATAAGGCTGATTACCTGGCGGTACAAGCTTCGACAAGACATGAACAGTTGGCAGAAAAATAGAAAGACCCAGTGGGCAGACAGGTCAGATTCATCCTCAGTCCTACATCTTCCAGTAACAAAATAAAGGAACTGGTTGGCATTATCTGATTCTTGCCCGACCAAAATACTCATGCATGGGCTTATTGTGCTTACTAAGTCTCTTAGAGACCCCTCAACAAGGTTACAGTTCCCAGCAGTGACATTAAGTGAATCTAGAACAACCGTGTAAACTTCAGAAAGTCTTCCAAAAATTTCCTCTCGAATATTGAAATGTAGGGTTCTACAACTTCTTTGACTCGTTTCATCACACTTAATAACATCTTCCATGGAACCACTATCTTTTATCCATTGAATGGATTCAGACACATCTGTGCATATTTTATGCACACAATCACTTGCTTGTCCTTCTGGTAGAGATTTAATACCATTATGCAAGGCAAGTCGAAATCCTTGTGAAGATAAAAGAAGTCCCAAAGTTTTCCCATACGTGTCATAAGAAAAGCATGAAAAGGACATAGGGTTATTACCCTTTTGATTCCCATCACCATCATTATCACGAGTTACTACAAGCCTGATAGCTTTACACAGAGTAGATATTGCGACCGTCACCTATAAAATTCAGAATTCCATATTAGACAGATTTATAAGACGATGACTTGGACAGAAATTGCTGAGTAATGAAATGAAACGGTAACATTTTGGGAATGCAGAAGAAAGAGCCAGTGAATTGAGAGAAATAAAATCCAACTAAGTCAATGAGAAAATTATTTCACAACTTCATCCCTTGAGAAAATGTACCAGATAAATTGCCACTAGGGAAGCTGAAAAAAATTCTACTAACCTGCCGAAGTTCACTATAGAGCTTTATTAACTGGCATCCAAGTCCTATGAATAGGGAGGTGATTGACTCTTGATCACAAGCACTCTTGAACCCATGGCCAACAGCAAAGTAAGAAAGTATCATGTGCCACAAGCTGGTTAAATTATTACCAGTGACTTCATATTCAATCTCCAAAAGGTACCCTACAGCAACAAATACCTCTCTTGCCAGCAAATCAAATGTCTTCTCCTTGGCATCCATATCATAGGTGAAAAAACAAAGAAAATTGGTTGCCAATGAGCATACAGTTTCATAAACCTTCTTCAAGAAATTAAGGCAAGCTCCTCCAGATACATCTTCTGTTTTTACATACAATTTTTCCCGCAAAAAACATTCTAGTAATTCATTAATAGACTTCATTGTGCTATGAACATCTAATAACAGAGGATCCAATTCCAGCTTTGCTTGAGTGTATACATTCATCTGACACAAAAGCGGTTCCATGATCTCTACGAAAAATTCAAAAATTGATTTTCTTTTCTCTGCAGTTAAATAGCTGTGTAACATCTTAGGCTCAGTACCAGAAACGTGTTTTGAGCTTTCAGTTTTCTCGCTCTTCTTGGTATCGCCAGACAGTAACGGGGCCATCTTTTGCCTTTTCAAACAATCAATGAGCAAGCGGAATAATCGTCCCAAGCCATTGAAGGAAGACTCGCCTTTTGCAGCCCTGACTTTCTCCAGCTTATCAAAGAAATGTCTGTGGTAACTTCTGAGTACTGTTCTTGTTTCCTTCTGGTCATCAACAATGGATGAGGAATACTTTCCAGCACTATTTAAGCTGAGAAAACCTTCAATATGTGTTGGATGAAATACTCCATGAGCCAAAATATCCTCAACCGCAGTCAGTAAGTTTCCTGCAATGCCAGTCCCATCTAACTTATGATTTAAGATACCCAACAAGCACAACAGTGGATCAAGCAGCCCATCTACAAAGTCCCGGAATCCATTTTTACGAGTAGGATGAACCCTCAAAAACTTGGAAAATGCTTCAAGAACTAAGCAAGAGAACTTCAGAGCCAGAACATCTGCATCTCCACAATCAAACTTCTGCTGATAAATTCCTTTCACAAGTTCAAGAACTGTCTGGACGGTTGAAATCCATAGGTCAAGATTCTCATTTGACAAGCCACCATGGCAGACAAACATGCTAGAGGCACAGTCGGAAACAACAGTTCGTAAGTCAACTTCGTCTCCAACAGGAGATGATTCTCCTAAATGCAGATACATGTTTTTTGCAACGCATCCTAAAGCCCGTAAGAGATTACGTGAGAAACTCAAGGAAACTTGCCATCTCAAAGACTCCTGCAAGCAGAACTTTAGAATGACCCAGCATCTGTGGTCTAAACAAGCCTCTCTCAGTTCTCCCTCGTTAACACGCAGTTTCTTGTCAGCGGAGAGCAGCAGAGACTGGACCCAATTGTTAAGGAAAACCACAAGTCGGGCAACCTTAACTGTTTCAAACTCTTCGTCAACATCAACCCTTTCTTTCCCTCTCCCATTCACATAATTAAAAGCAACTTCAACCTTCCTGCATTGAAACTCTCTCATCAATCCACACATACATACAGAAGCACTTCGAAAAACTACCATTACTTCCACTCAAGCTATAGTAATTGAAGAGAGGACTATAGGGCAGTAGTCAAAAACTACAATTTCACATGCACAAATTCCTACTCGTGAAAATAAAGGAAGCAGCAGAGAAACGGGATGGCAAACTAGGAATTCGAATTTGTTCAGAGTATTCAGCCATGAACCGGGGAAGAAAGGAAACTAACTCAAGTGTCCATGATAGGGGAAGAGATACTAACTTTGAAAGCTCAACTTCCTTGCTCTGGAGCAGTAGAATTAGCTCCAGGTTCCTCCATGGCTGGCGCCCGCCCTCGACACTTGCTCCAAGCTCTTCTAGGGCAGAACTTCGGCCTTCGCCTGCAATTTCCTGAGGCTCCTTCCTCTCCCTGGAGCCATCACCACGCATAGATTTTGATGGTCTGTCGCCTTTCTCGTCAAGATTCGGGGCCTTTCTCTTCTTCTTCTTAGATGATTTCACTGACAAATCAGCCATTGTTGTTCAGGGAATGAATGCTTCCCCAATTCAGAGAGAGGTAGTCAGGAAGGAAAAAGGGCGGGTTTTGCACTTGCAGTACAGATACTAGGGTTTAAGGTTGGATAAAACGCAGATGATGGCTTGCGTTTTGTGACGCTCTGTCAAACTCTCGGACCGGCCTACCCGCTGCCGCTAATTTGGTCCAGTAGGGGTCTGGCCGTCTGGGGCAACATAGAGAATGTCCAAGGCTGCGGATGAGATTAAAAAGAAACCCTATAGCGGCTGACAATTTGGTATCGGCTTTTTGGTTTTACCCGAAATCGGACCGTATAATCCGGATTGAGATTGAATCGGGACTAGATAACAAACAATCCAATCCAATTTTTGGGTTTAGATTTGAGGTAAAAAATTGTTTGGTATCGGACCGAAAATCGGATAAAGACCGGATAAGAGAGCCCAACATCCAAAATTTAAACTCCTCACCCTTTCAAGCCTTAGGCCACTCAAATCCCCCCTCAGGACACTCAAATCCCCACAAGCTCAATCTAAAATCAAGACCGAATTGGGACCAGACCGGTTCAAGACCGGACCGAATCAAGCCCGAACTGTATCCAATCCAATCTTTGGTCCTTATATTCTCGAAAAGACCAATTCGGATCAATTCGGGCCAATTTAACCAGACCGGACCGTATAACCACCCTAGCTTAAAATATTTTATAATCAACATGGTTGTGACATAATGATTCCTCTTAAATAGATTCGGGTTTCTTTGAGTCATGTAGCCAACCCGAATCGATTTGGATATGGATGGCATGAGTAGGTCACATTCACATATTGGGTCACGTTGCTTAGTCCTAGGGTTAAGGTCAAGTTGAAATCAAATTATACTATCTTTCCACCCGGCTCGTTGGCGGGGTTATTTTTATTTCATTATTAAAATAATTTTGAAGTTGATTAATTTTGTACATATGTATGAGAGTATCATATTTATCATGAATATACGATATTTATTTGAATTGATTGCTAATTTGCTATATACCTTCCGTTGGAAATGTATGTATGAATAGCTTTGAACACTATAGAGTTTCAAGTGAAAAAACTACCACATTGGTAATTTTACTTGGTGAAAACTGAAATGTGTATAAAGATACGAGCCTCTCTCCTAAGGAACACTATAGAGTTTCAAGTGAAAAAACTACCACATTGGTAATTTTACTTGGTGAAAACTGAAATGTGTATAAAGATACGAGCCTCTCTCCTAAGGGCATCCATCCCCCTTTGGGGTGACCCACTTTTGTGGGAGAGGGAGGACCTAACAAACCACCACACGCACGCGCGCCGTCCGACCGATCAGTTGGTTGATTCACTTGAGACTATATTTTTTTTTTTTTTTTTTGAGAAATTCCGAACGAAATTAATTATTAATCAGTTATTCTGAGGAATATCCTAAGGATAATCGATTAAAAGAAATATTTGAAAGATAATCCCGCAGGATTTATCTTAAGGAAGTAATTATTTTTCTTAATTAATCCGACTTATTCCCCAAACTAGAGGGTATATTCCTAGGAGTTCGGCTCCTATAAATAGCCGTCTCCTCAGCCCCTCTAAACACACCACAACGAGCATAAACACAATAGAGAGAGTGTTCAAAGAGCTCCGGTTTTCGCACAAAACCGCGAGTACAAAGAAGAGTTGTTTTATCCTGGAGACGACCGGTTGATAGTCTGCAGTGCGCATCGAGAGCAGTGCCGCGAACGTCTTAAAGAGAACGACCTAGTCCGCGACTCGGCTCCAGATTCGATAACCTTGTTCTTGTTGTTGTTCCGTTGCTAACACAATCTTGAGTAAAATTAAAATATTAATGTACAATCACGTGCGACACTAATAAAGATTGATAAGAGTTTGTCCATATATATATAGGCTTTTTTTTACCATCAGACATAAGTTACTTTATTCTGTCAAAAATATTTAGTCTTTCACGTAAGGATACACGTTTTGCGGCCAAAACTTTCACACTTTTAATTGAAATATTAACTCTTGACTAAATCTATAACCTATTTGGCACCCCACTTGTTATTCATTTATCCAATCTTCATTCATGCTCTCGTGGGAGATTAAATAAAAAAATTATCTTGAAATTATGGCTAGAAAGTCTCCATTTATAATTTTATTTGAAGAGCCATAAAATTAAATGAGTGCGACTTCTACAAATCTTATAAATATTGTGTTAGATTATAGAGTATAGACCCTTAAAGTTGTTGCATAAGGAAGAAACTATTTTATTAAGATATTTAATTATATGAAACAATACAGTGAACTTATCTAAAAAGTAGTATATTATTATATTACCAATAAAAGCCCATTTGATTTCAAAATGCAAAATAAATAAAAAGCGTCTAAACTGGAAACCCCAACTGTCAGCGCTAAGTGCTAACTGCTATGGTAAAAAAAAAGTATATATAAATGCGAAAACTGCGGGGAAGCTTTCTTGGAGGAAGCTGTCAAATCGGGCTGCTCAATTAGTACGATATTGGCAGATCCGGGCGGTGGACGTCAGTTCGGTGGACCCTCGCTCGGTGACCTCGGGGTTTGAGATCTGCATCTGGTTTGGTGGATCCAGGAGAGATCCACGTTTGGGCTTGGCGGATCAAAGAGAGTTCCGCATTTGGGAAGCAGATCAAAGAGAGTTCTGCGTCTGGTAAAGTCCTTGTATCGAGAAGCCCATCGATACAAGGCGTCTGGCGGATCAAGAAAATCACTGAGGTGAGGACAAGAAGTTCGTGGTCCTTGTCTTGAGGGGAGGATTGTTATAGGACAATCCAAGTACCACATTTATACAAGGGAAGGAACTCTTGTATATTAGTGTCCACCAATCTCATTAGTACGAGGCCTTTTGGGGAGGACACCCAAGAGTAAAACCGTGCGGGCTCAGCCCAAAGCGGACAATATCGTACTAATGGGCTGCCCAGTTACGACAAGTGGTATCAGAGCCTGATTTGGGGGCTTGTCAAATCGGGCTGCTCAATTAGTACGATATTGTCCGCTTTGGGCCAAGCCCACACGGTTTTACTCTTGGGTGTCCTCCCCAAAAGGCCTCGTACTAATGAGATTGGTGGACACTAATATACAAGGGTTCCTTCCCTTGTATAACCGATGTGGTACTTGGATTGTCCCATAACAATCCTCCCCTCAAGCCAAGGACCACGAACATCGTGTCCTCACCTCAGCGATTATCTTGATCTGCCAGATACCTTGTATCGATGGGCCTCTCGTTACAAGGATTTTTCCAGACGCAGAACTCTCTTTGATCCGCCAAATCATGAGCCCAAACATGGATCTCTCGTGAATCCACCAAACCAGACGCAGATCGCAAATCCCGAAGCCACCGAATGAGGGTCCACCAAACTGACGTCCACCGCCCCGAACCGAACCAGACTCTGATACCACTTGTCAAATCGGGCTGCTCAATTAGTACTGTCAGAACAGAAGCGTGGCAATCGATAATCCAAACCAACAGGAACGAACACAAATTTAACGTGGTTCACTAACACAATGTGTGCTAGCTAATCCACGGGCAGGGGAGAACAAATTTCACTAATTTGAGGAGAGTACAGGTTACAAACCAAATTCCAAACGGACAAACCAAACAAACTAACCTGACTGACCTTACTACAGACTAGGGTGATGAAGAGTATTTATAGAACTCTTCTCCTAATCCCAAACAGAAAACCAAACACCTTTTCCCAAACATACAAGGAAAAGGTCAAAACAAAACCCAATCCCAAACCGAAACAGAATAGGCCTAAAACACAAAGCAAACTCAAATCAAATTCAAGTCATATTCTAACAATCTCCACCTTGACTTGAATTCTCTGTCAAATACTAGATGTACCATACGCAACCAAAATTTCCAGATGTACCAAACGCAACCAAAGTTGCCAGATGTACCCAGACGCGATACATATCGCCAGATATCCAGATGTGATCGAAATCACCAAACTCAAACGCAATCAAGATTGCCAGACATATCCAAATGCGATTCATATCGCCAGACCAAACGCGATGCAAATTGCCAAACTCAGATGCAATCAGAATTGCCAGACGTACTAACTCCTCCAAATCAGTTGTACCAGAATCTCCCCTGCCTCCAAATGCCCCTAAGGGCGATCAACAAATCAAAACATGCAACAAGTCCAACCCATGTTGGGACTTGCCATGCATAACCAACTTGGTGTTATTTCCATCGATAACACCAACATCAGATTTACTTCCAACTCCAAACCTGCAACTCCAAATCGACTTCTCAGTCTTCAAATCCAGAACAAACATCCTTGGTGATCGAAAACCCTGATCACCACCAAGGGCAACAAACAGAATTCTCCCCAAACCACAAGCTTTCTTCAAGTTAAGACAAAATCCACAAATCGAATTGAAGAGCCTGATGTAATTCTACCACAAACCTCGTCGATTGCGCAGCCGATCAACCAGGAGCGCGATCCAAAATCAGCCAAGACAGTTTCAACAACCCAAAGATCAACCGCGACTCTGATACCACTTGTCAGAACAGAAGCGTGGCAATCGATAATCCAAACCAACAGGAACGAACACAAATTTAACGTGGTTCACTAACACAATGTGTGCTAGCTAATCCACGGGCAGGGGAGAACAAATTTCACTAATTTGAGGAGAGTACAGGTTACAAACCAAATTCCAAACGGACAAACCAAACAAACTAACTTGACTGACCTTACTACAGACTAGGGTGATGAAGAGTATTTATAGAACTCTTCTCCTAATCCCAAACAGAAAACCAAACACCTTTTCCCAAACATACAAGGAAAAGGTCAAAACAAAACCCAATCTCAATCCCAAACCCAAACCCAAACCCAAACAGAATAGGCCTAAAACACAAAGCAAACTCAAATCAAATTCAAGTCATATTCTAACATGTACGATATTGTCCGCTTTGGGCCAAGCCCGCACGGTTTTACTCTTGGGTGTCCTCCCCAAAAGGCCTCGTACTAATGAGATTGGTGGACACTAATATACAAGGGTTCCTTCCCTTGTATAACCGATGTGGTACTTGGATTGTCCTATAACAGAAGCCTTTTATATTATTTAGAGATTGAAACATAACCAAATCGAACTAGAAAATGAGTTTAACGCTATACTTAAATAGGTTACTTTTATCGCAATTTTGTTTTTGTTTTGTTTGTTTAAAGAGATGCCAAAGCCAAGTAGGAGAAAGTTACATGGGAAGAGCTTTAGAGAGAAGAGAAAAGCGTGATGGAAACAATCCACCCCTCAAAACTAATTATCATAATGTCATCACTTATTATGGTAGCTAGTTCTAGGACGAGTTCACAAGTTCATAAAATATTGTAGAGATAGACGATACTATGCTTCGAGAGTCGGCATGTGATTCTATTCTCTTCCAAATTTGTATATGAGTGGTGCTACCAGCCAATCATGACTTAGCTTTCTATGAATTGCTGAAAGTAAAGTCACGTAGGGATGCACCTGAATTGTCTATTGTCGAGGAGACGAATTGCCATATATGGGTTCGATTTTACAATGGCAACTCGACATCCCACATTTCAAGCCAAATCGAGGCCGTAAGAGAAGGCACAAAACTCGGCGAGGTTTGCTGAAGCGACTCCAATCTCGGCGACAAAGCCTAAGGTCCAATGTCCTAAAGAATTACGCAAAAGACCTGAAGGTCTTGGGTTCCCATTGGACCCTCCATCGATGTTTAGCGCCATCCATCCATCGCCCATCGGGTGGGGGCTTCCATCCAATCTTGACAGTAGTGTAACAGGCCGGATGGTTCTTAGAGTTGGGAATAGGAGACAGAGCATTCCATGCCTCGGGTAATCTTCATCTTGGCAACAATGAGGCCCTAAAACATGGCTATAGACCAAAAGTACAAGGTGAGAGGAAAATCTCGAAAGATGTGTAAGATGGTCTTCAACATTCCTTAACATCGAGCATAACATGGGTCTGATGCTATCTTCATGGACAAGTGAAGGGAGTTCGTATCAATGCTTCCCAATAGAACCGTCCATGTGAAGCTTCTAATCATCTTAGGGACCAACAAGCTCCATGCTATCTTCCAGAACTTCGCATCAAAGTCTTGTTGCAGCGGATTGACTAATCTGTAGACAAATTTGGCCGTGAAGTTACCATCGGAAGAGGATGTCCATAACAGGGTATTTTCTTCCGCGATGCGCATGACTTTCCTTTGGACTTCGAGTGTGAGGGTGTTGGCAAAAAGTTAAGTCTTCCACCAGCTTTCATGAATTACAATTATATAAGATTGTACAGAGTAAAATACACGCATAACCATGTAAATTATCGAACTACAAATGTGTACATACATTATACAATCAATGAAGACACATTTTGAAAATATAACCATTTTATAGAGATTACTTTTATCACAACGTAAATTATCACCGTTATGCCACTTAATTAAATGCAAATACACCCGCGATCCAATTAAAAGAAATTGCATTACGTGACTAGAAAATTCAAAATAAAAATAAGAAATCATAAAAATTGAAATACAAACAAATTGCAAATAAATAAGCATTCAAATACGAATTTGAATAGCATGTATTTGAAATTACACCCATACAATTACAAACTACCCAGGAATTATTAACCTAACAGGAAGTAGGCTCAATTTCCCAAGCCGTTCTTGCTATTATTACCAAGAACCAAAAAAAAATTGAAGTAGTTTAGAGCTGCTGTGCAAAATGTGCAGAAAGCCAGAAAGATGCCATGCACCACCCACAACAACTGCATGCAACGCCAAAAACCCCAGCTTTCTCTCTCTGTTTCCCCCCTTCCCACGTGGGACCCGCGTCTCTTCATTCTCCTCTCTCAACCGTCCGCCGGCTCTTCCGGTCCATACTCATCTCCCCCCCGGTTCCTTTCCCCACCGCAATCTCTTTCTGCTTCAACTAAAACAAGCAACCAGCGCACCGGCTACTCCGGTCAGCCAAAATCCTAACTGGCCCCACTTACTAGAAAACACCAACAAGGCAAAGAACGTTACGTTCCCATCATTCTGATTTTTTTTTTCTTTCTTCTTCTATAGTTCCCACTTCCCCCTTCTCCTTCCTTTCCACCCACCCTCCCTGACGACACGGAGACCGTTCGGTCAGTCCTCCTTCGCCCCTTTCCCTGTTTGGTTGCCGAGAAAATTTTCAGAAAATGGAAGAGAGCGATTCCTACACTAAGCATGGAAGCAAATTTAATCACTCACGACATCCGCATTTTTCATACTAAGTTAGGCTCTCGCTGATTTTCTTTCACTCAGTAAAGGTAAAGCCTGAAATTACTTGCAGGTGGTAGGGATACAATGTCGGCGGTGGTTCCGGACTTCCTCGGCTCTGTGGCGAAGCTGGACGAGCTCGATAAGTTGGACATGCGGCCGAGGCTGCTGGTGAACATTGACCGGCAGCGATCTTGCGACGAGAGGTCGCTGAGCGAGCTCACCAACGGCCATGCCGCGGATGCGCTGCACTCGCCGCCGGGGACGGGGCGGAGGTCCGGCCTCGATACTCCCGGGACGCAGTTCGCCGCCGGGATCGATTCGCATCCTCACGTGCTGGAAGCGTGGGCCGCGCTGCGGCATTCGTTGGTCTACTTCAGGGGACAGCCGGTTGGGACGATTGCTGCGTTGGATAGCACCGAGGAGAATCTCAACTACGATCAGGTAACCCGTACTGATTTGATGATTCAATTTATTGTGTGTGTGTGTGTTTTTCTTTTGCATTCCGCCATTGTTGCTTTTGAATTGAGCAGGAATCCCGTTTTAGCACTCCGTGGATGAACGGTTTAGCGAGAAATTACTTCATCAGCCGGTTTAATGTGGAAGAATTGGAACTCTGTTTCAACCTGGTGCTGAGTCTAGTTCTCTTGATTTAGGTGTTTGTGCGAGATTTCATACCTAGTGGACTGGCATTTCTGATGAATGGGGAGCCAGAGATTGTCAAGAACTTCATTCTGAAGACCCTACGCCTGCAATCCTGGGAGAAAAAGATCGATAGGTTCCAGCTTGGGGAAGGAGTCATGCCAGCCAGTTTCAAGGTGCTGCATGATCCGGTAAGGAACTCTGAGACTCTGATGGCCGATTTCGGGGAGACTGCAATTGGCAGGGTGGCTCCTGTTGATTCTGGATTCTGGTGGATCATACTGCTAAGGGCGTACACTAGGTCCACTGGAGATACCTCATTGGCTGAACTACCAGAATGCCAAAAGGGAATGCGGCTTATTCTGAGCTTGTGCCTTTCAGAGGGTTTCGACACGTTCCCTACTCTTCTTTGTGCTGATGGATGCTGCATGATTGATCGCAGAATGGTGAGTTTCTTGTAAGCCATGCTGTTTCATTTGAATGTTCAGATGCTTCTGGTCCTAATAGCTTGTGCTTTTCTTCTTCACAGGGTGTTTACGGGTATCCAATTGAGATTCAAGTGCTTTTCTTCATGGCATTAAGATGTGCTTTGGTGTTACTGAAACACGATGAGGAAGGAAAGGAGTTTATGGAACGAATTGTCAAACGCCTTCACGCCTTGAGCTACCACATGAGGAGTTATTTTTGGCTTGACCTCAAGCAACTCAATGACATATATCGATACAAAACAGAGGAGTACTCCCATACTGCAGTCAATAAGTTCAATGTGATACCTGACTCCCTACCGGAATGGATATTCGATTTTATGCCTAGTCGTGGTGGTTACTTCATCGGAAATGTCAGCCCTGCAAGGATGGACTTTCGTTGGTTTTGCTTGGGAAATTGTGTGGCCATTCTGTCATCCCTAGCCACCCCTGAACAGTCTATGGCAATCATGGATCTCATCGAAGCACGATGGGAGGAGTTGGTCGGTGAAATGCCCCTCAAGGTATGCTATCCTGCCATAGAAAGCCATGAATGGAAGATCGTAACAGGTTGTGATCCGAAAAACACAAGATGGAGTTACCACAATGGAGGATCCTGGCCAGGTAAGCGTTTATTTCTGGTCTTTCCCTCTCGGAAACATATATATAGCGAGTATATCAAGTTCTGAAAGCATTATAACTGACATTCAACATTCATAATTACGGCTGAATATTGCTTCAACTGAGTGTTTACATATGAGTTTCTTGGTGTCCAAGTAATGTAATGTATTTTAAATTTGCACTTGTATTGCATGGTAATGTTCTAAGTTGACGATATTGTGTCTACAATAGTTAGCTCATGAAATGCATGTGGGGTTAAGAGGGGGTTTTTAAGTTTCCCTTGTGTATTTGGGAGATTACAAGTAGCAAACAGACCTTTGAATCTACTGTATCCCAAACTATTCTCTTGATTTACATTGACCAATCGGACAATTGTTCACAGTAGGAGCCAGTAATCACCATTCACCTGTGACTTCTTTTGTACAGTACTACTGTGGCTACTCACAGCTGCATCCATCAAGACAGGGCGTCCACAGATTGCAAGGCGCGCAGTGGAGCTTGCTGAATCCAGGCTGATAAAGGACGGCTGGCCTGAGTACTACGACGGGAAGCTTGGGAGATACGTGGGGAAGCAGGCGCGCAAGAACCAGACCTGGTCAGTTGCGGGGTACTTGGTGGCGAAGATGATGCTGGAAGACCCATCTCACTTAGGTATGGTGGCACTCGAGGAGGACAAACATGTGAAGCCTGTAATGAAGAGATCAAACTCCTGGACTTGCTGAGGCCAGCATGGGTTATGATCCAATCTTAGGGTAAGCACATGCATCTTGAGCATCGGACTGAAGATCGTCGTGTAGAGATGTGCAAAGCTAGAGTCTAACTCATTCTGTTGTTTAGGCATTTTGACAATTGTAAGTAGCAATTACTTTCCAACTGGATGAGATACCATTGAGATAGCTGTAGCGTAGCTATCCTCCTTCCTTCCTTCCTTTCAGATCCAGGCTATGTTTTGTTGTTCAGTGCCTTAGTTGTCCGTGCTATGGTGGAACTGTTTACATGTGATGATCCTGCAGGGGAAAGAATGTTTTGTTGTCTGAATTTGCGATGTTGGAATTTTACTTGGGAGAGTTTTAGCGGCATTAACGCTTTCGTACAGGAGGGCCGAATTTGCGGTGTTGGATCGCTCACTTTTTGGTTACAAAAGGACACATGGTTGGCCGAGTCCACGGGCAGTCCTTCCACCTTCACTGTAATGATTTCTGTTCTCATTTGTCTGTTTCCCTCTTTTCGTTTATTTTGTTTGTTTGCCTTGAGTGTCTGCTTCTTGTTCTTCCACTGAATGCTGGTTCAGTCTTTTTGGTTCCAATAACAATTCCTTTCTGCTTAATGCTTATCACTAGGGATGGCAGGGTTGGGTGGATAGTTCATATCCATTACTCTATTTACGCGTTTTATTCATACTCATACCCACATGAGAAACGGGGTAGAAAATCAAAATTATGTTCATACCCGTTCGGGTTTCGGGTGTCTACGGTTATCCATGAGTTAATAATTTCTTTTTATAACTTCAACCAATATGTTAACATTCACATGTATTCTCACGTTACGTAAGAGGAAAAATACGACTAATTCATTAGAATGAAGAAAATTAACTAAAATAACGCAATTTCATGATAATATTATATTTATATGCTAAATATAAAATATTTTAGAGAAAAATAATGATTATTATAGACAAAATATATATGTATGTGTATAATCGGGTGGGTTCGGGTTGGATAGTGAGAAACCCATGCTCATACATTACCCACAATATTCGGGTTCGAATTTTACTCGTACCAACTAAATGTCGTTCAGGTTCGGATTTTACCCTACCCGATTAGGCCGGATTCGGGCGGATATACACGGTTACGGATATTTTTGCCATCCCTCCTTATCACCAAATTTTGTGGTAAAATTACATTTCAGTACCTGTATAATTTTTTATTTGCATTACAATACATGAATGTTTAAAGTTTTACAAACATGCCTTATCTCATTTTATGAGAATTTTCAAATCACATTTGAAATTCACAAGTAATACACGTATTTGATAGTCACTCCATGTAATTAGTACAAATAAATTCAAATATCATATCTACTTAGTATCCAAACAAATAACTTTATGTTTGAAATCCTATATTCAAATTCGAGGATTAGAGCATGTGGCTATGAACCACAAATCCACAATGTGGGGGGTTCGAATCTCTTCTCACCCACAACCGGTCAGAAATTGAAAGTCGAGCAGGAGTTGAGCTTGAGCATTCTGTAACTGCGTTGCACATATCTAATGATCTATTTGTTTGGTTTGTCACCATTGTTTGAATTCGGCAGATTCCCAAGTGTTACGCATTCGTTCGTCACTTTGTTCTCAACTATTTTCACAAAATTCATATCCTCCTATCCAAGAGCATCCTAAATGCAAGTCCAATATCCATCCCAATCTTTGATTAGTTTTGTTTTCTTACAAAAATATTTTTTTTATGGATATTGTTCTTACAATAATCTTTGATGAGTTTGAAACAATTATTAAGGAGAAATAATTATCGGAAAAAAAAAATATTTAGGAGAGAAATGTGCTTTCTGTCCCAAAAGGCCACAAGAGCTAAGCCTTTTGGGCCCAAACCATGGCACGGGCTGTAGAAAGGAAGCCCGCCTCAGACCGAGAGAACGGGAACCAAACAAGCGTGCCACCTCTTGTTCAATGACGGGGAAAACCATTTTCGGCCATCGGGATCCAGATTTTCTGTGCTAGTTCGAAGACCGTACAACGGAGCCACTTCGAGTGAGCGAAGCGAAACTTGACTGAGTCGTTACCGGAGAAATGGGCGGAGGAGCCGAGCACGGACACGGAGCGGAAGGTGCTCATGGCGATTTCAGGGGGAAGGTGTGGAGCATGACCGGTGGCCCATATTGCCGCCCTAAGCACTGGCGCCGCAACACTGCCATCGCCATGGTCGGCGTCTTCCTGGTCTGCATTCCCATCGCCATGAAATCTGCCGAGCTAGAGGTCCGTCTCTCCTTCTTCCATCGCAGTAGCTTCAATTGTTTTCGGTGAATTTGTAGGAAACGTGATGGAATATCAAATATGAATTTGGCAGTGTTGAATGCCCTTGCTGATCTCCCAGTCTAGGATCATGGACGAAACCCTAATTTTGAACTAGATTCTTGCGTTTTGTGTTGGTTTGATCATTGTTGGATGGAATCACCGATGCGGATTGGAAAAATTGCCTATGTCCTCACTGATTTTAGGTCTCACATGACTGGAATTCTAGGATGCTTGCCGCTGCTAAATCGCTCATTTCAAGAGTGTTTTGCAATTTGCTATTGTCCAAGATTTCTGGGTTTGTAGAGCTGCGTACGTTACTAAGCTTTGGGAGTTAGATTGTATTTGTCTATCCTGTCTATTAGCTTCTACATGGCTTTGCGGATGAAATGGTGTTACCTTTACCCTTTTGCTGCGCAGCAGTCTATTCTAGCTACCTTGTAAAGGTGCTGTTTTGGCATCTAAAACTGGTCCTGATGTAGCGTGGTTGGGAACTAAGGGCAGGCGCTTCTATGCAATCCTCTAATGCAGCTGTTGTAGGAAAATTATGATGGAGATAGAAGCTTCATTTACGATTTTTTTTTTTTTCATTTCGGGAATGATTTTGCACATGGAGATGTTGGGGAAGGTCGAGTACCATGAAGGTAGTTCTGTTACAAAAGTAATACTAGATTAGAAGTACAGAAGCTTTGTGCTAGCTGATTTTCTTCAGTTTGAATTAGGCTTTGATATCAAACAGTTTTTATTTAGTGCGATAGATTGGTGGTGGAAATTCTCCATAGTTGTTTTCTTCTGCCTGTTATCCTTCCATGATGCATGGCCTTGATTGATTACCACTCTTCTTGAAGGCAAATTAACTGTTCTAACTACCATAGTCAATGCTGAATGGCTAATGTCATAATTTCATATCTACTAGTACTATCTCATCTAATGTAATTAAAAGTTAGGAAGTTTGGTGTACACAAGGCTGATTAGCTAATCTCATTATTTCATATCTACTATCGCATCTAATCTACTTTAAGTTAGGAAGTTAGGTGTACACAAACGAGGGCAACTAACTCACACCCCAAAGTTTGTGGCAGAAGTCTGTTTAATATTGACATTACAGAATAGAGTTGGGTGTCGTAGTATGATGCTTTCTTGCTAGGGATCATTGGCTTTGGAAAACTGCTTCTGCAGAGGTTTAATGATTGAGCACATCATGATCTTTTGATAAACAATTTCGCTTTCTTGTTGCAGCAACGACCTCATCTTCCTGTTCGTCCGATCCCCTCCCAGCTTTGGTGCAAGAACTTCGGGACTAAAGATTATAACAAAGTTGAATGAAATGGGGACTCTCCCATCAGGTCTGATCAGCATTGGGAAACCAATCCATTTCTTGTATCTGAAGTTTGCAGCCGCTACTGAGTCTTATCTTGGTTGGTTGATGTTGGAATAAATTTGAAGTTATTAGGAATGTGGTTGTCCATCTTTGTATTGACTATATTGAGAACGAGTTGCTTGTTTAATGTCATAAAGAAAATTTTTGTGAAATGGACACAAGAAGTTAAATGTTATTGTCATTTGGACTTTGGAGTAACCAACTGTATATTGGATACAGATGCAGTCATGCAGAATTTTTCTCCCTTCACTCGTTGATAACTGATGAGATTCTGGAGCTTTATTGAAGAACTCTAGAATTTTGATATATTACGTTCTTTGGATGAAAACCATTATATTTCATTCTCATCGTGTTTTAGCTATGTAGATCGTCGTCACTAATGGGTTCTGATTCCGGTTTCATTTATAACGATGTTGTTGTCTTGGATATGCACTCCCATATTCGAGTTAGTTTGTACGATAAGGCAAGACATAGAGGTATTTGGCTAATGGATTTTGGTGGTGGATTGTTGCACCAAATCCGTCAATAAGTTGATTCTGGTTCAAAGTAGCTTGTTTGGTTGGTCTTTTTTGGTGTTGGATTAGGGTGGGATAGCGTCACTACCCATATAGGGCAGGGGTTGTGATTTTCGCTTCCATCTTTTCAGCCATTGATCTTCCTTTTCCATCCTACGGTTATTATTAAGCAAAGGGTGTTTTGGAATGCTTGTATAATAAATAAAAGGAAAGAAAATGAAATATTAAATGTAATTGTATTGGAAACGGTTATTCGCCGTGATTGGTGGGATGGATATCTCCCGTCACTTGGGACGGCCTTCCCATTCTGCAACTTCATTAAAAAAAATCCATCCCTCCCCATCTCTTGGCTTCCTCATTTTTTTTTTTGATAGAAATACTAGTGCCTTTTATTAATGGGCTAAAGAGTCCAAGTCCAGGACATCAAGGAGAAACATGGGTGGTCTGTCCAGCCAGTCTTCCTGAACTCCCCAATTACAATCCATGTGAGCTAAATCATGGGCTGCTCTATTACAGGCCCTCTTTGCAAACTTCCACCTGACCCGACCAATTCGATCCGCTTCTTCCTTCAGCTCCATCACCATCGCTCCTGCTTCCAGCTCCGTCATTTCCTCTCCCTGCAATTTGAGGATAGCGGTCTGGCAATCCGACTCAACAATCACCTGACTTCGTCCCAGCTTCTCCGCCAACTTCAACCCCAGGTTTATCGCACGGAGCTCCCCCAGTTCAGCTGACCATTGGATTCTCTCCCTGCTGAGAGATGCCCCGAGAAAAGCTCTCCCCTCGTCCCTCGCCACCGCTCCGCACCCGCTTCCTCTTCCGGCGAAAATTGCTGCATCGACGTTCACTTTTATCCACCCCGCCGGCGGTCTGGTCCAGGTACTTGCTTCCTCTGTCCTTTCTTTGGTGTCTTTCTCATGATGGGATTTGAATTCTTCCCAGTGGCTTAGGGCTTTCCCCACGATTTCCCACTCCTCCATCTTGCTTGTATCGAACATTTGGTTGTTTCGTTCATGCCAGAGATACCATAGGATCATCCCCAATTGTTCTAATTTCTCATCACTTCCTTGTTCCATGACTTCACACCACCATGATCCACAAGATAGGTTTTCCTCCATTTCAAAGAAACCCCTAAACTCAGTAGGTCTCCAAGCTCTACTCGCCCATTGGCATTGCCTGAAAATATGCTCCTGGGTCTCCTCCAAACCACAGAAAGGACACTCAGTGGCAGCATCTTCCTTCTTCGTCGCTAAGTTCTTCCCAGTAGGTAGGATATTGTGAATCATCCTCCATAGGAAGACTTTAACTTTTGGAGGTATCTGCAACTTCCACAATCGTTTCCAGTCCATCGGGTCGTAAACTTCGATCTCCTCCTGCACCTCTTCCTCTTCGTTTCCCTCTAAATTCTCAAAGTGGTTCTCTTGTGTATGCTGACTATGTCTGTACCAGAACCTATAGGCTGTTTTAACTGAGTATCTACCATTCTTCTCATGACACCATACCTGCCCATCCTTGGATGGTTGTCTAGGAATAGGAATGCTCTCAATTCGTGCTCTGTCCACTGGATTGAACCTGTTTTGCAGAATGTTTCTTTTCCAGGTTCTTGTCTCAATGTTCATTAGGTCTGACACCACTGTAACGTCATTTTGGGGGGCTGATGTCACTTTGAAATGGTCCTCTTGAGCATCTGGAATCCATTTGTCCTTCCATATTTCAATATTTTTTCCATCTCCCACCCTCCACCTCAAGCCTTCTCTAGCCATTTCCTGAGCTGTAAGTAGACTTCGCCAGGTGTAGCTAGGATTATTTCCCAGTTGAGCTTTCATCACCTCTCCATTAGGATAGTATTTGGCCTTAAGGACTCTAGCTGCTAATGAATCTGGCCTTATCATTAGGTTCCAAAGCTGCTTTCCTAACATAGCCTGATTGAAGATTTTTAGGTCTTTAAATCCCATGCCCCCCTCTTCCTTTGGCTTACATAGTTTCTTCCAGCTTTTCCAGGGTATTCTTCGTTCTTCCTTTCGCTGACCCCACCAGAATCTCGAGATTACCCTTCTGATCTCATCTAGGATCCCATCTGGCACCCTGAACACAGACATAGGATATGTAACCTGTGATTGGGCCACTGCTTTAATTAGAACTTCCTTTGCCGCAATTGACAGAGTCTGATTCTTCCATTGCTTTACCTTCTTTCTGACCTTATCCACTAAACCTGTGAACACTGATTTCTTCTCCTTTCCAATAACAGTAGGCAGCCCTAGGTATTTTTCATGATGTTTCACTTGCTTCATACCCATAGTCCCAGCCAGAGCTTGGCATTGCTCTTCTTTAAGGTTTGGGCTGAAGCTCAACTCAGATTTTTCAAGGTTTACCTTCTGACCAGACTCCTCTTCGTAAATCCTGAGTATATCCCTAAGTTGTTTACACTCAGGGATAGTTGCTCTTGTGAAGAAAATGCTATCATCCGCAAAGAGCAAGTGAGAGATCACGGGGGCTCTGTGGGACACCTTTAGGCCGTGAATTTTTCCTTCCCTTACAGCCTTTTGAGTTAGTGCAGAGAGTCCTTCCACACATAGGAGAAAAAGATAGGGGGAGAGTGGATCCCCTTGTCGAAGTCCTCTTCCTGGTTTGAAACTTTCAGTCTGGTGTCCATTAACCAGCAGAGAATAGGAAACTGATGTTACACAGTTCATAATAGTGCTTATCCATTTCTCAGCAAAACCCAACTTCCTCATCATTGCCTCCAAAAAACTCCACTCAATCCTGTCGTAGGCCTTTGAAATATCCAGCTTTGCCACCAATAGGCCCTTTTTATTTTTCTTCTTCTGCTTCATCGCATGGAAGCACTCAAAAGCCACCAACACATTATCTGTAATGTACCTTCCCGGTACAAAGGCACTTTGCTGCTCACTCACCACCTGATTCAGCATCCCTTTTAACCTGTTTGCCAACACCTTAGCCATTATCTTGTATAGCACTGTGCATAGGCTAATAGGTCGAAAGTCAAGGGGAGTACTTGGATTTTTCTTCTTTGGTATGAGGGCCACTAAAGTATGATTTAGTTTCTGGGGGGAATTCCCCCATCTCTAGGTAACCTCTTAACTCGTTTGAAACTTCTGCCCCCACCACATCCCAATGTTTTTGGAAAAACCTTGCTGACATACCATCATACCCTGGAGCCTTGTCAGGGCCCATTTGCTTAAGAGCTTGCCATATTTCCTGATCCATGAAAGGAGCCAGAAGGAGGTCATTCATTTCTGTAGTTACCTTCCTTTCTACTGACTCCATAATTCTGCTAGCACCCGTATAGTTTCCCGAGGTGAACAGAGTGCTCATATAGCTGATCAGGCAATTAGTCACCCCTTCCTGTCCAGTAAAAACCCTCCCTGTGACATCCTTCAACGTTCGAATGGTATTTCTTTTCCTTCTTTCTGATGCTTTCCTGTGAAAGTAACCAGTGTTTAAATCCCCTGACTTCAGCCACTCTGCTCGTGATCGTTGTCTCCATTTCAACTCCTCCTGGCGAAGTATATCATTTAGTTCATACTCCAGAATCTTCTTTTGAGCTAACACCGCTTTTGTTCTCTTCCTGTGGTTTAAAGCCTTTATAGCTCTCTCAGTCTTGATTCTGCTGTACTTAAGTGATCCAAAAGCTGTTCTGCTCCATGACTTGAGCTTGGTTTCGCAATTTTTGACCCGGTCCAATATAGAGACCCCACCATACTCCTGCCAGCCTTCCTTAATGACGTTTGTACACTCCTCATGTCTTTCCCAATATCTCTCATAGCGGAAGGACCATCCCCATGTTATTTCTTCCTCTTCCAGAGTTAATTTGACATGTAGGGGGATGTGATCCGAGCCACATCTATCCAGATGATAAACTCTCATATTAGGATAGCAGTCTAACCAATCCCTGTTCCCAACTACCCTATCCAGCCTCTCTTCCACATAGTCATCCTCTTCTCTGTTGTTTTCCCATGTAAACGTTCTCCCATAGTATCCACAGTCTTCTAGGCCACAGTTTTCCAGCACTCTCGAAACATTTCCATTTCCTTCACATCAGGATCCCTGTTTCCACTCTTTTCATAGTAGTCAGTAATGAGATTAAAATCTCCCATCACTACCCAAGGTATATCCACCTGTTTGTGTAATCTTTCCAGCATCCCACACGTCTGGTGCTTTTTATGTGCTTCTGGCCACCCATATACTCCTGTAAATCTCCACTCCTTCCTGCAATTCCTCATTTTTATTTTTGCATCAATAAAGTTCAAGGTGAGATCCTTAATGTCAACTTGGACCTCCTCCCTCCACATTAGAAGTAGGCCCCCTGCCCTATTTGATCCTGCACCCACCCCTCTGCCATCAAAGTAGCCCAGCTCTTTTATTTTTGCTTTCCACTCGCTCTCATACTGTTTTGTCTCCATGAGGAAGACCAACTCGGGATTTGTTCTGCGCAGAAGCGCCTTCAGCTTCTCAACTGCAGGGGTATTCCCGAGACCTCTGCAGTTGTAGCTAAGGATACTCATTGGGCTGGGCGGCTCTACTCCTTAGCAGAGTCCGCCATACCGCCATCCTTAGTAATGTTTGGTGTTTGAGTCAATGGTTCCTCCTGATTCGTATCCATATCCAGCATTCTGGCTTTTTTAGTTTGCCCTTCTTGCCTTATTAAAACTCCTTCCTCGCCCTCCACAGCTTGCACATCTCTTTTCTGGGGCGTTACTTGAGTCTTGGCAGGGGATCTTTGTTTTTGTTGATCCTGCCTCTTCCAGACCCTGCCTCCATTTCTTTTCCTTTGGTCATTTGCAGTTGATCCCTGGACAAAATATTGTAGGGCTCCACTCAGTCCCACATTTTCCAGAGTCGGGCTATACTGTGCCTGAGTTACCTTCTTGTTCCTCGTCTCAGTATTTGCTTTGGGGTTCTCTGTTTCATTTTTCTTAGTCTGCTCCTGGGAGATCTCATCTTGCCTTTTGACTGCTTCTTCTGCAGGTGCTGGCTCATAGTCGGAGTTTGAGCCAACACTCTCCAGATCAAATTTCTTCTTAAGTACAGCCCACATTTCTGCTTCTTCCCTCTTCGTTGAGTGTGACACCCAACTTCTCGGCCCTTGAGGCCCTGCCCTCAGCTCCATACCAAATGGATCGGGATCTAAACCAGATGGTTTAGGACATCGCAGCTTGGGATGTCCAATTCTCCCACATGAATAGCAGAATATGGGGAGTTTCTCGTATTTAACCAGGTATTCTGTCAGTTTCCCCCCAATATTCAGCTTGATTTTCTTTTTTAGTGGATTGTTGATGGATAAACTCACCTTCATTCTCATGTATGTGTCCCACATTGTCCCTGGATTGTCATCGAACCATACCAAGGAGCCAAAACGATTTGCTATCTTCTCTGCCATTTTTTGTGTTCGCAGCTCAGCTGGGAACTCCTTTATTCTGATCCAAATGTCCATCATATGCAACACCTCCGGAGATGGTTTCTTGATCAATAAACTTGGCATAAACACCATGGCGTTGTTTTCATAGTGCCAAGGGCCCCCAAAACTTACTTTGTCACGATCATCCTTTTCCAGAAATTGAAAAGCGTAAAGCATATCACCCAGATCTGTGATTTGAAAGCTCTTCTTGAGGTTCCATGCTTTTGCTAGGGCTATCTTCATGGATTTAACATTAGGTTGTTTGTCTGTTAACAGGCGCCCTATCAGCCCTAGCTGGCGCACTGCTTCCATACGTACCACATCCACGTCACAGTCCTCTACTTCCAAAGGGGCATCATCCTCATCCGCTAGGGTTATTTGATCCAGCTGGATCTCCAAGCTTTCGGCTGTGCTACACAGTTCCTTTGGTTCCTCCTCCGCTATTGCTGCCATAGCTGTGTTATTTGCCTCCGCCATGATGTATCAGTGCAGCTTCTTACTTCCTTGTTTCCCACTCTTGCCCTATACTTCCTTCGTACGAGCTTAAAAGGTTGTGATTCCACCTTTGAAAACTATTCACAGAACGAATAGAAGTCTCTCTCTGCCTTGGTAAACGTATACGAATCGGATTTGGTCGCCGAAAAACCTACGGAAAACCTAGGGTTTCCGCCGCCGAAAAAAACCCTCGATAAGACGAGAGAAATTCCTATCTATGCAGGCTATACCCGTTTCTTATTTGTTTAAACAAATCTCCAGCAATTGCCATTGACAATCATTGAGAGAGCTTAGCCTTCAACGTAGCAACAACGGATAGTGATGGCAATGGACTGGGTGGATATCTCTTGGCTTCCTCATTGCTTCTGCTTCATTGGGAAAAAAAAAACTACCATGCAAATGTAGTTATAGAAGCCGGAAACACCTTTCCACGATGGCCGCGGAGCGATCCCTAAAATAAGAAAGATTTGAGTGTTTTGCCGAGGACGGCGTTTGTTGTTGACGCGGAGTAGCTGGACAACGACGAAGGATTCAACAACGTGAGAAAGGAGGACAACGACGACGATCACTTAAATTTTATATATATCGACAACGACGATGATTCAGTGCTCGTGAATTTCTTGGCCTAAACGTGGAGATGATGATGATGACACATAGAATGTCGTCGATGCCAACAGTCTCGCTAGGGTTAACTAATGTCGTTACGACTTCCGTTGAATGGGTAGTGTTTTTTTAGTGGTACACCTTATGCAACGACCAAAATGTACCAGTATTTCTGGTTCAAGTTAGCTAGTGGTAGTACATTGCTAGTGGTAGTCATCTAGCGGTAGTCGCCTAGTGGTAGTAAATTACTAGTAGTAGACACCTAGTGGTACAATTGACGATATTTATTGACTAGTTTTGGTGATATTTGTTGCCTAGTGGTAGTAGCTACTGGTACCAGGTACGTGGTGGTAGTAGCCTACTTGTAAAAGTTAAATAATGTGACCTCTAATGCATCTTCTTTTTAAATACAGGTGGTGTATCAACTATCCTTCAAGCTACTATTGGACCAAAATGAAGCAGTGGCATGACAAGAGAATATAGAAGAAGAGGCTAATGTCGACTCGGGAAATAGAAAGCGAGCAAGCAAGAAAACTACTAAATAACAAGCTCACAGCAAGAGGAAAAAAAGCATTGCCAAAATCTTGTCGATCGTTTGTTTCGTTAGATGTTTCATTTCAAGTTTGGTAGAAATGTGGCAAATTGTCAGAAGATACAGTTAATTTTGTTTCGTGTGAAAGATGTTAGGTTATACTGATGAGGTTTGTTATCTTTGATCATTTGTTGTCTACCAGTGGACGACCATTTAAAGTGCAGTAAAAAATCATGAATTCACAAGTACTAGTACCATGCCACTGGTAATTCTACCACTATCATGCATTCGTACTAATACCACGACACTGGTACTTCTAACACTCGTTCAACTATAGTGGTATTTCTACCACTCTTGCCTGGTACAAGTACCACTAATGACTGGTAGTTGTACAACTCCAATGCTAATTCTACGATTCAATTGATACAAATATCACCTTACTAGTTGTACCATTCCACTTGTACCAGTGAAGTGGTACATGTACCAATATAGTTACTGGTACTTACATCAATGAACTGGTACATGTACCACTATAGTTACACTTGTACAAGTGAAGTGGTTCATGTAACTCTCTACCACTCGATAGCTAGTTGTACGAGTCCATTGTATCACTGAAGTGTTTTTTATACCACTGGAGGACAAGTCTACTTGTACTAGTAAATGTACTAGTGCGAGTTGTATTGAAAATTGACAATGGTACACAAAACCAATTGTACTACTGTAAGTTGCCGCTACTTTGTCCAATATCATTTATTCACATTAGAGATAGCAACAATACTAAAGGTCAACAAATGCCCTCAACGTCTTGGAAATATCATTGCCACTAACTTTGTCCAAGCCACTGCTTTGTCCAATATCATTGGATAACATTGTTCATACTTCTAAACATACAGAAACAATCATCATACTCCTCAACATCTGGAAAAGAACTATTGATGGGTCAGTAAATGCAGGGACTCTTGCTTAACTCGTCACGTGGTCGCTTCTTAATAAGGCCAGAACGAGAATCAAATAACTCCCCTCCACGATGACAACCTGCCTAGAAGCATACCCAACAGGTTGATTTGTTGTCGTTGATGTATAATGTGTAGTCTTTGTTCTCACCATTCCTGCTATCATAGAAAAAATTACATTGGTACAAAGACTTAATTAAACTACTTCCAATAAAAAAACTATTAGAAGAATACCAGAAGGAACACTAAAACATTTTAGTAGTATTGGTACCAATCCGTATGTACTAGTATCGCTTCAGTGGTACTGGTAAAAATCAATTGGTACTAGTACCACTACAACTAAAACCAGCGGTACCATTCCATTAAACTACCACTATTATTATACCAATGTAATTGGTAGTTGCTACCAGTAACACAAATACCACTAGAATCGGTACCAATTGAAAACAAAAGCGGGTCATCTAAAGTAACTTCGACTACCACTCCCAGTAACAATGAATCATTTTAAGCCCACTGCCGTCAGACCAAAATTCACCGGTACACATATATTAATGCTACGACTAATAAACTACCACTGGAACTGGTACAAGTGGTACCATCCTAGTAAACTACCACTGGAATTGTACTAGTGGTACCATTGAATTAAACTAACACTATTAGGCTACAATTAAAGATACCTCTCCTACGATGGTTTGCATGGCAGCAAGAAGGGACGACAGCGGAAGGATGTCGACAATGCAATGAAAGAACAAATTTTTTTTACTAGTTATGACTAAGATTAAAGCATTTCGACCAAAAAAAAAAGATTAAAGCAGGACACACCTAGCTCTAGAAACATGATCAACAAAGAAGGGGGAAGACGTCGGAGAAAAGACTAAAGCAAGGAGTCAGGGCAATTAGGGGAGAAGAATGGTTGTCAAAGAAATTACAATCGCCATGATGCGGGTCGACAAAAAAGAAGAAATAAATGGTGAAATCGATTGGAATTACCTCCTAACCGGACAACCAAGTCTTCGACCTCAACCAAACGGGGGAGATGATGGAGGGAGAAAAGCGTCGAGAAAGTTGATCGGCGACGGTTGCTGGGTTTTTTGGGATACGATGGAGGAGAAAGGGTTTTTGGGCAGACGAACAATTTTTTGTGGGGAAGGTGGTTGATTTCTCTCCCCAACAAATCCTTTCCCCCTTCAAAACCCGCATGATATTATAGGAGAGATGGACGTGCGGATCCGATGCGACACTCTCTTTTTTGCCCTTGATAATTATAGACCGCCAGATCATAAGAAAGGGAATTGGACGGCTTGGAAGAGGGAAGTGAAACTCACAACCCCTAAGGAGGTTGTTAGTTGTTACGCTATCTCAACCCGTTGGATTATGGAGTTGAGGGATTTTAAAGTATAAGTAAAGATTGATTTTAAAATGTTACCTATGTCAAGTGGTATTGTAAAGCTCTCTACTTTGAATGGTTTTGTTTCTATCCCATCTTCACAAATTCCAACCCAATTGAGATGAAATGATAATACTAAGAATAATAAGGTAATTCAATCAACAATTTTTACAACCCGCTATGCTATTCGTAACCCATATATTAGAAATAAACATAAGAACAATAACATTTTCAAAATTCACGGTCCATCTATTTTAAAAACAATCTTTTCCCGGTTTTAAAAATTTATCCTCTTCATAATATTCTAATAATATAGAGACTCTGAATGAATTACCAAGATGAGAATGGTTCCTAATTTTCTATACAGCCTAAAAGATATAAAATACAAAGTCTATTTTCATATTGAGTCATAAATAGAGATGCAATACTCAGAAACAGCCATCAAATGAGAAAAACCCTTTTTAATTCATGGCTTTAAGAGATGAGCATATCCTATCCTCAAACTCCATAGAGGCACAAGTTTTTCCCCTGTGAAAAATAAAAAAAAAATCGACAAAATAAAGCATTAAAATTTAAGTGATAAATTGCACATTTTACTCAGAAAAAGTAAAAAAGAGAGGAAACCCCCAAAAATTCTTCTTAGGGAGCAAAGGAATAGAAGAGTAATTTGTTCCCTACATCACAACAATAAAAATCCTAACTTTCTCTCACTGTCTCTATATTATTTCTCGCCGTGAAGAACCCTTTCATTTAGCATTCGCCTCCAACCAGAAGATTTTCCCTCCCTCCTTCCTCAATTCCCGTCGCTTCTGCCGGAAAAACCCAGGAAAGGGGAAGGAAATTTAGAGAACCCCGTCTGCTCTTGATTTGATTTCTCGCCATGAGGCCGCAGAAAAGGACGATCCACATGCTGACGACATGGGTCAGGCGGCAGCCACCCAAAGTCAAGGCCTTTCTCGCCGTCGTAGCTGGGATGGCGGCTCTAGTCCTCCTCCGCTTCATCGTCCACGACCACGATAACCTCTTCGTCGCGGCGGAGGCTGTCCATTCCATTGGCATCTCTGTTCTTATTTATAAGCTCATGAAGGAGAAGACTTGTGCAGGTGAAATTTAAAAGAGATTTTGTTTCCTTCCATAGGGCTTTGCTTGAGTCGTTTCTCTGGAATCGAATGGTGCTGAACTGGGATTTTCCCCCTTTTTTCCTTCTTCTGGGTTTGTGGGGAAAAGACTCAATTTTTAAGACGTTCCTGGATAAGTTTTTGCTGGCTTGTTTTCCTTCTTTGTCGATCTCTGTAGCTGCTGGTGTTAGGGAACAATTGTTGATGTTTTGCCACATGACGGAGACTAGTTTTCCTTGCTTGCTCATCGTTTAGGCATGGGCGTTGAATCTTTGAGTTTTCTACGAATAGAAGATAGGTTGATATTTATAGAATTCGGGATTCAGGACAACACGTCTCATCATCTTTATTGTTTGACCGACTGGGAGTAAGCATTGGGGGCCGCTCTTGATTTAGGTATTGATTTGCCAAGGATGCAGATTGGATGTACATCGAAAGTTATAAACGATTGTTATGTCGGGTAATCAGTTAATGTTGCTGTATATTAAGCTGGGTATCATATCAACTATCAAGCTTATAGTCATGATGCTTTTCCATGTGGTTCAATGAAACTGTGAAGAAGGAACACACTTTCAAGGTCTATTACTCATTTCGGCACGGTTTGTTTATATCCTTATGTTAACTGTACATTGAATTGTTTTGCAGGGCTATCACTTAAATCACAAGAACTTACTGCTATATTCCTAGCATTTAGGCTGTACTGTAGCGTGGTAATGGAGTATGACATACATACGTTATTGGATTTAGCCACGCTGGCGACCACTCTGTGGGTTATATTTATGATCCGCTTCAAGCTGAAGTCTAGCTATATGGAGGACAAGGACAACTTTGCTCTCTACTATGTGGTCAGTACACATATTGATCACATTCGGATACCGTTTTTCCCAAGTCATTTTGTCCTGTTTCATTCCAGTTAATATGCTGCTTTAATTGCATGAATGGTCAATTAGTTTGTTAATCTAGGCATTCTGCTTGTTAGCTGTAATTTAACTATAGGAGCGAGAATTATTACTGGAATTAATTTCCTGGCCCTTACATGGTGAAATAGGAACATAGTAAACATCTTTGCTTGCGATTACACTACTATAGTTTGCACGATCTCTTAATTCTAAATTTCAATGATAGATCTTCTAGTTGTTCCTTCTGATTGCTCACTTGACGACGTGCACTCACTTTCATCTTGTTTTGTGCCTTGTAACAGCTGGTGCCTTGTCTTGCATTAGCCGTGGTCATTCATCCAACAACCTCGCATAATCTGTTTAACAGGATTTTCTGGGCTTTCTGTGTATACCTGGAATCTGTTTCTGTGCTTCCTCAGCTGCGAGTGATGCAGAACACCAAGGTTTCAGTTTGATGGATTGTATATTCTCTTTCAGGTGTTTTGGGGTTGAAAAACTTTAAAAAAAAATTTTCTTCTTATTCTTCAGATTGTTGAACCATTCACTGCTCATTATGTCTTTGCACTCGGAATTGCAAGATTCTTGAGTTGTGCTCACTGGGTTCTCCAGGTATAATGAAGATCCAAACCCACTTATTTTTGCTTGAATTTGGTCTAATCCTTTTGGTTCAATGATCTTTGATAGTGTCGCACACTTATGTCTGCTTATCGCCAGAAATGTTTTTGTTTCATCTGGACCTTCAATATGCACAACCTAGTCAACCTGAATATGTTCTTGTATTATGACATTGATGGATCGTCACCACTTTAACTTCCAACAGGTTTTAGATAGTCGTGGACACTTGCTGGTAGCCTTGGGTTATGGATTATGGCCATCAATGGTTCTTATCTCAGAAATCGTCCAGACCTTCATTCTTGCCGATTTCTGTTACTACTACGTGAAAAGGTTAAGTCTTTTCTGCTTTTTGCTCCTAGTCATAAATGGTTTTATATCTGAATCTTGGTTGATCTAATATATATGATTTCGAATTTTTCCTCCTCTGCAGTGTGTTTGGTGGGCAGCTTGTTCTACGCCTCCCCTCCGGGGTTGTATAACCAGAGAAGATCCATCACCGTGGACGATGCTTTGCCTCCAAAATTAACTTTTGCAACGCCGTGACCTCTTTTCTGTTCCCACACGGTTTTTTGTTGTATCAAAGTCTTGAACTTGAAGTAGGGTGGGGGATGTTTTGTATATTAACATTGCCAAAAACTTAGTTGGCTCACTGTATTGAACATAATTTTCCTAGCTGAAATTAATACTATTGCGTCGAAGTGTAGTGTCTTCCTTGGTTGAACGCATATTGATAGTAAACCAGTTAGATATCATGAACAGGATTTGCACTTGTCTTTCTGTGTTATTGCTTTGATTGAACTGCAGAACAAAGACAGTAAGAAAAGAGCACCCAAATTTTCAGATTGTTACAGAGACTTTATGCCAAAGAAACAAACCATTCATCAGACTGTCAGGTTCCTTGCAAGTATCCCTTCAAAGGTGATCCCGGGTCCAAAAGCAAGAATCAAACCCCATTCACAATCTCCTTCCTTCTTCTCATCCTTCATCTTCAACCCTTCCTCCACCATATACTCCAGCACATAAACAATGGTATTACTGCTAGCATTGCCATAATCCATCAGTGCCCTTCTACTCGCATTCAGCTTCTCTGGCATCAAATCCAGTCTCTTCTCCACCCGGTTCAGGATTGCTGGTCCGCCCGGGTGAACCGCCCAGAACAGTTTGTTATAATCCTTCTCAGACATCCCCACAACTTCCATCAACTTACCACAGAACCCTTCAATGTTATCCTCGATAATCTGCGGGAGCTCCCTGGCAAGCTTGAAACTGATCCCTTCTTCCGTCAATCTACCGTCAATCGTCTTCTCCGTATCAGGCAAGAAGTTCTGAATGGCTGTGTGAAGCTCATACTGAGGTGGACTCTCGGCGTCCTGAATGGGGTCCGTGCCAACAATCATTGCTCCTGCACCATCACCAAACAACGCCACTCCGACCAGATCATACGGCCTGCTCGCACTCGGCGGCTTGAACCCAATGATCGTGGTCTCCGAAGTAGCCAGAAGAACCCGACTCCCCGGGTTGTTCTCAGCTATATCCTTTGCGATCCTGAGCCCTGCTACGCCTCCTGAGCAGCCCATGAAGTAGAGCATGACCCTATGCGTATCAGGGCTCAGCCCGAGGCCTTTCGCCAGGTGGAGGTCACCACCTGGCAGCCTGGCCTCGCTCGACGAGACATAGACCAAGTGAGTTATGTCCGATACCGACTTCCCCCACTTCGTGATGCAACATTGCGAAGCTTCAATCGCCATTCGCGTCACAGCTTCGTTGCAGATGTCCAGCCTCTGCTTGACTGTGGGCTGACCTTCTGTGGCGAGTTCAGGGTACTTGCTGAGTATCTCTTCCGACATCACAACGTACCTAGTTTTCACAGTCGTTGTCTTGCCTGGTACGTTACCCAACAAAACAATCCACATTCAATGTTATGATCAGTGAAAAGGGTTGAGAGTGGAGTGGAAGGGTAGTTGTGGGGCTTACATAGTCGAGTTAGCTTCTCCTTGAGCTCCGGATCATCGCAGTTGGTGTTCCTGAAGTAGCCATCGACGAGGAACTCTTGCATGACAAGCTGGTGGGGGAATGCCTTGCCGAGAGCCAGGATTGTAGCCTTGCCAGGGCTGGCCTTCCTTGTCGAGCTGCCATTTCCCTTAGCTTCCATAACTACTTTTCACCTCTCGCTGGCAGTTCTTGTGTTTGAAATGAAGGATGTCTAGCTTATATAGGACTGAATTTGCAGACACTGAAAGAGCATTAAGGACTTGATTTACATGGGAGGGTATGAAAAGCTTGCAACTTGCTTGCTGTTATATAAATTCAGTGGAAGAGAAGTAGGGCATTCATGCAGGTCATGTTTGACAGATATGGGTGGAAATTAGGTGCTTCTTGTGTGGAAGGTAATTTTTCTAAGTAATCTGTTTAATCCTAATATCATCTGGATTTCAACAACATGAAACCCATTTCTATATCAGACTAACAGGTAGGTTCAGGTTGTATTAGGGTTGTTCATTTGATCTCAAATAGTACGGCAGAAACTGTAAAAAGTACTTGAGCTTGTACTCTAGAGTCTACACTGGGTATTGTGCCTTTTTTCACTTTCTCGATAACGTTGTCCACTTATCTGGCATAATTTCAGCACAAATACACTATGCCAAACAACGTTTCGCAAATACGTATAGCGTCATAGCATGAACTTAAGACAAATAATATCGATTTTACATCAAACCAAAACACAGCCCTGTTAAAACTGTAAACGAGGAAGATAATTTAGCTGCATTCATAACCATGAGGTTTAAATTATTGGCATCAGTAACAAACATGAGCTAACAATGAACTAATAGTGCAAGTCCCTTGGCTGGATCTAAATCATGGGTGTCACACATACAGAAAAACCCAGTATAATCGCAGGCGTAGAAAGCTTAATGACACTCGTCCTCAAATGTTCTTCTGAGAGACATCAAAGTTTCAAAGTTCACAAACACACTTCCCATTGATGTAATCGATTACTTGGGTGACAGACGCATCAAGTGCAGCAGTTACAGCTGCTAGATTCTGCAGGAATTCCTCGGCAGTCGGCTTGTCGCCATCAACAATGTCGGTCACAGCTTTGATGAATATCGCAGGGACTTGCAACATCTCGGCTACATAGGCAACAGCTGCACCCTGGAAACCCCAACATATTGGTTGATATTACACATTTCTCAATGAATGACTGGTAAGTAGAAGAAAGATCAGCAAACCAGGCATTGTAGTTATTGCTTAGTATTACCTCCATATCTTTAACTACAGCATTATTTGCAGTAATTGATGCCTCGTCCTGAGGTGACATGTCCAGAGAATCTCCGGTGGAGAGTTTACCAACCTGACAGATACAAAATAGTAAGAACTCCAGTTTAGGCAAGGAAAGCACATTGATTGACCAGATTAATAAATTACTGGAATTTGGAAGGAAATGAGCTAAAGTTTCTGGAAATTGGTCACCTTTAAGTTAAGGTCTTTTGCTACATTGGGCGTTGAACAGGGCTTCCTTGAACCTACTCCATATAGATCGAAAACCTACAGTGAAAAGTATAGCACAAACAATGGCCACAATAAGTGTCCCACTTAGTCATTTATGCCAGCCTTACTCACATATGCATATAGGTTAACCAGAAGTGTTAAGAACACTTACAGGAATGGGAATTCTCCGGTCATGAAAAGCCACACCAGATATCAGATATACATCCCCAACACCAGCACCTTTGGCCTAGAAAAGCTTTCAAATCAGCAGGAGGGCAAAATACAAAATGCACTATTACTTTGCGTAATGAACTTCTTTCAAGTCCATCAAGGCTATCATTGAAAAGCTGTTCTTGTCAAAATTTTCGTTTAACTGTTCTGTCCACGTTAAGTGCAGATGATTGTTATCAGCAGGCAGCTCCACGCAAACTGGTATCTCCTCCAAATAGTATAATTGGCCTTTACTATTTGAAGGAGAAATGCAGGGACAAGGAGACAAGCATGCATACTTTGCGTAATGCACTTCTTTCAAGTCCATTAAGGCTATCATTGAAAAGCTGTTCTTGTCAAATTTTAGGTTTAACTGTTCTGTCCAGGTTAAGTGCAGATGATTGTTATCATCAGGCAGCTCCAGGCAAACTGGTATCTCCTCCAAATAGTATAATTGGCCTTTACTATTTGAAGGAGAAATACAGGGACAAGGAGACAAGCATGCATACCTTGAAGCCGCCTGCTGTGCCAGCATTGATAATTAAGTCAGGTTTTAGTGCTTGAACTGCAGCGTAAGCAACAAGAGCTGCAGAAACTGTGCCGACACAGTCAACACCTGCAAAGAAAGAGCAACTCGTTTTACCCAACTTCAAAGTCCAAAGGTTGCCACTCCACTTATATTACTATCAGGGGTGCTTGAACGATCATTGAATGCTAAATTGCTGTCACTTACCCAGAGTTGAATCTTTTCCGGGCCATACTAAATTGATTTGCAAATCCTTGTATGTACCATAGTACCTGACCCAGGGAGCCCCTTTTGGAAACCTGCACATTGTAAGCACACATCCCTAACAATTACACTTTGTATATGTCCATTGGGAGAAGAATGCAGATCCAAAACTGATACATCAATATAAAATGTGGCAGCTTGGTTGCATAGTCAGGTAAGGAAAAGGTGAACAGGCAAACAAAAACCACCAGTAAACAATTTTTACCAGGGTCATCAATCATTCTCCATGAGATGGAGCACCAAAAAGGTTTTGAACTGAACATTCAAGTCCCCTCCTCAATGTTATTAAGTCGTTTCAATCAATAACCGTGAACAATGAACTCTTGCCATAAGAAAACAACTCAGAATTCAAGCTTGAAACAAAACCCACTAAATCCAAGCACAAAAAGGTAAAAACTTTAACAATCAACACAGCTAGAGCCACACATAAAAAGCTACAAGAGATTGAAAGAAAACGAGAAAGTAATCGGCAGGACGTACACAGAATCAAGGTCTTCCTTGAGCTGGAACTTGTTGACTAAAGGCGTCGCTTCCGTTTGCATCGCTGCAATACTCAAAATCAAAACCGACCACCAAATTTCACAACAATCATAGGCAGACCCAACTGAAAAGAGAAGATCAGTAGACAGAGTACAAATCAAAAGGGTACCGATGATTATAAGGATGGAAGAAACGGGGCGCTGTTGTTGGTCAACTGGAGCAGCGATGGCTTCCCCTGCTGCAGCGTCTGATCCGCCGCCGCGCGGAGGAGCCATGGTAAAGTCGGCGGTGCGGCGATTTGCGTTCGGGATGTGTTGGGTGCAGGAGAAAGCAGTGGGCGAGTGTTTAATTTTCCAGGAAAATCAAGAAGACCGCTGCCAAGAGGAAAGTGCGAGAAAACTAAGTTGCGGATTCGTTCCTCTCTCTCGGCTCTCAGTCACAGCCAATCCCAGAGTGACAAGAGGATCCGATCGTGATTAAGTGATTTGTATTAGTTAGTTAATCAATTGATTATCCATAATCTCTCGTTGTTTGTAGCTTACACGCATGCTTCATACAGATAGTGTTTGGTCAATTATCCAATTTGATACTCCAATTTTTATTTGTTAGAAATTTTACAATCAACAGCGGTACTTTGGTTTAAAAAAGCTTTTATAATACAACTAGCTTTTATCCCGGCCATTGGCCGGGTGAGTTTCATTTCATTGTGAATACGGGTTCTTTTTGTTCGGACAATTTTTTTTTTTTGTGATGATTGAGTGTATATCTTGCATTATTAATGATTTATCCTTTATGTATAATCATATGATTAATAAATTGGATAACAAATCAATGTTATAGGTTGAAGAATTGTATAATACAAATTTCTATAGTTGTTTCCCTGATGTCGCGATAAGACTATGTTAGATTGAATTTCACACATGGTGCTATATATTATGAACTCAAAATATACATTTGTAATTGTATACATAAAATTTATAAGTCTCATATTGACATTTATTAAACTCATTGTCATTTATCAAATTAAGAATAAAGTCAACTCATATTCATATTCACTAAAGTTGGAACAATCTCATGCTAATTTGGCTTCCTCATAGTCACAGTTCGCAAAAAAAAAGACAAATATATTCAGTAGGTTGGCATGATTTGCAAAAAATGGTCATTCCAATTGTCTCTTTTTCATGTTTCCTCTGCAATTTCAATCTTATTTCTTACTTGAATGTATTTAAACATATATCTTTGAACACATAATATGCATATCTTAAAATTACTACAACAGATCAAAGGAGCAAATATACATAATTAGCAACTTACATGGGAAAGTTCTTGAACAAAAATAGAAGTTTTGCCGTGGGGAACATTGGGCCATTGCCGGCTGCAAGAAGAAGGTATCGGCGGGATCAGACGGAGTATGGAGAGGAGTTCGCGTCGATGGTGTTATGGGGGACAGGGGAGGAAGTTGCCGTGGGGGAATATTGGGCTTTTGTCAGTTGCAAAAAGAAGATAGAAAGACGCGACGCTTAAGGGCAGAGGGAGGAAAGACGAAGAGATGGCCGCCGTTAGGGGAGTCGGTGGTTTTGCAACTATAAAAATAACATAATACGACGCGTAGGGTGGAGAAAGCAAGGTTAACATGGACACCATGGGCTTACGTGGACTGGGGTAAACCTAAAAACCATTGAAGTTTTTTTTTTTAATTTAAGATAATAATAAGATAATTGATCAAGGCCTGAGAAAATGCGGAAAAAAAAACAAAATCCGAAAGTTGCGGGGAACAGTTTGGTGAGAAAGCGCTTTATAGTATTTGTAGAATTGAATTTTTATCTTACAATACAGTTTGTACATATGCATTTTTTGTGCATGTTTATTTATTGTACAAATTGATTTTGCACCTTAAAGGTTATGTTATAAGTTTAATTTGTAACTCACATACCTATATAATATAGTATAATAAAAAAATTCTATAAAAAAAGATTGTAGTATAAATGCTTTGTTAGGCAAAATATCTCTACCGGACTAATAGTCTAATGGTTTTTTTTTTTTCAAAAAGAGCAAGATATGTGAAGTTCCAAAATATTTCACCATTATGACTATGATTAGTGGCGTAGCCAGACTTTAGATTTATTGGAGTCCTTAAAAGGATACTAATACTATCGCTTGTGTATTTAATGAACTTTGAATTGATTGGGGTTCTTATGCGAGCTAAGATCGAGGAGAATATGGGGTCCTAAACTTGAATGAACGATCAAAACCCTATGTTTCTAAAGAGTTTTGTTACCCAATTTTTGGCCAAGTGGGATCCTAGGACCCCTCTCCTTGACACTTCCCTCTGCCACTGACTATGATTATCTTGATATGTTTATCAATAACTCAAATTGTTGGGAGATGTACAGTTGTGGATCATATATCATTTACTAACAATACCAAAGCGTATCTCACTTTGTTTTTTCTTGATTTATGTGAAATATCGAAATGAGCTTATATTTTGAGCTAAATCTGTATTATCTACACATAATATAATACGCAGAAGGGAAAAACGGGAGCTCTATTTCAAATTTCCTGCAACGAGAGTGAAAGTAGGAAGGACATTTTAGTCTTCACAATTACTTTTTTTTATTCATTAAAAAGACATGTACTGGGATTCGAACCATGACCATTTTAAAGAAAAGCAAAGATCATAACCAATCACACTAAGTACATTTGTTGTATCTTTTTAAATTAAAAACATATAATAGCAGGGAGGGAAAAACCCTTTCCCCATTTCAAATTCCATGCTCGAGGAGCGTTTGTAGGAAGGGTAGAATAGGAAGTGTCAATTTTTTTCTCTTTCCTCTGCGGAACGGGCCAACTTACTGTACACATGCAAATTTAAACGGGCCCAGGAGTGTCAATTTTTTTCTTTAAACCTTTTTATTTCTCTGTGGTGACAAAATATATATGAAAAGGAGTTGAATGCATGGTATCTAATGAGCTAATCGCTAACCATAAAATAAAAGAGTTGAATGGGCCTGACCTACATGGGATTTGGCCATCAAGTGAAACAAATGAAGATCATTGGTTTGTCATTCTAAAACAAGCTATTTTCTCTGGCATAATATATATTGTGCTATTATTCTATATCTTAGTGGCTAAAATATAATGTATTTTAGAGTTATTCCATGGTTCAACCTCGACCAACCCAATTAGTTCAATTTTTATCATTTCAAATATATATTTTATAATTATTTGATATCATAATGATCAAATTATAGTGTATTTTATAGGGAATCGTTTGGTATTTGTTAGTAAAAAACTAAACATAAAAGATCTATTTAGTTATTTTAAACATTAAAACGATCCTAACTATTTTTAGTTCTTTTTGAATTTCTATTGTTTTATTCCCGAATAAGTGATGTGCAAATGGCGAATTGTAGTCGTCTCTTTTCTTTCACTATTTTTTATTTTCAAATAGAAAGTTTAAAAGTAAAGAATAATTAGAATTTGGCATGGGTCGGTCAAACAGGCTGAATTTCAAGTTTTGGCCCGTTTGTTTTATGCATTGCAAATTTATTAGCATGTTGATGGAAATGGCTTGGAAAAAGACATATAAGTTGTACCTTTGCAGAAATGTCCTCAAATGTTTGAATGCTTTGTGAATCACTTTTCGTGACTTTTGTGATGGTGTATGTGCTTGACGATTGCGATGTTGTAACTGCTTAATTTGAGAGTAAATCTTTTGATTTTCCCTATGAGTTGTGATACCAGTTCTGGTGGTTGCAACATGTTGTCGTTGTTGGCCTGTAAAAGTTGTTCCGCCGTGATGCTAAATACCTTTCTTTCTTTTTTAACAAATTGTGTAGTAGTGCTATGAAACAGACCACCCATGAACGCGACGCTTATTATGGTCTGTTCTTACTTCCGGTGGTGAGAAATTGTGAATTGAGAATCATATTCGCCTACCGCACTGTGTCTGGCTGGTGGTTGCTTACTGTGCTCTCTAGAGTTATGAAACAGACTACCCATGAACGTTACCCTTAAGAGTCCATAACTTTGCGAAAAACCAAATTTAGGCAATCAAAGGTGGTGGATGTGTGATGATTTTTTATGGCTTAATTGTTTGTGAATTGGATATCTGATCTTTGTATGATTAGAGGGGATGTTTGCTTAATAGAATAATCTATTTTAATTCATGTTTATTTTTAACATGAACTTTAGTAACTCAAAACCTTCGAGACACATATCACCTACTGCATTGTATCATTTTTCCTGGGTGCTTGTTGTGTTGTCAAACTTCTTTGCTGATGCTGCTTTTATACTAACAGGGGAGTTAAGAACCCATGAATGTTTCCGTTTGACACAAACAGGAGGACTTGCTTCTAAATCGTGCACTAAAGATGATTGGAGGAAACATTTCTGTTGCAGTTGATATACTGCAGACCAGAACAAAAGCAATGTATAACATCAAAACCAACCATATGAACTATTAGCATTGTTGCTTTACTATTTTTTCGTGGTTGAGTCTCCTTCAAAAAATTTAGTTTGATTTTAGAAAATTTTGCTTCTGCAGTCCTGTCTTGCCACCAACGCGTTCAGTAGATGGAGATGGCAGAGGCGAAGCCTATTTTTGTGTTGTTGTTGCTGGTTTAGGGATCGGTTTGTGAAGAAGAGAGAGAAGAGAGGGGGAAAGGGAAATGCAGGAGAGGGGGTAACTCTTTTCTCCGACAAAAATGGAGTGAAGAAAGGAATTATGATCAATAAGAATATGGTTATCTTACATAACGGTCTCTATTCTGTTTGAATTGAGCTTGGGAGGCAGTGATTAGGACGAGCTGCAACCAATTCATAGTGAGAAGAGAGCTATGAACTGTGATCATGTCTTATTTCAAGTTAGAAGGTAGTTTCAGTATAAGGATTATTTAATTTGACAAGTTGCTTCGTCCATGATTCTTGGTAGTTTCAGTGTCATTCTAGCCATTGTTTAGTCTGTAATTTTTGAGAATTGATGTGCGAGTAATGACTTTCGCTTAGCTTCAACTATTATGTGTGTCTTTATTGGCATGTGATAGAAATCTCTTTTCCTTTTCTTTGAATTCAGTTTCATACTCTAATTGTATCATTTGTACATAGGCAAATCATGCTCGAGATGACAACTCGCTAATATGGCTGGTGCAAGGAACGAAGCCATCATTAGAATTCAGACCGACAACAGGGAGGGATGCCCAGGACTAATTCAATGATGATTGATGATGGTATAATAAAGACTGGAGTCTGCATCAGCACCAATTTCAAGGCCTAAGTAAAGTTATTCAACCCAGAACTCTGCTTAGCGCTAAAAATTTCCCTCACCCAACCTTGATCCTGTTTGACCCACTTCTGAAGAGTCAAGATATATGACTAATCCTCTCCGTTCGTATTTTCTTATTGACTCTTTCCGACCCTTTAGGTTAGGACGGGTCGGGAGGAATCGGATTAGTGGGTCGGTCCTAATCAAGTGGAATCTCAATCCCTTCACTCTCACTTGCTTTCTCTCCCATTCCACAAGTGGGTAGCATACAGTAATCCGGCCAACGGGCCGGGTAATAAGCTAGTTTTTATTTATATAAGCAGTTTCGTTATTCTTATAGAAGCGAGAGAACCAAATACAACTAGTTTGACACGTCACTACTCACAGGACATGATCAAATGAACATCACTTAAAAAATCGATTTAACACAAATTATCAAGCACGAGGCACAAAACGATCTATTAATTACTGTCCAGCTAGTCCAGACGCATGAACCAAATGACTTTCAGTAATATCATTTTCATTTCACATATATGAGGCTAAGTTATAGTGACAAACAAGGCCACCTAGATCATAGCTACAGTTAGGGATGTCAGTCGGTCGGTTTTGGTTTAACCGAAAATCGATTTCTCGGTTATCGATTAAACCGAGACACTGACTGCGACTTCCGGCCACCGATCGTCTAGGAGCCTCGGTTAGTCGCAGACCGACCGATCGTTTTCGGTTTTGGCTCTGTTTAACTGGGCAACCGCAAAATGAAGGTCAGTTTGGATGTAAACGCCGATCTGACCGCTAACCGACTGACCTGGAAAAAAAAAGTAAAATTAACTCACCACCACAACGAAAACGAGGGTATCAGAATGACATATGCTTCATCTCTCTCTTTCCCCCTCTTTCTTCCTTTTCATACCTAATCAATAGCCCTTCTCTCCCTATCTCTCTCATCTCCTTATTTCTCTCTCCACCATAACCACTACTACTACCATAAAATTAAGATGAAAGGAAGAAAGCCAAGAGGCGGCGAGGCGACGAGGTGGAGGCGGCGACGAGCGCGCGGTTGGGCGGCGGCGAGGGTTGGAACGCGGCGGCGGCGAGGGTTGTCTGCGCTCTGCTGCGCTGCGTCGCCTGCGCGAGAAGGGGGAAGGGGTTGGTGGACAACGAAAGCCGAAGGAGAGGGTCTAGGGTTTGGGGGTCGTTGCGGGTTGTTTTGGAGTAAAGGGGAGAGGTCGGTTAGCCGGTTAACCACCGGTTTGCGAACCCGGTTAGTCGGCTAGCCGAACCTCATCCCCTCTCTTCCGACGATAAAAAGACACGGTTTTCGGAACCGAAAACCGGCCGGTGCGATTGAAATCGTCCGGTTAACTGCTAACCGAAACCGTTCTGCCACCCCTAGCTACAGTGAAGCTAATATCGTTGCAAACTACATGTTTAGTCTCATTTTGTTATTTTGGGCTTACACATATGCCCAATCTTGGTAATACTAATTTTGTCATTTTGGATCTAGCAAAAGAAAAATTGGGCTATTATATATGTCCACCAACAACCCAAGTTCTGATCTGTCGCTTTGGCCCGTTTCCAGCATATGACAATTTGGTACAAGTTTAGTTCGTACCTATATCTTTTTCGTATTTTTTTTGTGATACGAACTACAAATGGAATATGTACTTTGAACGCTATGATATAAAATTCAACTTGTACCCTATACTTTTTCATACAAAAACCTCTACAGTACAAATTAAACAAGCGTCTTTATTGTCATCGTACAAATTCAACTTCTACTCATACCTTTACATACAGGGGCGGAGCGTCTTTATTGTCATGGTACAAATTCAACTTCTACTCATACCTTTACATAATTACATACACGCAATTTATGCTACAAACCGAACTTGTACTTCTACCATTTTGGTACAATCTAATTTGTATATCGAAGCACCAATACTTCTAAGCACGGTAGTTGGACAACTATGCAACGAATTAATACACTCCTAACCCAGCAGAATGTCGGTGAAGGAGACAAGTACGCCCTTTTTTGCTTTTATTTCGTTATAATCTACCAACTTAGACCAAAACAAAACCCCACTATCGAAAATGATGTCAAAATGATCGAGTGGCGTTGTTTAATCAGCAGGGAAGATAATCGCGTTCCCACCACGATGTTCATGTTCTCATTTCGCAACCGGCTCTCCATACTGAATTTCGGACGCTTGCAGGCCATTGCAAGCAAGAAAGACAAATACCCGATTGTCCATTCAATGAGCTCCAACTGCTAAACACCAGAAACAAAACAGAGTGCCAGCTCCGTGCCTAAAGATGGCCGATTACCAGTCAGTCTTTGGCCGGGCCACGCCACCCTTCTTTGTTCCATACCCAATGAAAAGATTTACATCGCTCTTTCAGCCTCTGTCTTTTGCAACCATGTCACCATTTTTGTCTCCCATTAGTCGGCAAGAGAAGAAAACCGACACTCTGTTTTTTGTAGCCTTCTTCTCCAGAGTTTCAGAAGAACTCACTCAAATTTTCAAAAGATTCACATGATAGTCGACAAGTATAATGGAGGTTAGAAATATGATACTACAACAAGTTTTAAGAGCAAACTTTGGGTATTGGGGAGGAAGTTGATAAGTAAATTTATCATCTTATTATTTTTCGGCTATCAGTCAACGTATGCATGCACGTATTGAGCGAGAGCTAACGAGCTATAATCATTCGTTAGATTACATGTAGTCTTGCTTAAATGAGTCATAAGTGTGTATATCAAATGAAACCATCCAGTCACAAGGATCGCTAATAGGCTTAATCCTAACTTTGGGATACAAAGCTAGCACATTACAAAGTATATTCATTCCTTGCATAAAACTACTTTCGTAGTAGTTAATAACATTGTGGTAACAAAATTAAACGATAGAGAAGATGCTTGAGTAGTTGTCAATAGAATCTTTCCCTGCCGATTAGGATTTAGGAATACACGAACTAGTTAATGTCAAATGTCAATTTCAAAATTCCATTCATGTATACATCTAAAATTCTTTCCTTTGTTGTATTCTCACTAAAAGTAAAATTAAAAGAAAAATGTACAGAATGTGGCACATCAGTCATTACCCCTTGGCCTCCCTCAAATTTATGGAACAAAAAAAATGGCGGATGTCACACCGTTACTCTGTTTTCTCCTTCGTCGATTGTAAGAGAAACCAGAAACAAAGACAGGGCCGGCGGGGAATTATTTGATCAAAATCTTGGGAGCCTAACTAAGCCATCGAGCTATAGTCTTAATTCTAGCCAAATCATCAACAATGTGAGGAAGAAGAAGTAACGGCGTTCATGGCGGATTCTGAATCCACCATTCGGCAGCATTGGGAATGCATCAGGGAGCGGCATTTGACATTCCTCGCCGCCGAAGTAAACCCTCCTCGGCAAAGCCCATCCACTCATCAACGTGAACTCATCCAAATCCTTCTCCAGAATTATGTCCGTCGTCACAGAACCAAATCCCCCGCCGGCACCAGCTTCCGTTAACTCGCTGTTGTAGTACGGTAAACCCCAGAACAGAGCAACCTCATCTGCTCAGACCCACGCAGAATTTAGTTTCAGAATCAAGACTAGGCATTGTTAGTTAGTTTGAATCGGAAAGGAATCGATATTACCTTCGATTCCGACAGTTGGGAGGGTGGTGGTGTTGAAGCTGTAAGTGATCGCCTTCTTTGAAAACCCGGGGTGTTGGACTACCAAGTTCCAGTCGGAGTAGTTCCTCTGGAGATTGTAGTTCGAGATGGTGAGTTTCACCCTCCAGTATCGCATGTAATTGTTCTTCACGTGCCAGTGGATTCGAACAGGGCACATGTGATCCGTACACTGCAACTTCTCCACGCCATTTCCGCCCAACGAAGAACTCTGGCTGGTGAATTACATAACAAAATGGTGTTAGAATGAGCTCCATCTCTCTCTCTCTCTCGTGGTTTTGAAACAGGGGAAGCTTACTTACAGCATTTTACCTTGAACAAGAAACTCCATCGGAGGCAGAGTCTCTGCATCCGCAGCTGCATTTCGGGCAGTCGGTGATCTGTTGGCTGTAGAATGTTGACAGAGATACGCAGCAAACGGGCGCTTTGTTTGCTAGGAAGCTCGAGTAAGTGCAAACTGATTTCATCGTCCCTGGAAGAAAATAACAACAGAGAAATGAGGGAAAAACAGAGCATTTCAGGGTTTCTTGTAAAACAGCGGAGGAAGAAAAATTGAATAAAAATGAAAACTTTGATTCGGGAACTTACTGAAAGCTCTGATCTTTCTTCTGCCACCGTAATCAAGAAATACGGTGGGTTCAGTATCCTGAACCGGGCCGCAGGTGTATCCTGGCCCTGGAGCGAAGAGAGTGAGATTGGCAGGTGGGTGGCTGGTATTGGCTGGGAGATTCCCAACTGTGATTTCGAATGCAGAGAATGATAATGGAGGATCAATTGCCCAGGCTGAGATCACTCCGCTGCGGCAGCATCCCTCGACGGTGGCTCCTTCGGCACCGGGCCATAGGTCGGCGATGAGAGGGTTTTGCTTGCAGCAGTGTGGCTTCTGGGCAGCGAAGTTCTTGCAGTCCCCTGAATCGGTGGCGTATGCGCCTGCCATTTTCAGGATGATCTCTTGGTTCGCCCATCCCCAGCCAATCTGCCACCCTGGCTTCTCGACGTGGCGGTACTGATAGAAATTTCTGATCGTCACCCTTGCAACATAGCCTCCATTTTGCGGGTAATCAAGGACATCGAAGGTCACTGTGATGTTGCCGTTAGGATCCAAAGGGTCGAAGCAATCTGCAAGAAAGTAACAACCATCAAAGCTTTTGATCATCAGGAAACTGAAAGATGTTAAAATTGAAGAGTGAGGGAGAGAGATAGAAAGGGGTTTAATACCTGATAGAGTGCAGAAAGCCATCAGAATCATTAGCTTCAATGCAAATGACCTTACAGAAATCTGCAACTGTTTCATTCTTCTCTTCTGGAGAAAACAGAGAGGGTTTGGGAAAACAGAGGAAAGTGGGGGAAAAAGGGGAAAAGAGAACGCCAACTCTCTCCTCTCTCCCCCCTTGTTTCTGGAGGCAGATTAGAGTTCCCAATGGAAATGGAATAAGTAAGAATATTATTGATGTGATGTGGGTTTAGTTCAAAGCTTATAGTCATTGAAAGAATCAAAACCTGAAAGTTGCAGTTTGCAAGAGTCCAAACTCTTCGGTCTTCTGTTATTTGATACAGTTGTTTTCTTTTTGGATATCCAACTATATTATTGTGGTGGAAGAGCAGCAAACACTCGTCAGCTGGTAAGGCTCTTTCATGTTTGTCTGTGTGCCTTTCTCAGGGATCAAAGCGGCGATCTTTCTTATTCCTTTCTTACCTTCTTTGTAATTGACGACCCTCCAATCACACACACTTGTTCTGGCAGCATTCACGTTTATCCTGAAGCTAATAAGTGGACTGATGACGTTAGATAATCCGCTACAAAGTTTACCGCTCTGTAAATTGCAGTAATTCGGAGCTACAAGGATAACCTCAAAGCCTATCATCGCTGTTTCAATCGACACCTCCTGTAAATCCCTAACCTTTACCTACCTAGTCTTGTGCATCTTGTACACAATCCAACTAATCGCTGAGTAGGATGAATCGTCAACAGGGCTCGACTCAATCGGCCTAATTTCCCAAAACGGGCCATCATGCTTCGACTTCTGGCCGAAACTGCCATACATGGGATGCCCCTCATGAACCCGAATGTGGGTCTGGGAATAAGCAGCAGCAGCTTCCGCAAATGGAGGAAGAGAGCGAGCTGTGGTCTTCAGCTTAAATGTGAATGGCGCCATGAGAGACTCCCAGTCAGCAGAACAAGTAGGCACATTTTTCAGCTTCTGCTTATTAGCCTCACACGAAGACATCACACAAACGATCTGGTTAGACACCAAGCCTTCATCAACGCTGCAATCCGCTAGAGTACCAGACCCATCAAAGAATTCAGCAGCAGTTTCAGCTACTCCCTTCACCTGGTTAAACCATGCCATTTTATGTTCCATCCCCATAAACGCCCAAATGTTTGTGAGGTCATCGTCAGCTGACATTTTTGGAAAGCCAAACTTACCGAAGCGTTCAGCAAACGCTTCGTTGAGCTTCTGATCGGCCTCACAGGGATACTGGAGTCCAGGGGTAACAAGACTCCACTTCTCAAGCTCAGTTCTCTCGGCACTAGAAGCCGGGAAAATGTGGTGACCGAATGTCGTCGGTGACTCCCCCTCAGCTGGAACAGGACAATGCTTGCCTAGCTTAGGGTAAATGGGCTCCAATTTGGCATTAACGAGTGAATTGAGGTGATGAAGCAGTGCGAAAATCCCCGGGACATTAGGAAGGAAGTGGTTAGCTATGGCTTTCGAGACGAACTTGCTTCGCTTCTTGGGGCCCGGATGGGTTGGGAGGCGAGGGTAGACTGTGCCGTAGCTTTTGATCTCTGGCTGGGAACAGCATAGGGTTTTGAAGAGGACCAGGAGAGGCCCGGGAATGGGTAAGGTCTCGAGCGGGTGGAAGGACAGGAAGCTTGTAAGGAACTGGTGGTGTTCGATGGGGATTGCGGCGACATTGTTGCCTGCTCGCAAGCATTGGATCCAGAAGATGATGCCGAAATACAAGCGCAGAATGTAGGGGTGGTAGTTGGGGGATGCGCGCTTGAAGTAGAAGTTGTCGGCCAGGGCCCTGTTTATGCAGTGGACGATGTAGTCCATCATCAGACATGAAGGAGTGTAGGATGAGAGATTCAGGCGATTCGGGTATATGATTTTGGGGCTGACAAATCCATGGAGGAGGAGGGAGGAGCTAGGGTTTTCGTTCTTGGCCTTTGATTCATCATCAACTTTCTGCTTCTTCATCGTGACTAGAGTCTAGACATTGAAATGAAGCCATAGTTAGTCAAATACAACAAGCATCAAGCTACATAATACGTTCATCATCGTCGTAATTAGACACCGAACCATAGTACCAATGCAGTTAAGGTGCAGAAAAATTCCCGTTCATTTGCAGTATACAAACGCGATTAGAAAGCCAACTGAGTGACATCTTCCAATCTAAGACGCCAGCACATGGACTATAGCAGAAAAATTACTTCTAGTGTATGAATGCAAACATCTAATGCAGTAGCAATGAGCTTAGAAGCTAAACCCTGAATGCTATAAAGGTTGGAATACGTTCTTACAGCAGGTTGCTATATAGAGGATTGATGGTTGTATAAATGGAAAACCCTAGCAGAAAACCGGCAGAATCGAAGGTTGGTCGATGAAAACCTTTAGGAATCGGGGGAGTCTTTGACAACAGAACACCGGCGACCGGCGGGAAAAATGGCACTTACGGCGGCAAGGCTAAGTTGGCGACTCTGCAGCTTCGACAGACTGAAAGAAGATGAACAGATTCTCTGCTGTTTCTTCCCCTCCACCACTCTGTTTCAGTGTTTTGGAAGTGTGGCGAGAAGATACGTCGAGGGAAACAAAAAAAAGTAAGGCTATTACTAATTAGTCACTAAACTTTAATGTTTTGACATAGTCATCATTGAAGTTTTGAATGCAGTCAATTTGTTTAGGGGTCGTTTGGATGAGTTATTCTGAGTTATTTGGGTGCAAATAACCCGTTTGTCTACAAAAGTTGATCGTGAGTTATTTGTACTTGAGTTAATTTGAAATAACTCATTAATGAGTTATTGTCAATACCTCATAGAGAGTAGTTATTGTGAAATAATTCACAAATACCACATTCTCATTTTGTGAGGAATTCCACTTTTATATTAACTCGTTACACAACAACTCATCCAAACGATCCCTTAATCTTTTATCAAAAACTTTACAAGGTGCTCGGAACCATTTGATAAATGGTTGGTCCCTTTGAACCATTTGATAAATTTGGAACTATAGAATAAAAAAGTTGAGAGCCAATTTTTCCACGTATTTGGGATACGAATAATCACGGTTGAAGGTCTCGATTACACTATGTGCTTATTGCAATACTAGCTCGAAACTCAGTCTAGCGTAAAGTCAAAGTCCATCCATGAACATCGCAAGGCTGAGGATTTTCCAGTTGCTATCACATCCTTCACATATTGACCATTTCTCTTATTTCACTACGATTCTCTCCTACTTCACATATATCTACCACCGTATCGCTAATTTGAACAACAAAGCGTAAATTACCCGAACCGTCTTGACTCACCACCTATGTCTTTCAGTGAATCCAAACTGAAACCCAAACATAATTGTTAGCTATCTGGTCCAACAATTTTGGTGGAAACAGTTAGTTTCCCTCGTCTGGCCCACCTCCACTCTTCTTACTCTACCAGCAATATGCAGTACAAAGAAATGTCGGCTGGGAACAGCTTGTATTTCAGTTTAAGAACCTAACGTCCGCATATCTTTTGTTTCCCTAAACAAACTAAACAACAAATCATCAACTCCATTCTCCTGTTTGGTCACTCCAGAAAACTTCAACTAGACAAAAAACTTAAGCAGCAGTTAGAGCACTGGGATCGGTATATGAACTGTCAGAATATGTGCTAAATATAATTCTGGCTAATAATCTCTCAACAAGTTAATACAAAAGTCAACTGAGCCAAAAGTTTGCATAGATGTATGTATACAAGATGGACCAATAATTTAATGTTTCTACCAAATCCTTCATCAATTGGACTACACTGGTGGTTGAGATACATAATCCAACTTCAGTTCATGGGTAACTTTCACTTAGTACATATCATTATTTGGTCTACAATTACTTTATCCCAGTAGTGACACCTGACAATCAACGCGTACTGATACCACTAGATTGTTGTCTTGCATGCGTTTATCATTGTTGGATTGGATGTGATAATATATTTTCTTATATCGATCCCATGACCACAAACATGTGTGAAGGTGATCTAATGGCATCGGCAAATGCTGGAACCCTACCCGCATCAACATAGTAGAGAGATTGAAAATCACTTAAACTCAAACCAATTTTGATACTGCGAGAACACGCTTACAGCATCCTACATCCGTCCGATTGGGGGTGATGCTTTTCATTCGAAAGCTGCGGATCATCCACCTCGATCCAACGAACACAAAACGCTATGAGCAAGTTCTCACATAGGTCCAATGAGCACCATAACCGGGGTTGATACTCTAACAACCCAGGCTAGACAAAATTACAACAGAAGAATCAACAACCAAATCCCTTCCGATCCCATATCATATTCACCAATCCAATTTTAGCTAATTCCACCAGACAGTACAATCTCCCCCACTCTCGTCATTTTCCCCTCCACAAACAAAATGAAATGAAAATGCAGCTGAAATTCATGCATTTGAACTCACTGATGTAAAGCTTACATCTGAAAAACAGATACACGTAGAGTAAAGAGGGGAAAGATAAAAAGAGTGGTCACGAACGACAAGCCAGAGCTAATAAATGGCCGTGGCAGTGTGGAAGGTAAAGCCAGCCGATAATGCGGGTTCGATGCAAAAGAAAGATACAGATACTGATAAATTTGGGTAGTTGGGAGCAGATACTGGTGAAAGTTATGACATGGGCTAGCCCTGCTTTTCTGCTTTGCTCTCTCACAAAAAAAATGTTCATTCATTATCTTCTCAAACAGTCTATATATCAGCTACTTCTTCGTGGAAAGAGGAGAGTGAAGAAGGAAACCAGAGAAAAGGGCAGAAGAAATGGCTGGAAATGGGATTGGTGGTGATGAAGAAACTGGCTATGGCGGGAACAGAGTCCAGCCTCTTGCCTCTACACCAAAGCAAGGCTCTTTTGTTGATTATCTCTCACTTCATTTCCATGGTTTTGCAGAGTGTTCTTTGGACGTTATTTATCATAACTTTTTTTGGGTTGGATTTTGTTGCAGGCAGGAGGATGGAGGACTCCATGGCAGGAAGAAGCCCAAATCCTCTGGATTCAGGGGAGTGTTAGCCTTGGATGAACTTGTTTCTCTTAAGGTTAGGGTTCATCAACTTCCTTTATCGTCATTTACGAATTAAGTATGAATTATATGTCATTTTGGGAAAGTAACTATGAATTCTTAACTTTAGACATAAACGTCAGCAAAGTTAAAAGTATGTTCTGATTGACTATTTACGTAACATATAGGGTTAACGAAGTATATTGTAAAGTTTAAACATGCGCATTCACTAATTTAACTATTTACGTGACATCTAGGTTAATGAATTATGTTGATTCACTAACTGTTTCGACCCTATAATTTGACGATTCAAAACAAAGTAATCTAAATAGTGAACAGAGGAAAATAAGTATTTCAAAAATTATGGGCTAAATTAGTCAGGTTGATTTAAGGTGCTAATTCCTTGTCTTACTTTAGGTATGGCGAGCCTCGGTGGCGGAGCTTATCGGCACGGCGGTGCTCGTCTTCGCAATGGACACCATCGTCATTTCATCCTACCACACCAAGACCGAGACGCCAAACCTGGTAATGTCGGTCGTCATCGGCGTCACCGTCACAATTCTCCTCCTCGCCACCTTCCCGATCTCCGGCGGCCACCTGAACCCGGTCATCACCGTCGCCGCCATGTTCACGGGCCTGGTTTCCGTTTCCCGGTCCGCCATCTACATCGCGGCCCAATGCGCGGGGGCCATACTGGGCGCCCTGGCCCTGAAAGCCGTGGTGGGCCGCACCATCGAGGACACGTTTTCGCTCGGCGGCTGCACGCTGAACGTCGTCGCTCCGGGCCCAAGCGGGCCCGTTGTGGTTGGGCTCGAGACGGCGCAGGCCTTGTGGCTGGAGATCATCTGCACCTTCATATTTCTGTACGCGTCCATATGGATGGCGTTCGACGGGCGCCAGGCCAGGGCTCTGGGCCGGGTCGTCGTGTTCTCGATCATTGGACTTGTGGTGGGCCTCGTTGTTTTCATTTCGACGGCGGTGACGGCGACGAAGGGCTATGCTGGGGTTGGGATGAACCCGGCGAGGTGTTTGGGCCCAGCTGTTGTGAGGGGAGGCCATCTGTGGGAAGGGCATTGGATCTTTTGGGCCGGGCCGGGTATTGCGTGTTTGGCCTTTTCTATTTACACGAGAATCATTCCCAAAGAAAATCTTTATGGGTAGAGAGAAGAAGCCTTGAAGATTTTATCAAAAAACAACAATGACTTTTCATTAGAGAGGGCACAAGACCTTTGGTTTTGGTTCCATGTTATTTCTCTTCTGCTATGCGACCTTTGTGTTATAAACTGTATAAGTATGTATTATGAATAAGTTTGTAACATAACTCTCATTGTTCTTGATGTCTTTCAAGTGTTTAAATTTGATGATGATTGTGTAATAGATGTGAAATGGCTCTACTTCTTGCTGACTAAAAATTCTAATACTTCGCTCTTAGCAGTCGACTTAGCAATGGTATATGAGATTGATAGATTTGTGGTGTCAGTTTTCAGTATTGTTGGCAAATCGTCATTGGAAAAACTCGTGAAAATATTAAGTTTGGCTCGATAGGTCTACAGGACGAACATTGTCTCTGAATTCAAAGACATCAGAAGATATTTTGATGGATACTAATGAAATGCCCGAAGCGTAAACACAAGTTTTGTGCTTGGACAAGAAAGATATTATAGGAGTGTCCAGGGCTGAGTCCCGGGATTTGACGACGGACTTAAAAGCCACCTACAGACGCATTACACCCAATCTTCCGGATAACGCTTGCATCCTCTGTATTATCGCGACTGGCCGACTGCTGACATAGAGTTAGCCGATGCTTATTCTCAGATACCGTCATTGTTTCTTGAAGTCAAGGATGGGAGCCCCAATTGCACGGATGTGCTGACTCCTACCCAACGTAATTGAGACTCTGTTCATATGTGCTTCTTATAATTGAAGTCATTCAAAAGAACAAATTGTCGTTATACAGTGTCAAAATGGTTGAAATAAAAAGTCGTCTATCCCAATAGCAATTGATTTAATTATAGAGACCTAGCATGCATATCTAAACATATTTGGCCCATCTATAATAAAGAAATGATATGAGAGCTATTATTCTACGTATGCAAACAATTCTAGATATTTGAGCGTTATGCTCTGTGTAGAAAATAGATGGAAGAATCACATATCCGAAATTATTGCACAAGCAAAGTTGACTGAAACTGATCCTCCGCTGCAATCAATATATATATATCACAGACGAAAACAAAAACCTCGAGTGATGGGCATTTGAAGAGATAATGTCTCTATACACGTAGAAAAATTTATATCCACCCACCAGAAGCCTTGAAAGATGATAGATCTAAGTCAAATCTTCAGATTATGTATGATTGATCAACAGATAAGTGATGATTGAACAAGTAAATTCACTAGTCATCGCAGTATATCGGATTAAAACACGAAACTTATTCTAGGAAGTCTTAACGTATCAATAATTTGATTACAATTGTTTTGAGACGGATGAGCTCAATATACTTCTCAGAGAGTAAAAGTAAATTATTTTTGTTGGGTGGTCTGCATGGTTGATACTTGTATTGATCTGGACTAGTGGTTCCATATATGTGCATCATATATACATGAGCCAATGAGATAAGTCAAGCTGTGAAATATTATTTTTTTTATTATGAAGTTAATGGGAAAAAAATTCTCGAAATCATACTAGTGATCAATTTATCAATATCTGTTTGATTGTATACAATAAAAAAAAAAATTCGAGTTGCAGAATAATCGGTAATGTATTTTACAATCCTTTCAAATTTCCATAATCCCATACTGTTTTAAATAATTGGGTTCTGATTTCGATTTTTATATTTTTTTTTAATTTATCAATTATTGTTATTTAGTTTTCATCAATCTACACACCTCTCCACAAATTATGAATCGTTCAGCAATGGATAAAAAGGTCAGCAACGTAATAATTCTTCCGGATAATACGGATGAGATGATTGTATGCATACATGTAGACTGGAGATGTGAAGGAACGGATTTTTAAGGCGAAAAAACCAAGAGAAAATGGTAGAAGGTGGAGCCTTCTCTTCTTTGTTCGTGGGTCGATGTCATGTGGAAAGCGAGGAGCAATATTAAACTCTCCATATATTCAATGGGAATAAAATCTATTAAACTAACCTGCAAAATCAACCACTGCTAGCTAACCATATCTCACATTTAATTCCCTGTTCATCATCATCAAACAATAATACACATTTGACATTTCCCACTTTGCTCCTCGTTCACAGGAAGCTCATAATTAACTTGTCTATATAAGCAAAGCGGCTTCAAGATGGAAGCCCATCACCAAAGAGACAGAGAGAGCTAGAATATGGCGGGTATAGATGAAGAAAGTCAGTGTGGCTGCAAAAATGGCGTCCTGCCCTTTTCCACCACACCAATGCAAGTCTCCTTTTTACTCTGCATATATACCCTTCACTGCTCGAATCTTGTTTCTCCTCTCTCTCTCTGTAATCAGTCCTCTGATGAGTAGTTATTGCCATTTGCCAGGCCACTGCTGAAATCTGAGAAAGAGGAGATGAAGCAGCTGGATAAAGCCATGTCGCTCCAATCCTTGCTTGGACTGCAAGATCTCTTCTCCTTGAATGTATGAACTCATCACTTGCCTTTTACGATACATATTTGGTCTCACTGATTTGAGTACTGCTGGAAGATAGTTTTATCCAAGTCCAAGTGTTAAATGGTATATTCCATGCCATTTTACAAATTTGTATGCTTTAGGTTTTAACAAATGTGTCTTCGTGTCGTGTTACTTACGAGTTACGAGGATGAATCGAAGTTGCGTCCAAAATTAGTCACACTTAATCAGGACCGGTTTATGGTTAGTATTCATGTTCTAAATGACCCGCATGCATCATGATTGTTGAAAATTTATGTTTCGATTATCAATCTTGCTCCTGCTGAAAGCATCTAAGATTACCTAATGAGACCTGGTTGAAGAGTAAAAAATGAATTATACCACGCATAATATATGGGTGATTAACAATGTTTATATCTACCAATCATATTAATTCCATATTTGAACGAGATTTTCAACATATATAGATTTTCAACATATATAGAATCTGGAATCATATAAACAACACCATGACAGTTACTTAAAATTCATAGGAGGGCCAACATTTGTTGAAATAGCATACAAAATTTTGAACATTTTTGCTATGCTTTAAAGCATTGGTACTGTAAATAATTTTCTTTTTTGTTCGAATCTGATTAGGTGTGGAGAGCCGCCGTAGCAGAGCTCGTCGGCACGGCGGCGTTCGTGTTCTGCATCGACGTCATCGTGATCTCAACCCTGGAATCACAGACCACCATGCCAAACCTCGTACTCTCAGCTCTCGTCGCCTTCATCATCCCGATCCTCCTGATCGCCACCTTCCCGATCTCCGGCGGCCACATCAACCCGCTCGTCACATTCGCCGCCTTCCTTGTGGGCCTGACCTCCCTCTCCAAGGCCCTGATCTACATCCTGGCCCAATGCCTCGGCGGCATCCTCGGGGCCCTGGCCCTCAAGGCCGTGGTCAACGGCGGGATCGAGAAGACGTTCTCGCTGGGAGGCTGCACCGTCAACGTCGTCACGCCGGGGCCCAATGGGCCGATTACTACTGGGCTTGGAACCAGCCAGGCCCTTTGGCTGGAGATAATTTGTGGGTTTATTTTCTTGTTTGCTTCGGTTTGGATGGCGTTTGATGGGCGGCAGGTTAGGGCCTTGGGCCGGGTGACGGTGTGTGTGATTATTGGGGTAGTTTTGGGGGTTCTGGTTTTTGCTTCGACGACGGTGACGGCGACGAAAGGGTACGCCGGAGCTGGGTTTAATCCGGCGAGGTGCTTGGGCCCGGCGATTGTTAGAGGCGGGCATCTTTGGGATGGGCACTGGGTGTTCTGGATTGGGCCTGCTGTTGCTGCTGTGGCGTTTGCTTTGTACGTCAAAATTATTCCTCGGGAGCATTTCCATGAAATAGAGTGAGTCAGAAAAAGTGAGAGCCAAAGAGGCAACCAAAACAAGGTTGTAAAGTTGTTTATTTAGCATTACTGTCCTTTTTCCTTGCGGCAAATTATTATGTTCTTGATACCAGGAAAAAATCCCAAGTTACACATGTTTTTAAAAAAAATTCACAAAATACACATGTTATGAAAATAATTCCCAATCTACACATGTTTGGGCCTTCACCGCGTCAGAGAAGGGCGGTGATTGCTTCACCGCGTGAGAGCAAAACGGTGATTGCTTCACCGTGGGAGAGCAAAACGGTGACAGCTTCACCGTGGGAGAGCAAAACGGTGACAGCTTCACCGTGGGAGAGCAAAACGGTGATTGCTTCACCGCGTGAGAGCAAAACAGTGAAGCACTGAACTGCGTCCAAACTTTAAAACAACGTAACTTTGTGCTCGGTTATCCGATCGTAGCGAATTTTTTTTTGATTCCGCATAATTTTTCGAGATCTTGCAAGCCGCAAACCGCCGGATTCGTCTCGAAAAAATGTCGTTTGCTACCCCGAACGACCCTTTTTTCGATTTCGTCAAACTTTGAACGACCATAACTTTGTGCTCCACAATCCAAAAATCATGAATTTTTTTTTGATTCCGCATAACTTTTTAAGGACTACAATTTTTATCATAGACATAATTTCGGAATGCACTTGGATTCATGAAAAGGGAAGGTAAAGTTATTCCCAAAACCTCTTATATCCATAAATAATTCATTTTTTGAAAATTCTCTCCTACTAAAAATTGTAGTCCTTAAAAAGTTATGCGGAATCAAAAACAAATTCATGATTTTTGGATTGTGGAGCACAAAGTTATGGTCGTTCAAAGTTTGACGAAATCGAAAAAAGGGTCGTTCGGGGTAGCAAACGACATTTTTTCGAGACGAAGGCGGGACCAAACCGCCTCCGGCTGTTTGCGGCTTGCAAGATCTCGAAAAATTATGCGGAATCAAAAAAAAATTCGCTACGATCGGATAACCGAGCACAAAGTTACGTTGTTTTAAAGTTTGGACGCAGTTCAGTGCTTCACCGTTTTTCTCTCACGCGGTGAAGCAATCACCGTTTTAGTTTGAAACGGTGAATACATCACCGTTTCAGTCAAAAGCGGTGATGACCTTCACCGCTTTTGTCTAAAACGGTGATGCTCAAACATGTGTACTTTTGGAATTTTTATTATAACTTATGTATTTTGGGAATTTTTTTTAAGAACTAGTGTACTTTGGGATTTTTTCCCAGATACCGTTGCGGAAAGTTTGCTAACTACGGTCAATCCTGAGTAACATGGAAACAATGATCAATCTCTTTCGAAAAATGATAGATTAGGTGACACATTTATTTTGTTACAACGGGATTTCATAACTAATAAAAGAAGAAAAAAAATGATCTATAGATTGTCTATTAACTTATCAATGTTGGAACGAAATCTCACCATTAGAAAAGCTACCGTACATAACAAGGACGCGAGAGAACCATTTAACCAAATTAATATCATCATCTATGGCAAACAAAAAAGGTTAAGATCAACGCGAACCCCTAAAAATAACCATCTACGTTATCACCGGCAAAAATCGTGCAAACAAATCCCATAATTTAATCATCAAATTTTACTAGTTAATATTTTTCTACTAATATATGACTTCGTCTTGTTAGCTAATTCAATCGTGTTTAATCCTAAATTTTCCCGATCATTACAAAAATTCAGGACGATAATAAGATTAGCGAAAAGATAATTGGTAATTGTAGCCATATCCATCGATGGATTGGTGCTTCAGGGGTTTAGTGGAAAATGTTGGTTTTTGAAACTGGATTTTTGGGTCGAACTTGGAAGCTCTGAAGGTAAGGTATTGTGACACTTTGATTTTTTCCGTCTCAATTTATAGGTTTGAATTCTTTGGATTCGTTTACTAGGGAGAAATACAGGAGTGGTAAGTTTGTGCATATATGTGGTAAATTGGTATTCCTCATTTTGCAAAAACCATTTGCGGAAATAAGCAATAGATGATAACAAAAATTTCATAAAGAAAAGAAATGCAAGAAAGGAATACATAACCAGAACACAACCATCTTTCAAAGCCTCCATCTTTACAGGAAAACATTTCATCCATGGAATGAGTAGCACAAGCTTTTGGTGTTTTAGTACACCAACCAAAATGACACATTACAGCAGCAAGTGGTGAAGAACTCTCTGTGTCTGGTCATTGATCCATTCCAGAGTAACACCAGAAACAGCGGTTCTATCAATTTTTTTTTTCTCTTCTTTCCCCTTCATATTTTATTATTAGTATCACTATTTCAGACTCCAGATACGCAGTTTAAAACTGTTGATGGAGAACTAGGAAGCTGGCTGAAAAACTGTGGAGGCAGAGGCGATGGGTTCATGGACAACAGAGTTTGAAGAGACTGAGATTGGATTCCCTTCCAATTGCAACATCATACTTCCCAGCATTTCAGCCACCACCTTCCTGAACTCATCCTCCTTCAGCTGCTTCCCGTCGTCAGCATTCACCATCTTGAATGCCTCGTTCAGCACCTGATCCATCTGGTGGCAAATTTCAGGCGCCAAAATTACGTTAGTATGTATGTTACACCAACTTCTGCAGCTGAAGCGAGTTTACAAGAGAAATGTTACCTCTTCGATTGCACCAATTGGTGGTAGACCAGCTGATGGAGAAACTGAATCAAGTGTCATCCGCAAGTGCTCTTTAGATATCTTCCCATTCCTATCCCTTGGCACATTTTCTAGCGTTGAGTTCAGCATCTACATGAATTAAAGGAGAAAAATGGACATCCTGCGGAGTTGCGCGAAGAGCAAGGCGATGTATGGTAAAAAGCGACTGCTAATCTACCTTGTCTAGTTCAAACTTGTTGGATAGAAGTCTCCTAATCCCACTTCCATCAAAAGTGTTCTCAGTGTGTGCAACGATGACAGGCTGCTCTTTCAGACGTTGAGCCACACATTCAGCTGCTTTCTTGAATTCAGATAAGAATGCCTCCTGAGAAGCAACGGGTTTGTCCTGTTCTTGGTCAGCAATTGATTGCAATGATGGCTCCAGTATGTTGATTACCACCTGTCATATTGACATGTCATCCCATTCACTAATATAGATGATGATGATAACAAGTGGAACGATGAGATAATTGGTGCCAACAGCCTTACCCAAGAATCTGAGCAGGGAGGTATCCCCTGATCGACTGTAAGTTTCTGGAAGACTTTGACTATGCAATCATGGAGTGAACAAGCATCAGGTGATTCCAACTCTGAGAAGATTGAAATCATCTCTGGTTCATAACCTGGTCCATTGATGAACTCCAACAGGTCTTCTCCATCGATACGGAGTATCACCACAGGGTCTCTCTTCAAACCTGCAGCCATGCCTATCAGAATATCTGACAGAACCTCTTTAAACTCGGTCTTGCTCACTTTCTCTTGCTTTCCATGGGTGAACTCATTTAGAACCTACAGAATCAAGTAAAAGAGAAGATTTGAGTGATCTAATGGAGGAAGAAACACACACAGAAGCTTGTCAAATAAGCATGTGCAGAACTGCAAATATATTGGAAAAGCTTACATCTTTCCAGTGATCATGTATCGTGATCGTCCTAGAGACATGACACATGCAAAAGAAGGTACTCTTCTAGACTTATACTCACATAAACATTGTACCTCTTAAAGAAAGTTTAGTACCCAGGAACTCAAAAGTATTTAACTATTTATCAGCTTCAAATGCTGGCACGCGCAGCAATGGGATTTTGAGTGTGGACAAAGGAACAAAGGGACAATTATATCTTTATCTTCAATAAACCAAATGGCCCATCCACTATGTAAGACATTCAAACGAGGGAGACCTGCCACGAAGTTTTGGGATTCCTAAAATTCCAAAACTTCTTTAGTACATTGGTGGTCCTTGTTCTATCTTAACCTGTAATTTATAGTGTCCAAGGAAAAAGGCACGATGTTTAACATGTTAGGTACCAAAACCTTATCACTTTCTCACCAAGCAACTTCTTGGAAAACAGGGTATACTTGTAGTATCGGGTCTCCCTACTGAGCCTTCATGAAAACAGGTAGGCCAAAGCCATTCGATCTCCTCATCGCCATCACCAGAAATGATGGCAATTGACTTTATTGGTACATAGTGAAGGGGAAAGAGCAACAATTTGGCTACAACTTTCGGCCTTAGATTCCACCTTACAGTCACAGGTAAAGATGAAAAGCCAAAAGGGAAAAGGAGGTATGGCCAAGATAAAAGGTGCGTGTAGGTGGGGGAAAAGATGAAATCCAAGTCCAGATTTTTTTAAACAAACACACCGGCCAGGTTTGAAAAATTAGAGTTGGGCCGGCTGGTAGTTTCTGGATGTAGCCGGAAGAGGGAATGAATCCGGCATGGAACTGCCAACCCACAAGGCCACCACTTCAAACAAGGAAAGGTTAGCTAATGACGATTGTATGTGAATTCAACACAAAACAGCTAACGTGATTGGATGGATTTGTTGTTGTTTAATCACTTCATTAAGCTGGGAATAAAATAACGAGACGGTATCAAAATTCAAAAGCGGTGGAAGTCAAAATCACACGTAATTTCTCCTAACTTATCTAAAGTCTCAATCAACACTGGATTGAAGCCAACCATGGTAACTCTTTATTCCCCAATTGCCACCCACTCCCCAAACTTCTGGGTACACGACAGGGTGATACCACTCCACCACTTGATACATCAAAGCGAAGCAATTAAGCATCGGTGTTTGTTACTCTAAAATTTAACCGGGGCTTCTCACAAGCATATCATCAAACAGTTTGTCGACAAAACAATAACAAGCTACCTAGCCAAATACACGACGACCCAGAAAGGATAGAGCTGAGAACAAGCAAACCCAGAAGGGGATTTAGTGGACTGACCTCGGAGTAGATGAGATCCGAGTCAGGGGAAGAGCCTTGAGCAGGCAAGCCAAGTGCAGCGCCAATATCAGCGACAGCAGGGTGGAGCTCTTTGACGGAGAGTTGGCCGTCTCTGTCTCTGTCAAGTTCAGAGAACTTATGATCGACGAAGCTGCTAAACACTTTCTCGTTCCCAACCAACTCCATTATATCCGAACCGTCCAGCACCTGCCCATGGTTATGATTATGATTATGACCATGATGATGAGACTGAGTGGCCCCTGCAGTAGCAGTGCTGAAACCTGTGTCCATAATAAATGTCTCTTCTTTCCTTCTTCCCACCCCTTTTCGGCGCTTTTTATCTGAAACCCACTCTCCGTCTTTGTTTTTCTTGTGATGGGTTTCTTTGCCTTGGTTGGAATATTGATGGGTATGCTTGCTTTTAGTGGTGGTGGCGAGCTCGTGAGCCACACGGGGGAAAGAAGAAAAGGGGCCGGGCAGAGAACTGGAGAAGTGCCTGGCTATCTTTTTTGGTTGATGTGTTCTATCAATGGCTGCTTCGGCTGGTTGGGGTTGAGCGAAGGAGGGGACACTCTTAAATATGCAGGCGAGGGAAAAGGGGGAAGTGGCAGAGTGCAAAGTGGAGACAGAGGAACGAGTTATGAGATGCAGAGCAAAGGGGAGGTGGAGACTGGGAGAGTGAGACACGTCTGCTGTCACTTTCCAAGCACGTTTGTTTAAGTTTACCTGCCTCTCTTTGTTCTTTTCTAATCCATCTGCCACAGACATCGAACCAGAATGATATATTACATGGCGCGGCGTCGGCTCATGAAAATTGTCTACAACCTTGAATTCGGTCGAATTGCTCGACTGTCGAATCACACTTGCATAATTTCAGCTCTTACAATGGTTGAAATTAAGCGATGGTAGCTGGCCGGATCCAGAATTTTTTTTATAAAGGTATCCTCTTTAAAAATTAAATAAAAAATTATATCTCACTAGTATAAATTTCAACAAAAAGTTACAATGTGTTTTCATATCAAGAAGAAAAAAAGAATATAAAATATACTCGGTACACTGCTCAGCAAATCTGTATATCATACTAGACAATAATTCATGAACTAATCGCATATTCGATTTCAACACTTGCCGTGTAACCATAAAAGCAATTCAAATTGAGGGTAGCCTGTAATTAATTTAATTGTTAGATTTTGGAAATAGTTGGGGATAAGGAATAGCATTTTTAGTTTTTACTATTACGTAGTGTTTAAAATAGAACAACCACTATGCTCTCCATTAGGTTGCAACAAATGAGCTCCAACCTAATGGAGAATAATGTTTAAAAATAGTAGTGTCCTAGGTTTGAATAACACAAAGTCACAAACTTCCACTTATATTTTTTTTAATCATACGCACGAAGGATAGAATAATCATTTTAGGGGTGTCCCAAATTACTAATTATGATTTTTTTATCCATACAAAACTACTGGGAGTTGAATAATCGTTTTCCAAAATTTAGGAGTGACCCGGGACACCCTAAAGCCTCATGTATTTGCTAGGGATGGCAGTAGAACCCGAATCCATGGGTACCCTACCCGACCCAACCCGATCAACGCGGGTAAACCCCGCTTTGACAGATTGCAGACCGTGTTTGGGTTTAAACCCGCTATACATTTTTGTGGGTTGGGTTTGGGTTTAGCCATATCCAAACCGTGAATACCCGCACCCAAGTTCATACTCCCCACGACCCACGAAACCCTTAACTAATTAACTATAATTTTTAAACTAATTCCTCACACGTTCAATTAATCATATTATTTATGGATGTTTATCTTTAATATTAAACAATTAGTATGAATGATTTGTGAGTTAGTGTGCATGTAGTAGACAATAGTAGTGAAAACTAGTGTAATTGCATCTTTGTACATGAACCTATGGGTATCCATGAACCGTGGATATCCAACGAGTTGGGTTCGATTTAAGTTTTCCAAATCCAATGAGTTTTACCCCGAATTTGTGTGGATAAACTCATGAATTTAAATTTAGATTTGATATAATCCGCACTAACCCGACTCATTGTCATCCCAGTGTCTGCCGCTTGTTAGCTCTTTGCTTGTAGCTGAATTTAGAACCGTGTTTGGGCATGTGTTTGTTAATTGGGATCTGGGACCGTATTGGTGCCGACATGTCGGCTACGGACAATCTGATTGGGTAGGTGCCACCTTGTGAGACTTGTCTTCTTGGAACTCTTTTCAGCAAAGCTCGATTAGGTGGATAAGCAACAAGATAAATGTTGCCGGTAGTGAAGATATTTACAGGGAGCTGCAAAAGAAATAATAACAGAATGGGTTTCTAGGCTCATGGTAGACATTTTCTCAGCCGGTCAAGTCAAGTCCTATAGTAATCATCTCTTCTCTTGTTACATCATCTTCAGTTTTAGTTTTGTTTTGTGCCAGTGAGGCCTAATTTTGAGTTGGAACAAACATTTCACTGTCTTATCCTAGTGATAGTGTTGTTATAATAGTGTTATTCGTGTCACTCTTGACGATGAGTTAAAGAGGGATAGATATTTCATTACTCATCATATTTGTTCAATATATGACACAAGTCAGGTCAGATAGTTTGATTTGAAGAATGAGATTGAATTACATAGACATTTTAATGTGCATTTTGAAGAAAATAGCAAAACTAGTCAAGGATTAATTTTTATAATAACAAATATTCCTCATTATGCTCAACATTACTAATTCGAACGAAATTGTCATTGTATAAAGTATAACAAACTTTCATTTTGATATTTTTTTGACTAAATTATTTTTTCCATATGATGAAGTTAAGTAACCTGCAGGGTAAGTATCATAAGAGTAAAGAAACATTGGACCCCTAATCCAACTCCAACTCTTACAAAACAACCAACCAATAAATTAACATCCTTAATCTTCCATTTTAAAATTATTCGACATCCTTAATCATCAAAATGAGATGATTCCACTTGTCACCGTTATATATTCGGGTAAATGCTACATTTGGTCACTAAGATTACTAAATCGTGTCATGTTTAGTCACTAGAAAAGTTTAATATCAATTTTGGTCACTCGAATTACTAAAACATGTCACATTTAGTCACTCTTCCGTTAGCCTCCGTCCAATTCCAGTCACTCGAATTACTGAAACATGTCATATTTAGTCACTCTCGCGTTAGTTTCCGTCCAACTCCATTACTAACGGGAGAGTGACTAAATGTGACATGTTCCAGTAATTTGAGTGATCAAAATTGATATTAAAATTTTCTAGTGACTAAACATGACACGATTTAATAATCTCAGTGACCAAATAGGGCATTTACCCTTATATATTCATTCCGTACCCAAAGAATTCATCATCGGTTGAGGAAGATTATAAATGTTATCAAGAACCAACGAGATTGTTTCGTATCAAATGACAAAATTAACAAGCCTTAACTATAGGACCGACCACTTGGGTCCCGAATCATATGTCGAAGGTAGCTTAATTAATTTAACTCCACTCGGCAGTAGCTACATTATAATCAAATTATAATTTAGCAGATTTTTAATTGGAAATATATTGAAATAACTACAATTACATACAAATAAGACATAATTACTCAAGACAAAAGGCGAACACAACAAAACATAGTGGTAGGAGAACAAATTTATCATGAGTTATACGCGCCTAAAATGAACCGAGTGAAACAAACATACAAGGTCAAAATTACCACCCTATAAAACACAGTAAAGTTTTGTGAGTTTGCAGAGGAGAAAGATATACGATTTTTATTGACAATATACGAGGACGTAAAAAACTGCAGGATAATATTTGATAAAATAAAGAAATTTAGCAGCCCTCCTAAAAAATTCAATCCTCTTATCTATGATTAGTTTCTTTTGTACATTTAGTGCTCCTGCCGCTAACCTAGCTCCAACTCTGACATCCTTAATCTTGCATAAAGATATCAACATTCTTAATCACCAAATCAAATGATCCTGTCACCATTGTGTATTCATTGCCCACGAAAAGAATCCATCATGGGGTTAAGCCGCCGAGTATAAATAAATGTCATCAAGAACCAATTAATTAATTAAGGAGCTTGGCATTTTCATTTTTCAATGACATGCATAATTAACAAGTCTAATCTGCACCGGCCGACCACTTTGATCCCGACTCACAATGTATTGATTTTTGGGACTCCGGCCAATCAATGCATTGGTTTTCTCGTTCTCCACATAACAACGATAAAACCATTTGACCGCCTCTCCTCTCCCGCAGCTCTTCTTTCACAATCACGTCAGCCATTGCCATTGCCTCACCCTGATTTGAATATTTAATTACGAGTATCCGAAGCAAAATAAATTATAGGAGGACGCGTTTCAGCATATGGTTGGTTAGACGAGATAAATTCATTTTCTTAGTAGAGATGAAAATTAGTAGAGTAATTAACTCGGACAATGACAGTATTCAATATTCATGCATGTGTATCTATCTATAAAAACTAGCACTGGGCCCGACCCTTTGGCCGGCTAGAGGCCCATAAATCCAACAATAAGGCATCCAGGTTTCTATAATATTAAAGGCCCAATGTGATCTGCTATACATTTATAACCCGAATACAATTTCTTACCTAATAAATATAAACCTTGAAGAAAAGAGGAAAACGGTTCAGTTTCCTTCTTCTCCTCCATCCCTCTGTTCACTCGCCGACGAAGACAACAACCGGCAACAAATCCATTGCATGGACGCCGTTTCGTGTTTTCCTGCCTCCGTGACAGACTGCATTGTCGGTTCCAGTGGTTGATTTCCAAACCCGAACACGCAACATCGTTTCCTTCATTCTCTCAACAGGTGCGAAGTTCTTTGGGGGCTCTGAAAATCCAGTCGACTCTGCCCAAAACGATTCCAGGTTAGCTGAAGGTATATGCATCTAAAGAGGACTACACATACTGTCATTGAACGTTGTGTTCTCCCGATCTAGTAACATCTTGGATTTTACAAAGTCTTGCAGTTCGAGAGTGCGAGGAAAATCTTGCAAGCACCACAGGTGCGTTTTTTCCAGGGTTTCTCTTACAATTTTGTTTGATCTATTACCATAATGAACATGATAAGTTAGGATTAATTCCATTGTAACACAGAATTAATCCATAGGTTGAGGAAGTATATTTCAATACTATATGAACATGGATATCATACCTTAATGAAACCCGTGAGTTATTGGTTTTGAAGTAACTCATAATAAACATATTCTTATGTTCTTACCATTTCTCAATACAATTGTTAATATTGTTAATGACCTAAATTATAGGTTTTTTACCATGGGAGACGATTTCGTTACGAATCTAAATTATCAAACTGCAGTTGCAATTTCTCAAACCGTGGGAACTATAGATCTTATCCCAATGCAATTGGATGGTGATCATCAGGTGACTAAGCTCGCATGTTTATTCTCTATGCTTCTCTATATGTTATATCAATGATTTACATCTAATTTGGTAATATGTTGATCTCTTATTGGTATGGATTATATCAGGGCAATTCGTATCTTTTCTCTGGAGTTGTAACAGAATTGAGGAGATCTTGGTGTGAGGCATCGAGTGGGTATTTGATTCACTTGACCATTGAAGATGACATTACTGATGTTGAGGTTGTGTTCCCATCACCTTATTTACGGAGAATCATGTCTTCTGTTGTCAGTCGTGCTGAGCTTGAAAATGCAGACTATGTTACACTTCTCAATTTGCTTGGTGGAAAGCCATATGAGGTCTTGGTCAGATTTGGTCCTTGGAACAACGTGCAGAACTATTTTGATATCTTCTTGGTCAAGTTGTTCCCGGCTGTAGATAACTAAGTAGCATTGGGTATTATTAATATTATCGGATTAATGTTAGTAATGGTCCACCTTTTTGTAATCTCTAATGATCTATAAGGGTAATGTATATGTGAATGCTACTAACTTTTTGTAAGTTAATTATCCATTTGAGGTGGGCGTAATGGATATGTCAAAGCTATTATCATTTTGAGGTGGTACTTGATGTAAAATATGAATGTAATTTAGTTATGGTACTTTGAACAAATGAGGCTTTATTTGATTTTTCCCTATATTATTATTTAAAAAGGCAACAAATGGTAGTTCATCAGTGAAAAGAAGACGAATTAACACTTATAATAAGCATTACATTGGTAACGTGTTGCAAGAATGGTACATGAGATGACCAGAAAAATTGTAAATAGAAATACCAACTTAGCCCAACAAAAAACTGACAATTGAATTTGGTATTTGAAATTTAACCATTAGAGTAAAAAAAAAACAATAGAACGCTTTATGAAATAAAATTCATTATTGGAACCAAAACTTAAAAAATAATTATTCTAACAAAGTTGCCCCAGCCTACCTGCTCTGTTTTTTTTTTTTTTTGACAATTCATCTGTAATCCATAAATTAAAGTTCAGGGATTACATTGGAATCTTGCAAAATAAGAGGGACTAAAATGATAGGTGGTCTTGAGAACCAAGTCTCTGTTTCCTCCAATCTGCATCTCACTAGAGCCATTTCCTGGGCATAAACATTCCCTCCTCTTTTCCAGAATCTCCATTCCACTCTTCCATTGTTAGACTGTTGTTAGATAGTTGTGTGCCATTGTAATGTAAGTTTCACACAACATTTATTTGTTTTGATGATTATGTGTCTTAGACCGAAAAACTAATGTGTGGTAGAAAAACAGAAGGTCAAATTGTTTTGTGTAGAAATCGAAATAGTCAATCTAATAAACCAACAAACAGAAACACTTTCATAAGCAATAATAGTGGAAAACACCATCAAGTACATAGATGATTAAATTAATAATGCATGATGGGAAAGTTTTTATAAATAGTAGAACTGTCAGGGGAATGAAGTGCAAATAGCCATCTCATATATAAACTACTTGAATAACTTACGGAGGACTAAATCGAAATCATTAGTCGCCGGGTTAAAGTCGCCGACTTCAACCATGAACTTAAAGGAATTGCCCCTTAGATAAGCTATGAGGTTTGTGAAATTGTTGGACCACTCCTTCTCACTCTCCTCAATGATACGACTTGCTATCCAACGGAATTTCCCAGTTGTGAAGATAAACCTAACTTCATCAACACCATTACCAACAATCATACGCACGATGTACTTCAATTTCTCAGCTGACCAGAAAACATCAACATTCTGTACTTGTCCACCACAAATGTAGAGTCTTCCTTGTTATGTGAATGTGAATGTAAAACATATATTAAATCACACATAATGCCAAGATTTTTTATTATTAAATACAGTGAAATTGTAAATGATTAATCAAATCCCGTTAAAATGGATAAAAAATCTCAAATTCAAAGCTGCCATTTGAAAACCTTGCAAACTTCCAATGAAAACGTGCCAACATCATGCATGTTTCTAATTTTCCCCTGACTGAAATTTGACCATGTCAACAACACTATTATCAATTTGATAAAAAATGAGTTTTTTATTGTTCGGATAAGCTTTAATAAGTTAATTATTATAAGGCAGGAGGGGAAACTGACACAGGGAAACCATAAAACAGTAGAAAAACCCACCTGATTATTGAGATCATTCTTGTAGAGGTTCAGTTCTGGGATTGAGCAGGGTGTGCTCACCCATAAAGCATCATCAAAGGTATAATCAATGGCGAGATTTGCATTTTCCAAACTATAACATGAGCAAACAGGTTCGAAATTGGTGTTCAGAATAATAAAACAACCTAACTGGAGAGTGTAACGTAGAAATTAAATGCTTACTTATGAAGCAGAGGGTGTGCAATCGGATAATGCAAGTTCCAATAAGTCTTTGTTGCATTTGAAGCGACACAATATGGTTGGCCTAGAATGAGAACATACAAAAATTGTGAAAGTCACAAAAAATAAATATTTCCTACATAAAAACCAACGTTAAAAACCAATGTAATTATACTTACCATTGAAATGGTGCACAACAACAGAAGTAAAAACCACAACAGCTCCTGGGGTTGGATCATTCGGAATCGCAGCATCAAAGTGGTCAATTAATTCATCCCATAACACTATTTCCACAATTGGACCTCTGTAAAATAGGAAAAGCAGGGTATTTAGAAATCCAAACGTAAGTAAGCAGTAGGAGTATAGTTGTTTTTTTTTTAGATTAGAAAAACACGAACCCCATCATCCTAAGTAGAACACTCTTCCGCCTCAATAGAGCAATATCTTCAAATAAGGCTTCTTCAGGGTCCGCAAGAACCAACACTCCAATTATATCTAAGCATACACAACATTATTAGAACTCAAAACAAAAAATGGAAAAAATAAATGATGCAATGACATGGTCATAATTACCAGACATGTAGGCATGATTGTGAACTGCATTAGGAAGATCAGAAGCATCCAAAAATCGGAAATTGTAGGCAGGTATGTCATGTCCATTAGGAAGCTCTTCAACAAAAGACTCCTGATGTAAACAGATTCGGAGTGTGGCAGGAGAAACTCGATTGTAATCTTCATATGGTCGGACATGAAAGTTAGTGATTCTATAAATCTTTCCCTCATTCAGTAGAAAGGGATCAAACAATGGTATCTCATCCGTATCAATCAACCCTTCAATCTCCGTTCCCTGAAACCACAATCGATTTCAATTCAGTCATATCTAAAGTCCAGTTTCATCTAAAGCAAGTAAAAGAAAAAAACAGAACAAACCTGGTTGTCGACAAACAACATATGAAATTGTTGGATTGTGATCCCGTCAGGTCTCATTGTCCGCCATAGACGAAGCAGCCTAACACGAACAGCATAATCATCATTGTGTTGATTGAGAAGGGCTAGACTGAGCAGCGGCATGGCATATGTGAATGAATGAAACAGAGCAACGGGGTGGTCAATTGTCAAATGTTTTAAATGCCTGCAACTTCTGATTATATAGATTTTTAAATTAAACATAGCCAATTGATGTAAATGAGTGTGGATGAACGTGGGTCTGGTGTGGTGAAATGGGAGAATGGTAATTAAAATATTATTGTTTTAAAAATAATACTTGAATATAATGAATGAATAACGTGGGCCGTTTTTATGCAACCGCCATTTTGGGCTTACTTGGGTTTTTTTTAGTACATAGGGTATAATTAGTCTGCTGCGGTCTCGTTGTTTTATCCAAAGTATCTTTCACCATTGAGCTGCGTTTAGAGGAAAAGAAAGCTGAAACCGGAGTTTCGTTTCCGCAAAGCTTATTAAGTTGATAAGGAACCCCTGTAGCATAACAACAACAAACCTACCGCACCAAAAGAAAACAGAACCCTTTTTTGCATGACCATTTTTCTTACTGATCTGATGCATACTAAAAATCCATCCACTCAAATTACCAAATAAAGAGGTACTTCTAATAAATGGAAAGGCATAAAGTCGTTGAAATAAGGAGTGAATGTTCAAAACTTGAGACACACCAAAGTGGAAAAACTTTAGACACACCAAAGGGAGTACGGAAACAGGAATCATCCGGATACATAGAAATCAATTTAGAAACAAAGAAATCAGTGGCCTCGCACCCTCCAAGGAAGCATCATTAAACCGAAGGCATCTTTCGCTTGAGTTTGATGTCAACAAGCATAGATCCAGTATCGTCGGCTGTTGAAATGGGAATGGATTGGTCAGAGGAAGTTTGGGATGACTACTAAGCAAGTGAGATTAGACTCCGAACTTATGTATTTGAAATAAAAAAGGGAAGACTCTTACCTTCTTGGATTGCAAAATGAGAAGAGTGTTTATAGATTCAGCTTAAGATCCAGTAATGGATGAAATGCTTTTGGATGCCAAATTGCAAACATGCGAATCTGTGGTTCAACTTCATATTCTGATCCAATGATGTATACTTCTGCCATGAATTTGATGTTACAGCACTCTTTCAGCATCTGAACTCTCTTGTCATATGGCATTTTTGTAAACTCGATCGGTGGCTTACGAAGCAGAGCAAGAGCAGGTCCATGATTAAGAATGACCTTTGCCTTGTGATTCCCTGATTCACATTCAGCCTGCAGTTCATAGAATAATCTGAAATAATATGTAGATTAGATGCATTTGGTCAATGTATAGTATTTTTATAATAGGGAATAAAAAATCAAAGGTATCTGGAAATACTCAGTGTCTCCAGGGAAAACTTCACGGGTCACAGAACCAAGCTCGAATTTGACTATTTTCAGTTTGCACCGATACAGTATCTGTCAAATAATTTGATATAGCAGAAATACAAAAATTAGAAATAGGTGTTTTTGAAAAAACTGCTACTGTTGATTATTAAATTTGAAACTCCTTTTTATTTGTCAAATAGTTTTCTTTGACAAATGTAAATCATAGCATAGAAGGAAAATATAGTTACCTCTGTTTCTTCTTCTCCTAAAGGCAGCTTGTTGATCAATTCTAATAATGAGATTCTGGGCGGAATATCACGCCGTTGGTATCCAAGCCGCTCTTTTGATTTGTAGTCAATGATATCCACAGGCAGTCTATTAGGAAAGAACCTAGAGTGTTTTGAAAGTTAAATTAGACTGCTTCTAGGAAAATATATGCAAAATATATTAAAAGTGAACATATACATATAACCATTTACCTATTCATTAAATCTTTTGTCATCTCATTGTACGAATGTACTATAAGACGACTGCCAGGAGATGTTACGAAACAAAACTGTGGAATATGGTCATATTCGTGCATGTTTCGGGTGAGTGTTGTTGCTGTCACAACCAGAGGATAATGAACTTCTTTGGCAGTAGCACTTTCAATGAAATCTTTAATTCTTGTGCCAATATAGCTCACAAGTGCTTCATTTCCACTAAAAATTTGGCAAACGGAGTATAAGTATGATCACAGACTAATCTTGATTCAGTAAAACATTATAGTAACTAATTATAACTGGTACCTCATATCTTGAAGATAAATCTGGAACATAGATGTATCATAATTGACTTTAGCTGGTTCAGTTATATGAGTTACACATCCCGTAATATCTGAAATATGTACATATATTAGTTGTTTTGATCTATGTGATGTTGATAATATACAATATTGAGCACATCAATTTCTAATACAACCTGTTCAAATCAATAGGTTAAGTATAAACAATGAATACCTGATAAGCAAGGTGGAAGACTTGTTGATGAACCACTGCCATTGAAAGGACTTTGAAATAAACAATCATCTGGAAAATGCATTGTGCTCCGATATTCAATCATTGCTTTGAATGCAGAGTGCTTTGTAAAATACAATCTCAAATTGGAAGGTGCAGTGCGACGATCAGATCTAGCTGGTATGACAGTTGGATTCATCATGGTATAGAGACAACCAATCTCAATTTTTTTGAAAATATGAGCAGAATCTTCATATTGTACATTTCCTTCCATAAGTTGTCCCTAAAGGAGTTAAAATGGTACAAATGAGCTTAAAGTAACTGTTATGTGATAAGAGTAAAACCAATAGGTGTTCAATGTTTATAATTTTACCTCTTTATCTAACCAAAGCATATGTATGGATGTAATAGATCTAGTTCCATCTGACTCAGACTCTGACCAAATATTTAACAATCTAGCCATGAGGAAACGATTGCTTGTTCCAAGACGAAGTTCACGAAATGTGGTGGATTCAGCCATTACATCTAAAACCAAAAGGGAAACAGAGTAATTATATCTAAAAGCACTCGGATAAATTTCTATTCGAATAACTGTAATATACCATGTGGGTCTTGCGGCAACATATTCCCTTCTGTTGTAGCCGAAAAGAACAGATTGTTTGTGATAGAGTTTAGGGGCTGCAATAGCGTCTGACTACAACTGTGCAAGAATACAAAATGAGAAAACCAAAAGGAAAAGAAATAGAATACATATATAAATACCTGCCGTACATGATGAATCGGATCGACTGCAGGAGCTGGGGGACCAGAAGAGCGGCAGCTACGGCATAAGTCCTTGTAGGGTTTCCCCTTTCGTGAAAACCAGCTGACCAAGGAGACCAGCTGTTTTTTGTGCTGTAAACCCTTTCTCGGCTGATGCATATCCTTTATATGGCCCAGTCTATTTGTTATACATCCGAATGGCAACCAAAGAATGATTGAGCTTCTTTTTGGCCCATTTTATTATAAGTAATAACAGGCTTTGTGTTTTTGGGTTGTTTTAGTGAATAGTAAGTCTGTAATTGTACATTATGTGTTATAAAGTTTTTTTTGCGGTAAACTCTCATCAAAACATAACTGAAATTATTTTGAGGACATGGATTATTTGTTTGGGTGTAGATTATTCACCGGCATCAGCTTCATTACTACTAAGGGTACGTTACCAAAGCAATAAGTTGAATACTTTATTTAAATCCCTCCAAAAATAAATACTATTGATTCAATGATTCACACATTCAAAACAATAAGATTGAGCATAGTGAAATACTTGTTGATGGAATTTCTAAGATATAGAAATTTCGATTGCAAGAAAAGAACGCTCTGTAATATGCAAGACTATCCCAAACCTTTAGAATACTAATATTTATATGCAAGAATGATAATTAGTTAAATGATCAAGAACACTTTTGTAATATTCTACTATTCATAAATTCCAACAACCTGCTATTAATATTTCTCCTACGTAAGTGAACATAGAAGGAAAGACATAAAGTCCTTGAAATAAAGAGTGAATGTTCAGAACATGAAACAAAGAAATCATCCGGAAAAACTTGAGACACACCAAAGGGAGTAAGGAAACAGAAATCATCCGGATACATAGAAATCAACTTAGAAACAAAGAAATCAGTGGTCTCGCACCCTCCAAGGAAGCATCATTAAACCGAAGGCATCTTTCGCTTGAGTTTGTTGTCAACAGGCATGGATCCAGTATCGTCGGCTGTTGAAATGGGGATGGATTGGTCAGATGAAGTTTGGGATGACTCAAGGCCACTACTAAGCTGTAGACACCCCATTTTGTCCGGGCTATAATATTCTGAATTTCGAAGAATTTAACTCGTTTAAGATAAGCGATTGCTAATTTTGGATGAACTATTAAATATGCTCAAAATATTTAACATGAGAATATAAGAATATGTAATTTGGGTCTTTGGATTTAGCAATAGCAAGTCTTAAGATTCCATTTTAATAGAGGTTATCACAACTAAAATCTTATCTCCTTTTATGCTAGGCCGATTGTTGGGATAAAGTTCGTACTGCAATTGCCTCATTTTCGTTATATTCTTGATCGGTTTGTGGTCTTTGGACGTTAGGCTTTCGAATTTGGAGTATCAAGTTGGAGTATTGCTTGACAAATGACGAACTAACTAGTGAAATAATATTATTTACATTTATGATAAACATGCATAACCATTACAACAATTGAAATTAATGTACAACATCGCATAATCACCAAACTTCATAAAGATTACATCATAACTAATTACAATAATAGGAAGATAACGAAAAAATAACATGGCCATTGGTTTTGAAAACTTTTCTTTCGTTTTAAACTTAAGGGCGAAATCAGATTTTGATAACCATCCTATTTGGATTTGGTTTTCTCAGGTCATCATTTTTGGCCCTAAAAGTCTAGAAAATAGGCCTGCAAAAAATAATAATATAAATAAATAAAAAAATAATTAAAGATAATCAAATTTGAGTCAGGTCCATACCAAAGTCCAACCCAAACCCAATCAGGCCCATCAGATTGGTCAAGCCCAGTCAGGCCCTTCAATTTGGTCAAGGCCCAGCCAAAGGATCGACCCGGTCAGATCTGTATCCAACCCAGACCGGTTCGTCCATTTGACTCGAACCCTGGTTCGATCTGAATCAAGTCGGTTACTGTAGCTACAGTACATTCCCAATATAAATACAACATGCCTGGGCAGCAGAGGGGGGCAGAGACAGATTTCTCATTCAGATCCCAAAAAAGTTAAAGGCGGTAAAAAAAAACCCCATTCACCTCCTCTCCAACTTTCCCCAACCTTCCCCAAGATCAGGAGCAGAGTTTGAGTAAGAACCCAGCAAGCTTGTGAAAGTAAAAAACCAAACTTCCACCCTCCACCTCAGGAGAAAGCGACTGAAGCAAAGAAGCTAGGACCAGTAGAGGCCAACAGAAGGAAACAAACAAACCCCCACCACCATCCCAATCACAGGGTAGGTTTTCTCATCACTAAAAACCAATCATCATCACCACTTCACGCCCTACATACTTAAAAAACACAAAATATGTCTACTTTCTATGCTTTCTATATCTGATTCTTTACTTCCTAAGCTTGTTTATGTCTACTTTCTATGCTTTCTATATCTGATTCTCTACTTCCTAAGCTTGTTTATGTCTACTTTCTATGCCTTCTATATCTGATTCCCTACTTCCTAAGCTTGTTTGTTTTACTTTCTAGGTTTTCTATATCTGTTTCTTTATTTCCTAAGCTTGCTTGTTCTACCTTCCATGCTTGTTTTCTTGGCTTCCTAAACTCGTTCTTACTTTCTGCTACTGTCTGTTTTATGTTCAAAGTATATTAACCAAAGAAACTCATCTCAAAGAAGCATCCAAGCTCTTCGATTAAAATAAGAAAAAACAGTAAACTCAAAACATATGTAGATGTTGGCATCAACCAACCTTTGTTGTTTAGTTTATACACTACTTTTACCACTAATATATTTAAATATGACACACCTTAAAACACTATATCTTACCCAAACTTGCTAATCATTGACTAGGTAGTTTAAGTAATCTGCCAATCCCAAAGTTCTCGTTTTATTAAGCTCAGATAACTAAAAAGAAACCAGAAATAAGGACCTGTTACCATACAAGCAAGAACAATTTTTGAAAGGTATTTTAAAATACCTTGTTTTTGTTTAAAGGGCTTCCCCTATATCTTAAACTCGAGATTTTAGTTGAAATCTAATACTTAGGTATTATTTTTAACCAGTCTGGCAAGAGCTTTAGCTTTTGCTAAACCCCTTTTACCTTGCTTCTTATGATTATGTAAATCGCTTAAAATCTGTTTTTTGCTAAGTTATGTGCCTAGGGGATTTCACCTGTGAAGTTCTCATCCTGAATCTGCAAAATCAGAGAAGTCTAGAGTCAGAACTCCAAATGAAAAGCCAAGATAAAAAAAAAGCACAACACCAGAATCTACCTAAAGCCTTCGCCGTCGGCTGTGGTGTAGTCCACGCCGCCGGCGACCGTCGCCTTTCATTTCCTTCTCTAGGCAGAAGCCCGAGCAACCAAAATCAAAAACAAAACAAGATTAAAACAAGTTAAAAACCCGATTTAAGTATCTAAAGCAGGCAAACATGTGATGCATGTCCGATTAAGCTTACCAGAGGTCAGATCCCTTAGTCATCATCGTGTCCTTGACCAGAATCGAAAGCCTTTTCCTCGGTTTAGAGTCAGTTTCCGAAAAACAAGAGATAAGAGTAAGAACTCCAAAGCCTTAAGTAAAATCTGAAAGAAATCCAACATGCAAACAAAAATCGAACCTTTAGGACTCCCTAGCCGTCGTTTGTCGTCGTTTTTGGCTGCGGTTTCCGTCGTTTGCCGCCGGCGATGCCTTTTTTTGCTGTTTCCAGAAGTGAGGTAGAGGAGAGGGTGACGGCGGCAATTTTGTTTGGGTGGTTAGGATTCCGCCGTGTTTTCTTTGAAGGAGAAGAAGAGAAAGGCGAGTGAGGTTAGGAGAGAGGAGAGAGCGGCGTTTAGTTAGGGTTTTGGTTGGTTCTGGACGAGAGGGACGAGAGGCAGAGGAGATTAGGTCTGGCTAGGGTTTTCGTTTGGTTCTCTGGAAGAGAGACAAGAGTTAGAGAAGCGAGAGGATTGAGGGAGAGTGAAGTGAGAGGCGGCCGCTTTGAGTCTGATTAGGTTAGGGTTTCCAATTTCAACTTAAGAGACGAATTTATACTCACCCGAAAAAGACTAACTTATCCTTAGGTTTTCGCTTTAATTACACTCCCTTGCCACCGCGTTTTTGGCCTTTTACCAAACTGTCCTTCCCCCTTTAGCCGCACCAAAAGAGAAAATCGGTAAAAATGGAGACTGCGGGTCTCGAACCCCCATTCTCGGATTAGAACTTGACCTGACACCACCCCAGCCAGTTAGGCTGTTCGCCTGTTATGCGTCAATTTAATCCTCCCATTTAATTTTATTATTTAATATCCTTAATACGAAATGTTAAGATGCGGATTAAGTTTATCTCGTTTCTTGTCCAATGCATCGAATTACCTCCTAATACTAAAATCCTTGCAAGACATAAACTTAAATTTCATTAACGAAATTATAATGCGATAATCACTTTCAGTGAAAAGCGATAAAAATTACACTTAAAACGAATCAAAGTCAAGAGCCATGATCGATGGAACGTGGTTAAAACTTACTTGCTAAATCATCAAAGTTTTATTTCGAACTACGTGGACTTTGATCCCGGTTAACCCGGGTACGTAGGCAACCAATAGGTTCGAGTCCAACCAATCTAAAAAACCATTTTACGTCAATAGACGTGAAAACCGGCAACTTTAAACTCAAGTTTATACCGATAACATCGTCCAATTGGACTCTAACAATTTACATTCAAACTAATTAAAAAACCGAATATTGCGCTTAAATACACAAACAAATCCCAATTAATATTGCACCCAATCTCTAAAAGAAAAACTTATCGGTTTACGTAGTACCCGTTATGGGGCGTTGTGGGGTGTGAATACACTTCCCCACGCGTAACCGTACTCCCGAATCTAGGACAATCTAAAATTCGCAGACCAGAATTCTGGTTTTAAAAAATTTAAAACCGGAAAAAGGTGTTCGATCCACCACAGTAAGGTCGATGGCGACTCCGATCAGCTCGCGACGGATCGCCCCGATTCCAAAGGGGCGGTTGCGACATAAGCGATGAGGAGGAGCTGTCCTTGTGCAGATTAGACTCCGAACTCTGTAATATAAATTGTGGAAAGAAACAAAAATGAGTTAAATGAATTATGGTCAGCAAACTTGTATGATCTGATTAGCATTTATGTGAAACAGACCTGTGTTGGGTCGAATGGGATAATAAATGGAAGCTTAACATCATAAAAAAATTATCCAGGTCTTATAATAAAGATTACCGTTGCTTCAGGCTCCAAAATTTTTAACACTGTGAAATCGGGTTGAGCATCACTGTATAGATTTGGCTTGAACTTGACATGGAACAGCTTGGTCACACCAACTAATTTGAGCAGATCTGCAGGGGGTTCTTCATAGTTTTGACCAGTTCTATTGAATAGTTCATTAGCAGTTGGGCCAAAGAATCGTTTCCCTTCATACTCGAAAATTATAAAGGTTGCTGACTTTGAATTGGCTTCAACCTCAAGCTGAATCCGATATCTGAAAGAAGAGTCATGAAAGAAGAGCACTTAGTTTAAGAAATAATTTAGTTTTCATATCATAGACAGTTTGAGGCAACAAAAACAAAGGTGCTTTACTTGGCAGCTCTAATTGGAGTCAGCTTGTTGCACTTCACACAATAGTATTCTCCATTCCTTTCTATGGGTTTAAGGACACATGTTGGGCAACCCAAGTAACACCAAAATGGCTTGATCCCTACTACTTTGGAAGTAACAGAATAAAGACCTTCCTAATAAATGATGATTTAAGTTAGTATGTAACAATAAGTTGGAAATGTATAAGATTCAAGACCAAAATTTAATATCACCTCGCTGTCCGGATCCACATGGAATTCCAGCAATTCAGGCAGAGAAAGTTCAGGAATAGGGGCAGGTGGGGGCAGCTCAACATACAGGGGCTGCTCTGGTTGTACATCTCTTCAACAAAAGAAAAAACACACTTCAGTGAAACAGCAGTGACTACCAGAATAATTGGTTGATCACCAGCAGGTTTGACTATTTTATCAAATTCAGTTATAACTCTACCCCAGATAACAACTCTCACAATATCACCTCTGCACAAACGTTTAGAAACATTTTGAGAACATAAGTAATGAATAACTAACCTACAAAGAAGATAATAAAATAAAGTGCTGCTAACACCAGATAAACACAATGAAGAAGGGACCTGTTCTTCATTCTGCCACACACAACTTGCCAGCACAAACCGTATTCAATAAACTAAACAAAGCTTGCCACCCTTCTCGTGAACTAAATCATAGCAGATCCACAATAATCACATAGTGGAGCAAGAAAAAACTATTTCAAAACCTAAATGATTATGTACAATATGGCACCACATATGGTAATCACATAAGAGTAGATCATTCAATTACATATTAAGCATAATCAAGTCCATAGAACCAAAGACAACAAACAATCAAAACTTATGATCACATTGAACACTTATTCATGATTCTCCAAGTGTAAGGGTGGTAGGAATTTACTCAATCAGTTTCAGCTCAAGTTCCTTTCTAGTGGTTTTTCGAGAAAGATTGGTTGTGGTCAGGAGATTTGAGTGCTTCACCTACTCGCCAACAACATCTAGTATACAAAAGAGGGAATTAACATGAGAACCAATTAATACCATAAGTAGCAGGAGCAATCCAAAATGAAGAAGGCAGTTACCTGAGAGGATGATTATTTGGCCCAATTTATCCTTCATCTCACTTGCTTTAGTGAAACTGAACTTGAAGGCAGGAATGGAAGGGATATCAGGAACACGTTGGACAGTAGTGGCCCGATTAAAAGTCATGATATATGAATTAGCAATAGGGCGATATTTGAGTTGGGTCGTGTGAATTTCGTAATCCTTGATGATGTAAACTTCTTGTTCATGAAGCAGTGCCTTGAATTTCTCTTGCAACACCGGTGGGATGTGGACCCATATATCATTTCCCTAACAATATTGAAACCAACCTTTAAATGAAATCATCTAGCTTGTAAGATCAATCAAGAAAACCAATTAACTTTATAGAACATACGTACCTTGGAATCCATCAAGATCATGTCCAAATGCAGGACTTTGTCTGTCGTGACACTTGCACCAAGCCAAAGCCTAGAAACGCGACAATGGCCTGACCATATTTGTTTCTCAGACTCAAGATCTCGCATGCCATTGAAATCCATCTTCTACCTAGCAAACGATTATGTGGTAAATAGTTATAAACTGGGTGAACTAAACTGCTTTGACAGTTGGTTTTATCAAATGGAGAATTTTAGAGGAGAACAGGTACCTGGTAACTTGACAGAGAGCAACATGAATACTGAGCTGAATCGGGGAACTTGAAATATATAAAGGCTAGTCATTGCTGTGGTAACAGTTACCAAACAACCCACGTTGCCCACGACTGGAAACAGCTATGGAGCGGTTACTGGGAGTGTGGCCTGCGGCAGTTGCCAAGAGGATGTGGAACTCATGAATCGGAGGTGGGATTTTTGAACTTTGGCGGTTATCTGCCGATTTCAAATACACCAACCTAGGTAGAGACTGATAACAATCAACTGGATGGATTGTGTTGTTCCCGTTTGAGGCTACAATGGGAAACCCTATCTACAGGCGAGCTTGATTCATCAACAAATAGGTGGCTGCACCTGTCGTTCAATTTGGCGGTGGAGATTGTTATTATAGTATAAATGGCGGCCGAAAAGGTTGGGAGAGCTGGGAGTCGACGGTTGTCGGTGATAGTCGATTTCAGTTCAAAATGTGGACCGAAACCTAGTGCAGAGTTGTTTTGCGAAACGACATTCACTATTGAGATCTTGCTGTGGGCTATAGATGGGCCGTTAGGTTTAGCAGGCCCATGTGAAACATGTTTTTAACTTTAACCCCTAGATTGGGTCCATTTATATATCTATCCACCTTACAGAAGTATATACACAAAATTACATATCCGAGGCTTAACTTTTTAAAATCCACTGGCGGCAACAAACAAAAATAAGGATTCCATGTCAACATACCTAAAAGACAAATTGAAATGAACAAAAAAAATACATAATAATAACAACAAATTGTATGGTTATTTTGCTTACAATTCCACTTAGAAGTAGCAAACATAACAGCAACTAAATAATATTTTATTCCATGTGCCATTAAATGTTTTTCCCGATTTTAAGTTTTTTTTTTAAATAAATGAAATATGTTGAAAACCATTTCAATAGTAAGTAAATAGAAACTTAAATATACATATTGGAGCTATATGGATTATTACATAGTAGCATTAGAATTGTAATATGTTTTTCAGATTACAGGATCATTGAAGGTCACAGTTCAATAAAAAAATACATATGTTATTCAACAATTCAACCCTAAACCAACAATATATACCTATGGAAATAAGGGAAATAAAATAACAAACATCATGATGAGTAGTTTACCCAAATGAATAGCAAAACATCACGCCTAACAATTGTTCAGCAAACAAAAAAAAATTGTAATAATAAGTAAACACTAAGATGAAGTTCAAATAAATCAATCAAATATTTCTGGAAATACTATGTTCACCATTGAGGTGCCATCCTCTCCATTCTCATTGGCACTCAAAATCTTCAATCCTTGCTTAGTAGTAACTCTGGACAATGCAACATATAGCTGACCATGACTGAAAACTTATCTTTGAAGACATAAACCAACATGGGTGAGTGTTTGACCCTGACTTTTGTTAATAGTCATGGCAAAACAAAGAGCAACAGGGTATTGCCTTCTAATGAGGGTGAAGTTAAGACTCTTGTAATGGGTTGATAGTGTTAACCTAGGGAGGAAAACACGATCACCTACATTTGTACCTGTCAAAATCTCCACCTCAAGGAACCATTTACCCAAAGTCTTCACAACCATTCTAGTACCATTACAAAGGCCAACAGTTTGATCCATATTCCGTAATAAAATGACTGGACACCCAACTTTCAGTTTCAGATGATGGTCTGGAAAGTTTCCAATTTTGAGATTGTTCAAAAATTCAGTAGAATAATCAGCATCCACAACTCCCTCCTTCCCAGGGTCCACCTCAATAGAATCAGCGCTGAAATATGACACTTCATCGCCTGGAAATTGACTTAGAATATACTCATTCACTGCAGAAACCATATCATGGTGTGGAGCCAAGATAGCTCGATGGACTAAGGGGTCGTTTGCTTCATGGATTTAAAAATGAGGGTTTTGTAATTTAAAAATCCAAGGATTTATCAAGGATTTGAGGCATCATGGATTTGTAACAATCCTTTGTTTGTTGGGATGTTTTTATCATGGATTTAAAGGTGTGGGATTTACTACTTGAAGTCAAAAATTACATTACTGCCCTTTTCTATATGTTTGACATGTTTATGATATGTACACAAAACAAGGACAATACATACTAATAAGCATAATGGTGCCACATGGACAATAATAATAAACGAGAAAATTCCGTTTTAACTTCTAACGTAACATAATCAATTACCAATTCTTTGTCCTCATTTTCAAAAGTGACATATAACAACATATATTAGAATCGAGAGAACAAAGAATTACACGTTCCATGAAAAGGTCAAAGAAAACTAAAACACAAGAAATGATATAAAAAATCTAACTCATGTTTGCACATTAATTGAACGTTTATATTATTCATTTATTGTTAATTATAATGTATAATAATTAAATTTGAGGGCAACCTTGGAATATTAAAAGTGCATGAGGGTATATGGATAAAATCTCATCAAGGATTTATGCCATATTCCAAATCCCACATCAACATGTGGGATTTATAAGTCCATGGGGTCCACGGATTTGGACCCTTAAAATCCGTGGGGCCCACGGATTTGGTCTCAAAAAAAGGTGCAAGCAAACAACGGATTGTACCTAAATCCTTGATAGTTGGTTTTTTGGTACCAAATCCATGTACCAAATCCTTGAAGCAAACGACCCCTAAATAATTATGATCTCCTGCATGACTACTAAGATCACCGTATATCGAGGTGACAATATCAGTAACAGGATCAATCTGTCGAGGAATTACTAATTCCTGAGGTATGGGAATCAAAGACTCACCAAACACATCTGAATCTACTCCATCTCCTACTTGTAAGAGCCAATTCTGAAAAGTAGTTATCTCAACAATTTCCTCCGGAGAGCAATTAGATCGTGCTAGCCTCATATTCTCAACTAATTTAATTACCCTCAAATGGAGCCACAGGTAAGATCTCTTTATAGATGAGTTCACAATATCACCTCGTGAAGCTTTCAATACTATAGGCAAAGTCTGCCTAAAATCTCCTCCAAAAACAACTGTAAGGCCTCCAAAGGGCTTCCACTGACTGTTTTCATACCGAAACCGTAAGATATCTCGCAATGATTTATCTAAAGCTTCCACTGCATGCTTGTGTGATATTACAACTTCATCCCAAATAATCAATGAAGCACGTTGAATGAGCTCTGCTAATTCACTTTCCTGGTCAATATGACATGTCGATCTACAATCAAGGTCTACTGGAATGTGAAATCGAGAATGAGCTGTTCTACCCCCATCCATTAAAAGGGCTGCAATCCCAGAAGAAGCGACACATAGAACAATCTTATTTTCCGATCGCAATTTCAAGCAAATGACTTTCAATAAAAAGGTCTTCCCAGTCCCACCACCTCCATCAATAAAGAATGCATTTCCCTTATCTGCATATACTGATTCAGTAATTTCATCAAAAGCAATTTTCTGTTGGGAATTGAGCTTGGAAATCATACCTTCAAAGTGCTCATGAAGGCTTGAAGCATTGTAGTTAAGTTCTGCAGTGATCAAACGATTTGATGAAAATGGCATGTTGCCAGTATCGATAACTGGTAATCCAGGAAAATCAGATAGAGTTTTGCAATTTCTTGCAAGTAATTTATCTATCTCCAGTAAACAACATTCCTGTAACTGAAGATCAGTCATCTGTAGAGTAGGCATATTTAGTTCCTTCCGACGGGCATACAAAATGTCATCAGATAATAGTGACCAATTTCGCTCCCAAAGTTTCCCAATGTCTGAAACTTGACAGAGGCTGATAATAGTAACAAATAAACTTCTAAGCTTTTTACCGGATGCCCAAATAGCAGCTTCAGCCAAACAGTCGTTCCATTCATTATCTTCTGCCAATAGACCATGCGCATAACATGCTTCCTTAAAAGATTTATGCAAAATTCCATTCACTGTCCTGATGTCCTCAAAACTACCAGCACCACGAACAATATGAAGCAGCATACGCAGATAGAACCTGTCATTTGTAGGCGAAGGATGACAATAATACAACCTGCCAATACTGAACATGGATTTCCTCTTGTGCCACGCCTGCTTTGTTTTATTCCAAACATAATGTTGAGGAAATTCTACAAATGTATATTTCCTTGCATCTAGAGAATGATTATTCACTTTCATCCATTCCAAAAGCATAGAGGTTTGAGCACGTTTAGAATGAAGCACAGCTTGAGGATTTGAATGCTGCCTTGAGACAACTACATTCTGACCAGGAGATGATAAGACATGCGCAATACTGATGGGTACTGTGAGTAGACATCAAACTTGAACAACCTCTAGCATGCTTCACCAGATGTGATATAACGACAATCTAGATATGCTTTGATCTCATCAACACGTGGTGTGGGATTCGAACTTGATGCACCAGATTCAATTCCAGTACTGCTTTCATTATCAACTAATGAAGCTTTTGCTCGATCTTGTGGTTTGTTGATATACTTGAACAAATATTTGATTGCCCTACAATGGCAAAAAAACATATGGATAAAAATGCATCTCCAAGGAAATCTACAAAAATACAAACATAGATAACATAGAGGAGAAAGTGTGAATTACATCATGGGAACAATAAGCATAGTATGATTGTATGTTCCGTTTAGTACCTCATCCTAATGGAAACTAATTAATTGATGCCCAACCCAATCCCAAAGCTACTGCATTCCACTAATGAGTAATGATGAGATAAAACAAAACTAATGAGTAGTTTTGCAGTAGTCAGACTGATACGTGTAAAGCAATAATAAAAATAAAACATGAGCTACCAAATTTCGCAATTTACATGGAATGAAATAAAAAAGTAAAGTCAATCATAAATATTATATGTGGTAGTACAAAAGATACCTGGATTTATTGCAGAACTCAACG